ACTTCTAATAAAATTCTTTTCATAGTATTACCAAGATTTTTTTGGAATAAAAACTTGGTATTACATGGATCAACTTGTTGATCCATTTCCCTTTAGATATTTAAATATATATTTGATTGTCTTCCTTTTATAATATACTGTAGTCAACTATTAAGGTTGTTCTAATCTTAAAAACAATAAAAAATTTTAACTTTCTAATAAAATAACATTACAACATTCGGGGACATAATATCAACGTCTACCTATATGCAAATAGATATTGTCACCCTTAATTAAATTTCAATGCATTTTTTTAAATAGAAATCACAAGGTAAAGTATTGTAATACATATCATCATATTAATTTCAGTCAAGCATTCCAATATATTCAATTGGAAAGTTGTAACTTAATACATGAATAAAAAGTATTGTGTTTTGTTAAAAAACCTAAATTCTTACCACAGTTATATATGATCAACAAAATAATAGTGAGCTCAAGACCTAAAAAGGAAAATAAAAAGTAGTCAAAAAGAGAAAAATAAAACGTGGAATTACAATATCGCCGGTCTAATCAACGTCTCAGTAAAGGAAAACAATAAAGAGAGACAAAAAGAGAGATAGCATAAGATCATTCCTTTCAAAACCAAAAAGAATACTTATTCCAGGAAGAAATGAGAGATATTTTGTTTCCCCAACCAGAGCTATTTGATTCTTGCATTTAAAAAAATTTATAATATATAGAACAATTATTTATAAGATTTAATGATTCCTAAGAGTAGATTCGTTTTTTTTTAGGTGTGGGTGGTCTTGTGATTTTTTACATTTACATATGAATTGTTAATAATAATAAATAAAGATAACAAGAAATAATAAAAAAAAATTGGTTAGATTGTGTATCAACGTCTAATTACAAAAAAAGAAAAGATTCCGTCCGAAACAATTATTTATGTCAGGTATCTCGTTTCTTTTTTTCTTTTTTTTTCCCTAAAAAAAAAATGCTAACGAGCTAAATGGGTGAGGATTGGACACATATATATATATACACACACTTTGTTTAATCTTTATATTTTTTGGATAATTATCATGGCTGTTAATTACTAAAAGAGTTAAGGAAAAGGGAGTTCACATTGGTTTTTAACTTCTCACCGTAAAACTATTCGGTAAAGAGAAGATGAATGGATGAAAGAATACTATTAAAACAAAGATATATATTTTGTTGCACAACTCGTGTGGTTGTAGCAATTCTTAAGGATGCATGACACTTTTAAGAAAAATCCAACTCGTGATACAATGCCGCTTTACTCATTTTTATTTTTGTTCGATCCAATATTTTAGAAGTTTGTGTTGGACACTAATATTTAACTAATACTAATATGTGATCCATTAGTAATATTAAAGTTTTAATCAAATACTATTTTTGATATTATAGATTAAGAAAATATGTGATCCATTATTGACATTAAAGTTTTAATCAAACAATAATCTTTATATTCTTGATACTATAAAAAATCAATTATATATCCTACGTGGCAGCATTAAAATACCGATAAATTTTAAAAACTCTCGACAAAAATAAATTTTAATCAAATATTAATTTGTCTATTGTTCTTACTATGAATTAAAAAAATAATATCAATTATATATCTTACATGATAGCATCAATAAATCCTAATAACTCTAAAAAAAACCCTCAAACTTATATTAAAAAAAAATCAAGATTTAATATATATATATATATATATATATATATATATATATATATATATATACAGTAAGAGATTGTCCCTGGAAATCCAAACGAACTTTGATCATCAGAGTGCAGGCTTCACCCCTCAAGAGCGCATTATTTTGATCGTTCGCTTGTTGGTACTGGCAATTTATTGATTCTATATTGAGACTATGTAAGTTTTTTCTTTTTCTAAGCCTAGACACCATTTTTTTATCAGAAAAAAATAAATTAAAATAATAATAATAATAATAATAATAATAAATAAGAATGAGAAAGAAAGAAAGAAAATGAGATGAGTCAAATCTCTCTTGAATTTTATTATATTTAAAAAATTAGTTTTTAAACTTTTAATTTTGAGTTTAACACCTCTTAAATTCTAATTTTTTTAATGATTTAGTCTATTTTTTAGTTTTATGTCAAAAATAAAGGTCACATAAATATCTCATGACGTAAACCATTCCGGAAAATTTATTCCGAGCCTCTCTAAAAATAGTTGAGATAATTCTGAATTATTTTTTAATTTTTTGATTTTTTACATTTTTAATATTAATCAAAAAATAAAATAAAAAATTATTTAAAATTTTTTAGGATTTTTCTAGAAAATAAATTGATTTTTTTTCAATACGTGTGCAAATAAACTAAAAAATTCTTAAGAGATTTAATCCATTTAAACAAAACTTTTCTCAAAAGAAAAATAATTTGCCACGACCTCCAATTGTGATGGTCACCTGACATGTTTTGTTTGACATTCTTTTCCCTGATTTCGTTGTTTTGAAGACAAAACACTCTGGAAAAAAAAATATATATTAAAAATAAAAATTCTCTCTCCTCTCGTGCAGGAGTTTTTGCTCTCATCTTGTCAGAAGTCGTCACTTATTATTATTATTTTTTTTGAGTTTTCTAATAAAAGTTTAATATACAATAATATATTGATCTTATTTCACATCACATCTGTTTCTTTATCTTTTTCTCTTTTCCTAATAATTTTCCATATATATATATATATATATATATATATATTTTTTTTTTTTTTCTCCTCAAAGTTTCCCCTCAATGCGTGTTCTTCTTTCTTTCTCTCCTTTATCATTATTAACCTTGCATTAAATTTAAGATTTTCAAGGGTTTATTTTGGATGCCATGGCAAAAAATTGTTTATGATGCTGTGGCTTTCTTTCTTTCTTTTTTTTTTCATGCGTTATGGTATTTAAATATTATTATTTTTTCAAATCCTTAACTGTAGGAGTAAATTATAAATTAATTCCTCTTTTTTTGAAAAACAAATTAATTAGTCTATTTTTTAAAAAAATTAATTATTTAATCCTCTATGTTTTAATTCCATCAAAAATTTTAATTATTTTATCATTATTTTGTTGAAATAATATTTTTTAAATTATCTTTTTTATCCCCTGTTTTTTTCTTTCACCCATTTTTTTCTCTCTCTAAAACCAAAAATCAAAACAATGGCAATTTGAAAATAAAAATAATAACCTAATAAAAATCGATAAAAAAAAATTTATCGATATAAATAAAACACATAGAACTAAATGATTATTAAAAAAAAAAACTTATTAATTTGTTTATATAAACAAGAAGGACTAATTAGTTTTTCATTAAATTAGTGATTTTTTTTTCTTAAAGTGCCCTTTTTTATGGCCAATGTTTCTCTTCCAACCACTCATTTTCTCTCTTCAAAACCAAAAATCAAAACAATGACAATTTGAAAAAAAATTCACTAATTTAATGAAAAACGATTAAAAAAACTAAATTACCGACATAATTAAAACACGGATAACTAAATGATTATTTTTTTTAAAAAAACTAATTAATTTGTTTATCTAAACAAAAAGGACTAATTTATAAGTTAGTCTTAATGGTAGTTTTGAAAATGTTTGGCTAGATGTTTCACGACAACATATTATTCCACCAATTTTTCTTCTTCAAGGTCTTTTGAAGATGATGTATTACCAGTTGTAAGTGTTTGGTGAAGTTTGAGTAGCAGACACAACTTCTTCATATTATGAATTTAAATTATACGAAAGTTAGTTTTGATAGGTCGGTCAGTTAATTAATACGATAAGTTGCAATAAGTACATTGATGGGAGAATGATTGTTTTTATTTCCTCTTACTAGGATATTTTTATGATTAAATTGTATCAAGTTATTTTATTAATGAAATTTCTATTGGTTTTGAGAAATAATAATAATAGTAATAATAATTTGCATTGACTAAACATATCTTAAAAGGCTTAATTTGTATGCTATATTAAGACAGGATAAATTAAGGATAGTTATTACCTTTCCCAAGAGGGGAAAAAAATTACTGTAAGTTTAAAAAAAAAAAATCGATTCAATATTGTAATGCGGCTTCGCTTTTTCAAGTGCTGCAGGTACTGCTGCTAATCCCCAGACACACCCTGTTGTGTGAAAAAAGAGAAAAAAAAGGTTATTGCATAATAATTTAACTTTTAATATGTTTTTAAATTTAAAAACACCTTTAATATATCTTTATGATTATTTAAATTAATTTATAACATATCGTTTTACTCAAAATTTTCTACGAATTCATCAAAAATCAATTTTTATATTATTAGATATAGATAATTTGTGTTAAAAATAAAGATAATTTTATCCAATCATATTTTAATTTAATCTGAAATTTTAACTAAAAGATAGATTAAAAACTAATTCAAATAACAAAAAATAGTAGAAGTGTTTTTAAATTTAAAGACTGGTTGAAAATTTGACCAATTATATATTTATAGATGAAAATATTAACAAAAAAAAAAAAAAAAGAGTACAAGCAACAGTTGTCAGAAGAATCTGTTCATAGCACATGGAGGTCTAATTAATTATAACTCTAACTCTTAAAGATAAAGGCAAATCTTTACCTATTATGCACATGTTCTTACAATGAGCGTTGAACCCAGAAATCCAGCTTGAAGATGGGATGTTGATAAGCTCAAAACTGTATTTTTTACGTATTAACATATATACCATCATCCATCTTCCTATCAAAGAATGATTTAAATAATTATAATCATGCACGTTTAACGTATGAAGCCAAAGAAATAGAAACAGATTGAAGATGGGTGTGGACGCAAACTTAAGCATTTTATTTCTTGGTTCTTACAAAACTTAATTAATTTTATGATATGAGAACACTTTTCTTTGAAAACGATAATGTCCATAATAAAATAATCAAATCTGATCCATTTCTATGCAGGCATGCGGTCTATATATGAAGGGTATGTAAGAGGTCGAAGAGTGCAAAAAGGGAGTTGAGTTCTCTGAAGATGGATGGCTTGGGTTCTTCATCTTTATCTTTTATTGTTGTTTTGGTTTTGGTCTTGAATGTGGCATTGTTCTGTAATGGGGGCAAAACTAGCAGTTTTGTTAGAAAAGCAGAATTAGGTGTTGACATGCCTCTTTCCAGTGATGTTTTTCAAGTCCCTCCAGGCTACAATGCTCCTCAACAGGTTTATTTTTAACTCATCTTGTTGTTTTTCTAATTTCTTGCTAATCCCTTTCAACAATGAAGTACAACTTAATTATAGTTGAATTCGATTTTTGTTTACATTCCTACACCACAAATATTATAGAAGAAAAGTGATTCATTTAAGGAAAAAACCAAGTCCCAAATATCATTAAAAATAAAAGGTCAAAAATTTATATCTAGATAAACCACAAGATGACACTCTGCTGGTGCCAAGTCTAAGATTCAATCCTTACGATCAATATTCTTAAAAATTTATTCTTAAAATAAATGAAATTGTGTATTGAAAAGTGTCTTTTAGCCAATATTTAATGAAAAATTAGTTTCGAAATATGTAAAAACTAGTTCGAAACATTTTTATTGTTGAATTTAGAAAAAAAATTTACATTTAGATACATCTCATTATTAACATTCATGCGTCATTTGTGACTTTAATTTCGTTACATGCGGCATAATCCATGGTAGAAAGAATGATGCTATGATTCATATGAATAATGAAATTAACAACATGAGTGGCACACAAACACCGTCATAGAATGGAAAATTTTATAATATACAAGGAGTAACTAGTGGTATGTATAGTAGTTACTCATTGGGTCCACTTTGAGGAGAGATAGACACATGAAAAAAGAGAGAAATTACATCTATACTCATTAAAAGTGATAAGAAGATTTCCACGTCCGTTCAAATTTTTTTATTTTCTCTCTCCTATTTTTCTCTTTCTCTCTTTGTATGTCTATCTTTTTCCTCAAAGTGGGCCTAAGGAGTAACTACCGTACATGCCACTAGTTACTCCTTGTGTATTATAAAATTTCTCTCATAGAATGTTGGTAAATATATACTTTTTTTCTAAAAAAAATTAACATTTTTAGTTTTAATATAGATTAAAAAGTTATTAATTATCATGTCATATTAGTATTTTTATGTATATTTTTTTATAATATATTTAGATAGTTTTTCACAAAATAAACTTTAATTATAAGTATTTCAAGAAGCATGTTATTTAAAGTTTTGATCAAATAAATATTTTAAAATAAATTCAAATAAAAGGATAGACAATGAATAGAGAAATTATAATTTTTAACATATTTGCAAATTTGTATTTTGTTAAATTTATCATTTCTCCTGTAGAAATTCAGATGGTTATCCTAGATTTTTTTTTTATTAGTCTTTCAGTATATAATAAATATTAAATTAATATATGAGTTAATTTTTCTTATGGGTGATTATGTTTAAAAAGGTTCACATAACACAAGGAGACCATGAAGGGAGAGGAATGATAGTGTCATGGGTGACTATGGATGAGCCAGGTTCAAATACAGTGATTTACTGGAGTGAGAAAAGCACAAGAAGGATGAAGGCTGAAGGACAAGTTTATACCTATAAATTCTACGATTACACTTCTGGCTACATTCATCACTGCACCATTACGAATTTGAAGGTAATTTTATTTGAATTGTTCTGCTATATTTATTTGTCATGGATCAAGACATTTTTGTTATTTTAATCTCATAACTACTCTATTTGTTTTCTGTTTTGTATCAATAATTTTTGTATGCTTTTACATGGAAATTGATTATCTGAGAATTTAACTTTTTAACTGATCATTTGTCATAGTTCTCACGTAGAGTTGTATTTATTAATTTGGTTTTTTCTTTTTTCCTTTTTTACCGCTTTGACAGTACAACACCAAATATTACTATGTAGTTGGGATTGGGCACACCAGGCGAAAATTCTGGTTTTTAACTCCTCCTCCTGTTGGCCCAGATGCTGCATATACATTTGGTATCATAGGTACGAATCAATAATCCTGTTTAGACCCTTGCAGTTCCATCCTCAAATCATAAAAACTTTAAATTTAGTCCAAACTTTGTCATGTCAGGTCATTTTTCATCTATATAGAATAAGGTTTGGTCTTAATGAGTTTCTTTTGCTATGAAATCATGAGTTGATATATAATAGAAGGTTTTGCCAGATTGAGAATTACAACAATTTGGTTGCTCCATTGTGGTTATGGAAGGTGTTAAAAGCTCACAATTGAGTATATATATGAATTTAATTTGCAGGGGATCTTGGTCAGACTTATGATTCAAATTTAACACTTACTCACTACGAAAGGAACTTTCAACAAGGAAAAACGGTGTTGTTTCTTGGAGACCTGTCTTATGCAGATAGGTATGCCAATAACGACGGTGTGAGGTGGGATACATGGGGAAGATTTGTAGAGAGAAGGGTTGCTTATGAACCGTGGATATGGACCGTGGGAAATCATGAAATTGAACTTAACCCAATCCTTGTGAGTATCTAATGACATAATTTATGGAAAATGACACGAGTACATGATCATGTTGTGCATACGCTACTGAGATGTTAATCTTTAACTAGTTTAAAATTTACCAGTCCTATAGTATTACAATTATACGCTGATTTTTTTTTAAGTAATATAAAATTATTTTTAGAGTTTCATTTAATAATTTTGAATTGAAATAGTTTTTTCAACAAGTTCTGATGACCAAATGAATAATTAAGCATAAAGTAGTCTGAATTTTTATAAATTTCAAATCTAAAAAGTTTTTATTCAGAAAAATATACTGAAGAATAATATAAAATTATTTTTTAATATCATCTAATAGTTTAAATTATTGTGTTGAGAATTGAGATAATTATCTGGCAATTTCTATAATATATAGTTAGACATATATATTATATATATCATGATGTTCCAATGTGTAATGTTAAAAATTCAATACGAGCTTGCTTTTATTTTAATATTTTGATTCTATGATTCCAAACGAGTTTTTTTTTAATATTATAAGTTTGGTATCATATTGGACCTTAATTTAGTCCATCTAGTTTATAATTTGATATCATTAATGGAAAAACAAATTCAGGATAAATGGCGCAACTCTCCTTTATTTTATTAGTTTCTTTCATGCTGTCGTTCTAACCAGTTTATGGCGCTTTTTCAGAGCGTCCTTTAGATTACAAATGGATTTAACAATGTTGTCGAGACCGAAAAAAGCACTGCCTTAGTTTTTTTTTTTTTAGTCCACATTTTAAAGATTTTTTCTATTTGTATTTAACTATGTTATGCTATGTTTGCCGAATCGTAGAATCGAGTTTAAGTTACAGAAAGAAATGAATTCGTAATTAATTTTAAAAAATGTATTGATATTGTTGCAGAATATTGAGACGACACCGTTTAAGCCTTACACTCATCGGTACCATGTTCCACATGAAGCATCAAGCAGTATTGATCCATTATGGTACTCAATCAAGAGAGCTTCAGCATACATAATTGTCTTGTCTTCATATTCAGCATTTAGTAAGTATCTATCCTTGTTTTACATGTCCTATTAATCCTTCCATAGTCGCATCTAATTAACTTGTGTGTGTTTTCAGGCCCTTATAGTCCTCAGTGGCTTTGGCTTCAATTGGAGTTACAAAATGTCGACAGGTCTCAAACACCATGGTTGATTGTTCTTATGCATGCTCCCTTGTACAACAGCTACTATGATCACTACATGGAAGGAGAGCCCATGCGAGTAGTGTTTGAGCCCCTTTTTGTTCAATTTAAAGTTGATGTCGTGTTTTCTGGCCATGTTCATGCTTATGAACGATCTGTAAGTCTACCTACCTTATCAAGTTCTGGAAAAAAAAAAAAGTTTGCAATTAGAGATGAGGTTTCCCGATTCTTAAATCTTAATAATTTGGCAATTAATCCCATCATTTTTCCACAGGAACGTGTATCGAACATTGCATACAACATCACAAACGGAGATTGCACTATAAAAAGAGATCAATCTGCCCCTGTTTACATTACCATTGGTGATGGGGGAATCTCGAAGGCCTGGCTACCAAGTAAGACCTTCGAATTTTGAATGATTCGTCTCTTTTGAATGTCTAGAAGTTATTGCATGAACCTGAGTCGTGTACAATTTTAACCCAGATGAGCCTGACTCGTATAATAATTTCATAATGCTTTTTTCTTTTTCCTTTGGTGGTGGTGCAGCATGACTTATCCACAGCCAGATTACTCAGCATATCGTGAGGCCAGTTTCGGTCATGCCATTTTCGATATAAAAAACCGAACTCATGCTTACTATAGTTGGCACCGTAATCGACATGGATATTCTGAAGAAGCTGATTCCATGTGGTTTTATAACAGATATTGGTATCCCTTTGATGACTCCACTGCAAGTATCCAATCATCCATGTGACACTAATTTTTATTTGCTAATTTGTAAAAATAAAGTGGCTAGTGGCAGCATTTGGTCCATTAGTGTCAGGTCATATGGGATTTAGCTCAATGTAACTTAGGTTATGTCCTGAATAATGTTTGCAAGAGTTCTCTTAATTTAAAGATGATTTAAATTAGAGTTATGATTTCTTTTTTTTTTCTTTTTCTTTTTTTTTGAGATCGAGTTGCGGAACTTTGAAAATGATGCATTCAGGTATTTTTAATCCAAGTTATCAATTAAAGTTGAATTAAATACCCAATATTGGTCTCTTTTTTTTAATTATGTAGGCATAAAAGATTTTCTGATCCTATTTTATTTACATAATAAAAAGAGCATTTAGTGTTGGGTTGCCGTAAGTCGATGCATTTTATTGGTAAGTACTACTCTTTTCGCATCCCTGGAAGGGAGTCCTCTCCCATAAAAATTCTTCTTCACCGATAATGAATGCCAAGGTAGGATTCGTTGACCTTTTAAACTATAAAATTAACTTATTTGTATTTCTTCCAACTTTATTTTGGCAAGGTTGAAAAAAATCCTTAGAAGAACATGTCATGTAAATTATTGAGTTATACTTATGAATCATGGATGTTTTCTGATGTTTTCGATGTTTTTGTCCAAAATTTGCTTTAATAATTCAACGGGGATTAGATCTGTACAAGCGTGCTACAACTTGGACTGAGACTTCAGTTTTAACCCATGACTTTTCTGGCCCCAATCTACTCTAGAAAAAAGTGTTTTGGACGCCCCCGGGGGGGGGTGTGGTGGTGGGGGGTGTGGGGGGTGGCGTGGTGGTGTTTGTGGAAGAGAACTCTTTTGTTTTTTTGGTTTTTTGTTAAGGACTCAAAGGCTTCCTGTTATAGAATGGTTGGATTTAATTGTTAGCTTTGACTGTAGTTACCTATGTAGGAAAAATGTAGTAATCCATGTTTTGATGTGAATTATTGTGTATCATATTGAAAATAAAGAAAAAACAAGATGAAAGTATAATCCAATATTTTATGTTTTTGAATTTGAAGTAGGGTCTATTTTTGTCTGTAAATCCTCATAAATACAGACCCAATAAAAACACGACGTCCACTGATTGGGATTAGGCAATTTAGGCTACTAACTTATGGGCTAATACAAGTTATCTTTATGACATGGAAAACATTAAAAAAAGAAATTAATTTTGAAGAAGAAGAAAGAAAAAGGAATAATTGGCTTATCGTTGCATTGTTCAAAACGTGGAAAACCCATGAATAAACAACGCAGACTTGCATAGAGAGCAAAGATGCCTACACGGGGAGAAAAGGCGCATAGAGAAGGCAGTAAAGCACAAAAGAAATGAAGTAAAGTTTGGCTAGGTGGGGTTACTTGGTGATGCTATTCATGGCACGGAGCCAGTCGGCCGATGAATCTAATCCAGCCGTTTTTAACCAAGGACAGTCAACAGGCCACGCTGGTCCAGTGCTGGTGGCACCTTTTTTTAACGCATTCACACGAGTGGCTGTCCATTTTGTCTCCGCTTTTCATTGCCAAAATTTACAAATTGAAAAATTGGAAAAACCACAATTCAGTACCTATTTTGATTTCAATTAGCAAATCAGGCGATGAGAAAACATAATTCATCAAATTGACCTTGTATTCGTCATATTTAATCAATTGAAACAAATTTTAAATAAACTATCACGAATTTACCTTATAGGGAAAGACTATATTGTTTAAAATTCAGTCCAGTTAAGCTAAATTGATGAAATATGATGGATATAAAGGTACTTTTTTGATGAATTTTTTTATTTGAACACGTTTGCTGAATGGAAACAAACACAAACTTTAAATTGGAGGATTTTCCTTGAAAAATTTGATTAAATAAAGGATTTGTAACTTGTAACATTGATGCCCTCATGATTTTGAAATCTATGGAGCTTCTGTTTTTGAAACTTCGAATCTTTTTTATTCTATCACAATCATCAAATGTGGGGTAGTGATTGACAAATGATTAATTTAGTGACTCGTTTACTAATCTTTACTATGTAAATTATGACAAATGATTAATTTAGTGACTCGTTTACTAATCTTTACTATATAAATTATTTGGAGGATCTTCTATCGTCTCCTTAAATAATTATGTCCATCCATCGTAACATCGTTTTCGAGGAAAAAATAATATATTATTGCAAACCTACCATTGGTTGCATTCTTCTTTCGTTGCAATGAATGGTCAACCCAAATTTTGTAGCCATACAATAAACCAATGAAGTCAACACCTCCAATAGCTGGAGTTCTTTTTTACTGGTAACTAGTTTTTCCACGGAAAATTCCTTTCTTTTTCTATCAACTTGGTACGGAATTCTGGATTAGATCTCATATATTGAATACATATTATTAGTTTTAATTTTTTTAAAAAATTAAATAAAATAATTTCTTGTAAATACATTTTTCATGATTTTTGTTCAGATTCAAACATTAGATAATAACACGATAATAAAAATTCACAGGAACACAGAAAGCTAATTTCTTGTTGATTCATTTCATATTGACTGTAAGCAAAAACTAAAAAATGGACTAAGTAATTTCTAGTGAATATGTTTCACGTGCCCTTCTTTCCTGACCAACCTCAATAGATTATCTTGCAACGCGCTTACGCTCGCTATTAATCAAAACCAAGTGCCTAATTAATGCTTGTATTGAAAGGAATCTACTCCAAAACCAACCCTCTTCACATATGGCGTATCTATACATCACAAAGAACTTGTTTTCGATTCAATACTAATTACTTGCCGTTGTAAAAAGAATCAAGACAGATCCCTCAGTTAAGTTGATTCTGTCCTAATCATGCAATGCTGTCAAAACTAGAAAGTTCAGCCACGCTATAGGATCTTAATATATATATATATATATATATATATATATTGGAAGGAATTTGGATGGTTTCGTATGAAATATTATGAGAAGTAAGTTTGTTTTCATATCAAACAATTCTTATTTAATTTAGGGAGGTTTGTCTAAAACTCGACAGAAAAGGGATTTGAACACAAATGATGTCTTTGAGCGAGCATTTTTTTTAAGAAAAAAATCATTTATTATTAAAAAGCTTATCCAAATGTGAAAACACCTTAGTTAGAAATCCTGTTTATGTTATTCTAGTTGTTGTCATCATTATTATTTTTTGCGAAGAAGAATCAAGGAGCCCTTTGGGCTTTTATTTTATAGATATCGACAAAACAACTATGACGCAACTTGTCCGTGACTACAGGGTCAACTTTAGTATCTTTCAATTTTCCTTGAAAGAATAACCTCTTTCATATTCGCATTTTCTTGTGTCCATCTATACCTTCGAACCCAGTTAAGTATTCAAACTTGTTGACCTCAAATTTATTTATTGGCAAAACATTTTATAGGTAGTAGATTCCAGTACATTCCCCGTACGTTGTGGTAAGGGAAAGCGTCTGTATATCTAAAAATAGGCAAGGCACTTCTATATATGCATGTATGTTAAAGGGTTCGGAGTGTGGAAAGCACAAGATGTTGAATTCTAATTTGAAGAAGACGGTTTCTTCTCCTTCTTCTTCATACGTTGTTTTTGCTGTTTTGTTCTTGGTTTTTAATGCGGCTGTGTTGTGTCATGGAGGCAAAACCAGTAGTTTTGTTAGGAAAGTGGAGAAAACTATAGATATGCCTCTTGATAGTGATGTTTTCGAAGTCCCTCCTGGCTACAATGCTCCTCAACAGGTGTGTTCTTTTTTGTATTTTTTCTTTTCAAGTTATTTACCAGTCCCTTTCTTGTTCTTTTCAACAATGAATCATGATAGTATATATATTGATTAAAAGTTTAGCTTTTCTTTTTATATTTACACTTTAGGTGGGTTTGTCAATTAACAAAGGAGAAGTTTTAATTTTTTCAATGCAAAAATGAATTTTAAATCTTTAATTCTTTTTTATTTCTTAGAATTCTGGGGAATATCCTTAGACTTTTGTCGATTTTAGAAGTAGTGAGTGGACTCCCCTTAATTTCTTGATATTTGGATGGTTCTGAATACAGGTTCATATAACACAAGGAGATCAAGTGGGGAAGGGAGTCATAGTGTCATGGGTGACCGCTGATGAACCAGGTTCAAATACAGTGATTTACTGGAGTGAAAATAGCAAACAAAAGAAAAAGGCAGAAGGCAAAGTTTATACCTATAAATTCTACAATTACACCTCTGGCTACATTCATCACTGCATCATCAGAAACTTAAAGGTGAATATTTAAATTTTCTGATATACTATTTGGTATCCATTTTGCTTCACTGGCAGCTCCCCTGTTTATGTTCTGTTTTGTATAGATACCTTGTAGTTTCTCAATTAAATTAGTTGAGAATTTGGATTTTTAATTGAAAATTTTCACCTTTTTGTACAAAATTAGAGTATGGTTTTGATTATTTGACTTCTCGTGGCAGTTCAACACCAAATATTACTATGTAGTTGGGGTTGGGCACACCGAAAGACAATTCTGGTTTACCACTCCTCCTGCAGTTGGTCCTGACGTCCCGTATACATTTGGTCTCATAGGTATGCATAGCTTGCTGTGGTTTCTGTTTGCTTATATTATGGGCATTATGGTTTAGACAAACCTGCGGTTTGCTTCTGTATTTGTCTATGGATGAATGATTCTTTGAGTGGATAGGATTTTCTTGTTTTTAAATGTGCTCTTGTCTTCATTGTTGGGATTTATTTGCAGGGGATCTTGGTCAGAGCTATGATTCAAACAGAACACTTACTCACTATGAAAAGAACCCAACAAAAGGGCAAGCAGTTTTGTTTGTTGGAGATCTCTCTTATGCCGATAACTATCCAAATCATGACAATGTCAGATGGGATACATGGGGAAGGTTTGTAGAGAGAAGTGTTGCTTATCAGCCTTGGATATGGACTGCAGGAAATCATGAGATTGATTTTGCCCCAGAAATTGTAAGCATCCCATACCATAGTTTATCATCTAATCAAGCATAATATCTTCAACATTGCTAAATATGTAAAGGCGACATGAGATGGTATCTTCTGTTCTTGTTATTTTCTTCTGGGTAGAAATGCTTCATCTTACACCATTCAGATAATCCACGGATTCCAATATCCTTTCAGCTTTGTTCTCTTAGAAATTGTTAATTTCCATTTTCAGGACTGCTTCTTAAAGCCAAGCCTGACTTTATATCATCTTTCTTGCCAACTAACTTTAAGGCCAGTGCCTTAATTTAATCATTGCACTCGGTGTTGCTGCTTTTGAGTTTTGATGCTTTGTGTTTTATGGTTTCGTCCACATTTTTCCACATGTATGTTTGATAAATGTGCAGAAGCTGCTGGAAAAGCAAATTCATAACAAAAGAATCTATTGTTTTTGCAGGGTGAAACTAAGCCTTTTAAACCTTATACTCACCGCTACCATGTGCCTTATAGAGCATCGCAAAGCACTGCTCCTTTTTGGTACTCAATCAAGAGGGCTTCAGCATACATCATTATTCTGTCTTCATACTCAGCATATGGTAAGGGTTTTACTTCTTTCAGAAGTCCTAATAGAATGAATGGAAGATTCAGTATGTGTATGTGCTTGATAGAACTTGTTTTCATCCAACATCGGTCCCAGCCATCTTTTTGTTGACAAAATGTCTAATGCATATATGGCTTTGAAAAATTTATGAGATGATTGTATATTTCATTGCTTATGGAAAGACGTTGGAAATCATGATTTGTACACTATTTGTATTTAGTGTAATTGGTAACCATAACTCCTGCAATGTCATCATTTTGAATCCTGCGTTCAGATATTTGGAAAATAAGTATAATTCCTGCATTTCCATGCTATGTTCAAATGTCTATTACTCCAGTGATAAAATTCCATAGTCGTATACCAGTACTTACATTATTACTTTTTTTTTTTTTTCTCTATCATGTTTTTAGGTAAATACACTCCTCAATACAAATGGCTTGAAGAGGAGCTACCAAAAGTTAATAGGAGTGAGACACCATGGTTGATTGTTATTATGCATTCTCCATGGTATAATAGCTATAACTATCATTACATGGAAGGAGAGACCATGAGAGTAATGTATGAGCCGTGGTTTGTCAAGTACAAAGTTGATGTTGTGTTTGCTGGTCACGTTCATGCCTATGAACGATCTGTAAGTGTCCCTTATAGCTTATAAATCACGTGATCAGGTTCATGTTTCTCTTGAAATGCTTTCTTTCCACTCCCTGGGGATGTCTATTTTAAATTTTCTCAAAACCTCGGAAGTTTGTTAAAGAAATCTTAGTTTGGCTTCAGTTTTGGTTTTGCTACCATATGACATTGAATGAAATTCTCCGAACTACAAGTTACTGAAGAGAACTTCCAGTTTGTTAGCAATCAGAAAGAACCATCAGATTCTAGATTTTGAATGTGAACTCTTTATCAAGGTAAAACTCGGCGCATCTCCTGCCTGTAACCACTGGTTTATTGTCTCTGCAGGAGCGCATATCCAACATTGCATACAACATAGTAAACGGAAAGTGTGTTCCGGTAAGGGATCAGACTGCCCCAGTTTACATTACCATTGGCGATGGAGGAAATCTTGAAGGCTTAGCAACAAAGTAAGAAAATTGAATAGATGAACTCATCTCTCCTGATATATGCCTTCCAATTTGCTTGCATAGTTAAATATAATGTGGTCTCGTTATCTTGCAGCATGACATATCCACAGCCAGAATACTCAGCATACCGCGAGGCCAGTTTTGGTCATGCCATTTTCGATATTAAGAACAGAACCCATGCTTACTATGGCTGGCACCGCAATCAAGATGGATATGCTGTGGAAGCTGACACCATGTGGTTTTACAACAGATTCTGGCATCCGGCCGATGATTCAACAAGTTCCGAATCGTGATGACATAGTTCTTTAGTTTCCTTCATTTCCTGGAATAAAATTCCCATATAGACCACAAACCTTCCCTGGCCCCTTTCTAGGTCAGCGTTTGTGACTAAAAACCTTGTGCAGATCACAGCAAAATACACCTAAAGTGTAATTCGTGCATTGTAAAATGCATCATAATAATCTAGTTTTACCTTTTTGTAGTTCAATCTTGTACTTCTTCTTCTCAATTCTCAGCTATCTATTCTCTTTGCTCCCTACCATTATTGAAAAGGAAATGAATCCAAAAATGAGTTATTCGAGTTTATCCAAATCAAAGGGCAATTTATGTTCTCAATCTCATGCTCGTATATTTACGATAATAGTAATACTAGTAGCTAAGAAATTAACGTGTAATTTGATGTTAAAAACAAGAAATTGTTTTGAGTGTATGGATGCATAAAAAAAAAAAAAAGAATTTAGAACCAGAACAAGAATAAAAGAGAAGAAAAGAAAAAAACTTTTTTTGACTTCCACAACTGCACCTACGATTCGTGGAAAATAAATCCACCCGACGTGAGCAACACCCAGTCCAGGCTCCAGATCGAGTATCCAAAATTGAAAATCCAATTAAAAGGGTAAAAGCTGGGTTACGGATAAGTAAGTAAATTCTTATGAAAAAAATCAGTATTTTATATCGAAGCCGTAACAAAGTCATGCTGCCTTTACAAAAAAGTCCCTGCATCTCTTCTATCTGAAAGGCGTCAACTTCAATCCATCACCGATTAACGACGGCCTTCCCTAATCCCTTCCATATAAACTCAGCGGATTAGCACCCTCTCCAGTCTCTATCTCCTCCTTCAAACATTCAATAAACCCCTGCGCACAGCAAAATATTACGATTTCTAACGTTCTCACAAGTTCTTCTATCTCGCATTCCTCTCTTCCAATGAAGAATACATCGGAACTTCAATAAAATGGCGGAGCAGGAGAAGGAGCCAATAGATAACAACAACGACAACAACAAAGAAATAAACAACGGCTCAACAGAATCTAACAACAATGAGAATGATAACAATAAGGATAAAGAGACGGAGAAGAAAAATGTAGATCCAGAATTGTTCAGCTGTCAGCTTCAGCCTGTTACTTCCGATTCCGATCCTGATTACATCGGCATTCGCCGTCTCCTTCTTTATCGAAAGGCTGAGTCTGGTGTTTATCGCCGTCTTGTATGCTCTCTCTCTACTCTACTTGTCCTTTTGAAACTTACTGATTATTATTATTATTAACATTTTCGCGTTTTAATTTTTATGCATACTGCGTTATTTTGTTTTATAATTACGTAATTGATAGATTTAGTGGTTTGGATTAGAAATTGTTGATGGATGGAGCTTAGTTTAGGAGAAAATTATTGGTTAAACTAGCCTTTCTGCCAATCAAGTATCGAGATACTGTATTTTTTTTACTTTTCTTTTTCCTTTTAAGTTCATGTAGATACATATTGGCTTAGGTATTAGAACTCATTTTCTCTTAATAGAGTAGGCGTGCCTTTACTGAATTTTATCAATCGAGGATCTGCCATTGTAAGAATTTGGAATACTTCCGATTGGTTCGAGCTCAAATGGAAGTTCACTGTTGTGTGGATGTTGCGGCATTGATACAAGTTTAATCAACATTTTCTATTTAATTGCATTTTCGGATAACTTCGCATTGTTACGAAAAGATTATGCCTCAATTTAACAGTGAACAACACGGATTTAGTTTAGTAATGTTGCCTTTCAAGTGACGCTTTGAGAATGTTCTAAGTAACAAGTACCCAACTGGTTTCTTCTGTGATGCCTTCTTCTTTCGTGTTTTTTTTTGTTTTCTTTGAGGAGAAGTTTCGAGTATTCTAGTTTTGACTCATGAATCCTTTTATTACCTATGAAATGGAAAGTAAAGTCACATTTCTTGCAAGTAGTAGCATGACTGCACAAATGAAATTTAACCAATTTCTTCTACAAGTTCATGTGAAATGCCATTCTGGTTTTTGTTGAAGGATTGGAGATGCAATGGAAAAGGGTATGTGAGCTATCGTAATTACATTCGCAGGCCAAGAAATTGGGACAGTTTGCCAAGCCACCAAAGCACTCCAGGAAACAGGTTGCTGATACTTTACTTCAGTGCAGCTATTTGTGTATATCGGTTGACATCTTATACTGACTGAGTTATACTCACACACTTGTACACCATAGGTTTAGAAATTGTTCCAACTACCTGACATTTGACTTGCCTTATATCAAAGGAAATTTCTATTTATCTAGATGAGCTAGAGATAATGTTAGCTGTGCTCTTTCTGCTGTTTGGCTGCTTTTTTGGCAACTGCTGAAGTTCCTAATGTTATTTGCTTTTACTTTCTATTGGGAATTGTCATGAACTTTTATAAAAATTGCACTTCATGAGTTATGACTTCTATTTTAAATCTATTTCTCTATACAATTCTGACATCAGGGTAATTTACTGGTTGATGCATCAGTGGGCGTTTGCTTCAACCTACGAGTTCACTCTCCCATTTGTTCGAGGTGGACAGCTGGACTTCCAGCCGGGTATGCCTCAGTTTCTTGTGGACTTTCTTTTGGTACTTAGAACTTTTATTTGTACCTCTGACTGCATTTTGTGCTTCTGCCACAAATCCTAACCAGTTTCCAACAGTTGGAATCCTTACAACTGAGAAATCCTCTTTTAAAGCCAGTAATTTAGTTATTCAAGGAACCTACCCTTCCACTGGCACCTTCCCCTATCACCAACTGTTTCCAACGTGTTTGATATTTGACATTCGTCTGATCTGACAATTTATGCATTTCACTTTCATGTTAACTCATCAATTTATGCATTTCACTTTCATGTTAACTCATCAGCCTTAGATTTAATTGCTGAAAGCAGTATTTTACCTGAGCAGAAAGTAAAAGTTACATGATAAGATAGAGGTAAAGACTCTCTCTCTCTCTCTTTTTTTTTTTTTTTCTTTTCCGGCTTACAAGGGAAAGAAATGCAAAAAATCCATGTGAGTATAACTACTAACTACTTTTCTTTTGCTCATTCCACCCCTTCTCTTCATGTTCTACTTTAGCTTCCATTCTGTGCCAAGAACCAGCTATTTAATTTCTTGTGATTTTTAAGTTCTTGATTATAAATTTGAGGCTATTTGCATGGCAAGAACAGCAAAGCTCTACATCTTTGATTTGTCATTCTTGCATGTAATTATGAATTTCATTTGCAGGACCTGCGAAGTATCAATCCGTCTTCTACTCACAGAACAAGTTTCAGCTCAACTGCAAGCGATAATGATTCCCTACATCACCGAGGGGCTGAACCTGCATATTCTTTTGTAGGAATGCATTGCATCTTTGATCAATGCAAAGCTGCTGGTATTTCTTTAAGTCACCAATATAGGCTTCTTTCGTTTCTTGTCAAATTGCACTTTGAGTGGTTAATTTATCTTCTTACACTAAGCATCCTCATTGTTCTTATATGCAGTTACTGTTTTGAAGTTTGGACACACGAGTTCTGATTTACTTGCATATGGGGCATCGGATGGAACCTTAACTGTGTGCACTGTCTCAGAGCCACCTTCAGTCATCAAAAGATTAGAGGGCCATTCTAAAGATGTCACAGGTTTGATTAACTGGTATTGTTTCTATGGTCTTTTCTTATATTTTGGGTCCAAAGCTATTTGTTTGTGTGGGTGTGCTTTCACAAGTTGCCATGATCGAAGACATGATTTCACATTCCATTATAATTTAGACAATGGAGTGGCACGAAGGAAGTCCTATGCCTAAGAAACAATCCCTTGGTTTGTATTAAAGAGACACTGTACTCTAGTATTGAGCGCAACCTTTGGTATTAGTGTGATAGATCGAGTGAAAGGCAGTCAAGTATCTTTTAGGTGAACAACTAGAAATGGAAATGAAAACACGATGTGCGACATTCAAAAGTACAAACCGATTAACGTCGAACCTGCTTAGTAAATTTATTTGTGTAAGACTGGACTGTATGAACTACATTCTTCCTGCGAGTATTGTGTTCTTCCCAGGTTTTTGTGAATTAAAGTTTTGATTACTCTGAATGTGGTTTATAATCAGTTCCACACATCATCGACTATCTCTAAGGTTGAGGACACTGGTTTAACTATGAATACTTGCGTAAGCGTGACTATTCCTCCACAGGCATGCTCTAAGAGGAGTCATCAGAGAGTAGTGCAAATCTTTAGTTTCTATATCCAATGTAATCTCACGAAGGGTGCTGCTAATTGTTTTGATTGAGTGCAAGTTTATATTTATTGCCATCATTGCCACATTTCCAAGTCAGAAAAGTACTTGCAGATTTCGACTTCTCATCCAACAATCAGTACATTGCATCAGCATCCATGGATAAAACTGTGAGAGTATGGGAGTTGTCAAAAGGAATTTGCATTCGAGTAATATATGGAGTCTCTTCACAATTGTGTATTCGTTTTCATCCTGTAAGTATGCACTGAAGCACCGAAGCCTCTCTCTTTCTCTCTCTCTCTGAGCAGTGTGTGCATGTGCCTGTATTTGATCATCTGACCTGGAAATGTTACATAAATAATATGTTCTATTCACCCTTCACGACTCAATTGGCCACTAAATTTTTCTCTTTTGTCTCCATCAATGCAGGTAAATAACAACTTCCTCTCAGTTGGCAATGGAAACAGAGAAATTACAGTAAATACCATTTTCCTTTTCTTGCTACATCATATCACATTTACATGACTAGCTGTATTCACTCATATTGTTCTCTCATAATTGATTGGATATGAGAAAGCTTCTACAACATTTGATGATTTAAAATAGATGGATCCTTCTCACTTCTTAATCAGTTTGAGAGGTTACCAACTTCTTTATGTGCAAGCTTTCATGTTGATGCATTTCAAATGAGAATCTCTATACTTGTGATCATACTTGGTCATGTAGTGGCAAAAACTTTTGATAATTCTACCCTACCCTTCAGTTTTTCACTTTGATTAATTCCACTTGATTCATAGCACTTCTTTATTGATATACCAGGTATTCAATTTCAGCACTGGCAGGATTATTAGTAAATTGGTGCTTGACGATAAGGTTACTGCTTTGGACCATGATCACACTGGTCACCTCATTTTCTGTGGGGATGCACAGGTGACTCTTCTGTAAAGATACATTACATAACCATCACCATTGGATGACTTTTTGTATTACCTTCTTAGATAACTAGTCATCGAGCTATACATGCAGGGATGTGTATACTCCACAAGCATGGACTCACACACAGGTGCGTTGTCTCGGTCTCATCGCTTTCGAAGTAGTGGCAAGAGCAAATATCCAACAACAACTGTACAGTACAGGAGTTTCTCTCTGCTAGCTGGAGGCCCTGTGTTGCTGACCTGTACTCAAGACGGAAGTTTGTCTTTCTTTAGGTTTGTACCTCAGACAAGTCTTATGCTGTTAGGTCTTGTAATTTGAAGTAATTTGAAGTTAGAGGATGTTATGCTGGTGTTGCAGTGTTGCCTTGGAAATAAAAGGTTATCTGACACTTCGTTGCACACTCAAATTGGCTCCACGAGTACATAGCATCAGAGCTTCTTTCTGCCCCCTGCTTTCCCTTGAAAAAGGAGAATATGTAGGTTTGTATTTTATTACTGCAATCGAGGTTCTAATATTTGGTCACTTATTATTGATACATATGAACTTGGAATCCAACTTAAAAGCTTACGCAAAAACATGCTCACTTGCAAAACTTTTTCTTATATCAATTTCATATTATATCTATGTATTTATTGGAAAATTTGTTGTGGCAATGAAATGTAATGTATTTGTTGGCCATCATATGCTTCATTAGTAAGACTATTCTCACTTTCTACACTTAAACTTTTATGTTCTCTTCTGCAACTATCCCACAGCCTCCATGCTCTTTTTCTCAACTTTCATACAGCCCCTGAAATTTTCTGCAACATTTGTTTCTAACCACCGCACCTTCCTGCAATACATTTTCAAGAGAATCAACATAGAGGGTGAGAGTTGATTGGGAAGCCTGAAATTTCTGTTAAAATTGTGAGGTTTTGTTCTAGAATTGAGTGTTTGCATAACCTCCAATAGAATCTGAAGCTTGATATAGTTTGGAACAGTAATAACTGTTTTATCTATACTGAAATGTGTTTTTTTTTTTTTTGTTGCGTGACATGAAGTTGCTGGAAGTGAGGATTCAAACGTATACTTCTATGATTTAACTCGGCCAAAGCATACATGCGTCAACAAGCTACAGGTCCCTCTCTCTTGCAGACTGGGTTTTGATGCTTCACTATTTCACCAATATGCCCTCACCATAATGAGCATTTCTGACTGCAGGGTCATCGCTTTCCAGTTGGTGATGTTGCATGGAACCACGGGGAGAACTTACTGGCTACATCCGATCTTTATGGCATCGTTATTGTATGGAAGAGAGCAAAGACATGACAAATATAAGCGGTAGCAAGTCTTACACTCTCCAGGAATAAGGAAGGAAATTTAACTTCATCATTCTTTTGTGACTGCTGAGCCATTCATGCATAAGATTTCATGATTCATTGTATCAGAAAGTGAAAACTGCGCGTCATTGTTTGTATTAAATTTTATACTCATCAGTTAACCATCTGCTTGTATACGACATTGAAGAAGCCTACATGAAAGTGAAATAGATCATGGTTGGTGTTAAATAGTATTTTGCACATATTTTTTGGTAGGCAAATGACCAAACAAGCGGAGGCCACTTGAAGCTACTAAAGCGAAACCGACGACTTTTATCTTAGATTCCAATTTGAAGCGTCTTCTTTGATGATGTGATCGCTAAAAAAACATAGGAAACAGTAGGACAAAATGCCAAATTCTTGGTAACTAGAATTGTTTGAGAGTCTTGTTTCCAATTCCAGAGTCGCAATCTGAACTATTTTTGTTTTGTTCAGTGGTGCTGTTGGACGGTTTTCATTATTCAGCGTAAGTATTTGAAGAAGGCCTACCGAATACCGATAATTATTCTATAAAAAGAGAGAATGTATCCTATGCTTGGGAACGAGGATTCTATAAAATTGCCTGGCTTTAGACTTTAAACTTAGTAGCCATGGAAAAGTCTTGACAATGAAACGAACCTTCTCTTATGTTCGCGATCAGAAACATGTAAAGGTGATATACATTTTAACTGGCCACTAGATTGAATAAGCTTTCATTTCGTTGTCTGTCTTATTTATCCTTCAGGGAATGTCAACGAAACGAAATCAGAAAGGAAATCCGTTGCTCGTTGGGAAATTGTTGTCTACAAGTTGAACTTTTTTTATCTTTCTTTCAGCAAATATTTCATGCTTCCTTGCATTTGCATTACAATTAAGTTAGTTAATGCTACTCTCTAAAATGATATGATATAAAATTCAATTCCTTGCGACAGCGGTTTAGCAATAATCCTCTACGCAATGCAACAACTTTTTCCTATTTGTCCCCAACTAGTGAGATTCCAGAACAAGTGCCATGGTAGAGGCATAAAGACCCGCGTATCTATTAGCTTTCCCAACAAGTTAAAATGGTTTGGATTATACACAACCCTGGTTTATAAACAAGAAACCAGAGTGAGAAACATGTACATAATTACATAAACTACAAACAACCAAACACATCCTCGACAGGGTTACTAACCCTCAAACCATATAAACATAAAGATTTCCAGACAAGGTTGCCCCCTGCCATTAACTCAGAAATACAACAGCTTGTGATGCAGATATCTTTGCCTCCGTGTTTGCTTGAAGCCTAACCAAGGTTAAAAAGAGACCTCCAGTTCCTCTGCTATCATTATACATCAACATCTGTATTTTATTTACTTTATCACCTTCGGCGCCTCTTTGTTTCCACCTGCAAGAACACCATGGCAAAAATTTTCAATGATCAAATAAATTCATCCTTCCTGTATTTCGGGTTATCTGCCATTTGCATGCAACTTCAAACTGGATCCTTTTCTATGTTGGAATTAGAGAATCCTCCATTATCATAAGACAACAAGAAGCTACCATAATTAACATGAAAAAAACTCTTCACTCTGAATTAGTACCAACAGAAAAGCAATCGGGAAAACTAAAACGCTCTTGGCATGCCAAGTGACTTTTTTGCCTTAATGTCACATGCTTTCCCATTTGCCAGACATGTACAGATCCACCATTATGCTTAAACTCTTGGCAAAGCCCCACGGGCTTTCTAGTATGAGCAACAAAAAATTCAGTCTGGTATTTATCCCAGGATGCAAAATATATCTAATCGACAATAGGACGTTTGATTTTATGATTCATTCTTATTCAATAGTATCATAAAAAATATATTTTAATACTAACGGGTCAAGAAAAATAAGTCTCACCCTCGCTTCTCTCCATCTCTAGGCACACATGCATGGGTCAATAGCTGATTTTTGGAGTAAATTTATTGTCAATGCATCTTAAACATTACAAAATCATAATACAATTACATTCATTAAAAATCCAATGCAATTACACATCTATTAACACATAAAACATATAAAAGGTGACAGATAGAAAAAAAATACTATGATCAAAAGATTATTAAGATATACAAGTCAACTTGAGTCCAGCAAAAACAAGAGTTTGGATGACAAAAGAAGACTTCAAAACATATTCTTCAGTAAATGGAAATACCTTCGCATCTGATTGTCTGGTATTATGTGAATTCTGCAACTTCTTCTGGCCTTCAGATGAACAATTCTCACAGAAGAAATGATCAAGTCTTTTAGCTTCCTCTGCATTCATTTCTATACAAGCAGGATGAAACCTGAATCAAAAGGTAGTATGCTGAATGATGCATTCTTTTCCCAATGTAATTGCATAAAATGGATATGTCTGCAGCAAAAAAGACATTAGGTAAAAAAGTCCCCAAGAATATGCAAGCCAACCACTTAAGGAAAGGCATTTGAGCCATAAGTCTCTATAATGTTGATGTCAACTCTTTCTGAACTAGGGTCATGCATATAAACTCAGACCTCCATTTAAGAAGATCCTTAAAAGTGAACATTAGAAACAAATTTCACGATCAAGGCATGTCTCTCCAATCACATGCCACAGGAAATATGGAAAAGAGAAGGGAAGAAAACATGCAAGCAAAACATAAAATGCAAGGTTTTCTTTTTCTTTTTCTTTTTCTTTTTTTTTTTCGTGACAACTTTTTCCCATTCTTATCAATATCAAAGAGTCCTGTTTTCAGCTCCAAGTAGAGAACAAATTATCTGTTCTTGGCATGAACGTTTCACTCCTACAACAGAAGGCACAAATGCACATATGCATATATTTTGGAGAATCGCAGAGTGGCTGTGATTACTTAACAAGAAAAATGTAAATTACTTTCTTTACAGCATGTCAAATCAACTTCAAAATAACTGGACAAAATATTACTGTAATCCAAGTTTCAATTGTAATCTCTTCCAATGGCAGAGTGACTTTGCAGAGAAAATCGAACGCCTATTCCCCTCAGTTTGAAGGCAATTTGATGAAAAAAACTGATAATTGGAAACATGGTGTTATGAATCTAATTATTGCTTTCTCACGAAAAGAAAAATCAAATTATTGTCCCATTAACAATTAGGAAAGCAAGCTGCACAGTTATCTAACTAGCTAAAACTTACAAGCACCCAACTAATCTGGCATTGAAAATATCACCTAGAAAATTCCAAACAGCATCAAACTAAGGCCCGGAAAGTGGGTTCAAACAAACTAAATGATCTCAAAAGCATACAACTTACCAATCACTACAGCCTTCACACTGAACCATCAAGTCATCCGGATTGTAAGGCATCTCACATTTACAATACCTGCCACACCAAAACCAATTCATAAACCGCCTAAAAAACAAAGCCCATCAAGACATTTACTTACAAACATTAATTTAATCCTAAAATAAAAATATCCAATCCAAAACCATTAAACCACAATTATCAAGCTAAAAATGTCGAATTAATAGCATAATAATGAAGCTTAAGTTGCAAAACACACTGAATTAAGCTATAAAAATTCACATTAAAACATTTATTCGAAACTCAAATTAATCAAGACAAAAGATTAGCTTCTAATTATAAGCACGAAAGAAAGAAAGAAATTTTGAGGCTTACACGGCAACTCTATCAGGATTAAAAGCCCCAGTAGACGAATTATACTCAAAACGACAAAAGAAATCATCGTTTCCGACAGCATCAAGCTTCGTATAACTCTTGAAACTATGAACCGTACACTTTCCTTCAATAGTATCTGCACTCTGAATATCATAATGATCGGAGAGAAAAACCTCCTTTGAGCCATGAAACTGCCGGCGGCCACCAATTGATTCCTCCGGGCGATAATACCACCGCACATGTACCCTGGCGTTGAGTCCTCTACCGTCGGATTCGATCCGCTCAACCTTTGCCACGTATGAGGGCTTCGACGGATCCGATGGTCGCATCAACACGCAATCTCCGGCTACAAAAAGGAAAGAAAGAATGAATATTATTTTTATTTTTTCAGAGGAGAGATTAATTAATTGAAAAATAAAAAAGGGGTTTTGGGTAGGGAAGGTGAAGGAGTTACGTTTAATGATTTTGTTGCTGGGTTTAACAGTGTAGGAGTCGAGCGTGCGTCTCGTTGCTTTAGCTTTAGCCATGGAAGTAGTGTGTGCAAACAAGGTCATGCACAAAGACAAGAACGAGAATGTTGAAGAGAGAGAAGATAAATTAACACAAAGGTTGTCCCTTTTTCTTTTATAATTTTTTATTTTTCTGTAACTTTCTAGCCGGAGACTAAGATTTGCTGTTTCGTTACTATATTTGCTGTATAAGTCCATTATTTTCTTTGTCAAATAGATCCATCCCATCCGGGTTATGGAACTGGAAGCCCGTCGATAAATTTATTTATTTTCTAACCCTTTTACTGTTATATGCAAATGTTATAGATTTTTTTAACTGTGTTAGATTAAAAAGAATAAATTATGACATTTATTTAATTTGATGTGAATTTAATTATGTAAATTTTTACATTTTTTCATGTCTTAAACAGATCAATGATTTCATATATAATTTTTGTATTTTTTTATGTCTTAAATTGATCGATACTTTCATATACGATGCAAATTAATAAATTTACTGAAATAAGGTCTTATTCAGCTTTAAAAATAAAAAATCAAGTGTCTCAAGGGCGTTTATTAACTTTGCCTAATATGTAAATATAAAAATTATATATGAAATTATCGATCTGTTTAAGGCATGAAAAAAAATTGTAAAAATTATATATGGAACCATCGATATGTTTAATGCTATGTTTACTAACTTTACCTAATATGTAAATAGAGCAAAAATAAGGGATATTTTTGGGAGGGAAAACGAGGGGTGGGTAAGAATCCACATAAGCATGCTATAGACTTTTGGTGAATTTTTTGTGTGGCAGATACAACATAAAGCTTGATTTTTTTAAGTTTAGTTTGTTGGAAGCGTGGAGTAGTTTCAGGTTATGTTTGGCTGGAGACTGGCAAGACACAATTAAAAAATGGTTGTGTTTTGATGGCTGTCCCTGATACTTCCATGTCAATTATTCAGGTGTTGCTGTTTCTCTGCTAATTTCCCACGTCAAGTTCAGGTTGGTGTCTTTGGTATCGCCACGTCATCGTTCTGAAAATATATGTCTCTAAACCCAACAGCATCTGCATCTTCCGGTTCTGAACTTGTCAGAACCAATCACATGGTTCAATTTCTTAGAATTTGCTTATATACATATATATTCAGAATTATAAAATGGTTAAATAACAAAAACTTTTTTAAGATATCATTAAATTATAGTTGGCCATTCAAAATTTTAAATTTCCTTACAAATTTAAACGAATATTACAAAAGCTCTCTTTTGTATTGAAAATATCCTTAATATTTTTTGAATCATTAGCCTTAAAAGCATGTTGAATATATATCTATAAAAATATATTTTTCTAATTTTTTTCTAACTTTTTTAAATGATCACTGTAATTATATAATATTTTGGAAGATTATTGCTTATGAATTTTAATAAACATTAATACTTAAAAGATTTTCAGGGATCACATTAGGATTTTTTTAAAAAAATTCAATTGAATGAAAAATCACGTGGAGATTTATTCATAATCTGTCGAGCGTGGGTAGGAAGAGCATTTTTTTCTAACGGCAATGGATCGTTTAAATCAGCGGTACATGATCTTATGAATTTTTCTGCTTCAATGCCTTATTTATCATCGTTCTTATCCAACAGAATACGACTGTAACAAACGAAAAGACATTCTTGGAAAAGGCACGAGGTTTTCTTGGACATAATGATGATTAGCAATAAAAACTTTAGTTGTTAGCAATAAAATACGAAAGAAATTGAAATGTTAAAGAATTATTCCGTACTGAATAAATAAAAAATATAAATTAAGAAAAGTATTTCACTAAAAAAAAAATAAGTTTTTTTAATCAAATTTACATCAGAGCATTAAAAAACTTGGCCATTCGACAAAAAAACAGATAAAAATAGACTACAAATAAGAAACAGTGTTAAAAAAAACTATTTCATATTAAATAAATAAATAATATAAAATTTAAAATACAAGTCACTGTAAAATTTAAAAATTTAAAAATCAAATATAATCTCAGCTGTTTAATTTAATAAACTTAATAATGCCAGGTATTCTGTCTATTCATGTAGGAGAAATTATTCTGTAAGAAATTAAAAAACAATCTGTTTGATTGACATATAGGTGCAGGCACCAAGAATATTGGCCTGCAGTGCCAGGTGATTGAAGAAAAAAGGAGGATAGTAATTATCACGTATCTCATGCTCTGCTCGTGAGTCATGTCAGCACATCAACTGGGCTTCAATCTGTTGACTATGATATCACCACGTCGATTGTTTGACCGTCTGATGAGGTGGAAAAATGAACCATTTTTTCTTTTTTCTCTTTTTCACACTGCTGATATATCTTCTGCTCTGTTTGGCACATCAAATTACGTACTTTTTAATCATGCTTTACACAAATTAATCCCACTCGAATTAATGGATTCGGACGACCTATTTTTTTTTGGAACTACCCACCAACTGAATCGAGTTTAAAACAGTTTGAGCCATAGAAACTAGAGAATTTAAGACTCGAGACTAAAAATTTCATCTAACATCTCATATTCAAATCCTAAGAAAATAGCAGAGACTTTTACAAATTCGAGGAGGGTTATCCTCTTGAGTTACCCATTGGACGAAGAAAAAACGTTATTTGTAATTGGAAAGTTCTTGCTTTTGCAAAACTCTCATTAGCGCGTTTCAAATGTTAATAGAGTTTTCTCACGGATCACAACATGATGTTTTTTTTTTTGGTCCGCGAGTATTCTAGAGAACCAATCCTTACACGTTTACCTTGGCTAAATAAATTACTACTCTTTTTTCCCCTCAAAAGCTAGGTTTGGCCTTTTGGAGTCGCTCGGGCTTGGGACCATTACCGTTTGTGGTCATGCCATGTTGGTTAATTCGTTAGAGGTGAATGACTAGGTGAAAAGTAGCGGGGGGACCCCAAGATTGCCAGCAGCATCAGAAAAAGACTGGGCAGTAAATGTTTTCTTCATGAATTATCAGCGAAGGGTGGGTCTTGCCCTCACCTAATAACTAGCCACTACGTACACTATAGAGGGTACCCTATAAATGGTTTTAAAGGATGGTGTCCTGCTTCAAAATACCTTCTTGAAGATAAGGGTAGGCCGGAGAAAGGTCATGGCATCATGAAAGGACTAATAAAAGCATGGAGAAGCAATCTAGGATGGTATGTCACGGCATCATGAAAGCGCTAATAAAAGCGTGGAGAATCATTTTTCTTTGACGAGGGTGTGGGTTCGAATCAATCACTTGTCAACTAGTCGTTTTACAAGAGAAATTTTTGATGCATCACCTCCAATTTCTTCAAACACTACCAACAAATTTCGAGCTGACTTCAACCATGACCTGGGAACGTGGTACCTGAAAATTCAAAAAATTAAAAAGACTTAGCTAGAACCATATATATATATTAAACTCAATCTAGAAATTCGTAAAAAAAAAAAAAAAAAAAGGGTAATACTTTACCTTCATCCGCATGTTAAACGAGTATAACGAAAGAAGCCAACAAAAATATTTTTAAAAAAATCAACACCGTTCATTTTGTGATGCCCACAGGTGGGTCCCATAAAATCAATGGTGGTGGTCATTTGTGTCTCCACCTGTATCATTTAATTCGTGATATTCTACATCAATCTATACTAAACATTGTAAGGGACGAATAATACTGAAATCTAAACGGAAAATATGTGTATAAATATGAATACTGATATATTTTTTTCTCTTAATAATAACTAGTAGGTTTTGTTTTTTTGGTTAGGAATAGTAAGTAGTAGTTATTTAGCTTAATAGTATTCAATTATTTATTTCTATAATCAATAATTACATTGAGTTATTTTCAAGTGAAAGAGTTAATGGATTCAAATTTTTTTTAAAAAAATTATGGGATCTGAAGGAAAAATATAATAAATCATTCATTATGGGATCTGAAGGAAAAATATAATAAATCATTCATTTCTATGAAGGTAAAAGCACAGGTCCTCTCAAAGTCTCAAGTCCTAACCTTGTTTGGAAAAGCCTAAAATTATAGGGTCTGAAGGAAGTTTTTACCATTTTTGAGTTGGCTGGCCACAGCCTAGTTGGCACCTTGCAGGCCGGAATGTAGCTGAATAGCTGCAGCCAGTGCAATTTCCTTTAGCGTAAACGGTCCAATATCTTCCAATGCTATGCCCATTGATCCACACTTGACCCTTACCCATACTGCCCATGTCCAAAGCCAAGGGATCATCACCTTTCGGTGTTTCAAAATAGGCCTGCAAGCCCAATTAGAAGTGTCAACGTTGACAAAAATCATTACAAGGGCCACGCTGCGCATAATTTTTTTTTTTTTTTTTGCTTTTATACCTTATACCATGTCAACGGTTGTTGTTTCCCAGCTACCAAGGACCCTCTAATCCAATCAACTGATGAAATGGAATTTGGAGATTCTAGACTCATATCTTCTCCTTTAAGCCCAACCTAAGAGGGGAAATGAAAGAGAGAAACAAAGGTGAGACGAAAGGAAAGGTGAAGAGATAATGAAAAGTGAGTAAAACTGAAGGACCTTGTATGACCATTTCTGCCAGGTCAAGTCCTTCTGCCCTCCATCTAGGCCATGGAGAATAACTGGCCCCAAGATTCCAGTGTTCCATGTCTCAAAACGGGGACCATTATTCTTCGACAACGAACACCATAGAAATCAGTTCCAAATACGATGAATGGTAATTTAAGATGTGATGTGCTGTCTTGTCCAATGTCATATATCAAATGCTACCCAAGTCTACTGTGTAGGGATTGGAGAACTTACAGGCAGTCCAACAGCTACACTGAGAAGTGAAATTCTATTTTTCCCAGCATGGAATTTCACATTTTCTGTGAAAGTGAATCTCCTTTGTTCTCTAGTCCCATGTGCAGAACCTGCAAACATTTTAGCACATTTTAGGAAACGAGATGCAGCGCATCTTATTTTTCATTTTGTTTCATTCTGAAGAAACAAACAATCGTCTTGCAAAGCATGATCAGCAATTTTACTTGGTGCATGTAAAATTCAACATTGTACCTGAAAGTTCTCCGTTGATAAAAACATGCAATGCATGCCCTGCGGACTGCACTGTCAGAATGGGAAGTCGACCTCCACGTAGAAATGACTCAGAAGAACTTATATGAACACTAGAAGCACCATGACATTGGAAAATTTTGATTGGAATAGTTATTTTTAATTTCTGTCATTAAGGGCAAAAAGGCAGAATTAATTAAAATTCACCTTGTTGTATACCACAGGTAATCGCTTGTATCTCTGGTGATATTTAATTGTTCCAGGAGGCCAGTAACTGTGATCATTTTATCATCATCGACTGATGATACGCCTTCATTGAAGGTTTCCAATGAGAGAAATTCAGAATCTGTAGGCAACATATGCACTTGGGATGTTTGAATTCCAATCTGCAAATTGAGGAATAAAATCAAATAGGTTCATTTTCACAATATATTGTGAAAAATATGTTCTATTTTTTCTGAAATCATACCGAGGAACGTATCTTATCATGGTGGTAGTGATTGCTTATATTCAATTAAGCTATGATATAGGCTGAATTGCAGTAAGATAAGAATGAACCAGTTAAAGAACAAAAGCCTTATCGTTTCCTTTTACTTACTTCTGCAGTGTTGAAAACAACATTTTTGCAATCTGAAAGGATGCTGATAGACCAAGGTGGCAGGTTGTACTGGATGTTATTGAATTTTACCCTTGCAGTTTTCTTAGTGTTGTAGTTTGACAGAAAAGCTGCACAGCCTCCAGAATCAGAAGAAAATACATGTGCCTGAACAATGTTTTATTGCGTCATCAGGGTTTGCAAAAGTAAACTCCATGGCGGTGTGCAAGTGAATTTATTTCTTTCTCACATCTTCTGCAGAGTAAACATCACAAACCTGTTCATAACTTCCCAAGGACGTGACAGTAGGATCAGCGGCAAGCAAAGCTTTTTCACATAGTTTAATAGCCTTATGGAGATCCTTCAAGTGACCATACTTAGGTTGCCTGATCAATCCTATTGAATCAGTATGCAGCTGCCATGAGTTAGAGATATATTGAAAATATAATAGTTAGATTAAGTCACACGATGATCTTAAATCTGTCACCGTATTCATCGATTGGCGCATCATAGTCATAGCTGGTGGTGATGAAAGGGCCTCCAGAAGTTCTTCCAAAGTTGGTTCCTCCATGATACTGCAAAACGTAATTTTCTTAATCATATTGATTGATAATTACATTGCTGATACAATTCGAAGTAGCACATTAAATGAAAAATCCGGCTTATGCCCCACAGGCCCATGAGGCCATAATCTATAAATTACAAGATGTAATGTTTCTTTTGACAGCGGACCTTTATGAAAGCAAGAACAATTTTGGTTAGAAACTTTATCAGATGCAAAGTTCAGAATCTTCCTTATCCTTAAAGGACGTTATTCTGCTTTTTCTTTCAGAACTAGAGGACAACAAGAAAGTAAATGCATCACTTCTTGCAACACAAAGAACTGTGAATTTTTTGAGATCAATTATTGCTCAGGGGAAATTTAGCATCAAATGTAATGGTAAATTTAGTATACTAACCATGTAGTAGTTAACCAAAGAGCCTCCCTTCTGAATGAACCGAGCAACTGCAAATGCTAAATCTGCAGCCGGGCGCTGGTGGTTTGGACCACCAAAGTCCGTGAACCTATACAAAAATACCAAATCAAACAAAAATACGCATCCCACGGAACACTTTTTAAGGATTGATGATAAGCGTGAAATTTACCAGCCAGTCCATGCCTCAGTCCACAAGGCAGGTTTGTAAGGTTTATTTGGAGAGAAATAATCACAGTAAAAACCATTGCAGGTGTTTATCTGTTGACAGGATTTACAAACAAACATGATTCAAATCCTGATAGTTAAAGCAGAAACGAGACTCACATCAAAATCAAGGGTTTTATCTGTTGACAGGTGTTTTGTCTTATCAATGCTAAATCATTGAGATGGAATAAATTTCATGGGAATACAATAGTTTCCTTACCACGGGGTCTGGAGCATCAAACTCCTTGCACATAACCCACGGAACCCCAGTATCCATTGAAATAGCCATATGTGCTGCCCAAGTCATGTATGCATGACCAGGAGCTCCAAACGCGTTGCTTTCAGGCTCATACTCATTTTCAATCTGCACAAAAGAATTTAAGAGTGTTAGAAAGAGTAAATTTAATATATATAGCAGAATTACATGGCAAAATGATTGAAGGAAAACTGTAAATCAAATGACCTGAGAGAGGATTATTGGGCCACCTTGAGACTCAAACAACTTTTCATCCTTCATCATTTGGACTATTTTTTGGGTGAATTTTTGCATTGCCAGCTGCAAAATCAAGATGATAAGATAGTAATAATCAAGTTGACATAGCCATTGGGAATCTTGCGAAATGCCAACGTATGTTCAGATAGAGAGAGACCTTGAAAGGCTCATTATCTGTCCTAAAGCTTATCCCTGGAACATACTTCAACCAAACAGGAAACCCTCTAAAACAATGAGAGACAAAAGGTTGGTAAAGAAACTCAAATCTTGAAGAACATAAATGCAACACGATCACCATCATTACCCAAAGTTCCATTCTGCACATATATATGGTCCAATCCGAAGATGCACGTAAAGTCCAGCTTGGTGGACCAACTTGATGAACCTAACCAAATTATATCTCCCCTCAAAATTATACTGAAAAGAAAGACATTACAAAAATAATCGATGTAATAACAGAAAATGCAAGAACAACTAGGAGAAAACAGAGGAAGCAAGAAAAGTACATTGCCAGGAGAAGGCTCATGAAGGTTCCAAAAGACATAAGTGTCTATAACATCCAAACCACCATCTTTAGCCTTCTGTATAAGACCTTCCCACATCTGCATTACATGTACACATACATAAAACTGCACTAGCGAAAATTGTAATAAAAACCTTAACATGGAAACATAATTTTCTTGGTAAAAATGTGATAATGGTTGTGGGAAACAGTAACCTCAGGGTTGCTTCTAGGATAGTGAATGGAACCAGATAAGAGAATTCTCCTCTGTCCATTAATGATGAGTGCCTTCTTGTCATAAGTAACATTGCACTGTATCAACTGGAGACTTATTAACAAAACTAGGCAGAAAGAAAACAACCACTTGGTAGCTGAGTTCGCTGCCATTTTCTCTTTTGAGATTGGGAAAGAGAGGAATGGGAACTTGGGAAGTCAACAAAAGAAAAGGAAAATGTGAGAAAAGAAATAATGAGGGATTTGCAAAGAAAAAAAGGTGGTTATCTTGATTCTTAACTACCCATCTGCAGCTGAACAAACAAGGGTCCATTTGTCTTCAAGTATTTTACTGCAGATAATAATATGGGGTAAAATACATTTTAACCTCTATAGTTCTACAATGTTCCACTTCTGCCCCTATTTTTCAAAATTCTCCAATATCAACCTCAGAGTTGGGAAAAAGTTCAAATTTGGCCCTTTTTGTTAAAATTTAAGAGAAAATAAGAAAAAGTGAAAGGAAAAATAGGAAAGAATGGGCATTACATTAGAAATTTAACACAGAATGATGCGTTAGAATTTAGAACTTTTGAAAATTATAGGGTTAACATTGAGAGATGTTAGCCTATATGGGAACTGAAGTGGAATATTGCTTAATCTATAGGGTCTAAAATATAATTTGCCCAACTTATGATGGTAAGGGAATATTATTGGTTCAGAAAGGGTAGATTTTGATAACGAAGAAGAGGGCAATCCCTCAAAAGCATTGCATTAACTTCTACAGAAAAATTAGAAGCGTCAAATTAAGGGGGAAAGACTGTTTTGATTTTAACCTGCTTATCTATTTATCCTCACATGACCAACAGCCCAACACGACAGACATGTGAACTCATTAACATTTAGCCTCGCAGTACTCTTTTACGTAAAAAGCAGAATGAGGGGCAGATCTCAAATCAAGTGATATCCCACATTAAAAAAAAAAAAAAAAAAAAAAAAGGACATAAGAATGGTTGTCCTGGCCATTAAACCTAAGCCAACACAACAATACAACATTTTGCAAGAACGCAAGCCGTATCTTTGTTAGGTATTTGTTGAGGGTTTAATTTTCTTAATGTTTGTGAATATCATGTTGTCCTTTTATGATTGAATCCGAAGAACCTAATCCAAATGAGAGTCCCCACCATATCCTAATATAAAATGCATGCAATGCAATGGTAAGAACCAAAAACAGAAAAAGGATATGCGTAGGTCATAAAACCTCATTCTAAGCCCTAATTAGCAAATTTGGTAACCAACTTGGACACTAACATGTCAAGAACTCAATATATATATATATATATATATATATATATATGCAAACCTGAACACATTATCCTTTATTTGAAATTGTAATTATCTTTCAGTCAGCTCTTGATTTTGAATTTATATTTGAAATTGTACTTATCTTTCAGTCGGCTCTTGATTTTGAATTTCTTCTAATCACAAATGCTAAGCTAGAATCGGTTGATGTTCCCCAATATCTGTTTTTATATTACTTAAAAAAAGAAGGATAGAAAAAACAACAATAACATCAATGATTTCACGTCGGTTGGCTTGACCCATCGGGGGCTACAGAAAATAGCAAACAGTAAAAATGCCATTAAATTCAAATGAATAGATATAGTGAAATCAGAAAAAATGCTGTTAGATTCAAATGAATAGACATAGAAAAATCGCGGATAAACTATTTATTTTGAGGGAAAAAAACAGATATAAATAACAAAGAAAAAATCACATTTTGATTCATTAAAAATGATAAAAATATTTTTTTTTTTGGGTTCTATTTTATTTTCTCCTACTTTTTTTTATATATTAATCTACTTTCTATAAAATAAATATTAATAATTACTCTATTAATATTTTAAAATTTTTCGAATGGTCACATTTTTCTCTAGGTCTCTACAGTGTGTGATTCAATCTAGATGAGTGCCTTTTTGAAAAATATGGACTCTTGGTGTGGCCCGCATTGAATTTATTTTGAGGAAAAAAAACAGAACAGGTATAAAAAACAGAGAAAAAAAAAGCACATTTTGATTTATTAAAAATGATAAAAAAAAAATTATCCTATTTTTTCTATAAATTTATCTAACTTCTATAAAATAAATACTAATAATTACTCCATTAATATTTTAAAATTTCTGAATACAAATGAGTGTCTTTTTGAAAAATATGGACTCTTGGCGTGGCCCGCATTCAAATGCGCAGATGAGGGGGGCCATTGATTTTTGAAAGTTGATAATATTAGAGGGTAGAAAAAGAATGTAGAGTTTATTGTCAATCAATGGAAATTCCATGTTTTAAAAGTTGGCAAATGAGGAATTCATCTTATTATATCAGCAGTGGAGTGATTTTTAAGCATCTGTTTTTGTTCATGGCCATTTCCCACTAGAAATAGACAAATCTCGGTGCCATCATGATCATACTAACCATGCACTATTACATAACAATACGGAGACCGAAAGTACATAGCAGAAAATGACGTCATGATCCACCATATAGCAATTGTCTTCCCTTTTAAGAAAAGGACCGTAATACAGTGAAGTGCTCTATCTCTCCATCATTTCCTCCTAAATTTACCTGACTAATTTCAACTTGATTTACTTTATTTTTGTCATGGCCGGCTAGCTTTTATCATGAAAGTTCTCTTTAAATGTCTTTACTGTCAAATAAAATAGCTTTAATAGACGCTACTACTATCAATTATTACATTGATTTTTGGACGGTAATGAATTCTCTATTTGTGAATTGATTGGTTAGGCATGTCCAATTATGAATTATTGCATTAATTTTTGCTTCAAAATATACTCCTAATTGTGCATATATAAGAAATGAGAGGGAAGCAATCATCAGCAGGCCGAACTAGTGTAAAATAATTTAAAATAAACGGATAACGTGCCCATATGAAGGTGCATAACGAGCCGAAAGAAACCTGATGGAAAAATAAAATAAAATAAAGAATCAAAACAAAGTTTAAGGCCCTGAATTCTGTTATATTTCACATAAAATGCTTTCCGGCTATTAATCTTGTATGATGCAATAATCCCGAGACATCAATCGGCTAAGAACAGTTCTTACTGAAGAAACAGCTAACTAAAATATTTCGACTGGACATGGTACGGATTACAAGTTTACCAAAATTGTCAGTTTTGAGACTACAAAAACTTCTAGCAATTGCATTAATATCAATTGCCTTGGCAAGTCTTCTTATCTATGAAAGATCCACCATTAGTTGCTACAAAAAAACCAACGAAAACGAAATTACGACTGGAACCATCTTTTAAGCTGTTTATTAGCTTGCTTTCCACCTTCAGGTTTTTCGGAAGTCTGCTTCGAGAATTTGAATTTGTATTGTTCGATCAGTTTGTCAAGTTTATCTACCACGTCCTGTCCTACTGGGTCTTTGTTCTTTTTGGGCCTTTTCCTTCTCTCTGAACTTTCATCCCTCTTCTTTTCGTCTGCTTGGTTAGGAAGCTTCCTCTTTCTTGGCTCCAAATCTGCTGCCTTGAAAGGTTTAACTAATTTTTTGGTATTAACTGAATTTCCAATATCAAGCTTTCTGCCTTGATCCTTCTTCTTGTGTTTGGAGCCTCTAGCCTTCTGTTTTCCGCTTTCTGTCTTGTCTTTTCCAGAAGCTTGTATGTCTTCAGCTCCCGGATTGCTCTTCTGCTTTTTAGTACTCCATTCTTTGAAGGAAGTTCTATTGGAATCCTTATTTTCCACTTCATCCATCCTATTTGATTCTGAGTCCTTCAATATTCTATTCTCAACTCTGGATTTCCGTTTTCTGGACATCTCCTTTTGGCTTGGAATGACATTTGGAGTTTGTGACTTGTCATTTTCCTGCGTATCTTGAAAATCTTTATGGGTTTCCTGCTGCTGCACTCCAAGCTTAGCTTTACGCATCTTCAAAGTTTGAACATTATCAAGAGCAAATGAGACTATTGGGCGATGGTCAGAACCAAAAGTTTCTACAAGTAGTGAAACATTGCATTTTTTGTTAGGAACTATTTTCTGGAAAGATATTCATAGAAGATACCAAGACAAGTTAATTAAATGTGTTACCAGGATTATTATTAAGAACCCTCAATGCCACCAGTGCATGCTGATGTTCTGTAAACTCAACAAAAGCAACCCCGCGTGAATGGTCCTTTGTGACAACCTTTCCCTTCTTTATATTCTTTAGAAACTTCATCTGCATCAGCAATATGAAAGTAAGTAAGTTACCTCAGGATATAAGCAAAATTTTACATAGAGAAACGATCCAAAAACAAAAGAATCCAAAATAAATATAAAGAATTGTAGCTAACCTGTCGGATCACAGGCTTTTGCTTAGTAGCACGTGAGGTAACAGCATCAATGAAAAGCTTCTTCAGCTGTTTTTCAGTCACTGACTTTGGTAAATTGTATACAACAAGTCTAGTCCTCGAAACATGAAAATTTGGAGATTTCAGCTTGGTCATCTTCTCCTCCTGCAACCTGCAAAGTTGATAAAGCATTATGAGATGTGGGTAAGATGCTTTTACAAGAGTAGCACAAATATCAATAGAAATGTTGAAAAAACATCATAATAATACATCTGAAGGATAAACCCTCTTTTTGGGTACAGGAAACAAAAATCAAAGGCAGTATCCATGTACAACTTCTCATTTCCTAGGATGCTGCGAGAGTTGAGAGAGAACCATCTCTACCAGATGACATGCCATTGTCAAGGAATAATTGGTTCCATCTTCATTTCCAAACACAAATAAGTGGGAAGAATAAAAAACAACAGAGAAAGGAACTTGCCTGTTCCTCTTAGCCATATCGCTAGTTGAAACACCTTCAGCAGCTGGAGTTCCATCAAGAATGAGGCCTTCCTGTTAAGCATTTGGGACCAGTGAAAAAGGTCAAACCATATTGAAAAGAAATTATCATCACACATATCATATTAAGAATAAAATTTGAATAGGAGGTGTTAACAAAGTTTGGAGGGGGTGATAAATGAACCTTTGCTAGGTAAAGATTGCGATGGTCGCGATCCTCAATTTTGGTCTTCTCTATTTCCTTTTCGTGCGCTGATTTCTTATCCAAAGCCTTCAAGACTGTCAGTTGCCTACCTTTCAGAAAAATCCCCAGACCAGATGCAACATTAGCTGCTGAAACTGCTGCAGTTGCTCCATCTGTTGTCTTAAACTTGAGAAAACCAGTCCCTCGAGGTCGCCTGCCACAAACAAAAGTATTGTGTGAAATTTAGGTAAAGAATTAAGAAACGTAGAAGCATATCAAACCATATGTGAGTCCTTACTTGGTGACTTGATTAAGGACAGGAACAAAGGATTGCACTTCCCCAAATGCAGAGAACCGTTGTTTCACTTCTTCATTTTCAACATCAAAAGAAAGATTGCTAATAAAAACAGTTCTCTGCAAATCATCTTCTCCATCTATCCGCTTAATGTTAGATGATTTGCTTTTGCCGCTCGATAGAGTACTCCCTGATAAGTTTTCAGACTCGCCCGACAACTTACTTGGCACATTAACATTTTCAACAGTATCTGGCTCCTCAATCCCCTTAGGCAATGCATCATCATCCATATCGGAAGAAGCAGAACCTTTAGAAGATGATGCGATCAAATTCCTGAGAACTTTTCTCGCAATGTCTGCTTCCTGTTCAAAATCAACTTCAGCTGGCATGTCTTCTTTTTCAGATGAATCCGAGTCCGGTGAAGCAACATCCCCATCCTGCTGTTGATTTTTTCCAATAACATCTGTATCATTGTCGTCATCTGAATCCTCACTGCCACTGTCTCTTTCATTTTGATGTCCTGTAAAGGCACTACAAAGCTTCACTAAAACTTGCAGACTTGTAAATGTCAAAAGATGTCAAGGTCCTTTAAGAAGATGCAATGCAGTTAAACAGCCATTTACCATCTTCTGAAGCAGCAGACACGTTAGCACCACTACTATAAATCTTTTTTGGAACAGCCCAGTCAACAGCTATGGGTCTTTTGCCAAACTTTTGCCCGTTGAACTTCTGAATGGCCTGAAGAAGGAAAAAAGCAAAAATGAAAATTCAAAGTGCTATGGAATCCCAAAGCTGTATTTTAAAATTTTAAGAGTAAGGAGTGGTTCATAAGGAATACATTTTCTGCATCCTGCTTGCATGTGAATTTGACAAATGCAAAACCCTTGGATAACCTACAGAAACGCAAAAATTCATGTGAAAATCTTAAAATACAAAATTCCATTGGCAAACAGAGGGTATAGATAATGTATTTACATACCCTGTTTCAGAATTTTGTGGAACAAACACATCCCAAACAAAGCCGGCTGATGCAAACACATCTTTAATCTCTTTTGGTTTGGCCTACATTGATGTTTCATAAACTAGTTTAGAAATCAACATCCTCCAGAAAGAAATATGGGTGAATAACAACAAATTAACATAGAATAACCTTGAAAGGAAGATTTCTGATAATAAGTTTCCATTTCTGTGCCTTGGAACCCTGGCCCACAAACATGATACAAATGTAATTAGAAAACTTTAACTATTATTTTTCCTATGCTCAAAGAATTTACAACGGTCTTGACTCATCTTAGCAAGATCTAATCGAACAACACTACACGTAGACCGCAAGTGATAATAACTTGCTAAAAGATAATTTTTTTTGACAAAAAAATAAAAATCCTTTAAGCAGACTCAATAGTAAAAATATTAGAAGAGTATAAACTAATAATCATTTCCATGCAGCAAGCAATTTGAAATTACCTCCCCCTAGCTGCCGCGCCCAAACAATTCCACCTTTTATTTCTTTTTGATGTAACATTGCCACAGAAGAACGTGCTTCTGTGACACTTGTGAAAAGTACAGCTGAAGCACCTGATCTGCATCCATCTTGTTCAAGACCTAGAATTTTTACACATAGCAACCTTTTTATCATCAAAACAGAAAAAACTAAAATCCCTCAAATCTCTGTATACTTCGGTTTACAGTTTCCAAACTGGAAATAATCAAGTTGATGTTTGTATTCAAATAAGATAAAAACTCTCAACTCCACAAGCTACTGGCAAATGAACAAGTAAGATCGGGCAAAGCATTAGACCATCTGATTAGAGGACCATAACAAGTGTCAGATGTATGAAAACAACATCCAAGAACTAACAGATTCCCACTTTGCTTACATTTTAAATCATTCTTACTGTAATGACACCATAATCTCTAATATAAATGTTTTCATGCTGCAAGAGAATAAACCAAAAAAAAAAAAAAGGTAGTTTCTTGTCAATTGTTTCACAAAATTATTATCACAGCTCTATAATTTGCTGGTTGATTTGAATCATTAAAGCCACATGTACGATCATAGAGCTCAATGTCCTAGCTTTAAAATGGAAGAGATTGAATCAGAAGGCATCCTAGGTACAGAAAAACTTGCATCGTTATATAATTACAGGTCATGTTCCATAACCAAAAAAAAACGGAAAGGAAAGAAAAACGAAAGAAAGGAAGAGGTCACAAGATTCAACTTGGTCATTTACAAGTGGTAGTTGGAAACAAAGATTGGTACTTGGTAGCAGAGTCACCAAATAGAAATGACTTGCACAACATTTGCACTAAGCATGAGGTATATACATGTAAGTAAAGAAGTTATTAACATCTTACAGCATCTTATCATGTTAAATTTTGGAAACTTCTACTTTCATCCATTCCCATGCCCACACACCCCAAAAGACCAGTTAGTCACCAAGAACACCCTTACCATGTTTTTTCAGCTCTTCCTTGGGAAGGGGATAAGTCACAGAGCACACAGTGCCAGTCTCTTTCGCACGCTGATGAACATCTGCTGCCATAGCATCATTAAGAAGGCCACCAAATATTACAGTCCTCGCAACCCTTCATAAATCAAAAGAAAAAAGAAGTTACCATGTGTAATTTCTGAAGAATAGAAAAATTTACTGCCATGCAATCATCGCATAATTCCTCCCATATGGATCCATGTATTAGTTATAATGGTAGTTTGGATGGCTAAGATTTAATTATTTTGAAGGACTAGGATTTCTGGGCGAGAATAGCCAATCTGTGGCACCAGCATCCAAGCATGGGCTTTTATGTAGGGTTTTGCTCAGTATTTAAGTGCTACTACTACACCAATAACGAATGTTATAGATATTTTGAGAATTTTATAAGAAAATTTTCCTTCTTTTCTGGTTGTTCGGTCCAGACAATCAGCCTTTGGATGCATTTGCTTTCTTTTGCCTTTTCTTCCTACATCAGTGTTGTAAATTCAAAGCTGTAATTACTTTGACTTCAAAGCTATAACTCCAGAACCACACACTTCATCATCTATTTCAACATTTCTTAGTCGGCAATGAATCTTGACTCATCATTCAGATTAATATGAAACTGCAATTTCTGATTAATCTGATCCTACAAAGTGTATTATGGTAGGAAAGCATTAAGCACAAGCGACCACAATCCTAAGCTACCAACATAGAATGGATATTATTTGTGGGAAACATGAAGCATGAGCCCTATAACAGGAATGATCGTTAGAGAAGCTCCGTGGTGAGCATTCATCTACACATAACGAGAGTTAATAACTAAACCCTTTAACAAAACACCAAACAATATGCAAAAATTTATTCAATAAAAAAAGAGCTACTTGACTTAATTTCTGCATGTTATTGCTTTCGCAAAATGACACTGGCCCAGGTATTTATGAAAACTTTAACAGCAGATACACCCAAAGAGACCATTAGGAATGATTGAAAGACAAAATGTTCATAATATCAGCAAGAAAATAAAGTACCTCTGCTTTTCAGAACAATTCTCTTTATCAGTTAGATCAGTGACAAGTTTTGCTGGTTTTCTCGGCTCTCGAGGTTTCCCTAAATTTTTAATTCAAATTATCAATCTCACATACAGAATGTCAATCTGAAACAGAAACATTTAACATACTTAACAAAACGTACAATAATTTCCAACCTGATTCTGGCACATTTGGAACATGCTTTTCTGGCTTAGGGGTAACACTGCCCTTCTCATTCATTGTCTTTGTTGCATCATCTGAGTAGACAACAAACAGGACAATTTGTTTCTATACATATTCCGTACACAATTAAAATAGCAAAACAAGATAAATTTAAGAGTCTAAAACTAACAACCAATGATATCAACCTTGAATATGAGCCGCCTTTGCTCGCCGCTGCTCTAATGATGCACGATGCATAGCCTGTTTAACCGTGATTTTCCGACCTCCAACAGACGAACCATTCTTAGTCTCAATCGCTCGATTAGCATCATCAGTAAGTGCACTAGAAATGAATCCAATCAACAACGACGACCACAACAATGACAACAAAAAAATAAGACCAATGACAAAATTTATTTCAATTAATAATCAATATAACCTACAATTGAACATAACCAAATCCACGGTGCTCAGTCGACCCTGTGAATTAAAAATAGCAAAATCCAAACTTAATTACAGATTAAAAACAAAACAAACAAACAAACAAACAAAAAATCAGAAATTATGCAAAAAAAAAAAAAGTGCTGAGCTCTGGTTTTGATACCTTTTTGCGTAACCATAAAGCAGCGCCTGATTGGACCGACATCACTAAAAGTCTCTTCAAGCTATTAAAAAAGCAAATAAATCATCCATTAAGCAGCAAGATTATGATGAGTTGAAGCAAGGACCAAGTGGTCATTAAGTGAAAATTAGTACCTGAGAGTTGGTGAAAGAGTAAGGTAAGTTGGAGACGAACAGAGTGCTAGAGCTGTGTTGGGTAGCAGATCCACTTTCATTCGTTTTCTTCTTCTTTCCCATTGCGTATTGTGTTTTTGGCGATGAAGATGGAAGCAGTAAGGATGGTGGAACCTAAAATCTCAAAAACCTCGACTGCGTTAACTAGTGTGGGCTTTTATACTCGGAGTTGGGTTTTGGGCTGTTTAGGGCGGGAGAGTAGGGATGGTAAGTGATTATGGGCTTAGTTGTGTTGGATTGAGTTGGGCTGGGTTCTATCTCTTAGGTCCAACCGTCCAAGGCTTTGATCCGGCGTGTTTGTATCTCTCTGCTTTTCTTCTTCTTCCTTTTTTTTTTTTTTTTTCTTTTCCTTAGGAGGAATTGGCTTCCAACTACTAAGTCGTTCCTTCTTTTTTATCTTTCTAGTTTCAAATGAAAGCAAGTTTTTTTTTTCCTTCAGCTGATTATAAGGAAAATAAGAAAATGTAATTAGCTTAATTAATAAGAAAAACAAAGTAGAAAGGAGCATAAATTTCAAGTAATGAGCAATTAATGGAATGACACTTATATTGATGGACCAATTTGGTACCCAAATCATTTTTTTGAGAAATGTAGCAATTTAAAACAGCAACTTTTCGTCTTTAAATTAAAAAAAGTTTGCCCTTGGAATTATTTTCCAATAAAAGATATGAGATTTTAAAATACAAATCAAACACGATATTTTTTTAAGCTCAGATTAAATTTACCCTCATGTCCCTAGCGTGGAATTTTTTGCATATATATGTCACTAGCATCGAATTTTATTGCAAAATGACGTCCTCGTAGGATTTTCCAAACAGAAAACCAAACCAACCGACATTGAATTTTCGTTAGGTTCATATCTGTCAGTAATGCAACAAGTATACTATTTAAACAAGAAAAATCAACGAGATCAAACAGGAATTAAGAGAAAAATACGAGTGACATAAAACATGGAAGGATCCATGCTAGTGGGATCTAAATGCACGTAGCAGAAAAAAGAGGAAGGCCTCTGATTATTAATTCTTCTCGTTCATGGCTTCCCTGAACTACATGGCCCTCGTGGATTCGTCAAATGAATCACTTGGCTGGACATGGTAACGATGACCTCAGAGGTTATGGAGATTCAGACTGTCCTCAGGATCCATCTTCGTGTACCATTCTTCATATCGTTGGAGACTTGATTGGGCTTCTCGATGAACTGGGAGAGGGCCAGATGAATAATTTCTAGGCTGTAAATTTTCAATTTTTGCCTTACCGTGATAGAAAATCAAAAACGATGATATGTCTCATTGTCCAATATTGTGGTCCTGACAGGCATTTGTGGTAGGGCATGACAGGGGTGCAGAAGTTGGCTGCCACCATTGCCTCTTGATCAGGCCGGATAGAGTCAGGGCGCTTGTTCACTCAAGCGTCCCCTGCCAGGCACCCTCCACGTTCCAAATAATTCAAATTATTTGATGAAATTTTAGGAGAAGGGTCCATTCTCAATTTCAGGTAAAAGAAGAACAAACCATTTTTTTTTCTTTTTTCTTAGGATGGATCTAATTAAATTTTGCTATACAATCCAGGTTCTTAATATGTATGTTCCTTTTGCTCCTGGCATTTCCGGAGTCAGGAAGAGCTGAAAAGTCATTCCCTAAATTATTATAAATAATCTAAAATATATATTATTTTACTGTACATAAGTTTCGCTATAGTGAACCTAAATGGCTTCGTTTAGAGCACTTTTGACTTAAAACGAGGCCTTATTTTATAAACAAAAAATAAGTGGTTTTTATCTATTTGTATAATTTTTTACACGTTGATTCTTCGATTTATAATTTTATTTAAAATGGTTCATTAATTAAATATTTGTTACAGATAGATTCTTATATTTTTTATGGCTGGACTGTGCTTTCAGTCCAGCCCCGTGGCCATACAGATGGGCATGGTGTTAGACCAGCCAAGACTTTTTTTTTTCCTTTTTTATACTTTTTTCATTAATTATTATCTACTCAAGATAAAAATTTTCTTTTTTATGCTTTTATTATTAGTTACTGAAAATACATTTTTTTCTGTAATTAATGGTTATTTTTATAGACTCATTAACTGAAATTAAACACTCTTATAATATAAATTATTTTTAATAAATAAATAATTAATTCCAGTTTTCTTTTTTTATTATTATTTTATTTATCACAATAAAAATATTTCTAGGTTATGTTTAATCTTAATTATGGAATACACACACATATTGCATAATATATATTAAATTTAATAAATTTTTCACAATTAGTGTTAATTGATTTTTAATTATTTGAAATATTAAAAAAATAATTGTTTATTTTTTTATTTTTTATAGACTCATTGACTAAAATTAAAAAAATTTATAATATAAATCGATTTAGCATATTCTTCTAATTTGATTTTAAAATAAATAAATAAATGTTTTTCTCTTTTATTTTTGTTATTCATCAAAATCAAAAATATTTTTAGGATATATTTAAACTCAATTATATATATATTGCATAATGCATATTAAATTAAACAATTTTTCATAATTAGTGCTAATTAATTTTTAATTATTTAAAATAATAAAAAATATGATATAGATTTACTTGTGACAATATGCTGGTATTGTACTAGTACATATACTAAAACTATATAGATTTTTACTACGGTTAAACTTCTTTTTTTCTGTTTTGCAAACCTTTTTTTTTTTTATAGAAGTTTTATCATGTTTGATTTTTATCTTTATAATAATACTTTTGTGGCTTTTAATGGAACTTTTAGTTTTGCTTGGTCCCCGTTTTGTGATCTTTTTTTTTTTTCTCGTTATTGAAGTTTTGAGTGAAACACTTCTTTCCATTTTGGTTCATTATGTTTGATGAATAATAGACTTTTAGTTTCATTGTTCCTAAGTTTTATTAGCTTTTAGCAAAAAAAATTTTGTACTTATTTTGTGATTTTTTATGTAAAATAAGTTTTGAAATATTTCAATTCCATTCCGATTTGAAAATTTTTTTATCTTTTTGTTTTGGACGATCTCTATATATCTATCTTGTTAACAAACTACACATGATAAAAACTAACCATTAAAGATTAAAAAAATTATCATATTATTATTTCAATTATCAATTTTTATACATGTTTGTAATAAAATACTTGTTTATATGTATATATATCAAACAACATCTAATTAGCAATATTATATTGATTGTAGGTTTCCTTTTAACTAATTTATAACAACTCACGAGATGATATAATTTGTTGTCTTTCTATTCTCTAAAAATTTTTGTGTGATTTTTTTTATATAATAGTTTTGAATTCTACATTTTATACTGATGAATACATAAAAATACTATGGAGCTCGCTCCGTAGCGAGGTGAAGTATATATGCTAGCCTGATGCTCTAAAAATATTGAAGAAGTTTCTACAAATCAATGCTCCTGGTCTTCTAGCAGCTCCTCCAGGAATTGAAATTACAGATTTCTTGAGAGTACCCCGTCTTCATTGCCGTCTTGGATTGCTGAAGAAGAACTTCAATTTAATGGCAGCATGTTCCATGAAACTGGATTCACTGCGGCCATGAATTATTATCGTGCCATGGACACGCAAGATCATAATACTAATGAATATCAAAATTAATTTTTTCTCGTACCATCTGAACTAATGAAGATATAGTGTCGCAGAATGTGCGAAGCAGCTGGGAGCTTCTAAAATTACAGTGCCCTCAAAAGTCATAGTTGGTGACAAAGATGTGGGGTTCATTTGGGACAAAGGACTCCATTTATGGAGAAATATTCAAGGAGCTTGTACCTAATCTCGAAGATGGCCCCCATTTTATTCAGCGGGAGAAACTAGAAAGCTGAACTAGTTTCGAAAGAAATCTTGTCATGTTTCTGGTAAGAAATCACTTCTGGATGAATAAATTGTGTAAGTTAAGCTTTAAATGCTAAAAAGATAAAATCTATAACGTCAGTCTATTTGAAAATCAGATTTGATTTCTACTCTATTTGATTTAATTTTTTTAGACTTAATCTATCATTTACTTTTTTTATAAGAAAAATAATTACATAAATAACTTCAGAATAGAAATCATTCATTAAAATTTATTTGGAGCTTTTCAAAAATTTTGAAATCATTTTAGATTATTTTCTATTTTCTCAAGTTTTTATATTTTTAACTTTCAAAAGATATATATATATATTCCAAAATTTATGGGATTTTTTCAAAAAAAAAAAAAGAAATATATTTTTTTTCATGTGTGTAAAACCTTAGTTCAAAAAAAGAAAGAGAGTGATAACTAGAATTTATAAAATAAACTAATTTAAAAAAAATATCATGAAAAGTCAAACCAAAGATTAAAAATCTAAAGACTGATTTTATAGCTAAAATTTAGAGGATGATTACCCATTTAACCAGTTTTAAATATACAACTTGGAGCGTGATCCATTGTTATTTCCCTTCTTACAAGGACAATACTGGAAGGTCTTAATTACCAAATGGAATGCATGTTTTTATATTGTATTGGCATAAAAGATCTGTAATTGTAGCCCATGCAGTGAACAGGCAGGGTACAGTACCTTCATCATGATTTTGGCGATGACTGAGGACTGACGAATGAGGTGGCTTGGATTTGCCCATCCGTAAAGTTTGGCCCGTATAAATTACAGGAGGAGTGAATTTTATTTTATTTTCTTTTTTTTTCCCAAAAACAATAGTGTCTCTGGATATTTTCTTTCGTATCTCGATACTAATCTTTTTTTAATGTCGGATAATACCCAATGAAGGAGTGAATTTTAAAGCTAAAAACCAAAAGATTTTCATTTGATGCTTGTAATTACTGACCAGTGAAATAGTGTGGACTGTGGAGAGCTAAAACTAAACGGCAACTGGCACCTTAGATCTCACAATAAATAAAAAATAAGGAAGATTTCGTGAAATTATACATGAATTCATTCATACCAATATATTCTATTTTCTTGAGATATAATTATTGCCATTAATGAAATCATGTGGCGTAAAGACAATTATGTTAGAGGAACATCTCTAGAAAAGTTGTGTGAAACAAGACGGAATCGTACAATTTAAAACACATACTGTGGTAATTATTGCATCCCAATAAATAATAATGTTTTGTTTTTTTGACTTTACAATCTTAATTAACTCATGTTTTTAATTAATCAAAATTAAGTTTATTATTTCTTTAGTTTAGAAAAATATGAATTATTTACATTGGTTAGAATCAGAAAGCAAAAAAAAAAAACCCACATTTTAGAACTTCATATAAATACTTGAGGTGTTATTTTTAAAGAATTAAATTTTTATGTGAGATTTTAAGATGGTTTTAGATTTTTTTTAAAAAAAAATACGAGAGGTTTTCTAAATTGTATGTTTGAATAGCGTTTTTTTTTTTTTTTCTTGAAAAAGCGAATCTAACACTTTCAACTTTTCAAGCACAGAAATAAAGAGGTTTTCCAGAACAAAATTGATCACACAAAATAGCTTCAACTAAAAGCAATTTTCGTGAACCATACAAGAAACCCTTTATGGTGCTAGTGCCCACAAGGCACACATGGCTCTAAACAAAAGTCGTATCGTATCTGAGACATGGTCCTGATCAAGAGTTTCATTTGTGGCCTCTTGGTATCCACGAATAGGTCAAGAAATTTTTTAATGATGAATGCTTCCCACGTGGCAAAATAAGATAAAAACTTGAACCAGCCCCCTCCATGAACAATGTAGCTCGCTTTTGGTTCTCTCTGTTTTGGCTGAAAAGCTGTGCCCTAAAAATACGAGTAAGAAGTTAGGTTAAAAGAACGAATGAAGCATTGCCCTTTCTCTCATCATAACAACAACAAAACAAAGAGCCTTCCGTGGAACCAAGAAAAGAGAAGCCTCCAAGACTTTGCGAACCCTGTGGGACCCACAAGGCACCATCCCAGGTGGGACCCTATCCGTGTCATTGCTGACGTAATCGAGTGAGGGAGCTATGTTTCGTTTTGGAATCAGTTTCTTATGTGGTTTGATTGTAAAGCTAAAATGGGACCCGCATTCCATACCAAGAAGGAAAGTAAACAAATTAAAGAAAGAAGCCTACCAAAAAAGGCCAAGTGTGAACTTCACTGATCAGCCCACCTAGTTCCCTAATCATGTAATCAAAACAACCACGCGTCGAATAATCCAAACACAATCAACTCGAGCCCTTGCCTAATCTTCAACAGGATAAAAGCCAACAAATTTCAATCCCATTAATTAATTAGTTGTTATACATGCATTATACCGACTAACCTCTATATATAAGTTAAATTACAGCTGGCGATTTTCTATTTATCTAATATTTTATTTTTGAATTGGTTGAATGAGATATGATATGTGATATTCTAAATAGGTTATAAAATCAATTTCTTTAGGAAGGTAGATTGTGTTTTTGGTTTATGAAAGGCCTAACGTGCCGGCCGTGACTTTCCATAATGGTCCCATGGGGTTTTATTAAATTAAAGTTTGGTGTAGAAAAGCTCAACCAATATACATCCAAAAATGTATTTTTAGAAGCTTATGATGGCTTGCAATTACGTGTTCCTCATAAATGAATAGAATTCCATTTCATCATGACTTTGCTAAGCCAGTGTGAAGTTGGAAAGACTATTGTGTCGGAAGATTTTTTCCTTTTTGTCTATTTCCATCATAACTCGTCATAGCAATAATTACAATTGGTAAGGTATTCTCAAACCAAATTTATTTTTGTTTTCATGTTTAAGATGGGTCATTCATGGGAAAATTAGAGATCCATTGAAAAAAAAAATAATACATTATCGTGCTTTGATTTGAAAATTGAAACGTGATTAGCAAAGTGAGAAACGTACACTCAACAACTCAATTAATTCAATTAATATAAAGTTCAAAATATATTTTCTAGTATTAGTCGAAGACTCTAAACTTCCACTAGGAATGAGAGTTATGATCTTCTTCTTTTTTATCGTTAAACATTATAGCATTGGTGTCTTGAATTCGTTTTTATATTCTTAGAGTTATTAAAATGATTATCGAAGGTCATAGTTGTGGAATAAATTTTTTTTTCAATAAAAAGTTAAAAATGATTGAAATTGACCTTTAAAAAAATTTTTATGTTATAGATTTAGTTTAACGATTATATACTTAATTTTTCTAATAAAATAAAATTCGAATGTTAATAACTTTAATTTTTTTAATAATTTTATAATGAAATGATTATTTTATGTAACTCAATAGCTCCATTCAGCCTAAAAAAAAAAAAAAAAAAAAACCTTTTACTTATAATATTGTACCAGCAAGCTCTTATTCAAAGTAGAGATCTTAATTGATAGATGCAAGGACTGGTTTTTTTCATAAACTATATCAAGAGTATATATTTGAATGGTCTGAGGTTGTTTAAAAAAAACGTGGCATGGGGATTTATGTTCTTTACATGATCGGTCTTGATTCTCGTGAATCTCATCGGGAAAGAAAAAACAACTTTAAATATTTGGAGCCAGAGAAATATCCATGTAAGAGAAAATGAGATTTTAAAAGCGAAACGGAAGTCATGGGCCGCTATTGATTTGTCAAGATTACATGATTGACGAAGTTGCTTAATTTTAAAGATGATGTGGTCTTTTAGTTCTATTTTGAGAGAAGGTAATAGGTGGTTGATCTTATCATATGATTCTTCTAATGATATTTTCTTTTAAATTTGAAATATTCATTTGTCACGTTGGAGATATTTTGTCTGATGACGTTATTGGCATTTATTTCTTAATATATTATCTTTTGCCTCTTTTGTCTATGAAAAAAATAAAAAATGACGTGGTTCTTTAATGGTAGTTGGTAGAGTAATGGTCGAAGCGAAACGAATACTTTTAAATAAGTTTTTTCTATTGGTTAAAAGATTTTTTCACAATCAAATTAGTACAGAAAGGGAAATGATTAGCCAGAAAAGATCGTGATGCATAAATGAATAAAAAATTAACAACAATAGCAATTAAAGAGATTTAAAACTTTTAATTCTAAGCCTCTTGGTTATTTACATAATTAAAAAATTCATCAGAATTGTATTGAACAAAGGATAAAACTATAAATTTCTTTATTACTAAAAATTTATGATATCAATTGAGAGAATAAACGTTCTTGATATTAACAGATCTCATCTGAACAAGCATGATGACATTATTATCAGCACGTGTTAGACAAAAGTATATTAGAAATGTGCCTTCATTTATTAGATATATTGTTTGTGATTTTTAGCTTGTGGGATTCGTCTAACCCTTTAGGCTTAGGCTAGCTAGGTTTCTCTGTTAAAATATTTTTTTTAATGGTGTAAATATGCCAATTTCAATTTTTTTTCAACGTACTGTGAAAGAAAAGAATCACTAGTATCCACGTGTCAGTTATAATAAAAACTCATAAAAACACTTCAATTATACACATGTCATATGAGCATATTATTTACCTGCCTGATATTCCTAATTATTGAATTGACGGAGTGATTCCCACTTTCAATGTTTGGTTGTCCTTACAAGTAGATGAACCCATAAGAAAATTATCAAGTTCTTGCAAGTAGAGCTTTTTTTTTCCCTTTGCCGTGCATTAGATTTTCCTAAACACAATTAATACTATCAAATAAAAAGATAAAGTGTAAAAGCCCGCAATATCATTTGAAAATTTTGCACACTAATGCTAGATGTTTTTTGCGAGTTGTGTTTTCATTGATAATAATTACATTTATATGTATAATATAAAAATCATAAAAAAAATGGATGAAATTAATCAAAATACATTATTTATTTTATCTCAATTATAAAAAAAGACACTTAATCATGGAAATATTAATAAGATTTCACAATTTTTTGATAACATAACCTCCTTTATTACAATCTTATGTATTTTACAAATTATCAAATGTTCAAATTATTAACTCATATAACTTAAAATATGTCCTTCGATATCAAGAGCATCTCTTTTTATTATAAACAAAATAAAAGATTGATTTGAAGTTCAAGAACAATTTCAGTTCAAATTAAAAAATAAAAACTTTAGAAATTATGTAATGAATGAATGAAAAGACCCGATGATAAGTAATTATCAATATGAGTACGATTTATCTTAGAACACATGGTCTAGATTAATATCACAAATACAACGAAATAAAATGAATAAACGATGTATGATTCCAAATAACAATCAAAACAAATGAAATTTATATAAAAAACCAATTAATTCATTACGAAAAATAAAATAATTTGGAAGTAGATTCAACATCCAACCAAGAAGATGATTTAAAAAAAAAGACCATAGATATTATATTTTATTAAATAAATTCATTAACTATGAAGATAAGAAAAACTCTGAATTGCCATTATAATTAAATAATAAGCAATGTATTTTTTTTAAATTACAAAATAGATAAAAGTAAATTATTTGATCCGCTAGAAGGTATCTCTTTCCATAAACACCTAATAAAATATGATATTATCGATACAAAAATTGTTCATACGGAAAATATTTGAATTGGATTTATTTTATTTTTTTAGAAATAAAATCGATTTTGAATACTAGATTGATATATAAAAAAAAAAAAAATCCTTTTTATTAGATGGGAATGAATGGAAAAAAACTAGATCCCTCCATATTTAAACAAAATTATCTTGCTTTGATTTGAAAATTGAAACGTGGTTAGCAAAGTGAGAAACGTATTCACTCAGCAACTCAATTAATTAAAAATTCAAAATACATTTTTTAGTGTTTGCCGGTGGCTCTAAACTTTTACCAGGAATAAGAGTTATAATCGTCCTTTTATCGTTAAATATTATGGTATTGGTGTCTCGAATTTGTTTTTATGTTCTCGGAGTTATTAAAAAGGTTATCGAAGGTCATAGTTACGGATTAAATTTTTTTCCAATAAAAATTTTAAAAACACGGAAGCTGACCTTTAAAAAATTTGACTTATAGTATTAATTGATAGATGCAACGACTTGTGTTTTTCACAAACTAGATCAAGAGTATGTATTTGAATGGTCTGAGATTGTTTAAGAAAACGTGGCATGGGATTTATATTCTTTACACGAACGGTCTTGATTCTCGTGAATCTCATCAGGAAAGGAAAAACAACTTTAAATATCTGCAGCCAGAGAAATATTCATGTAGGAGAAGATGAGATTTTAAAAGCGTAGCGAAGGTCATGGGCCGCTATTGATTTGTCAAAATTGCATTATTGACGAAGTTGCTTAATTTTAAAGATGATGTGGCCTTTTAACCATATTCCGAGAGAAGATAATCGGGGGCTGATCTCGTCCATATAAATTCTTCTAATTATACTTCTTTTTTTTAATTCAAAATATTCATCAGCCTGATATTAGAGATATATTGTCTAGTAATGCTGCCAACATTTATTTTTTTAATACATTAGGTTCTGCCTCCTTTCTGCGTACAAAAAAAAAAAAAGAGGGAAAAATGAGGTGGTTTTTTTAATGATCGTTGGTAGAGTAATGGTTGCAACGGACTGAATGCTTTTAAACAAATATTTTTTATTAGTAAAAAGATTTCTGGACAATCAAATTAGTACAAAGAGAGAAGTGATTAGCTAGAAAAAATCGTGATGCATGTATAAAAAAAAAAAACAATAACAACAATAACAATTAAAGAGATCTAAAAATCTTAATTTTAAATCTCTTGCTTGTTTATATAGTTTAAAAAACTCATCAAGTTGCATTGAACAAAAAATAAAATTATCAATTCTTTTATTATTAAAAAAATTTATGATATCAATTGAAAGAATAAATATTTTTAATATTGATAGGTCATAACTGAATAAGCAAGACGATATCATCGTTGGCACAAATTAGACAAAAATGTATTAGAAACATGCCTTCATTTATTAGATATATTGTTTGTCATTTTTGGTTTATGGGGTTGGTCTAACCCTTTAGGCTGTGACTGGCTTAGATTTCTTTTTTAAATTATTTCTTTCAATGGTATAAATGTTGTTATTTATATTCTGGTTGTAATTTCGTCTTTTTTTTTTCCAACGTACTATGAAAGAAAGAAAACACTAGTGTCCGCGTGTCAGTTACAATAAAAAATCATAAAACACTTAAATTATTCACATATAATATGAGCATATTATTTACTTGCCTGATATTCCTAATCATTGAACTGAGGGAGTGATTCTCACTTTCAATGTTTGGTTGTTCTGCCAAGTAGATGAACCCATGAGAAAATTAACAAGTTCTTGCAAGTAGAGCTTTTTTCCCTTTGGTATGCATTAGATTTTCCTAAACACAATTAACGCTATTAAATAAAAAATAAAGCGTAAAAACCGCAATATTATTTGAATAATTTGCACACTAATGGGATATATTTTTTGTGAGTCATGAAGGAAAAATGGACATCGAAAAACCGATACAAAATGATGTACAAAGGACTGGCTGACCAATAAATTGACGGGCTGAACAGACAAGCCGAGTGACTAGCCACCTGGTCCTATTGCAGAGAAAGAAACGACTTGGTCGTTTCAGATCGGTCTCCACGGTGCTTGCCTTTACGGTTCAAAATGATGTCTTCTCACAGCGGACAGATTTCTTTCTTTCTTTCTTTTTATATATAAAAAAAAAACTCCCAATGGTGTTCCGAGATCTGTTTAACTGTTCAGCATCTTTTAAGTTTTCTCTAAATGCCAAGAGGAAGATTATCTTAATGGTTTTGAAGTAGGATCTAAAAAATAAATTCAATTGTTATATTTTTTAATTTTTACTAATAAATTGAAATAATTTAATTTAAAAAAATCTAAATCTTTCGAGTCCATTTAATCATTCAAATTTAAATTACTCGTTATGATTTTAACGATCAATTATTATTTTTTTATTATAAATAATAATCCCAGATTATTGTGAAGGGATCAAAACTTTCATGTGAAAGAACTTTTGAAATTAGAATTTTGGTTTTTTAGAAAAAAAAAAAAAAAACACTTGAATTCTCTTTCTCAAAACCCTCTCAACCTCTCCTCTCACTTCTCTCCTTATTTACATCATTTTTTTAAATTGATTAACCATTATTTTTTATAAATTACAACATTAATTTTTTATATTTTAATTAATTTGCCGACAGGTAGTTTAATCATTTCTCCTCTCCCTTCTCGGTAACCTCATTCTGCCTTTCTTTATCTACAAAAAAAAGGCACATTTATTTATGAAATTCTAAGAGAAATCTTTGCTGAGTTTTCCGTAGCTTTATTATGACATAAAGTGTTTTTGAAAAAAAAAAATTGTTTTTGCCACGAGCCGAGGAATAATTTGTTGGAGGGCAAATATCAGTCAAAGATGGTGAGAGTTTACGCTTCAAAGTTACATAGTTTTCAAGTTTTTCAATCATTATTTTCTAACATGATTCAAATTTGAATGATGCATTCAAGGTAGGTTTTTTTATCCTTTTTAAATTTAATCCAAAACAATAATATGAAAAATAAAATTACCCATCACCCTTGAGAATTTTCTCGTCCTATTAATGTCGTTAAATTTGTGCTACAGTTACATCCAGCACTTTTCCAGAATGAAATTCAAATTAAACCCAACCATTGGCATTAAAGTATTTTAAAAAACAAAAACAATATTTTCTCTTATATTTTCTAGTATCGCCAAGAAAATTGTTTTGGCCATGTCAGCTTGTAACTTAGGTTGATGGAGCGAAAAGGCACTCTTAAAAAAAAAAAAAACATTTCAACTCATCCAAGGAAAAAAGAAAAAAATCATTGTCACTGAAATTAAGAATAATCAGACAGAAAATCTGATTTTAACAATCCACCTCAAACAAAATCAAATATCATATTCACGAGAACCCATTTGGGAACTCATGGATTTCGGCTTCTTTTTAGATTTTGTGCCTATTTTTTTCAAAGACCAAGAAAAAATTTATTTTATGAAGTTTTAAAATTATTTTAGAACCTGAAAGTAAAAAATTACAGTTATACGAAACAGACTCAAGTATGTGGCATTAATATTTCTGTTTCCTAGCTACCTTTCAGTAGTTTTTGGGTACACGGAGGGTTCACCACAAAATAGTCCACCCTCACTCAACGGGTCCAAGCTAGAAAGACAGTAGCACGAGGGACTGTTAAAGGGAATGTGATGATCAATATAGATGAAAAGGATTAAGAGACCACACAACGGCCGGAAAGAAGGACGACCTGCTAACACCTGATCCTCGAAAAAAAATCTAATTTTGATGCATAAAACCTAGTTTCAGGACGATCAAGTTTGAAAACGAAAAAAAGAAATCCTAAATTAAGTAACTAAGAAAAAATTAAAATCTATCATTGAAATATAAGCCAGCAACTTATTACCTGGAAAACGAGTTCGAGACAGGGCTTTATATATATATATATATATGCTGGTTAGCAAGGTACTTTTATTTCCGTTAGCATTATGAAGCATCAGACGATACTTAAAAATACATAGGTATCCGAAAGTTTTTATCAGTGCTTGAAAATAATCTGGTTATTGTCCGAGATCAATTGGTTAGATGCTGTGGTAATTGACTCAGCAATGATTGTTTGGTGATTTTTGAGAATTACCTCAACGACAGACCAGTCAAAATGTTTGGAGTTACCATCACGAATTGTAAATATAGTGACGTACCGGTAAAACGGAATGGGTATAAACAGCGAGGAAAAAACAAAAAAAGGAATGTTAGTAAGACGCTAAGTAGAGTAGTACGCGGATGAACTGTCAAAATCAAAATCCATAAATAGAGATTTAGGAATTTCGTCATGTGAGGGTACAAGAATTTTGTTTAGCAAACAATGAGCAAAAAAGTTAAATCTTTTTTAAGAATTGACGCAAGTTTGATATTTAGAGGGAAATGATAATGATTCTTAACTTTTAAAATGATATCATGCCAAAAAAAAAAAAAAAACTCTTTTGAGATAAGTTGTTTTAACATATTAATTAAATGAATTAACAATTGCAACTGTTTTTTTTTTTCAAATATGTTTCGAATTTATCAGGTCAATTTTTTTAATTCATGTAAAAACCATAGATATTAGATATGTCAAAATATATATATTCATTTTTGTACGACTTAACTATACATCTCTACACGTACCAAAATTCCATGCTGGACAAAACATGTTGTAAATCCCATTCAATTATTATAGATCTTAGATCAATGCAAAAACAACAATAAACACTACAAACTAATACATAATTAATTAAATTAATTAGTTAATTTTTTATAGACAAATTAAACGTATATCACGATAAAAAATGTTAGGATTTGTTGAGTAAAATGTCAATATTTGTTCATGATTTTTTTGTTGTTGTAAATATTCAAAATATTAGAAAAACTGTTTTCAAAAAACAGATCAAGTATTATAAAAAAATATTTTAAGAAATTTAAAATTCATAACTATATATAAAAACAAAAGCTTTATATTAAAACATCTCATTCCCGAACAAATATCACAACAAAAAAAGTATATATCATACCTAATAAATAATAGTAATAATAATAATAAAAATGCCTAAGGGAATTTTTGAAGCAGTTGTGCTAAGAGAAATTTTATAATAATCAAGAAGTAGCTACTAGTATATACAATAATTATTTCATGAATTTACTTTTGAGAAGAGAGATAGAAAAAAATTATATCTACAACCATCAAAAGTGATAAAAAAAATTTTACATTTGCTTAATTTTTAAAATTTTTCTCTCCTATTTATCTCTCTTTACTTATGTCTATTTTTTTTTTTTATGAAGTGAATCCATAAAATAATTATCGTATATATCATTAGTTATTTTTTTAATATTATAAAATTTTTATATCGATTAAAAGTGATAAAAATTACATCTATATCCATCAAAAGTGATGAGAAGATTTTTACATTTGCTTAATTCTTAAAATATTTTGTCTTATGTTTCTCTTTTTTTACCTGTATCTATCTCTTTCTATAAAGTAAATCCATTAAGTAATTATTTTATACATCATTAGTTATTTTTAATATTATAAAATTTCTGATAATGCTAGCTTATATTAAATCACATAGACACACATAAGCCAAGAACTAAGCCATAAAATGGTTAAAAATAAAAAAATAAAAAAATCCAAGCCTTGACACGGTCACACGTAATAGCATGAAGAATGAATAAATTGCTTTGTCCAAAATGGCCAAATCTGTTGAGTTTTTATATATGTACGTACATATATATAATTTCATCTCATTTCATCCAGGGTATGGTGCGGTTTTGTGTCAGAAAAAGCTTTCACCTTTGGAAAATCAAACGTACGATAGGGATCCCATGGCTTCTTCTCCCTTCATTCCACCAATCAAAACCCTCCCTTTTAACCTTAGATTTTTCTTTCACTTTCTTTTCACGAATCCCAAGTACCACCTCTCTTTCTCTCTCTGTCTGCAAACGTATTCAACAGGCCCATATCCCACGTCAATACACTCCCTGGTTTCTCTGTTTCTAGGCAGCCTTTCGCCCTTTTCTCCTTTTGTTTGATTTCTATGTTCGGTCCTGGTATTTTGTGTTTATTACCAAACTGCCTCTTCTTCCTTTGGATTCGAGCTAGCTAAGGCTGAGAAATATTTGAGGTTGTTAGCAATTTGAGAGATTTGCAAGTCATAATTATTGCATTTGTTTTATCTTTTAAGCTAATCAACGAAGTACATATAAATTGCCACTTGTGCTTGCTCAGGAGCAACAACAATCTAACAAATGAAAAATTAGTCTTATCCAACCTTCATTGGGTTGCTAATGTTTCACTGATCCATTATTTTCTTAAATAATTGTTATTTTTTGAATATTCCTTTCGATAGAGGCCCGTGTAGATATTTGGTCAAAAATGTGCAAGAATAATTATGTTTGATTTAGATGTCTTTAGTCATTGTCTTTTGTATATAATATAGTTATAAGCCCTAAAATAAGAATATGGGGCAGTGTGAATTAGTGAAATAGACCTTTTTTTTTGTGTAATGTAATTTGTGAAATAGACCTACTTGCCTTTTGATCGTATCTAACTGATAACAATAACTATATGATGGGGGGCAATATAATTTAGGCCACACACTATGTCAGCCAATAAGGCATAAATTATTAAATAAATTTCCAGAAAACACAATAAATTGTAGCTTTAAAAGGGTCCACAAAAAACCAATCTTGTAAATTGCTTGACCATACAAATCATAGGATCCATTATCAATTTCCAAATTGGCTAACATTTGTATAAATTTTGGGGTCCATTGGCCAAAGGATACGAGCCTCTTTTGGTTCTGCAACTTTAGACCATCAAAGAGAAAATGACCCTTGGTTTTATGACTGTGGAGTGGTCAAATGCTCTATGATGCTAGGAAAACGAAAATATCAAAGGGGGTTTTTGGAACTTTTCCAAGAAAACACAAGCATAAGCACATTCTGTTCACTCACACCACATTCTATATGGAACATTTTCCTTTCTCAATTAAGACAGCAACACCACATTATCCCAAACTTATGTTTAATTAATCTTATTTTAATGGTCAAGTATATTGAATCCAACTCCTATCATTTGTCAAGGATTACATAAAGCTGTTCCCCTCTAAACTACATTGATGGAGTCCTACAGATTCACTAATTAACTTTTGATTCATGTGACAAATGTGTTTGTTTCTCATTTATTATTTTAAATAAAAATGAAAAACAAAATTATATATATTAGTGTATCGGCCTTCAATGTTAATAATAATAATTATTAAAAATAAAAAAAAAGTCATTGATTGATGCGGCAAAATTGAGAGCGTGCCATTTTTGTTTGCCTGGAACGCAGTTATATCCATCTTCTTCTTCTTTTCTTTCTTTTCTTTTCTTTTTTTTTTAAAAAAAAAAACCCTAAAGTTGCCCATATCCAAAGGCAATTCTTTATCACTCAATTTTTTTGGGTTAAACCCTCTCCTTTTCTTAGCATGGTTACTAAAAAAACTTTTAGATAGTAACTTTTTTTTTCCTTGTAAAAGTTAGAATAACAAATAACAACTTTTGCACAATTATAGATAAATTATTTGTATCGTTATTTTATTTTATGTAAAGAAAAAGGTCTCTCGAGGCCTCCACATAAAACAGCCAATGTCCAATTCCTTGATCCAAAAAAGAATTTTTTGCTCACTCAAAATTACAAACGAGTTGGGATAATCATTTAATAAGCATTTCAATAATCTCAATCAGACCACTCAAGTTTGTTTAATTAAATATATATCCATTTAAAATAGTTGGCATAATCTAACATAATTTTAATTACTTAAGTAAATGATTTTAAGTTTGAGTCTTTATGTACATAATATTTTTTTTAAATAACTGTGCATGTGTTTTACTTTCGATAAACAATGAGAATTAATTTAAATTTTTGAGTTGGGATCCAAAAAATTAAATATATGTATATAATATATTACTTTACAATAAAATTTTATCAAATTATTATCAACCGCAACCGAGAAGGTTTCACAATAAATTATTATTGTTATTATTATTATTATTATTTTGATAATTTCCCAATTGTATTGATTTGCAAAAGATTAAGTGAAATTTTTTTGTGCAAGTCATCAAACTAATAAATACCTCTCATAATACAACAATAATAATATTAATAATTAAACAACAAATAATAAAAAGATAGGATTTTTCTGTGACAATTTCCTATTGAATGGACTCCTATTTTAGAATATACTTATTACAGTAACAATAAATATTTTGAAAACTATAACATCATTCATTACCTTTTTTTTTTTTCCTATGTTCAAGTAATATTTTGCTTTGCAGGCTACCATTTGGTCAGTAGGAGATTATACATTCTTCTTCTACATAATTGAAACATTAAGATATTTTTGGATATTACCAATATTTGGTGGGAGAATTTTATTAGATTTTAAAAGCAGGATCCCTCGTTAGAGAGGGGAGGATGGAATCACTCTATCATTGCAAAAATTCTTTGCATTGAAAGAACTAGATGGTGATTAATGACAAATAATCATTCTTTAATTATTAGCGAAAGATGGCAGAATATTGGATTCACAGGCAAATGTTATTTTTCTTATTTTTCTCCCTGTTTGTTCTATTTTCATGGCGGAAAATAGAATAACACAAACTACAGGGGAAGAAGTAGAATACAAGAAAATAAAGGGTCCGATACAAAATCTCCTGCATTTTTTTGTTAGAACAAAAGGACAAATATAGTGATAGGGGCACCTAATGGTGCTCCTCTCAAATTTAAAATCCAAATATAAATAAATAAACAAACAAAAAATATAGAATAGAATAAGTTGTCAAATAAAAAACCAATAAAAAAAAGAATAGAATATGCTTATATGGTGGATATTGCAGCAATACCAGACCTTCCATGCTGAAGGATGAGAGAGACAGCCAGCTTGAAAGCTGTTAGAGAGAGAAAGTAGCTAGAAAGAGAAAGAAATGGTTGTGGTGGTTTTTTGAAGGGGGTTTAAGAGAGGGTTTTAGGTCTACCAACTGGTAGTTAGAGATTGAACTCCTTAACCAAACTCTCAATCTTCAACAGCCAAACAAAGAACCCTTAAGAATTTACAACAACAACAACAAGAACTAGAACTAGAAGCAACATCAGCCACAACAAGAACAAGTCAAGCACCAACTACTTCTTCTTCTTGCACAACTGAATTATCAAGCAAAGACAGAACCCCAAAAGCCAAAGCTTTTTTCATTAAGAGCTAACTATTTCAAGAAACAAGAAAAAGATATGCACCAAGAAAGCTATCATTTCTTTTGGAGAGAGAGAGAGAGAGAGAGAGAGAGAGAGAGATGCTCACGTGGGGTTTTAATGGAATGATGGATAGAGAGAATATATGATGAGAGAAAAAAGATAAAAAAGAAAGTGAGAAAATTCATTGCTGTTCCTGGTTTCAATTATTATTATTATCACTTTCTTTTTTTCTTTTTAGAGAAAGAAGAAAAGAAAGTTGAAGCTTTTCTCATTTTGCTGTGTATGTGTATGTATTATGCGAACATACATAGGTTTATGTAATGAAAAGTAAAGGATTGTGCTGTAGTTGTTGTTTTGTTGTATTGGGATCGTCAGATTTGTGTATCAGCAGATCGAGTTGTGTGTTTGAGATTTTATGTTCCCCAGAACACCCACAAGTGTTACTGGTTTCCAGGTAATTTTTTATTTCTTGATTGATTTCTTGGACTTTTTTTTATCTATCTCTTTTTGTTCTTAATCTTTACGGTATTTTATTATTATTTCTCTTTCATGCGTGTCTCTGTCTTCTATCTCTTTTGTTGCTGGAGATAGAGGCGATGATGATGGTGATTATATGATTGTAATTTGCAGACTTTTTTTATCTAAAAAAAATTTGGCTATTTATTGGGATTTGCAGTGATAGTTTTGTCTTGATTCCTGCTTTGGATCATGTTCTTCTGTTTTTTTTTTTTTCCTTGTTGGGCATCATAACTTTTTTTTTTTTAAATAATTCTCTTGGGGTTTATTTAAAAGGCTTTGAAAAATTTTCAGCTTTTGTTCTTCTTAGGTTGTGTAAGGGGAATTTTTGGATTTAGGTTATGGATTTTGTTGCTGCTTTAATACTTCTATGCTAGACTGGTTCAAAGAGGCCTTCTTAATCATTTCGGCACTGGAAATCACTAACTGCTAACTTTTACATCGGTATTTTTCTCTCTGAAACTGTCAAACCCCATAAAAAGCTTTGGTTTTTGCATACAAGGATCTTTTGATGTTTGATTCCTCTGTTCTTTATGTCTAAATTACCTGTATTGTTCACTGTTGATTATCGTAACTAAGAACTTGTAAGCTCGCCTTTCAACTAGAGAGTGAATTTTTCAGCTTACAGTGTTTTCTTTCTGTGGTTTATTTCTCCTGTAATGTATTTTTTGACCTTATGCTTAAGCATGTGTATAAAATGTACATATAAACACAATTTTGAATTTCGAAATCCAGCTCACTAGGAGTGGTTAATCACCCTCTTGGTATTAAGGTATACTGACAGTTGAAGATAATGGAAGTTCTTTTTCTATGTTCATTTCAGTTCCCGGAGCGGTATGTGATTGGATTTGCTTAACTAGGCAGGAAAGTCTCAAGGTTAAATACGCATGGCTACCTATTATACTAGTTCAAATAATCAAAGAGATGCTGCTGCAATGGTATATCTGCCTGGTTCATATCCAGAGGCACCAGTTCTTACTGGCAATATGATGATGTACATGAATTCTGGATCATACTCGGATAATTTGGCTGGGAATTCTCACCAGCAAAACAACTGTATTGAATTTCAGTCTGTGGAGAATTCTGATTCAACCCCACAACAACAAGAAATCCTATCAAATCTGAGTGGATCACGAATAGGGGAGCATGATTTTGGTGCATGGAGGGATGGTAGAAATGAGATGCTAGGCATGCATTCAGTGAGTGGTGCTTCCAGCATTCTTCATGGTGCACAGAGCTTGCAGGGCCAGGGTTTATCTCTCAGTCTTGGCACCCAAATCCCATCTGGAATCCAAATGCCTTCTATTCCCTATAGGAATACCAATCCAGGCCTTACTTCGTTCTTGAGTCCTAACTCATCCATTACTGGCGAGGGTGGTGGCAGGAATGGCTCTTCCAGAGATGAGCAGTCGAGAAATATTGAATATTTGACACCTGGTTTTTCTGGAGGCAATCACGATGTGAATAAAGGTGATTTTTCTCCCTATGGAATGAATAGCATTGCAAGAACAATTCCCAATTCCAGGTACCTGAAGGCAGCACAACAACTACTTGATGAAGTTGTCAATGTCCGAAAAGCTCTAAAGCAGCCCGATAAAGAGAAAAACCAGGCCACAAGTGAACATGGACTGAACAGTGCAAAGGAGGGTGACAGTGGGTCAAAGAATGGGGCTTCAAACCCTCAAGAATGCACCAACTCTCCAATTGAGCTTTCGCATGCTGAAAGACAAGAATTGCAGAACAAGTTGACAAAGCTGTTATCCATGCTAGACGAGGTAAAACCAAAACATTATTCTTTCCCTGAGCCTTTGTTGCGAAGTAATCATTTTCTTTCTTCTACTTGTCCAGAACCTCGACTAATCACTTTGATTTCTTTTGGTAAATTCTTGTCTTCATCTTTCTCTGCAATCATCTTTTATCCATGCTATGTGTTTTGGAGGCACTGGTTTGAATAAAAGAACTTGAAGAGCTTGTCTGGCTAGATAACCTTTCATTTCGTAATTGTGAGGAAGGGAAACTGCTAGTAACCAAAGCAATAATTCTGCAGTTGTCTCTGGGATTCTTAAGAATGATAGTATGATAACACTGGTTTGATTGGAGTTTTCCCTCTGGAACAATCTTTGCTTTGATAATTGTGGTTTCTAGCCAGAGGCGTAGGTGCATGTCATTGTTCATGCTACAGTATAATCTTCAAGGTGTCCATGAGCAGTTCTTTTCAGGAAAATTGGAGTTAAAACATTTGCACTTTCCTCTTGTGGATACACTCCTTAAGTAGAGTTGGTAAATAACTTTACTGAGCTTCTTAACGGATGTTTCTGCAGAGCCTTGGCATTAATTGTCTTATGGTGATGATTATTGTTTACTATTTTATAACATTACAATTGAGCCTGCCCTAATGCCTTGCATCTGACATAAAATTTTCCGCATCTTCCTAGAACTTGCAGGATTGATGAATGTGCTCTAAGACGCAACTATTGTTTAGCTTTTAGTTAACATTCAAGAGAACCATATTTGGTAGAGATCCCAGCCTTATCTGCTGCCAAACCATGCTTACCTAACTGCACCTTTCTACACTGTTTATGATTACAGTATCTCCTTAGGAAGTTGTTGCATTGGAGATGTCAGGCTTCAATCTAGTTTTACAGACTACCTCACCATATTGTCTTTTTGTACGTGTCTTTTGTTGTGTGATAGACCTGGGCGTATCCATTCATGTCATATCTTTTTCAATCATCTTTGTTTTGTTGTTCTTTTAGGGGCCACTTCTCAGTGTAATGGTAAAAGACTTGTACATGCTACCATAAGGTTGCAAGTTCAAATATTGGGATCAGTCAGTTCATTTAAATGTACTTATGAGACACTGATGGCACATGCATGTAAATGGTTTCACTGTTAGTCTATCTGATTAATGTACAAACCTTGGTCGTGATTATTATATGCAAACAATTGCACCAACTTCTTTCTTTATGAGGTCTAATGATGGTTATTCTGTTATCACAGGTTGATAGACGATACAAACAGTACTATCATCAGATGCAAATTGTGGTGTCTTCATTTGATGTGATAGCAGGATGTGGAGCAGCTAAACCATACACAGCACTGGCCCTCCAGACTATTTCACGACACTTTCGGTGCTTGCGGGATGCAATAACTGGCCAAATTCGTGCAACCCGTAAAAGCCTCGGGGAACAAGAAACTTCAGAAAACAGTAAAGGAGTTGGAATAACACGGCTACGGTATGTGGACCAGCAACTTAGGCAACAGAGGGCTCTTCAGCAGCTTGGTATGATGCAACAACATGCGTGGAGGCCACAAAGGGGTCTGCCTGAAAGCTCTGTTTCAGTTCTTCGTGCTTGGCTGTTTGAGCATTTTCTGCATCCGTAAATCCTCTCACTAGTCATTTCTCTTGTTTCCATGGGTTCATACTTTTCCTGTTCCTGTAAAGAACCTAACTTACTGCTTCAACTATAGTTAATTGCCTTTGTTTTTTTTTTTTTTTTTGGTTCACCAGTTATCCTAAGGATTCTGATAAGATCATGCTGGCAAGGCAGACAGGCTTGACTAGAAGTCAGGTAAGAACTAACTATAACTTGTTTTTCATCTAGCAATGACTTGAGAATCTGTCATAAGAGAGCTGAGATACACTAGCCTTTCTGATGAAAAAAAAAAAAAAAACTAGATTCAAAATAGAAATCCTCCATTCGGCAGCGTTTTGGATTCTGCATTTTAAATATTGCTGAAACCTAAAGAATTTGGATTTGGAAAATTTGGTGATCTTGCGAAAGAGCCGGACTTAATTGGGCTGGTATAGTGAAGGTGGAGAAATAAGTTAAAAACAGCATATACTCACATTTTGTTAGATTTGAAAGTAACTAGAGCGTTTGTTGTTGTTGTCTCGGTTAGAAAAGATGTGAACCAATTTTTCAAGCAACAGTCTGGTGGGAAAGATTTTGAGTTGCCAACAAAATTGTTTGGGGAATTATTCCTCTCTATACTTCTCTTTCCAATACGAGCTATATCTGTAGATTAGTTGTTAATCACTTAAACATTTCCATTAGTGTTGGTGAATATGCTAAAACTTGGATCTAAAACCTCTTGCGGGTCAACCCTTGCCTTCAATCAATATGTGCTGCATTTTTCTTGGCAATATCATGATTAGACGAAGCTTATCTTGACACTTCTGTTGCCTTGCTCAGGTATCAAACTGGTTCATTAATGCACGAGTGCGTCTCTGGAAGCCCATGGTTGAAGAGATGTACAAAGAAGAGCTTGGTGATGCAGAGATGGACTCTAATTCTTCTTCTGAAAATGCAGCCAAAGCAACGAAAGGTGATATGGGAACCTCTGAAGACAGAGGGGAAGAATTCCAACAAAGTGCTAGTTCCACAGCCACTGAAAGATGCAGTGCAGGACAATTGATGGATTCCAAACCGGACCATGTTCCTGATGTAGAAATGGCAGGATCAACTGCAAGAAGCAACTTCCAAAATGGCACACGTGGTGAGGCTTTTACCGAGTATGGATTACTAAAGCTGAGGGAGGACCAAAGGCCTAATATGGATGACTGCAGTCTCTTCTCTGATGCCATGGCTCATTCTGAGGGTGGTGGTGATAGGTTTATGGCAGCCGCAGCTGCTGCTTACCAAATGTCAGAGGTGGGGAGGTTTGGAAATGGAAGTGGGGTATCTCTTACGTTAGGGTTGCAGCACTGCGAGGGTGGGAGCCTTCCAATGTCGGGTACAGCACATCATGGTTTTGTTTCCATGAGGGGGATGATGATATCTACAATGCAGCATCTTCAGTGGGGGGCGGGGCCACAGACTTTGAAAGCTTAAACCCAGGGAACAGGCAACACAGGTTCAGTTCCTCCCATGTATTTCATGATTTCGTAGCTTGAAACAATTGATGGAGGATTTACATGGGAATATGGGATTACTTTTGGAACAGTAGCAGCCAGACTTTTGTTGTTCCAGTAGGAACGTTCATCTCACTTTCTATGGTGAAAGGAAGGTTGTGTATAAAACAGAGTTGTAGTAGTATATCAAAGGAATTGGTTGGCAGGTTAGCATATTGTAAAGATAAATATTTTTTGTCTAATATGTGGAAGGAAAGTGTATAATTAGTGACAACTTTGGTATTGGAAAAAAAGTTCTGGTTTGAAATAAAGAACTAGGAATGGCTGGTTGTTCTTTGACTTTGGTAACGAACTACTGCTGAAAATAATACAATTGTGAAATGGTTAGTATTTTGGAAACGTCTTTAAACAAGCAGGTACACAACCACAAGCCAAGCTGATTAAGTTCCTTAATTTACTTGGTGCCGTTGCCAAGTTTCAGCTGCCAAGATATTCATAAAGCAACAAATTCATCACTTGGCCTTCGGAAAATACAGAATATTCTTTATTTTTTCCTATTCAAAATAGGGGTTCACATAAACTTGTTATGAGATATAGCAACAGCAAGAGAAGGTAACTATCAGTAGCACTACGAGTTCAGTGGCACTTTTTCCATGTATAACTAAGTTAAAGATCCTCGCTCTACTGTACCTTTTTTTACAGCTTCTCAGAACAAAAGAAGACAGGCCTGCATTCGTCAAAAGAAAATCATTCAAGGAAACTAATATGCATAGCAGGCAAATCATTTTGAGTCATGGTGACTTGGTGGTAGTCAAAACTTGTCACCATGTTTCCTACTGTTCACATTAGTTTCCTTGGAAGAAAGAGGATTGGTATTGATATAGCAAGGAAGGAACTTGAATGTTGAGATGGAAAGTGACTTATTTACATCATATACCAGTGGCTTTTGGATCCTTCGCCAGGAACTTACCTGAAATTATAAAATTGCATGCATCAATATTGTTGCAAAATGAGGAAGTTATACGATGAAAATTGATGATGAGAGAATAAATGCACTAACCTTCTGTACAAAACCTTTAAATCTTCCCTCAGCCATGGACTTTCCAAGAACACATCATCACACTCATTCACATCAACTGCCTTCACTTCAAACTCTTGATCTCCACAGTACTCATTCCACTCAAACCACATTTTTGAAATCAACTCCTTTCTGCAGCAGGTTAAGTAGTCTTGCTCCTCAGGTGAATCTGCAGCTACCAATCTATAAACGTAAACTTTCTTCTTTTGTCCTGGCCGGAATGCACGCCCAATTGCTTGAAGGGTTACTGAGGGGTTGAGATGAACATCCAATATTATGATTCGAGAGGCACCAACCAAGGATATCCCTTCTCCACATGCTTTGATTGATCCAAAGAAGACCTTAGCATCTGGGGAACCATTGAAGCACTCCACGTCTCTCTCCCTAGTCTCTGCATTTGAGTTACCTGTAATCGTGAAAAGCTCCTTTCCAGGACTCCAGCCCTTTCTTTTTGCTGCCAATCTCTCCAAAAGTTTCAGAGGCAGGATATACTGGCTGAAAACCAGTAGCTTCTCACCAGCTGACTCACATAGGTCCAAGAAATTGAGGAAAAACTTCACTTTTGCTCCCTCTTTAATGTCCAACTGTTCCAGCATTGTATCTATGTTATCATCAACTGCGGAACCTCTTTCTCCAGTTGCTGGATATTTCTCTGAAAAATATTTCAGCTGTGGGTGCAAATACAGAGCGCTTCCTACAGAGGTTTGCTTAAACTTATTCAAGTTCCTTAACTGAAGAACTTCATTTTTCTGTCTTGCACTGAGATTTAGTAAGACAGTGAAATCAACAAGCCCGGGTAGCTCATCAAGGAAATCTCCTTTATAGAAATGGAGGACTTTGCCAGTCATCTCACGGAGATCTTGTATGACAGCCTTTCTTGTTTTGAGGTCTTCATCGTTCTGTAGCATGTACTCTACCAAGTCAAAGAAAGCTGAATCTGTATCAGTTCTCCAATGACTCCTCGCTTTCAGTATCTGTACTCTGCTCATGATGCGATTAACAATTTCTCGGCTAGTTTTGAACTTCAGAAACTTCGGACGGACAAGATTCAGAATGTTGAATACCTCTTTGACATGATTTTGGTATAGCGTTCCTGAAAGTACCACTTTCAGAGGGGTTTGAACTTGCAAAAGAGATTGAAGAACCTCAGTTTCCTCATTTCTTGGAAGATGACCTTCATCCAGAATAAGTATGGTAGGGACCTTTAGCAGTATATCCTTACAGTCAGCAGCCACCTTGTTGTCCACATTGTCAGAAACTATGACAGAGAACTGCTTATAACCTAAAAACAAGAAGCTCCTTTGTTTTACCCATTTTTCCAAAACATCTAGCTGCTGAGATCGATTATCTGCTTTTGATGAGTAAAAATCATACAATGGAATATCCTCAACTTGCCATGTCGTAAATTCCTTCTTCCAGGTAGCTAAGATTCCTTTAGGTAGTATGACCAATGGTCTGGCATCAGGATTCTTGGCTAGGAAGCTTTGTATAAAACTGATGACCATGAACGTCTTCCCTGAACCTGGAGCATGGGCTAAAATGCAGCCCCCTGGATCATCAGTCAACAGGTTGTTGCAAAGAAACTTAAAGCCCTCCACTTGATGGGCTTTCATTTCTTTCCTATGCTTTGGATGAGCAAAAATTTCAGTCTCCATCAAAATATTTTCAGAAAGTTTAACTCCCAATTGAGTGAGATCAGCTGAGTCTTTATCTTTGATATTTTTAGACTCATAAGCATAAGACCTTGTGCTCCTTCTGGCCTAGAACAACAACAAAAAAAAAAAAAATCAAATGGCAATGATAAGATATCCAAAACAGGACGTGACCAACAGAAAACAGAAAGAGATCTAAATCTCTCACTCTGGATCACTATTTCAAGCATATATTCACAGTTATCCTTTTTTTTTTTTTTTTGGTGCTGAATCAGAATGATCAGGAATTTTCATTTAGAAAGAGAAGACATCAAGTAATAATGTAAAAGATACGATTAAGGAGACATCTCCAGAAACTAAATTTAATATGTAAATCTATCCTAGTTGTGCTTCAACTGTTAAGTAAACAATTGGCTACTACAGATTCTTGTTTTTGTAACCAAAGGATATTTGATTCTTTGTATCACTTCCAAGGGGATCCATTCAACAACAGTGTATGCTTCTGGCAGTCAAGTCATCATCTATTGCTTGCTCAACACTAGGATATAGAAATGCAATATATCCAGCTTCAAGCATCTAAAAGCCTGATGTATCAAAATGAACTGTCCAATCCTAACCATTGGAGGAAAAACTAATAAGGAATGGATTTAGAAGAGAATTTCATACCTTACAATATTTAAACTCAAATATGGTATCGATGCTCCTTTGAATGATTCCACAAATGCGACAAACATCACCAATATCATCTCTCAAGACAAATAGATGATCACATTCCTCTCTATCCTTCTCCGTAAGCTCATCAGTAGAAGGATTTGCAGAAAAATCCTATCAAAAGAAGAATCTCTTAAATTAAATTACAAAGAAGGCAATCTAAAATAAGTGAAACCAAAGAGCTTGTAGCCCAATGGTAATGGTCTCTTGCAACAAGAGGTCACGGATTCAAATCCTTGCAGGCTAGTTCTGCTAGGAGCCGTAGATGTGAGTTAAAAAAAAAAAAAAATCTAAGATAGGTGAAATACTTGATTTTGTATGACAAATGATTCTGACATACAGAATGAGAATGCAGCAATATGCAAGTTCTACCTCAAACACAGCATAGAAGTGAAACAGTATTACCAATGCTAAACATTGCATTTTTCAATTTACAAACGATATAAGAATCACAGTATAAAAATATAAATTATAGGTGAGTTATCCTGCAAGGCACAAAATGCTGGATACAGAGCATACAGAATTAGCATACTGCTACAAGCTTTCAACATGAATGAAGCATTCCATCTATGTCATCAATTTAAATCACACACCACAACTTCACAATCAACCAATCGAAAGTTGTAAAGCATATCCTAATACTTTCCCAGTATTTGCAGAACAAGTAAACAACAGCTCGACAATATCAAAGCAAAGGGATTTGAGACACTTAAATTTATACATGATATGACAACCATACTTAAGTGCTTTGAATGCATAACATGAAACTATTGTTACTAAAACCAAAATAAAGAGCAAAAGAAAGGAAGAATGAAAATACCTTAGAACATTCCAATGCAAAAGCCATCTCTTTCCACATATCTCCCAAACCATCGTCCTCTAGGTCAGTTGGATGATTATCTTCCTTTATCAGCATGCCACTAACTGCATCATATGCACTTTTATCCATCTGGGTATTGCATTCAGCGGCCAAACAACCAACTTCCTCTTCACACTTCCTTGCTTGAATATTTTTGTCAATGCCAACGTGCAAACTTTTATCTATCTGGATATCAGATTTATCAACCAGGCAGTCAACTTCACCCCCCAGAGCTTTGACCTCTTCACTCTCCATTGTTTCCTCAATGTTGTTATCTGGGCAGCCATATGAACCTTTTTCCATATGGATATTGTTATGAGGCAAGCACTCAACTTCATCCATCGTAACTTTGACCTCTTCACTTTCTCTTGCTTCAACTTTGTTATCAGTGCGACCATATGGATCTTTATCTATCAAAATATTGCAATTATCAAGCAAGCACTCAACTTCACCAGCCAGATCTTCGAACTCCTCATTCTCCTTTGTTTCAGTGTTGTTATCTGTGCTAACAGGTGGACCTCTATCTTTCTGGGTTTCACGGTTGGAGGGAGAATCTCTGGCTTCATTCTCAACTTTGACCTCCTGATAGCTATTTGCCTGGATAGGGTTATCGTCCAGTTGAATCTGCAAGTAACATGATTCTTGTGCATATCAACCTACTTTGTGTCACGTAAGTCTCTACTACAACTGTCTAGCTTTCAAACATACAACTGCAATAAATTGTTGAAAAGAAGCTTACAGTAAAATCCTTCTCTGGAAATTTGTTGGCGGGCTCATTCATTAAAACTTTCTTATGTAAATGACTAGGCATCTGATTATTTTCATGGTCCTCGTCGTCTGAATCAATTATCACCACTGATTTATCAAATGCTGCAAAACAACTATGTGACTTGTATTCATGCTCATCATCATCTGAATCAATTATTTCGATGGGGGCCAAATGAGTGATCTGCTTGCATAACTCTTTACCCCTCTCCTTTTCCACATTGAAATCCATGAACGGAATTTCAGAGTTTTTCATCATTCTAGGATTTGAAAGAGAGAGGGCTGTTACATACATTTGCGACCTCCGAACCAAGAGTTTTTCAATTTCTTTAGTCACACTGCCATACTTGCTCTCTTGTAGCTTCACTCGAAGGGTATCAGGTATACAAGAGGCTGCATCACTATGCTCCTCACCTTCAGTCAGAATTTTCCTTCTTTTGCATGACTCAGAATTTGCTCCTGTTATCAATATCAAGATTATGAAGAAACACTAAGTGATCAATCAGATTTGCAGAAAAAATTAAAGTAATTGACCAGTACAAACATTACTGAAAAACATTCTCTTGTGGTCGTTATGAACATTAAAACCAAATGAGAGCATAAATTTATCACTATGAGCTTTGTTTCGGTTATTTCTTAATAAGTTCAAGTTATTCTTATCCTGTACTCTTTAAGCATGTCTAAACTCTTAATCACTCTCAATCCAATGTATGAACCAAGAAAAAAACCTGAAAGGCTGAAACTTTAGCGACAAAAGAAAGGTTTCAATCTTTTTTATATCTTTCTATTGTTGGCAAAAAAGAGTTCTCGAGGTTGAAAAATTTATAGGTTCCTCTAACCCACTTCAGTTAGCTTAGGAAAAAAAAAAATCCTTTCTTGAAAAACATAATTTTCCATTACGATAAACTGTTATAGCTTTATCCTTAGAAAATAACAAAACTCACCTCCATTTTTTAAATATAAGAAACTACAAAGATAAGAATTAATGAGTGCATGATAAACACCAGTGATCATGTAAACACCAGTTATCATGTGTATCATAAATATACATAAACAGAAGAAAAGGTTGGTTCATCTTTTTTCATCTTTTTACATTTTTGGCAAAAAAAGTTCTTGAGGGCTCCTCTTATTTAAAAAATTACTTAAACACAAGATTGCAGAAATACTTCAGTTAGTTTTGGGGGGTGGGGGTGGGGTGTTGGTGTTGTGGGGAAGGGGGCGGGGTGGGTGGGAATTAACTATGTCTTGAAAAAACATTATTTCGCATTACAATAAAAAACCTTCATTTTTTTTTAAACATGAAAAGCTACAGAAATTAAAAAACGAGCTTAACATTAATCAGGGGTATAGTATGAGAAAAATCATGGATCATTGCCATAAATTTAGAGAAATTATACAAAAATGCATAGTTATAAGCACATACCAGACTCGGAATCGGTAGGAACTGAGTTGCAAGCTTCAGTTTCAACCTCCATTTTCGTTCTTGACAAAGCTTGAACTCAGAAAAGCAAAATGGTCTTGTACAAAGGAAGTAACTTTCTTATGTTTTCTTTACAAAACCAAACAAAAAAGACCAACCTTTTCCGTCTTTTCTATCTCAACTTTCAAAATGTTAAAAACATTAAGGAGAACTGAAGGTAGTGGAAAACAATTCTTTTTCACTCGCACATATTCGATGTGGTGGTTTGCATTTGATCGGAAAATGAAGAGAGGCTAGCTGAAGAGAGCTTGAAGGTTGCAATACAAGGGCTGACTTAGCTATATTAGACGACAAGACTAGCCTGAATTGAACAAACAAAACATATAGGACCCACAACTGGATGGAATTCTAACAAGACTAGCATGAACAGAACATACAAAACATACGAGAGACTCACCGCTGAAAAGAATGAATGCTGGGAAGGAAACCAGCAGAGGATCAAAGACCTTTGTTATTCTTCCCGTTGAGGTTTGATGATTTTTAATGATGCTTAAAACTTAATTATTATTAAAAACTTAATTATTATTAGTAGCTAACGATTGAACTGAAGTCAATAAAGTTCACAATTTAGCTGAGTCTATAAACTTTTTTTTTTTTTTTGGTTGGGGGGATTTCTCAATTTCTTTTAGAACTCTAACAGTCACGTTTCTTCTTTAATTATGCAAGTAATATGAGAAAAAAATAAATTGCTATGTGTTTTGAGTTTTTAATTTGATTAAGATTCATATATTATTTTATATTTGTTTTATGTTTTTGGAGACAGAATGAATCATGTTTTTAAAATTCGTGTCTTTTAATTCAAATTAATAAATAACATTTGATTTCATGCATGAATAATGAATAATTATTCAAATATATAATTAAGAAGTTATTAAAATTTAAAATAAAATATAACTATTAATTTGACTACAATGATTAAAATTTAATAAGCATGATTCATGGTATTTCTCAAAACACGAAAAGACCTCAAACATTTACATTGGTTTATTTATTATACATTAAAAATGAAAAAAATATTATCATATTATGTAAAATAAAAATTGTTGTATTAAATGCTTTTAAATTTCAAGTTAAAAAATAAATTATTTAAAAATTAACAGGAGGATTTATCAATAATACATGTACTTTTCGATTAAGCAAGCAATAAAAGAAAGCAAAAGTCTATTGACTAAAGGTAGCAGGGAGGAAAGATTGATTAAAGTGTACTCGTCATACATTGAAAATGAAAAAAAAATATTTGTTGTACTTCGAAATTGGTACTTATATCAAATGCTTTTACAGATTCAAAAGTTGAAAATGTGAGTGGATTTTTAATTTTGAAATTATTGAAAAAGAAAAAGGTTTGTTTGTTGATTTTTAACTTATGCCTTGAAGACTTTGTCAGCAAGACACTGTAAGATTCAGGCTTTTCCATTTACATACCAGACTTGAAATGGGTAAGAAATGAGCAGCCGGCTTCAGTTTCATCCTCCTCCGTTTTCATCCTTGACGAAGTTTGGACTGAAAAAACAAAAAGGTCTCGTGGAAATAAAGTAAATTTCTTTTCTTCTCTCTCAGGCCTTTACCAAACCAAACAAAAGACATCACTATTAAACCACTAAGGGATGGCGCAGCGACAATGACTTAGTACTGAGGTATTTGCTTCTCCTATGGTCTTGGATTCGAGTCCCGATTGTTTTCTTTGGTGACCATTGAAGGCTTATATGGTTATTAACTTTAAGATCCGTGATATTAGGTGAGGTACGCGTAAATTCGTCCGGATACTCGCGTTATAAAAAAAAAAAAGACATCACTATCTTTTCCTTTTGTTTAACGCTCGTAAAATGTTAAAAAAAACATTGAGGAGGATTGAGGAGTAGTAAATAGTGCATAGGCTGGCTGTCTCAGAAGTGAGAGGACGAGAGTGTGAACAGAACAAGCAAAACAAAAGGGTTCTTCAACAGAAAGCGAGAATGACAAGAAAGGAAAATCAGTTGAGAATCGAAGACATTTGCTATACTTGCTGTTAAGGTTTGATGATTTTTAATGATGCTTGAAGCTTCTATATAGAAGGCAACGATTGAACTGGAGTTAAACAAGTTCACAGTTTAATAGAGTTTAGCCTATAAAATGCTGTGATTTGTTAGAATGATTGGCTTTGTCAATTTTTTTAGAGCTCTAATAGAGTCACTCATTCAAGCAATTCCTTACTCTGTGTTTTGACAACAGAGAGAGAATTATCGATCGAAGTAGAATCATTATGCATTGGAAATGAAAATATATATTTATTTTGCTTGGAATTGGCAATCACATAATTGTTTTTATAAAATGCTAATGAATCTTAATTTTGCAACTAATAAAAATGGAAAGGGTACATTAGTTGATTTTTAACTAGAACCTTGAACTCTCTTGTTAGCAAGTTCTCTGAAATTTTTTTAAACAAAATGAAATGATTAGATCCCCCATAATACCCCAAAATATCCCTTCTATTTTAGCTTCTAGCAATAATAGCTCTTGTATTTCCTGGACCTTTACACCTGTCCATCTATCCAAAATTACTTGAGCTCACTGTTACAAGCAACCACCCAAAATTGTTACAATCCTTGAATATTATGTTTTGTTTAATTTGGTGCCGCTCGCTTCCCCTGTTGCCCCTAGGCTTGGCGAACAAGAGAATCGTGTTTCTGGCAAATGAGTTCATGGAACATAAATCTACAAGATGGGGGAAAGAAAAAGAAGATTCACCGTGACATTTCTGTCAGAAGCTCAAAAAAGGCTTAACCATATGGATGCACTCACACACGAAGGCGATCATTTGGAAAAAGAAAACAGATTGCTAAACCAGACTATTAAAGACGAACAAATTCATATTTGCCATGCATTTCTGTGTCAGACGCTCAAAAAAGGCTTAACCATATCGATGCACCCACACAACACAGGAAGGGGATCATTTGGAACAAGAAAACAGATTGCTAAACCAGACTATTAAAGACGAACAAATTCATATTTGCCATGCATTCATGGTTCCCTGTACAGTCTCTGTCACAAGGATTCAAGTAGAAGTGTGAAACTTTTGAAAGCTGCAAGCATAAAGGCATGCAACCTATGCTTTAGATGATTACAACTACATAGACAGGAAAACTATGACAAAACACTGATGAATATTTACAAAGGAATGCTGTAAGTTATCTCACCTAAAGACAAGTAAAAGAAGTTGGGAATAAACAGTCCAAAAATGACAACTTAGCATCTATTGTCAATCTTGCTTTCAACTTCCCATATATTGCTTTAAGTCCATGGACCAGGAAGCTGTACAGTTTCTGAGTCAGAGAAGTAAGAATTTATTTCTGCCTACTCCAGCACTTCGGCCCTATCACGTCAAGTCCTACCTGAAACATATGGAGGAAAAATCTAAGGAGAAACAATGGAGATTTGCATATGCGAAAATTAAAACAACTACCACCGTGCACTAACCTTTTATACAGAACCCTTACATCTTCCCTCACCAGCGAACTTTCCAAGAAGCGATCTCCACTGTGATCCAAAGCAACGGTCTCCACCTCAAAATCCTGGTAACCACAGTATTCGTTCCACTCGAACCACATTTTAGCAATTGCTTCCTTCCTGAAGCATGTGGTATGATCTTCCTCTTCAGGTGAATCAGCAGCAACCAACCTATATGAGTAAACTTTCTTTGTTTGCCCGGGTCGGAATGCACGTCCTATTGCCTGGCGAGTCACCGAAGGATTAAGATGAACATCTAAGATAATTAAGCGAGATGCTCCCACCAAGGATATCCCTTCTCCGCATGCCTTAATAGATCCAAAGAAAACTTTAGCATCTGTGGAATTGTTGAATCGCTCCATGGACCACTCTCGATGATCAGAACTTGATTCACCAGAGATCACAAAGATCTCTTTTCCTAGAACCCAGCCCTTTACTTTCATCACAAGTCTTTCTAAAAACTTTAAGGGTGTAAGGTACTGGCTGAAAACCAGGAGCTTCTCCCCAGATGAATCGCATAAGCTTAATATATTAAGGAAGAATTTTGCCTTGGCTCCCTCTCTCACATCTAATGTCTCTAGCAAGTTATCCATCATACCATCAGTTACAGCCGAATTCTCAGAGAAGGAGTTCAACTTTGGGTGTAGATAAACAGCACTCCCAACAGAACTTCTCTTGAACTTCCTTGCCAGCTTCTTCAACTTTTGCACTTCGTGCTTCTGTTTGGAACTGAGGTTAAGCACTACAGTGAAATCAATCAGTCCTGGAAGCTCATCCAAGAAATCTCCTTTATAATAGTGAAGAACCTTGCTAGTCATCTCACGCAAATCTCGAATAACATTCACCTTCCTTTTAAAATCTTGGTCTTTCTGTATCGTGTGTTCTACCAATTCATAGAAAGCTGCATCTGCACCTGCTTTGAATTGCTTCCTCGCACCTGGAATGTTTACTTTACTCAAGATACGCTTGACAATACTTCGGGAAGTATCCATCCTCAGAAACTTAGGACGAACTAGATTCAATACATTGAACACCTCCTTGACATGATTTTGGTAGAGGGTTCCAGAAAGCACAACTTTACGAGGCGTCTGCACTTTGGCCAGAGATTGTAACACGTCTGTATTCTCATTCCTTGGAGTGTGCCCTTCATCCAAAATTAGAATTGAAGGTCTCTTAAGCAATATCTCCTGGCAAGTAACCGACACCTGATTATTCCCATCATCACAGACAATTGAGGAGAACTGTTTGTACCCTAGGAAAAGGATACTCTTCTGCTCCACCCATTGTTTCAACACCTCCAATTGCTGATGCCTATTATCTGCCTTAACGGAGTAAAAATCATACAGCGGAGTGTCCTCAATTTGCCATATCTGAAACTCCTTTTTCCAAGTAGGCAGTATTCCTTTTGGAAGCACCACCAGTGGTTTTGCATGTGGATATTTGGCTAGGAAACTTTGCATGAAACTGATTATCATAAATGTCTTACCGGATCCAGGAGCATGGGCCAAGATGCACCCCCTGGATTATCTGCCACCAAATTACTGCGAAGAAAATTGAAACCCTCCACTTGATGAGGTTTCATTTGCTTCATGTGCCTTGGATGAGCAGGGATGTCAGTCACCGTCAAATCTTCTTCAAACAAGTCAACTCCAACCATCCCATTTGAATCTCTGTCCTTGGCATTCCGGGATTCTGACACGTATGTCCTTGTACTCCTTTTGACCTGAATACAGAGATATATATATAATTAAATTCACAACAATTCCATACAAGGAAAATTAGCTAAAAAACAACAAAAAAGGCCATAGCAGCAGAAGCTTAAGTAAATAGAGTTTGGATTATACTGGATCAAGTAAAATTAATAAAGCATGACTGGGAAAGAAACAAGAGACAACCAGCATGTAAAAAAAGTTCTGCAGAAATTTGTGAATGTCAAATTCCTATATCCTGATAAATTATTCTCCATGCCAAAAATTTGATCAAGAAATTTATTGCAGCAGCAACATCAACAAGATCATTTATTTGCATGTATGCTATTTATATATTATTTGCTGTTATATATATTTCAACACCACCAGAAAAATGCAAAAAAAAATGACAACCTTACCTTATTAAACTGGACCTCAATTATGGTCTCAATTGCTCTCTCAATAACCCCGCATATGCGACAAACATAACCAATGTCATCCTTCAAGAAAAAAGAGTGCTCGCAATAATCTTCATCTTCTTCCATGTTTTCATCAGGTGGAGAATTTTCAACAACATTCTGCCAGAATCGGAGGAATATCATAATAAATACAAAAAAGAATGACTTTGAACCAACTACACTCTCATTCTTTCAGAATACTAAACTCAAATGCTGGATTTTAAACAAGCAGTCTGGTGAAAATATCAAAAGTCATTCATGATCCCTCAGCTAAGGGTGCATATAAGTCAATTAAGCTCAAAGAGCACCTGCAAAACATAGACTGAAATAATAAAACATAGGTTCCTAAAATATAATTACTTTCATTTCACCACTGGATGTCAAGTAACAATAGTCCGTTGTAGCATAGTCAACTATCCATTGATAATTTTGTTTCTTTTAATAACTAATTATTCTGCTTGCTTTCTTAGGCCAAACCATCTACCTTTTCTTCTCATCAATAAATAACGAATTCAAACAACTCCAAATGAAATGAGAGGAAACCTTGGTTACAAGTTAGGCATTCACAGAAGCATGCCAAAAAATGAATAAGAATTAAAATCCAAAACAAGTATGAGGTCCAGAAAATCACAGCCTTAAAACCAATAAACAAATAATAAATCCACAACCTCCCTTCTCGAAGAAAAAAATAACTACTCAACTGGAAACTTTAACCAGCATTTGTTGTATCCACCACAGCAAGACTACTCTGAGACCACGATGGACATTAAGGTAGTTCTTATCAACTACGTTTCCTTTAAATTTTTATACATCTTGCTAGAATATATATACCTTGGAAGATTCCAATGCAAATGACATCTCTTTCCAAATATCTCCTAGGCCATCATCTTCGATCTCTGTTTCAACTTCATCCTCCTCCACACCAACATACACACCTTTATCTTTCCTGATGTCAGGTTCACCAGTAAGAGTCACTACTTCTCCTCGAATTCTTCTCCCAGCATGGTCACTAACCTGAAGAAATAACAATTGAGATAAGACAGAATTGGCATTGGAAGAAGCAATTGTACTTTTATGAGAATCTGAAAATGAAATAAAGGTGCTACTCAAAACAGAGAAAGAATTTGAACTTAGAATCACCATTCCAAAGTCTACACAGGTAACAGTGTAAGAAACCAACACAGAAACAGAACTAATACAGCAAATACCAAACAAAACAAAACAAAAAATCGTAAATAGAAATCTTCCTGTACCATCATTGGATGACAACATGTCACTGAAAAAAGCATGCAGGCAACACAACGTGGTTTAAACTGTGTCAATAATTGCATAACTCGTCTGTGATAAGCTAAGTATTCAATTTTCAATCCACTCCCTATCCTGAGCCCTTTCACATAAAAAAGAAAAATCATACGATATGCACACATGTATATGAATGTAACTTTACCAAGTAACTATTCTAGCAAGCACCCATTTGAACACTAGGTCTATTTCATGACAATGTATTCAGCAAGCCACCCACATTCATATTAAAGTAGGCAGTTACCTCACATCCATCAACATAGCATATACAACAAGAAAAATGAAAAATCACACTCATGCGAATCCCAAGTTTCAAATCACAGGCTGCATACGCAGCAAGTCAGTATGCATGTCCCACATGCATATACGACACTCGCGGCTATGATTTGACGCCATGTAATAAGAGTCATGGAAAATTGTTACATGTACAATCACTAACAGCACATCAAACCGCATATTAGCATCATTTGGATTTTCACTCACTCACACACACACACACACACACACAACTCCAGAACCACAAAGGTGATCGAAACTTACAATAAGGTCAGTGACAAATTGACCCTCTGGCTTGGGCAAAACAATCCCCTGAAAATGGCCAACCATCCTATTCGCATTACTCTCTTCATCGTCCGAATCGATGACCACAACTGGCCGACTTCCCGCAGCAACATTCCCAACAGAATCACCATCACCCTCATCATCATCCAAATCAATCACATTACACTTTTCCTCACCGAAACTCTTTCCTCGACCACGTGACTCGTTCGCAAGCTCAGGATACATAACCAAAAACGGATGCATCATTTGCGCTTTCCGATTAAAAAGTGATCGGATATCTTCAGTAACGCTTCCATATCTTCCACTATCTAACCGGTCAAGTAAACCATGAATTGCAAACGGATCAGAGTAATCAGTAATCTTTTCTTTCCTCTGTTTCATCCTCTTATTTCCCTTAAAATGCGACTCTATCAACCAAAAAAATCACAAAAATTATGAAAAAATCAAATAAAAATCGGAAAAAAAAAAGAGGAGGGAGGGAGGGAGGGAGGGAGGGAGAGGTACCATTTGGAGCTGCGCGTTTTAGAGGCAAAATGTTCAGTGGACCTTGCATTAGAGAGCTGGAATTGAGAAGAAAACAGAAAACGACATGAGTTCATTCTTGAGCGACGGTGGTTTAAACCCTACAAAGGACTAATGAAGAGAATGCAAAGAGTTAAAGAAACCTTAGAGACAAGAGAGAGATTAAGAAACTAACCACTGAGTTTTAGCTTGATTAATTAAGAGATTAAATTGAATGGAAACTAAAAATCTTCACCCAAGTTCTTCTCTCTGTGAATACAGAAGAAGGGGGGACTGAGGAAATTTTTATTTTATTTTTTGGGAGAGTGAAATTTTTAATTTTTTTTAAAAATATATATATATATTGTTGTGCTGTTGGCAGAGGGAGGTTAAAAATGTCAGTAGGGAGAGAATGTTGTCTCTCTTATGCTTGTGCTGAAATTTAAAAGATGTTGTGACGTGGACGAATGACAGGTTTCAAATTGGTGGATTTTTGGAGTCTTGGGTAAACAAAAATAGTCCCGCGTGCAGACAAATGAGAGCGCAGTAGTGTGGGCCAGAGAATCCAATATGGTAATTTTGTTGTTTGGTGTTGGAGATTGGGTGATCGAGTTCAGTGTTGGGTTACTGCTGCTCCATTTCGAGATATCTTGTTACTTGAATTGGATTATACTTAATGGATCTCTTGTGCGATTGTGACTCTGTATGTAACTGGGTTCGGTTGGGTGGCTTGGTCTTGACAGTGCAATTTTCCTTACCGTATTCAATCTCTTTATTATATCTTGGTAGGAGGGTCCACTTGTTTTGAGGGGTCTCTCCATAATCTCTTTATTCCCTCTAGGACGGTGCCGATTTAGTATTATAGAAATTTAAATAAATTATACTCTTTATAAATATAACTTTATTTCTAAAGCAAAAAAAAAAAAAAACAAATACTTGCATTGTTTTATAGGGTTTTTGATGTCTATGTAATAATAATTTGTCAGTTATTGATCCAATAAATATTATACTTGTTCATAAATCTAGCTTGATTTAAACTAAATATAGATCCCTTTTTCTTCTTTTTTTATTTGAATTCTATCATTGTTTTTAGATTTATCAAAAAATTTACAGATTTTTGACTGTACGATAAGAGATAGTATTTTCTCATTACATAATGAAGAATAATTTTTTTTCTTTCTCAATTTTAAAACTAATCTAAACAAAGGAATTGGATAAAACCTCGCATATGTCATGTGCTCAATGGGTCATGAAATCACCATCCATTTTTTAGAATTATTCTTTCATTCAGATCAAGTTAATTATCTCATCTTTTGAGTTTAAATTATAAGATCAAAATTTAGGGAAATTTGTTTTCCTAAGTGTAGATACGAGGGATGCAGTCCTCGTTCCTAAAATAGCCTTAGTTACCTATGAATTATCGTAGGGTATGGCCAAAGCAAGCACGTTCGCATAGGTATCTATATCTCAGGCACTAACGTTAGTCGCAGGGAAAAAAACTGCTTTCGTCTCTTTTAGTCACAGGGCAAGACGAATGAGTTGTTTGTTGGCGGACAAGAAGAGTCAACAAATAACAAGTGGCTCCTCGTCAACAAGAAAGCTAGAGCAGACGGGCTTTACAATTCAATTCACTATTTACTCACGTTCATCTTTACTGTTTATGCAGCATTAACTATTCACTCATACTTATGTTCCTTTACTTATGTGGCATTATTGTAATTTTCTTTTTGCGTGTATATTTGGTATTGTTGTAATTTTAATCATTTGTTCATACATTTCTGTTATGACATTGTTATGATTTTTAGTTTTTTATGCATATTGTGATTCTTTTTTTTTTTTTCATCGTATTACAAATTTGAACAAATATTATAATTTGATCTCTGGTTTTTCTAAAATAATTTATTCGATTTTCAATTTTATTTATATCTTAGTTTATTTCTTATACAAAAAGAGAGAAGATGATAACAAAGCCTCTTCTGCTCATTTTAATTATTAATTTTCATTTCGATTTACTCGCTTTGGAGATAATAGTTTGTTTGTAATGGTTCTAGGTCATACAATAGCTAAAGAAAAGAGATCGATGCTCCAAAATATTCACTATAATTTTTAAATTTGATTTGTATCTTTTTAGTAATAATTAAAAGTAAGAAGTGAAAAAAAGAAGAAGAGAGATTAATTGTTATACATGTGAAGCTTGTATACGGATACCAAGTCCGTACGACTTAGAAAAAAAAATCTATTAAGAAAGAAAAAAATATAATCCATGTTTTTTTATTTGCTTTTTTTATATATATAATCAAAATTTATTGAAGTCATTTTATAGGTGTTTTTATTATAAATTAATTATGTATATACACATAAAACATAAAACATTTTTTTTAATGAATATTTTGAAATCAATTCATCTCAAATAGAATAATTAAAATTATGTTTAAAGCAAAACACGTTTATGGAACTATACTTTTCAAATGGAGTTTTTTGTGTTTATGTTAATATATATAATTTTAAAAATTAATTTTCTAATTTATATTATAAAATTTATTTTTTGATTTGATATGTTTTAGTGACGTATTTTCAAAATTAAAATGATTTTTCAAAAATTTATTTTTTTGATTTGATAGGTATTTGATTTCTTTTTTCCTATTTGATACCCATTCGCTTGAGATTAAAAAATACCAACGTGATCTGAATCCATTGACTTGCAATAGTCTTTAAGTGACAAATGAAAAAAATGACCCTCTCTCGGATTTAAAGGGGAAAAATTAAAAAAACTATAATTTTTGATTAAAAATAATTGGAAATAATTAAAAGAAAATTAAAATCAGTTTTCTATTAACTTAATGAACTCGACAGATTTGCCAACCAATTTCTTAAACTACATTTAAGGTATCATCATCTAAACATTTTCTTTGTATGATCCAAAAGTTTTATCATTGAATCATTTAAACAATTAGAGTTCGTTCGGTAAACAATAATTGATTTTGATTTTTTTTTCAATTCTCATCAACTATTTTATTTTGTAAAAGTTTTTATATTTTTTTCTTAATAAATTTGTGTATGATCCACCTTTTGCTACGTGTCGGTTAAAATTGATGCGTGTTAATAAATTATGATCATGTCAATATTTACAATCTCGGGCGATTGAGGAAACTTAAATATAAAAAAATCAAACTTTAAACACCCAAATAGAAAAATAGTAAAAAATTAGACACTTAAATTGTATTTTTTCCCACTAATATTCTAAATGTGATTTATTTTTTATCATATTTCATTCAAGAAATATCAATTTTTTTCGATTTCAAACAATTGTAGACACTCAAAAAAAAAAAAAAATTAAACACTCAAATAAAAGAATTTATCGAGTAAATATTCAAACAGATTAAAAAAAAAAGAGCAATGAAATTGCAGTTTTGTCTTTACCAACTTTTAATTAATGGATCTATCAAGCCAAGAACATCACAAATAAAAGTTAAAACTAGAAAATAGAAGGACATTTGATGTTCCATTCAACTACTTCCACTCACATGGGAGCAGGGACGGTGAATTAATGTGCTACTTTAATTTTAAATAATCCACGCCATCTGTGCACTTTCTGAGGAATGGAACCATGTAGCTCAAAACGGAACTATATAGTAATGTTTCCATGGATTCTCTGATTGGTTGCGGATGACTGGGATGGTGCGTCTTTGATCAAATCAAACAGTAAAAATACAGATCGTCCGAATACATTAAAAATTGTATGAAAAGCCGCAGAAAGATAGAACTACGCCCAGGCTAGATGCTTTATTGAATTTTCAAATCAAATGACCCTCAAGTACAATATAGTGTATTAATATATGTATGTATTTTTTCATTAGCCTATCATAATCAAACTCATTTATTTTTGTCCGAAGATAAGCGATGTCCTTGAAAGATCAAATCAATTTATACTGAAATAGAAACTAAATTATTTTTCTCAAATAATTTTAAAAATACCTATCTCGGGGTAACATGGTGGGATGCATTGATGAGAAGCATGGGGGTAAATTCACTAAATCGGCAAGTATATCCTAGTCAACGATGACTTTTGGTCATTTGTTAGCGTCATCTTGGGGCTCTACTTAAGCCGTCTTTTACACGCACGCTGCTAGCCCATTAAACATCCAAATATTCTCTCCACTTTCGTTCACGTCCCGTGTTCGATTCCCCACAATCCCCTTCTCTTCCTCCGTCACTTTCTTTCTATAGTTGCTTAACATAACCAATCCATAATAAATATTACTATTTAACATTAACATAAGCATTTCAGCTTCCCCTTGACACTCCTTCTTTGTCTCTTCCTTGTCCTTCAAAAACCCAAATAATGGGTTCTCTTCAACACTCGCAAGCAATAAAGGTAATTAAAACAGTCAATTCTTGAAAACCCACTTGTTATTTTTGCTTACTGTTAATGGTTTCTCTTTGTTTCAGTGAATTGAAGTGTAGTTTTCAAGGGTTTTGTGTTTTTTACTTTCTAGGGTGCGAAAGTGCTTATGGTTGGAGCGGGTGGGATTGGTTGTGAGTTGCTTAAGACTCTTGCTCTTTCTGGCTTTCAGGATATTCATATTGTGAGTATATATTTAATTATTTCATTTTTATTTTTAAATCTTCGTGGTTTTTTTTTTTTTTTTTTTTTCAGAGATGGGTTTTTGTTGTTTTTTAGTTTTTGAATGTATTATTTATTTGTTACTAGCCTTCATTTTTGTGTTCTGGCGTTATGATATGATTTTATTTTTGTCCATAGGAGGTTTCTTCCTGAAGGGTTTAGAGCGCGGTTAGGGTTTGACAAAAAGATTTTTTTTGTTTTTGAATTTAACTGTGTATCTATTTGAACTTGTATTAATTTAAAAACTCTAGGGAGAAATGACTTGTCGATTTATTTATTTATTATTCAGAAACTTATGAAAATACACAGGCGTGAACATCAATCATTATTGGTTAAGAAAGTAGTGGTTTTGTTGTCCTGAGACTTATGATGTTATTGACTGGGTTAATTATAAGGTTGTGAATGCTTTCCAAGTAATGGGTAGTTGGGGCTAACAGAAGGCGGCAGTTGTGATGAGAGTGAACATAGTATTGATGGGTATAAATGAAGTGGCGTTACAGTGGTTGTCTGGGGCCTTGGAAGTGAAGGGTTTTGCTCAATGGAATGAAGGGTGTTTATTCATGTGCGAGATGGTGGAGATGGTAGGAAATGTAGGTATGAGGTGTTGGGATTGTTTTTATATTTGGTGTTCTTTGTTTTTAGGAGTGACATATGGTGGTGGCTGGGTGCTTATGGTGAAAGGTTGTCTAAGGAGGTGGAGATGGTACGAACGAAAGGTGGCCCTCGGGCAGTTGTAATGGTGGTTGGTGAGTCAAGGGGCTCCCAAGAAGAAATGCTCGCACTTATTTGTTAGGTATGTCGTGATCACCAGCAAACTAACTTCTGTAATGGGAAACTACTGAAAAGCAGGAGGAGGGGTAGCCCTACCTGGAGGTTGTCACTTTAGCTGAAACTTTCATATTGAGTTTTGTGATTAGGCATTTATTATTTCACAAAAAGGTTAAAAAAATCTTTATCAAATTAATGGTGTACTAAGGAAATATTGTAGTTTGAGGCAAGGACATATGTTTGGATTCGAACTTTCATTTGATTGGGCATTTGCATAGAGAGTTCATGTTGAGACACTCATCTTTTTGCAGCATTCCTTTATACATTTGCTTGCATTTGTCTGCAGATTGACATGGACACCATAGAAGTTAGCAACCTTAATAGACAATTTTTGTTCCGTCAATCACATGTCGGACAGTCTAAAGCAAAGGTAAGCATTTTTTATGAACATTTTTTAATTGGTCTTATATTAATTGGGTACTGGTCAATTTCACGTCTTATCTTATTTCACATTAATGTTTCAACCAGGTCGCTCGTGATGCCGTGTTAAGATTTAGGCCTCACATAAGCATTACCTCGTACCATGCAAATGTGAAGGATTGTAACTTCAATGTTGACTTCTTCAAGCAATTTAATGTTGTTCTGAATGGTCTTGATAATTTAGACGCAAGGCGACATGTGAACCGCCTTTGCTTGGCTGCTGAAGTTCCTTTGGTTGAAAGTGGAACTACTGGATTCCTAGGACAGGTGATCTTTGTTGAGTATAATATAGCTCCCTCCAATATAAAAAAGAATAGAAAAGACTGTTTTGTCAATAGTTTGTTTTCATTTGTTTCTGATTTGAATTTGAATTGTATGGATTTATTTGTTGTTTACACATTTTTATCCTTCAAAGTCTGATGATTAATGACTTCAATTTTCCAGCAGCTTTTGGCCGGCCTTTTTTTAAGAATGAATGAATAGTTTTTTTGGCTGCTGAAAATATTGATTTACTTGTGTTGATTTATTTCATGTTTTTAAATTGCATCTTTTGTAATTTGCTCTCTTTATCTCTCTTCTTTCTCTCTGCCTGCTAGTTTATGTCTGGAAGTTGACATTCCTATACTGTTTGTTTGAATGTTTTTGAGAACCACGATGATCTTTATTCTTCTTATTTTTGGTTGTTGTAATTTCTTGGTGCCAGGTTACAGTTCATGTGAAGGGAAAAACAGAGTGCTATGAGTGTCAGCCTAAACCTGCCCCAAAGACATATCCTGTCTGCACAATTACTAGTACTCCATCAAAGGTAAATGATTAATGTTTTATGTTTCTTGTGGCTGTTATTATCAATCTTGATTTCACTTCTTCTTGGGGATGAAGTGCTCTTTCCTGTTTTTGAAGATCAGTGTTTTTGTTAACAGATGGAATTTCTTGGTTGGCAATATGTTGGTATTGAATTAAAACTTTACTCTCCCAGAAATTAGGTCACTGGTTGGTTAGAAAATCATTGCCAACAATAATCAAATTATGATGGTTCTTAATGTAATTATCAAGATGTTTGATGTTTTTTATTTTCAATTTCATTGTTTGAAACTGCAGTTTGTTCACTGTATTGTTTGGGCGAAGGACCTGCTTTTTGCAAAATTATTTGGAGACAGGAACCAGGAAAATGATTTAAATGTGCGCTCTAATGATGCTGCTAGCTCATCTGAGCATGCAGATGATGTGTTTGAACGGAGAGAAGATGAAGACTTAGAGCAATATGGAAGAAGGATATATGATCATGTTTTTGGCTATAACATTGAACTAGCTTTGTCTAATGAAGAGACATGGAAAAAACGCAATAAGCCAAGGCCCATCTATAGTAGGGTTGTCCTGCCTGACAGAATGACCCAACAGAATGGAAATGTTGATAAAACTGATGACCTTTCATCAGCATCTGCCATGGCATCTCTGGGCCTAAAGAATCCTCAAGATATATGGTGCCTAGTGGAAAATACAAGAGTTTTTCTTGAGGCTTTGAAGCTATTTTTTACGAATAGAAAAAAGGTCTGTTGGTCTCTTGTCTTTTAAGGAAGTGATTGTTGGAATCCTTGGACTTTTGGATGATCTTTTTATTTTTTATTTTTTCCTTGGCAGGAGATTGGGAACCTAAGTTTTGACAAAGATGATCAGCTAGCTGTGGAATTTGTTACTGCTGCTGCAAATATTCGGGCTGCTTCATTTAACATTCCTTTACACAGCCTTTTTGAAGCTAAAGGTATTGCTGGCAATATTGTACATGCTGTTGCGACAACAAATGCTATTGTAGCTGGTTTAATTGTCATTGAAGCAATCAAGGTGTTGAAAAAGGGTACTGACAGTTACAGGTGTGGCTCAATTTTCTCTGGGGTTTTTCTAGGATCTGAATATACATCTTTAAGCTTTTCTTTTTTAAAATGGTTGAAAGATCAGTTTGAGGCTGATCTTTTACTTGTTTCTAGATTAATAAGGTTAAGAATAAGTTCTAAGGGTGATCATTACATGTTTTTTTGTCTTGAATAAATATTGTTTGCTGCATGTTCCTTGTTTTTTCAGAGCAAAGCTAATGAGGTATTATTTCTGGAAATAAGGACATGACTCTGAAATGTTTATGGTATCAGAGCTGGTTTGTTCTAATCATATGAAACATCTATGCAGGATGACATATTGTCTCGAACATCCATCTAAAAAGATGCTTCTTATGCCAGTGGAACCCTTTGAGCCGAACAAGTCCTGCTGTGTTTGTTCTGAGGTACATCTAATTTTCTTTTCTTTATGGGATTGCCCTTACATGTTTTTCCATGCCATGAATGCATTCTGCTCACGTTTGATATGGTGGAGAACAGACACCACTGTCACTCGAGATTAATACTCATCGTTCAAAATTGCGGGATTTTGTTGAGAAGATAGTTAAAGCCAAGCTTGGTATGAACTCCCCGCTGATTATGCATGGCTCAGCCCTTCTTTATGAAGTTGGCGATGATCTTGAAGAAGACATGATAGCAAATTATACCGCAAACCTTGAAAAGGTATTTCTTGCTTTGTTTCTGGAAATGGTATGCCTCAAGTTCAAATTAATATGGTTTTCTATATCAATTTTTTTCCCTCTCTTTTCCATTAGGTACTATCTGAGCTTCCTTCTCCAGTCACTGGTGGGAAAATGCTCATAGTAGAGGATCTTCAACAGGAGTTCACATGCAATATCTATATCAAGCATAGGTCTGTCTTTGCTTTAATCACTTTAATGATTCTGTTCTTTGAAGCTTTTTGAGTTCTTATTGGGAAAAGAAATTTTTTTTTTCAATGATATTACAATTTCTTTCTTTCTTAAGATTAGTCTCAGTTCAGTTCAATGGGAGTAGGAGTAGGAAGCACAATGCTTTCTGGAATCATTGCTCAGCAATTAGATAATTGATGGATATTTGGTTTTCCTTTTAATATAAGATGTCCTGGGATGACTTTATATGATGTGCTCATCTGCTCTGATATTGGATTGGCTACTTAATCTTTGTCATGTTCTTGAATCTCTCAGAGAAGAATTTGATGAGGAGAAAGAACCTGATGGAATGGTTCTTTCAGGATGGACACAAGCTCCTCCTGAGAAAAAGGATGATAAAACATCTATTGGAAATGGTGCAAGTACATCAAAATCGATGCCAGCAGAGCCTGTGGATGCCCAGAAAGATATTGAGGTCAAAGAAATTTCAGATGGGACTACAAGTCCAGGAAAGAAGAGAAAACTACCAGAATTTTCTGAGTGCAGCACACTGGATCAGTCAAGTGATGCTGATGAAAATAGGAACCACCAGAAAATCCAAAAGCTTGACGATGACGACGATATTAACAATGACAATAACGACGACGATGACGACCTTGTCATGCTTGATCATTGGGATAACGACACAAGCAAGAAGCAAAGATTGCAATAGTTCTTAGCTGCATCTTCAACTTGATTGAATAGGGCTTCTTACATCCTAATTTTGTACCAGTAGGGAGAAATGGCGATTCTTTTGGTGCTCATAATTGTTATTACTAGGTTGTGATTTGTTAGTATTTTGCTCAAGTAGATGCTATTAACTGTTATTCACCATATCCCTTTTCTGGTTTATGACTGTAGCTACAAGCCTACATTGTGCATTCTTCATAGCTAGATTAACAGAGTGGAATTTGTAACTAGCAAGTACCCGAATTTGTTGAAAATGGACTCGTGAATTCTGCTAGATTTTTGTTACAGTATGTTGGAATCAACTTTTAGCAAAGGAAGTTTGGGACAGAGTTCTTCAAGATTGTTGTCTTATTTTCTGTCTCTTGTTGTTTGGATGATTACATACCGTCAATGCAGGTGGCTTTGCTGGTGTTCTAATAGTTGAGGGCTTCGAGCAAGATTCAAAATCATGGAAATGATTAGCAATGTTAACACAATCATTTTAATTGCTGGAGATCATGGAAATGATCAGCAATGTTAACACAATCATTTTAATTGATGGCCTGCGTGCTGCATCTCTTGCATGAATCTATTGTTAAATTAAATTGAAGAAAAGATGGTTCTATTGCGATACTGGGCACTTATGTTTGGACCTTGTCAAGATTAGACCACCATATGGTACTCGTTTAGATATAAACAACTACAAAATTTATTATCATTTACAAATGCTGAACAAGATTTCCTCTAATTCACACAATGCGGCAAAGCGTTAAAAATGACAAAAAAAGAAGCTAAATGAAGCCAAAAAGCTCATGTGGCTGTTTTCACACACCAACACAGGGTGAGGCGCTTTGGGTGGGGCTAGGTACTCGTCGACATGGATATGGAGGAATGTGCAAGCCCCTCCTATCTGAATGTTTCTTCCTTTTTTGGGATCAGGACGTTCTGGTTTCTTTAGATCTTCAAGACAACGAACATCAGCTATGCATGTAAATGACCTTGCTTTCCCTGAGTAATACCTTGACAACCCCCTCCTCCTGTTCAAAAAAGAATTCCCCACTACATAAGAAGTATGTCAAATTGCAAAACCAAACTAGATAAAGATAGAAAATGAATCCTTACTTTTGTGGAAGATTAGCCCTGAGTGCATCCATGTCAAAAGTCAATTGTTCTGTCTGATTCTCCATTTTGTGTGTGTGCGTGTGAGAGAGAGAGAGAGAGAGCTCTGGCTATGAGAAGATGGCTTTGTATCTGAGTGGTAATATTGGCCATTTATATGAAAAACAGTTGGAAGATACAACATTCATGTGAATATAGTAATGGAGATAAGAGCTCACACGTCATGGATAGGATAGCAAGTCTCTACAATAACAATAGGGTTCGATAATTGTGGGTTGCCTAGCATCCTCGGAAAAAAAAGATGCACCAAAATTGTTTTTTCGGTTTCGAAAATAGTCTATTCACACATCCACGTCCCATCTACACTTGCTCTTGTTCGTTCAATAGGGCACATTTCTTTTTTGAGGCATCTCCCTTTCTAGCCCCACCTTACTTTAAAGATTTTTTGTCAATTTTGATCACTCGGCATATCAACCACTCGACTCACTTGTACTAGAATGTTACTTTGTAGCTACCTGAATTGGTTATAAAACCATCAAAAGGAGAGGAAAAATATATCAATCCTCTTTGATTAAATTGCCATTTTTTTTTGTGCTAGTGCTAATGTAGTACTTCCTGCCCAGATCTACCACTTGTGCTAGCAAGCCCTAATATCCCCAAAAGTCCGTATGTTAACATGAGTACCACTTCTGCTGGTACTCATAAGGTAACGCCAGGACATGGTCTTACCATGAAAAGATTGTTCTGGTTTTTCTATTATCCATGAATAACTAATCATAATTATTTTTTGATGGTATCAAGTTTGAGATGGATTGGTTTACAAAACAGTTCAATGATTGATCAAATGATATGCCTATTCTGTATTTTGGAATTGACTTAGCTCAGAAAGTGATGAATTTAGTCTTGGTAAATGTAAAAACCCGCTCAAAAATACTCTACTATGTATATATAACTCACACACTCAAGAATTTTAATAAAACTGGTTTGTTAGAATTTGAACCCATGATCTCTTGTTGCAAGAGATCACTACAACTAGACTACAAGCTATTTGATTACTATATATACTAACTACAATTTTCTTTTAACTTCAAAGTTACTATAGTTGTCAAAATAAAAAAAAAATTAAGTTTGGACCTCATATTAGTTGTTTCATAAAGCCAAGGGCCAAGCTAGAAACTAATCCAACATTAATTGTCTTTTTAATTAATTATTTTGAACATCGACAAGAACCATATTGACTTACTCTGCAGACACGTATTTGCAACAAGATCTGAACTCAAGTGGTGGTCTCACAGTCTAATCTACAGGCAAATGTCACACTTAGCTGATTTTGCCAATCAGTTAGCCACCTTATTGGCTGATCTGAACCTACTGTTTACACTCAGAAGATTTTTAATATCAATGACAATTGGCTATCCTCCCAACTTTCACATTAATTGTCTTTGATCAAGACAACATCTAACTTATTTATGATTTCTGAACTGTGTACTGGATTGGTGCTGCTTGCTTTGACTTCTTCATAACATCATGGAGATTTTTCTTTCCAATAATTTTTGGTATCTTTTATTTGATGTATAGCAAGGTTTTGGGCTTTTTCAGGTTACCTTCCAGTTACAGATGAATCAAGATTGTCTGCCATTTCGCGTACACGATATCTGAAGCTATAGTGCAAACAACAAGAACAATGATATGTTCTTTTAGAGGTAGAATAGTTAATGGTTCAGTTTAGACTATTTTTTACATATTATGAGGCTACTTATACTAAAATTTGTCCATTCACATCTGTACAAAGTTAAACAAACTTTTCTGCAACAAGTTTCTAATCTATCATAGTTTCTGCCTCGATTGGAAGCTTGACTGCAAGCTTTAATTTATTCTACAGTTGCACTTGGACTAAATGAGCTAATCAGGAACTGCTTAGTGTTTTCTGGCAACAGAAATTCAAGGATATAATTGCAATTGGAGGCGATTCTTCTGAGAAAGTTAGTCCAAAATTTCGATCATGTCATATAGTAGGAGTTGATGGATATAGGCATAATACTACTGCAGATATACATCTATCAGTACCAGTACATTAATTAGTTCATTTTTCTTACAGTTTGTATAAACTCACAATCAAATACTACACACAAGAAAGAAGATAAATAAAGTCTCCAGATAGGAAACTTGCAACATACACCATGACAAGCAATTATAAGAGCGACGCTAGCCCATCAACCTCTCATCTTGAATTAAGAGCAAAAGCCACCATTTGATGTTCCCATGTTAAACTCTTCTGTTCTTGATGACTGCTGCTCAATTAGAACAAGGGAGTTATAAAATTTACCTGCCATTTAGCCCAGCAAATTGAGCAAACATTGCAGTTCCTGAATGCTCATCAATGACCTGAACTTCAGCTGGGCTTTTATTGTCTTCGGCGACAATGGTTGAAATAGCACTAGGAGTAGCTACAATAGCAGGGGAGTCAGCTACAGACGCTGATGTTTTACTTTCTTCCTCAGCTTTTCCTTTAGAGAAAGCTTCTTGGAGCTGCAAAGCATACTCCAAGTTCCACAGCACATCTCCCATAGTTGGCCTGTCAACACCATGCTCGGCCAAGCACTTCTCTGCAGCCTCAGCAAACTTCTTCAATGATTCAGGATTGACGGTACCAACAAGGAGAGGATCGATTATCTTTTCAATCAACCCCTTCCTCTTCCATTGCATCGCCCATTCAGCCAAGTTAACTTGCTCTCTTGGAAGTTGAGGATTAAGGGCAGGCCTTGCACACAATACCTCAAGCAGCACCACCCCAAATGAGTATACATCAGATTTATCTGTCAGTTGTTGCCTCCTGAAGTACTCAGGGTCCAAGTACCCAAAGCTTCCCTTCACTGCAGTACTGACATGACCCTGCCCCATAGGTGCGTCTTTGGACAGCCCAAAATCAGCAACCTTGGCAACAAAGGCATCATCAAGCAAAATGTTTGTGGTCTTCACATCACGGTGAATGATACCTTGTGCAGTTCCCGTATGCAAGTAATGAAGTCCGCGAGCAGCTCCAATAGAGATCTCCAGCCTTTGCTTCCATGACAATGGCGGCAAATTTTTTCCATAGAGGTGGTCCCTAAAAGGTCCATTGGACATGTATTCATAAACCAGAATCATTTCATCATTCTCGTCACAATAGCCAATCAATGACACCAAATGCCTATGTCTGAGCTTTGACAACATCTGAATTTCTGTCTGGAACTCTGTTATTCCCTGTTCAGATTGTGGGTTACCTCTCTTGACAGCAACTTTGGTACCATCATCAATCGTTCCAAGATAGACATTGCCAAAACCACCAACACCAATTATTGCACTTGAATCGAAGTTATTGGTTGCCTCCTGCAACTCTGAAAAAGAGAAAAAACGACCTAGACCAAGAGTTGATGAATAGAAGTTGGTCTTGTGGGATCCCAGTGAGGTTTTGCTTGTCATGAAGCTATGGTCACCAGCATGGACAGGAAGCAACCAAGAAGAAAAGCTATTCCTCTTTTGCCAATCTTGGGGTCTCTTGTGCCACTTTAACACCATTGCACCAAGGCCAATAAATGCACCAAACATCAAACCGAACCCTACGGCAACAACTACCTTATGGTTCTCAAGCGCCTTACCATCAACCCCGAACGCTCCATCCAAACTATTAACTTCACTGCTCATTTTGAAGACCTCCAAGCCATTCAGAATAGCATTTCTTGTTCCAGTTTCGTCATTCATAGGAGCAACCTCAACTGAGAGTCCATTAGACATCAAGGAAGCATCCACGACAATGTCTTTGAAATATGGCACTGCCAATTCGTCTTTGATGGATGACAAATCCAATCCAGAAATTGCCTTTTTCCCATTAAGATACACATTAAAGTAGAGATCATTGAGGGATTTGCTCACAATGTCACAAAAATGCAACCGAACTACGTAGCTGAATGTTGCATCAGTCACAAAATTCCATGATATATTGAAATTTTGAATCCTTGTTTCTGAATCAGCCATTTCCTGTGCAGATGCATAAACTGTTGCTGGCGCAATAAGTGGGGAGGTTCCTGGACCATATTTGATGGAGGAAGTAGGGACAGATGCACTTTTAGCCAAAGCTTCGTGCTTAAGGTATGGCTTATCAGGTACCCATCTCCTCGAAAGTGTGTCATTTTCGGAGGTAATCAAAGGTCCCCCCATGTTAAGCCTGTACACTACTTCGTATCCATAGTTGTTCAAACCAGCAAAATCGTTAGCTGGGAAAAGGTTGGTGGCTTGATCAGATATCAAAATGTCAGGAGCTGAAACAACCTCAATGGCATTGATGAAAGCAGCAGAATTCTTCAGAGGTTTAAAATGGATGGAAAAGTTTGGTTCGGTCATATTAATTAGATACTCCTTCAATACAACTTGAGTATTGTTATTTATATTGAAGTTGTGGAGAAGGGCATACTTATCTGTGTTGACAGAGAATGTTGCGGTTTGCAGATCGAATTCCGAGTTATTGAATTGAAAGAAATGCAGACGCACCCAATGCCATCCTGCACTTTTCAATGTAAACGCATAAGTGGCATCCTCTTTAAAAATCCTCGCAGACAGATATATAGGAGAAGGAACATTGGCTGATGGAACAGACACTAAGATATCTTGCTTGGTTTGCAAGAAACCTTGGGCCTCATGGTCGGTCTTGAAGAGTCTTCCGTCAGGGACCGAACCCAGGCTCCTGGCTCCACAGCTGATGAGGAACTCATCAGCTGGCTTGAAGGCATTGCCACCCGCGAATACATTGCCGGGTCCCAAAAACAAAGCAAAGACAAGAACAAAGAGGATAGTCATTGGTGGCGACAAGAAGGAAGGTAGAAGAAGATTATTTTTTGATGTTTTTAATTTTTTTCCATCTCCATCCCTCCTGGGGTTGAGGGTGGGATGGTTAGAATTAGACAGAAAGAAGGATCTCGAAAAGGAAGGTTTTCAATCCCCCAATTATGGGGTTGGTCTAGTTAGTTAACTTCATTTTTTTCTTTTGTTGATTATAAGTGGAGGGAAAGAAATTGACAGGAGAGATGGACTTTGCCTTGCCAATAACGAAGCAATGTTTATGGAGAGAAGATTTTTGCGAAGCAAAAATTAGTTGTTTTTGCCTCCTATTTTTGTAACACGGCGATCATAAATAGCTAATCTTATCTGAAATGGTCAAACTCCTTTCTTGCCGCTCTTCCTCTCTACGTTTCAAAATTTTGATACGGTGATTATTTGGAAACCGTTGGTCTTTGTGCAGGTTCTGCCTCCATCGAATGACATGTCGTCATCTTCTTAGACGACGTGTTGCTGGACCAGATCTTTAGGTGTAGTAAATACAAGATGAATTTCACAGTTAAATTTGGTCAAACTACATCCAGAACCTCCATACATTATTATTATTTCAATTACGTCTTCAAATGATTATAAGTTTCAATTAATCCATCTATCTAATATAACTGATACAATGTGAGACTTTCATCCATACCTGTTTAAACACCCATTTCATTTGAAAAACATAAAAAACATTTGAATAACACTTTCTCTTGCTCCCTCCAAAAAACATTTAAGCTAAAAGGATCTAATTGAAATTTGATTAATATTCAGGGGGCTATAATTTACCTATAAATAGAGAGATTGCAGGACTACTTTTAGCTTCTTTTCTTGAAAAACAAGTGAGCTAATTTATAAAAGAAACACAAACCTTAGTCTCTGTGATTCAAACAGTGAAAGAAAACAAAACAAAGAATGTCGAGTGAAACAGAGGAGGCGGTGCGACGCCGTACAGCGATAGCCGAGTACCGTAAGAAGCTACTGAACCATAAAGAGCTCGAATCCCGAGTCCGTACAGGTCACCGCAGCAAAACCCTAATTTTAATTATAGCAGATTTAGGAATTTCTTTCTTAGAAAAAGGAGTTTTTTTTTTAATCTTGAATTATTTATTTTAAAGAAATTGAGCTGATTTGTGGATAATGAGCTAGGGTTTTAAGTTTATAATTGAATTTTGCTTCTGGGTTTTGTGTGGCAGTTACAAAAGGTTAGAACTTTTTGTGTTATGATTCATTAGATTTTTGGGGATTTAGATTCTGATGCCTGCAGATAACTATGGAGTTTGCTTCATAACAAAGTGGGTGAAAAGGGAGAAAGTTCGAAGCTGCTAGATTAGTTTGATTTAGTAATGTAACTTCGGGCGATTGAATTTGAGTTTATGTTCAAGCTAAACATGACTGCCCAAAATGCCTTGGTGTTTTGGTTCTAGCTCAACTCGTGTGAACTTGAGTCGGTTTCTGCTATAGACTAAAGGATAAAGTTGGAATTACTAGGAAAATGGACTGAGGTTTGGTTGGGTTTGAGATGTAAATGTTTATTACTTACTAATTAAATCACATTAAAGGAAAAGGGAATACCAATTCTTTGTTTCTTTTTATAATTCCATGATCTTGTTAACAAAGATACCATTTTGGGGATAAAATGTAAGGTAAGGAGATTAACCTTTAGGAATTTGGTTTTTGGTAGACAAATTTCCCACGTTTATATTTTCAGTAAATATTGTTTTGTGCTTGGAGTTTTGTGGTTTTGCTTTGTCCGTCGTGTTAGTAACTGGCATGTTTTGTAATTGGATGGATTCAGTGAAGGAGAATTTACGGGCTGCCAAGAAGGAATTTGCTAAAACTGAGGATGATTTGAAGTCCCTTCAGAGTGTTGGACAGATCATTGGCGAAGTTCTCAGGCCTCTTGACAATGAACGCTGTAATAATCTCTACTTTTCTTGTAAAAAATAATTCGGAGATTGTTGTGTTTTTAACATTCTAAACAGCAGTAAGCTGTTCAATGTTTTCCCTCTTCATTCACAGAGGTAGCTCAAATATATCAATTTGTTTAAAAGTTAAAAGTATATTCATATTTTGCTTCAGCAGTCTGCTGTTATTAAGTTATATTTTATCTTATTTCTTTTACCTATATCTTGTTCCTTATTGCTTTCTATTGGTGGTTAGTTATATTATAGATTTGGGGAACTAATATATATTGTTGTGCTGTTTAGTAATAGTTAAAGCAAGCAGTGGTCCTAGATATGTGGTTGGTTGTCGTAGTAAAGTGGACAAAGAAAAACTAACAGCTGGAACCCGAGTCGTTCTTGATATGACTACTCTCACAATCATGCGAGCTCTTCCTCGTGAGGTAATTATTACTGCTATAAATTATTGGATGAGATTATTAGTTGGTAAAGCTACTGATGGTGTTGTTATATTCTTGTAATGTGTTTGTATCCTAAATTGTTGTGAAATTTTTTTGTTTTACAGGTTGATCCAGTTGTATATAACATGCTTCATGAGGATCCTGGTAATGTTAGCTACTCTGCTGTGGGAGGGCTCTCAGATCAGATTCGAGAACTTAGAGAATCTATAGAACTGCCTCTCATGAATCCAGAGCTCTTTTTGAGGGTGGGAATCAAGCCTCCCAAGGTAATAACACTCTTTTATGCTGCTTCATCTGTTGGCCTAGAAAATTGAAAATACTGAGGGAGGAGCTGAATTGCAACTTTTTTCAGGGTGTCCTTCTTTATGGACCTCCTGGAACAGGAAAGACATTATTAGCCAGAGCCATAGCAAGCAACATAGATGCCAACTTTTTGAAGGTTAGAAATTGCTGTTTACAATTTGAATATTAGCTTCAAAATGCCCTTGTGATTGAATACTCATGTATGTGTGTTAACCAAGAATTCTGTATTTTATTTGTGGGTTTAGGTTGTGTCGAGTGCCATTATTGATAAATATATTGGTGAAAGTGCAAGATTGATTAGAGAGATGTTTGGGTATGCACGTGATCATCAAGTAAGAAACCAAATTATTATAGAATATTTTCCCTTTGGTGACACTTTTGCCAAGATTTATTAATCATGACTTTATAAATGGTTTCTGCTTGCCAGCCATGTATTATATTTATGGATGAGATTGATGCCATTGGCGGACGTCGTTTCAGTGAGGGAACAAGTGCTGACCGTGAAATCCAAAGAACACTCATGGAGTTGCTTAATCAGCTTGATGGATTTGACCAGCTTGGAAAGGTAGCTTATTTTTGTTTCAATCCAACCAACTCAATACCTTGATTTGAATGTATGACTAGTTTTGACATGGAGTACTTGTTTTACTAGAAATTTGTTGACTCTGGGTTATGTTTCTAGGTTAAAATGATTATGGCAACAAACAGACCTGATGTTCTGGACCCTGCACTTCTCCGACCAGGCCGTCTAGACAGGAAGATTGAAATTCCATTGCCAAATGAGCAATCAAGAATGGAAATCCTCAAAATCCATGCTGCTGGAATTGCCAAACATGGTGATATTGACTATGAAGCAGTGGTGAAGCTTGCTGAGGTCAGCCAGAGATGCTTTTAACTGTACAAATTGTTAGTATTTTATATCAGACTACTGAATCGAGTGTCTTTGTTGCAGGGTTTTAATGGTGCTGATCTTAGAAATGTTTGCACTGAAGCTGGGATGTCTGCAATTCGTGCAGAACGTGATTATGTCATCCATGAGGATTTCATGAAGGTAAGGTGTTCAGAAAATGCATATCAAACTCAAGGTGTCAGAAATTTTTTTATGCATGTTAGTCATTGCATATGACACATTTTGAGTCTTATACTAGTCAGCCAGTGTTGTTTTTTCCGAGAGACCACTTCATTTTCCTGCCCTTTCACTAAGAGAATCATTTAGTAAAATAAACCCCATTTCTGCTATGCAAGCAGTGAAAATTGAAAACCCTTAATTTGAAGTCGCTTAGTTACAGAGACAATGGACATCAAAACAGTTCAGTTTCCTTGGACATTTTTTAACTGACTGTGTACCTGTATGTTTTGACATGTTATGATTTTCTGCCATTTCAGGCTGTCCGGAAACTAAATGAGGCCAAGAAGCTTGAATCTAGTGCTCACTACAACGCTGACTTTGGAAAGGATTGAACCTGGTTTGTCGTGCTTGATTTTCCCAATAGCTTTTCAGGCTGCCCAAACCCAGAAAGAAATGATGGAGGAGTTCAGATCTTGTACTATTTGTTGTTACTTTCAGTTGAATTGCCGCACGGATATTTCACAAAAACAATATTGTGCCAGCAAGGAGATATGCCGATCTATTATGGTTCCAGTCTTGGCAAGCATCGTTGTTCTTCTGGTTTTTAACGTCTCACATGGCTTGTTAACTGTAATGTTGCCAGTAAGCGAATTGCAGCGTTTTCATTTAATTTATATAGTTATGATTTTGATTTTTCCTTTTTCTGGTTTAATTGGAACATTTTCTACTCGAATGGAATGCTTATATCTGATGGGCATAATCCCTCTGCCAATCGAATGGTGAGAGCAATTCAAGAATCTCAATTTCCCCCAAATAGCATTGTTATAATTTCACTTTACTTTCAACAAACAAGCACGTCCTTGTAACTAATGTGTCTTATTCAAAGCACGCAATTCTTGCTGCTTAAAATTTAGTACGACGTATTGTTTCCGCAAAAAGCAATTATTGATATGAACATATATTGATGGATCAACTACTCAAAGACGAACAGAAAAGTAGATTTATTATTGCTGAGATGTAAATAAAACTAGACCACTTATACTAGTCCAATTTGCTCTACATGGCGGCTGCCTGTTTCTAGGCTAAATATTTGAACCTTTATGAGACTGATGAAATGTTACATTGTTACTTTGGCAAGAATCAAGTGCAATCTTCAATGCCATTGTAATGCATCTAGAGCTTGTTGGTGAATTTGTTTATCTCCTGCTGCCACTACATTGAAACCTGAAAAATAAAAGAGGTGAGGACCAACACGATGCCTGCTTTCAGGGCTAAGTTCAAACTCTAACATGGATCAGACGAATGATGTGAAATAAAGGCAAATTAGAAAAGGAGAGCTTGACGGAACTAGCATACTTGTTGCACGAGAATCTGGAGAGGCCTCCCAATAGAGATGGTGCCCTTTCCAGTCTGTTATAATACCTCCAGCGCCCTCGATCACAGGTACCAGGGCAAGAAAATCGTAGGGCTGATAAGAAGAGCAATATGACTGAATTATCTATTGAAAATAAAGTTTATTAAACAAGAGACTTATGGGGTATCAAAATGAAAGCAAATAGGCTGTTCTACTGTTGAAAAAATCATTAAAGAGGCACAAAAATGCAAATGCAAAACCCTAGTCTAAGTTTTACTTTAATTTTACAGAATTCATCACAAGATGCTAAAAACTCCACTTTATTTAAACTATTCATTCCTTGGAAAACGCTAGCAACCGAATTTGAAGTAAAAGGGTTTGTGCTGATTACATCAATTTTAATTGCTAGAAACAGTCCCTTATCTTCTATTGGTTCACAGTTATACAAGTCAAGGATACATCAGTTCTATCAACGTTGTAGATAAAAGTAAGCACAGGTTACCTTGAGACCAGACTCAATGACAAGGTCAACATATCCAGAAGCCAAGAGAGCATAAGCATAGCAATCACAGCCATACAATGGCACTTTCACCTACAAACAATAAGAACGCAAAACAGGTGGGAGAAAGTAATAAAAAAAACCTTGAGCTTTTTCACGTTCATGCAAAACTGCAATCCAATTGTTCACTCAGGAAACATTGGAGTAAGGTTCACAGACAAATATTGGTCACAAATTGACAGATCTTTACCTAATGTATCAAGTGATGCAAGTTGATATACGCCCAAACTTATATACTTTTGCCCAAAAAATACACCAAGAAACAGAGAACAAGGTAGATGAAAAGATAGAAAAGTACGAAGATTTCCCAGCATCAAACATGAATAGATACTGCCATGCCTAGTGATATTGTGAAATTACATCATAGTTGTGTGATCGGGACAGATTTGTCATTCAAATCTTATCAAGTTAGAGAGTAATGATATCGCATTGTTCATTTGTTACTCAAATATCTATTCCATCCCGATCAACATTGTTATGGCATTAAATCTTATCAGGTAAACCTCATTATCAAAGTTTATTTTGATTAGATCTCACCAACCTTGCTTCTAACACGAGCAAAAGCTTCCACAGCATCCCCACTGAATAGATGTGGGCTAGTGGTGTACCTGCATAGAGACAGAATGAACGAGTTATACCACTCACACGATATGAATGTGAAGAGTTAAGCTTTAATTAAGTAACATGTTCTAAACTGTTTATCTTCGAAAAGGTAACAAGACGACAGAACATACAAATATGCTTGTGAGAGTTGGGAACAAGCCCGTGTGGACAGTTCCTCTCTGTTTAATGTTGTTCTCCTTCCATTTATCCCAATCCATCTTTCTCTTAGCACAGGCTGATCAATTATGCCAAGAATCTGCAAGGACATTTTCAGCATTTTAAAAAGAATAATTCATTTCACATAGCAACAAGCTTACTTTCCCTAAATAAAACCGTTTCTCTTCCTATGCTTGCAGCCAACGGAACACAATTCTTACCGGTTTACCCTTATATAGCAAAGCAATCAGCGTACCAAACAAAGGTTTGCCTGAAATAATCAAACGAATCAAATTACAATTGAAAATTTCAAAGCTCAAAACTGACTACATTAACTTTAAAAGAACAGTAGGAAGAAGCATACCAGTAATAAAACTCTTAGTCCCATCTATCGGATCCAAAACCCAAACGAAATCCGAAAACTCTCGTTTACACCTCCACCCATTCTCCTCCCCGAAACTACAATTAAAACAACAAGAAACCGATAATGCAGGTTCAAAAACATTAACCATTACACCTCACAAAACCAACAAGTTTCCCGTTTAACAATAAACCATCAGCATTTCTTTTCTCCAATTTCCTTTACACAGTAAAAAAAATAAAAGAAAAAAAAACTTCTACAACGAAAATAAACAAATAATAGCATGCATTCAATTAAACTCACATTGCATGAGAAGGAAAATTCTCTAGTATAATCGAAATCATAGCTTCCTCTGCTGCTTTGTCAGCTATAGTAACAGGGCCTGTAACCAAATTAATTAAACACCAAAAAACTAAAAAAATCTCAAATTTAGTCAAAAGATGAAAATGAATCACTTACTCAAATCCTCTTTATCAAGAATTTCAAATTTCTTTCGAAAGTACTTTCTAATCACTTCACCAGAGGCATCAGCAAGCTTGTTGGCTACATTGGAGAAGCCATCAAGGTCTGCTTCAGCGAGGTCTAACTGAAGAGGATTGGATTGATTTGAGAGATTGGAATTCGAAGTCATACTGGAATTCAACTGGGTTTTGAGTTTTAGTCCTGACAAGGAGAGATTAGTTGTGTTTGGAGGGAAGTGAAGGAAAGAGCGAGAATTGGAGTGCAAAGAGGGAAAAAAGTAGAGGGTGTTTTGGGATTTTGAGAAAGGAAATGGAATTGTAATTGATGAGAAAACATTGCGAGTGTGAATTTATATAGGCGGGAAAACTGAGAGAGAAGAGAAGGACAGTGGTGGACTTGTGATTTTGCTCGTGAATGGAGAGGGACTGCCTTTGCTTTTTAAGGTGGTTCAGTTCAACGTGGAAGCTAATGCTACAGGACAAGGAGAGACTGTTTTCTTCAACAACTATATCTGTCTCCATGGGCCTTTTGGGCCATTATGGTCTCTAGAAAAAATTGATTATTGAAGCCACGATTATAATTCTTTTTTGCATAACCTTAAAATTTCATCGTTTCTCGCTACTTGAAAATAAGATTTAATTTCGATTGACATTCTACTAGCTTAAAGATCTCTTATTATCAAATAAAAAAAAATTATATTGTTTTTACAGTTACAATCCTTTCCAACAAGACTCCTATATCCCATTTACTCATTAGTGATATTGGAAAATGAGTAGTATTAGCTCCAGGTATTGCGGAGCAATCTGCCAATTCCATAATTGAAAATAAACCTAAGAAAAATTCCGGTCACTACTATCCTAGGAAAACCATATCCCAACTTCTTCTTCTTCTTCTTCTTCTTCTTTTAAGGTAGAAGAAAACGAGGCGGAGGAGGAAGAAGAGGGAAATGCCCTTAGAGAGAGGGGGGGGGAGCAGAGTCAAATTAGTAATCACGGGGTACTGACCCTTGGAATGGGGGATAAACAATTCTTTTATGAATCTTTTAATCTTGGAGATGGAATGAGCCCAAAAGAACAAACGGACAAGAACCAAAATTAAAAGCTAATTGATTAAAAACTATCCTAAATTTTTTATCAACTGGAGATTAGTTTCTAAGGTATATCTTTTCTGATGTCGTATTTTCAATCACATTTTCGTACATTCAACAAGTTTGATCACATATACAAATCACATTTTCGTTCATTCAACAAGTTTTATCACATATAAAATGACGTGATGTACTAAGAAAACAATGCGTGTCTTGAAAGAGATACTTCCAAACAAGTGATTTTTTTTTATTTCTTTATTAAATTAAAAATAGGTGGTGGGAAAAAACTTTTTATTGGATCATAAAAGCTATAAATGCAGTTTATTTTTTAAAAAAAATTAATCTATTTGAAAATTAATACCTGAACTTAACATTTTTTAACTTTATTTATTTATTTTTAGATTAATCCATTTAGTTTTCTGTCATTTAACCACAAAAAACAAAAACAAAAACAATAATATACACAGCTCCATAATGAAAAACATTTAGTAAAATTTATATAGAATTTCAGAGCATTTTTTTATTTTATTTTTCCAGATTTTTATTTTTTTTAATATTTAATAAATAAATAAATATACTCCTTGATCTTGAAAATTTTTAAGATTTTTCTAAAAATAAAATAGGTTGAATTTTTTTTAATGTGTGCAAACTTCAACTAAGAGTAATAACTAAAAAAAAAAATTATGGAATGGAATAAATCTAAAAAAAATAAAAGTTAGAGAGGTCAAAATAAAAATTAGAATTAGAAGTTAAAACAAAGACTGATTTTTAAATAAAGTTAAAGACAGAGCCTCTATTTTTAAAAAAGTATAGATTGGTTTCACTAAAAAGGGGCCAAGCCCATATTTACAAGGACAAAGGCCAAGAAACAGGTTCAAATAAGGGTTACAAATTTATACAATAAAACCGGGCCCCAGTATAAATATAACCCAGCTATACCTCTCGTGCAGAGACCGCAGACGAGCTAACATCGAGGTCCCTTCCCCTTTCCCTTGCTGATCAAATGAGCATTGCAATCTCTATTTTCCCACATATATATATATATATATATATATATATATAAAAGGAGAACCACTCTGTTGATTCTCACCTTCTTGCTCCAAATACGCTAAACTTTACACTTTTTACTACTTAATTAGCTGGGAGAGATCTGCACTGTTCGTTTCCACTTAATTTTCCAGGCAGAAATGCAAACCCAGTCCCCTTCTGCTTCCATATTCTCATTGCTCTTTGCATCCAAAATCACATATTATATCATCACTACCGTGATTTACATCAAACATAGTCACGTCCTTTTCAATTGTCACTACCAATATGATTTTCTACTTCTCTTGCTTAATCGCTATTATTTTGTTTTCATCCTGGAGGTGCTGGAATCTGAGATATCTATTTTTTTCTTTTTCTTTTTTTAAGAAACAAGGTTAATTAAGATCTTTTTCTTCATACTTTGCATGCTAGTCTACATGAAAATTTGAGTTCTTATTTCAACATATTATTAATTCAACCGAAAACATGATTACATGCTTAATACACGTATCCTATGCAAATTATTACATGACTCAGAACCGCAACAGGTAATCCACACAATCCAACCAACGCTGACCGCAAATTAACACCATGGAACACCGAGTGTCCTAAGAACATGGAAACTGCTTTACTGATGGTGGCCAGAAAATTTTTCTTTGATCTTCTCAATCACACTTTTCTTCTCATGTTCCTGGTAATGTCCTCCGGCTGGACCGGTGGTGGTGGTGTGTACCTCAACAGTATGGTCATGTTCTTCCTTGTGCTTCCCACTAGTTATTTTCTCCTTTATTTTCTGTTTCAGCCCCTTCTTCTTCCTTCTCCCTCCTTGCTCATCGCACTCAGACTGCAATGTCAAAGAGACAATTCATGATACACGAAAGATGTTAACAACCATACAGCGTTTTTTTAAAGAATTTGGCACGTCTTAATACGGCACTGCTGCAGGATTCTATATACGTGTCCCTTTCAAACCTCATCATCACTAGATATATACCATCTCATAAATTTTTCAAAAATTTTGAAAGTTATTTCAAAAAAAGATTTGGGGTGATCAGTGTGTAATCACCATTTCGTGTCCTAATTATATAATTAATGTTAATAAAAAATTTCTCACCGAGTCAGAGCTTGAAGTAGATGAAATCTCGTCCTGCTCCTCTTTCCGTGCACCTTGATCACCAGCAACCCCATCATGCTGACCCGTCTGACGAATGTCATGAGTACCCTTCATTTCATCTTCACTCTTGGCAGTACTAGAAAAAAGTCCAGTACCAGGTACCGGATCACTACTGATTATATTGCTAAGCGTTGGATGTTGTCTGGTGGTGGCTGTGCCAGTGATGTGCACAGGGTTACCATGTTCATCTGTTAATTTAACTGGGTTGCCCTGTTCATCTGTGAGTTGAATTAGATTGCCCTGCTCATCTCTTATTGTAGCAGCCATCGTTTCTAGCCCAAAAAACAGGAAGTTAAAATGCAACAAGCGTATGCTAAGTTTCGATATTGACAGTGAAGGATAAAGGTTGGGCTAGCTAGGGATGCCTAGTAAAAGGAAAATAAAGTGGCGGTGTAGCACAGACGTGGTTCATGCATGTAACAAGGTTTCTACACCTGGTGTTAGATATTGCAGAACAGGCGTGAAGGGTTTTTGCCACGTTAGCCATGACAGGAGACGTGTCACTCATCTGGGCATAAACGTTTCGGGATTGAGATGATCTTGATCGGTTCTGTCATCAAGCAAAAGTTTGTGGATCAGAGCAATTGGTACCAAAGGTTTGGAGTTTCCACCGTGGGGCTCAAGAGGTGTTGAAGGTAAATGATAGACGAGCGATTAAATACTTGGAACTTTAAGATCATAGTTTTAAATAATGATCTTTATTACATAATGTATTGATGATTATATAATTATTTTAAAATATTTTATTATTATTATTTTAATATTGTGATAAATTACAATCAGCGATCATTTTCAATTGTTCCTAATTTAATAATAATTTTTAAATTTACAGAAATATTTAGGGTTGAAATAAAAGAAAGGTGCATAATTTTTAATATTTGGAAAACTAATATAAATGAATACATCAAATTAAATAGCATCATCACTAATAAAAATTAATCTTCAATGGCGATAGGCAGAAAACAGAAGACAGGCTGGTTACTTTGACCACATTAATTAATACTAAAACTTGTCGTTTAGCTTTTAACTTCGAAGCTCCTATTTTGTCTTTTACTGAAATTTTTTTTTATTATTCTTATTATAAATTTTTTTTTATTTTAATTATTAAAATTTTATTATATTTGATTTTTGTTCCTGCAACGAGCTTTGTTTTATTTGAAATAAAACTTTTTGTTATATTTTAATTTTAATTTTATATTTTTTTAATCATTAAAATTATTATATTTGATTTTTATTTTTTTATATTAAAATTAAATACAATTTTACTCTTTTAGTTTTTTTCAGTTTTTAGTAAAAATTTTCCTTCTATTTTGGTTTCAATTTCGTGATTTTCTTTTCTTTTTTTTTTTTTTGTTATTAAATTTTCATCATGTTTAATTTTTCTTCTTGCCTTATTCTTAATGAGTTTATATATATATTGTTTATAAGTCTTTTTGACCTTTTGGTGAAAGTTTTTTTTTTATCTTTATTTTATGATCTTTACTTTGTTATCACATTTGGTTTTATAGTTTGTAATTTTGTCTCTATTTTTTTCCAAATGAGTTCTGAAATATTTTAATTTCATTTCGATTTGACAAAGCATTTTTTTCCTATTGTCTTGGATGGTCTCTCTTTATCTCATTAACAAATTACAAATAAAAATATATAATAAAAATTAATCATCTAAAATTCAAAAAACTACTACATTATCATTCTAATTACTAGTTATTATACATATTTTTAATAAAATATATATTTATATCAAAAAAACATCTGATCAACAACATTTTATTGTTAAATTTTGCAAACTTTTGTTTAACTAAACCTGCAACAATAGACAAGATATATTTTTTGATCTTTCTATTCTTTAAATTTTTTTTACATGATTCTTTTAAACAATTATTTTAAATATGTAATTTATATGAATCAACGCAACGCATAAGAATAATGTATAGGTCATCCGGTGGCAACTTACAGGTAATCAGATGCTCGTAATTACCTAGAAACCCAGTAATGAGAAGACCACAACACAGTACCAAATCCCACAAGGAATAATGTTTACTTATTCGTGTATGCGGGGTTTTTAATCCATACATCATTTGATTTGAATCAATTCACGAACTGTGTTCCAAGCAAGAAACAAATTAATCTGTACAAAATACCAATAGAATCACTATTCTTGTGATACATTTTCATTCTACTAATGTTTTCATGATAATATAGGACTTCTATAAATTCCTTTACTTCTTTACAGTATAACTTCACAAGCTAAACCTGTGGGACAGTTTAAAAATGTGTACGCAGATGGAGAAGTTCCAAAACGAATTCTTGAAGGAAGATGTCCTGCAGCACCCACGATCCTCTTTTAACAACGCAGAGAAGGTAAGCACTGAGACCTGTACCTATAAAAGTTGGAAGTCTTGTTGAGTTTCAAGAATTTGATGATTAAAAAAACAGCTTTTGCTTATTTTAGAAAGTTACCATTCAATCTAAATATTCACCAATATATATACCTAAACACATCATGCTATCAAGCACCGAAGACACAAGGTTCTTGCAATGACAAGTTTCAGTGATCTGTATCAACAAAAGCAACATATGCATGAGATGGAAGTACTCACCACTTCACAGCTGAGAAGAACCTCATCCCCTCAAAGATCTTGTCCAGAAGAACCCTTTCTTTCGGGTTGAGTGATTCTCTGTAGAGGATCTACTCCCTTTGGATCCAAATGAAAAATGCCGCCTTAAGAAAGGCTTCACCAAGGAACCTTTCATGCTGGAACTTGAGCCCAACTTGAGACCCTTCCCTTCAAGTCCACCACCTTTTAAGGTATCAAACATGATAGAATCACCATCAAGATCACTATCCACTACTCGACTCCTCAACTTCTTGTTCCTAGCCTTCAAATCCATTTCTGTTTTTAAAGCTTTTTGAGACAGCTTAAAAGCCTGCTTCTCTCCCAAGGTACAAAATGGGCATGCAGGATCATACTTGTCAATTTCAGGTGTCAAAGCTTCCAAACACTCGGCATGATAAACATGACCACAAGTTAAGACCGCAACAACGGATAGCTCATTACTAACAATAAGCTTCTGGCTGCTCCACAAAGATTTTTCAGTCAATAGCTTCGAGCAGACCCCACATGTTTGAAGATCAACAGAAGGAAAAGCTGAGCTTCGACCACTGGATCTGGTCTTCTCATGATTAAAGCCCAAGCACTCATTATCAAAAGACCACCTTTCTCTATTAGAAGTGGCCATGAGCTCAGAAAATGCATGCATAGACCAACCATCTGAAGACTCACCATGAAATCCCTGAGTTGATTCATTGTTCCATGAAGGAACAGGAGGCCTGTCTTCAGAAACTGGGGTGCTCTTTGATGACTTCCATCCTGGGATTTGCGCATCAGCTACTGGCTTTGTTAGTTGACGTCTAGGAGAATGCTTGAGCCACCTTGGTGTTGTTGAGCTGGCAGGATGCAAGCGACTTTGGGATGGCGGTGGAGATGTTGACAAGGATGAAGTTGAGGGCAATGAAACTGAGAATTTCGCAGGAGATAGATTCAGAACATCAGTGGATTCTGTTGACTCCTCCACCTGTAAAATGAACAGATTCAGCAATGCATGTCATATGAAGGAGAACAGGTAAAGTCAATCGTAGAGCAAACATGGAAGTTCCTTCCATGAGAAGAAAACTCTACCTGTTCCAAACTCGTGTCCATTGAGATATTCCTCCAGATGGATTGATCTGCAATTAAGTGTAAATGATCTCAGACGCAGTACATGTGAGCTCATGGGAGGTCAAAACCCAACACAATTGATAGATTTATTAGGAGGATTTTATCAGATGTTCAGTGTAGTGAGAATCTGAATGAAAGGACGAACTGTATCTTATGTTTCATTTTCCCCCGTCATACTTGAAACTAAGAAAACCAATTGCCACAAAAAAGTACAAACAGAGAACCATGTAGTGTATGGAATATTCAAGTCGTCCAAAGAAACGTAAAGAAATAACAAATCAAGCTCTAGTCGCGATTACAGCCATTATTGTCCCATCTAAGAAGATTATAGTCATTATTCTGGGTTACATCTTACAGAAGATAATTAAAGATGCATATGAAGCAAAAACATATATAAAAAAGTAGTTGTGAGCAATTGCAAAATCGTTCTTTAAGCAGATCCTCAAGGTCAATCCATAACAGAGTAAAACCTGTAGATTGGTGTAATAATTGCAAAAGCCCTGCGTTTCGCAGATATGCATTCAACATTTCCCTCTGGAGCTAAGCATCTCTCTTGGTATCATACACCTTCTATGAAATATGAGATGAATTTGACCATAAATAGAGGACAAACAAGCCCAGTAAGTAGACAGTCTATTTATATGCATACTTTCTGCAAACCTGGTTGAAGAAAGGCCATCTTCAACCATAAAGCATGCCTACTATCAAAAAACAAAGGGTGCAAATTCAGAACGATAACTGGGCTTAAGACAGATCAGAAAAACATTCATAATACATCACAAAGAATATCAACATAAAAACTACAAATATGAAATTTAGGATATTTGAAAACAAGTTGAAAAAAATGAACTAAGACAGGATGAATGATTCTGTCAAACCCATCTGAATAGTTTCCAGATAAGCAATCCCCCCCAAAAGACCCCACCACTTCAAAACCTTTCTTATGCACAATATGAAGAAAAGAACTCTCTAATTTCACAATGCAATAATTGCAGATTAATATCTAAAATCATGAAAAACATACAACAAAATGAATATATAATGAGAAAGACGTCCAGAAACTACTTCTCAAGGGAAAATTGGGGAAAAAAGCAAAGAAAACATGTTCAAATTCTAGCCATAGGATCTGCTGATATTGCTTAATAATCTCTAGCAAAATAATCACTCAGTTCAATTGACAAGCATCATCGAAATGGTTGAATTATGAGAAAAGCACAAATGCAGGACTTGCGAACTTAACATGCTGTACAGAGAGGTAAAGACACTCTTATGGGATTCATTAAAGAAGAGTAATGGCTCTCAGAATCTTTCCTCGGTTGATCTTGTTAACCATGAAACTAAACCACGAGATCTTTTCAAGGTTTTTTTAACAGATTTAGGAGCCAGTGGGCTTGGATTATGCGGTTATTCAAGAATTGTAGATAGAAACTATATTCCCAATACTCCTTTTTTCTTTTTTTAGCTTCACGCTCATACTGTTTGAAGCTTTCTACATTTTTTGCATGATCCCATCATTCCACCTCATCGAAGACTATCAATCTATATGTGCAACCTCCAAAATGTCGAACAAATACTTCCTAACATTAAAGGATTCTCTTCCTTCTACATTTTATATTTCTACTTCTGAGCTGCAACAAGATTATCATGTGCAGACTATTTCTATCTCAAAACCACAATGTTTAGCCTTTGCAACCTGAACGTCAAACCAGTCAGCACCAGGTTCTCCAACATGGAAGTGCTTTCCTGAGTGCAGGATGAGCATGTCATGCCAGATCGTATTGTTAGTAATTAGCATCTACAGAAGGCCCTCGGAGACATCTGTACATTTTCCAAGAGAATGTTTCCACTATTGCTACATTCATTAAGGTGTCTTCAGCATCGAGTTTGCAACCAAGAGGTTGCGAGATCAAAACCTGAGATTACACTTCATACAGACAAGTTTGAAGGGCATGATTGTTTGAGAATCTCATGTCAGTAATATCATAACTAGGCAATGAGCTTATTTTAAAAGCACGATATTGTTTATCTTTGCATAAATTTCCAGAATCCTAAGCACTGCATGAGTCGTTCTATTTTGGGTATTTGTGGTTCCTTGCCACTGGTTTTTCAGTAATATTGGAGCATATTTCATCTTGAGTTTTGCTTCTCAATTATTGTAATAACTAATAAGATTCCACTTCAAAATCAAATAAATTCTTCATCCTCGTCTTCTATAACAATTAGAAACTGTAATGGTTTAATCTCTTCTAAATACTAAATATGATCTAGCTATATGCAAATGTCCAGCAAGGGCAATGTTTCTACCTCGCAATCCAAACTATATGCAATGTAAAGCTAATCGCAACAGTATCTTAAATACAGGGGTAATTTCAGGAACTGAAAAATCATGTGAAAATAGGTCAAAAAGGTATTAACGTGAAGAACCACATCCGCCAGCAGTTTACCTGAAGTAGGAGTCCTCACATGAGCTGCAGTTCCTTCAGATGTTGGGGATTTCTGCAATGTACGCCTCTGGAAACTCTCCATGGGGCTTCCATCCTCCGATGCATAGGTTGATTCAAATTTAATATCTGATCCATCATTCCTGCTAATTCCATCAGAAAACCAACTTATCGAAGTATCTTCCCCTGCTACACGCCCTCGATTATCCCATCTAAAGCTCCAAGTTGGTGAATAACGAATATTTCTATGCAAGATTTCACCACCTGGTCCACTTACTATATTTTTATCTCTAGCAGCAACACAACAAGCACCTCCCATGCTCAAACAAAAACACAAAGTGTCTCCAAATTCTAAGACAAACACAAAATCTTCACTCACACTCTCTACCGTTCAAAAGCAACTCAAATTTCACTACCATCACTCTCAACGGACAAAACCCAGGTCCAAGTCTTCCTCTGCAATTAAAACAGGAAACGAGGGGGAAAAAACACCAATATTAGTCACTAATAATTTGATGTCTAGCCCTCCAAAACCACATAAAATCCAACACGCTGCATGTGCATAACCGAAAAAACAAAAGACAATGATCATCAATAACAGCAAACTCCTCTAATCTTTCACAGAGACCACACTTCGATGATCTAAGGCTAACTTAACCGCGAACTTGTTGTACCTCAAAAACACCAGTGACAAAGAAATAGCCGGTGATTAAAAATTGGGCTTCAACCCGCTACCCACGCTTCAAAAACCTATTTCCATCAGCAAACATGCAAAACCAAAATCATTTCAACACACAAAAAAAGAAAGAAATTCATTAAAATGACTAATAAAACAAATATTAAATTAAAGGTTTTGAAAGTTCTAGAGGCAGGAATTAAGAGAATCCAAGTCAAATAAACTTTTTAAAATAGTAGTCAATAATGAACTAATTACCAATAATTCAGTTCACACTAGCTGATTTTCGGGAAAAAAATCAAAGAAATTAAAAAGAACACAGAAATTGAATCAGCTAGCTAATTAGGAAACTAAAGAGTATCACTCTAAATCCCAGAAAATAAATAAAAAATAAAACTCTATGAATAGAAACCACAAAAAAATTATAATTAAAAAAACACTACAGAGGTAAAAAAGAAAAGGATCCGATTTTAGCTCCTTAAAAGCTGCAATAAATAGTCAAAAATTGTAAGAATAATAAAAAATCCGAAACCGACGTGATCGAGAGAGACTGTCCGTACCTTAATCAGAGGAGACGACAGCGTTTTTAAAGCGACAAATCAATTTCTAGAGAGAGAGAGATGGAGAGCGGTCTTTTAGAGAGAGAAGATGAGAGGAAGAGAGTGAGGCTGCTCGTTCTTTTGGTTACCCAGAGAGAGAGAGGGGGAGGTCGTTTTTGACGGGTTTTATGGTGACGGCGTTAGAATTTGTTAACGGGATTCGACGGTTTGTATTTTGACGGAGTTAGTAGGTGACGTGTAGTTTTTTTCGGACGCTTTTGTCACAATTGTTTTTCTTCTTATTCGCGGTAAAATTTTAAACGAAAATAAATGGGTATATTCATTAGCCTGTCCAAAATAGGAGCTGTGCTAGAGTGAGTAGTACCTAGTACTGCTTAAATGCTACTTCGATTGTACTTTTGTTTTTCCTTCAAATTTTACTGTAAACCGACTAGTTAAAACTTAAAAATTCTGCCTGTTTGTTCTTCGATGAAAAACATATTATTTAAACCGAAGCTGATAATTAATTCAATTTTTATTTTTTATTTCATTTTGGGTTAGATATGATAATAATTAGATGTGTTTTTTATGTTATCATTTTGGATGAAAATCAATAAAAAAATCATTGAAATATATTTTCGTAAATATATCAATATAAATGTAGGTGATACGGCCAAAACTCGATGCCAAAAAACCTTAATCTCAATATAAATATTAATTATTAAAATAAAAATATTTTGACCATTAAAAATTTGTTAGATAAATGAAATTATAATTTTGGATTTGGATTTGTTATTTGGGTTTATGCTACTCTTATTTTTTTAAATTCTTATTTTTGAATTCATTAAATCACAATTTACAAAAAATATAATAAAATTAGAAATCTAAATTTAACTATTACACTGTCTTGATGGACCCTTCTTAAAAAAAAAATGAGAGCGCACTTCTGGAAATAGAATCTTCGAATTTTTTTATGCTTGGAGAATTTATTAAAGCACAAAAAATGAGGGCATATATCGATGAAAATGGAGGAATAGACTACAGAATATAGATAGAGCTAGGCAGCTAACCACCCCTTACCAGCGATGCCTTCTGCAGTACGCGGAGTGCGCAGTACGCATTCGATTCTTTTCACCTTACAAGAAGAGACTAGAAAGTATAAATGGTGGGGTTAAACTTCAACAAAGATTCTTCAAAAAAGTCCCACTCCTTATTATTCTACATTTCCTTTTACTTATTTACAAAATTAAACTAATCTTTAGTCTTTGTTTTAGATTCTTTCGGTTCAATTGAGTTAATCCTCTTTCCAGAAGTCTCACTAAAGTTCAGACCATCAAGCAAGATGAATTTCATATACCATAAGCATACAATGCGTAAAAAATATTAACTATTAACAAGTGCAAAAGACTTTTATTATCCTACAAACTGACATATATTTTATATTAATATTTAATTTCAGTTTTGATTGATATATAAATTTATTTTATTATAAAAAATAATATTTTTTCTGTATTCTTCAAATATTCCCGATTCAAAAGTTTAGGTTAATATTTCATTGTTCGATCAAAGATATCAAAGTTTAAACTAACATTTCGTTATTCAATCGAATGTATAAAACAAACATAATTATTTAAAAAATTTTATGTGTATATCATTTATTTAAATAATTAAAATTATTTTTATTAAAGGCAACTCTTTCAAATTGAAAAAAAAATAAAAATTAATCACTTTAATATTACGAGCCCTGCATGTTGGAAATTTGGCATATTCTAAATTAGTGTGCTTGAAAAATATATGCACAATAAATGTTTGTCGGTCAAATATTCGTTGTGTGTAAATTGGCTACTCGATCGTGTCAATTAATAAGAAATTTTGTGGGACGGCGATGATTTTTGTTAGGTGGTTAGAGATGGACGGTGCAACGTAGCAAACATTTTGAGTTGTCCACGTAAATGGCAAATGGCTGCTACGTACTACTTAAAAAATTCGGTTGATAATGTGGTTCAACTTATTGTATTTCTTATTAGTATAGAGTCAAAAAGAAGTGGACGGTTTTACGACAAACTTGTAAACGGGCTACCAAAAATATCCTCCAAGTTTTTCGATACTTGCCTAGTCAAGAGGGACAAAAAGCAAATAAGTGTTAGCTCCATTGGTATTAATGTCTTTTTAAAAACAAACTGGAGTTCAAATCCTTGCCCTTAACACGGAGAGAGATGAAAGTGACATAATTAACCCTTTGAAGAGTTTTGAATCTGGGCATGAAAAGTGAGGTTTTGAGGAAGGTCTTTGTCGAAGCGGTGGCGTGTATTGCTTAGAGATGCCAAATCATCACGTAATTAATATTAAACATCCAAATCAAGGGGGATTAGGTGAGTCACCAAAGTGTTTAGGTTACAAGTCTCCATTTATTTAGGGAGAACGTAAAGCATGATTCATTAATTACTTTGATGGAGCTTGTGGAGATCGATTGATCGATCATGGTCGTGGGGGTTTCTTTTTGGGCAATTCTGGGTGACTTGCATGCATGGAGACCAAAACTTATGGTGTTACCAAAATGTAACAGCTCCCATTTTTATATTTCCTTTTGATAAACTATGCATTGATATTATGGTGGACAGTATTGGACATCCTTTTTATTCTATGAAATTTAATTTTTACCGTATGTATTATAATGCGAGAAATTCATAGTTCATTTAAGAAAAGTTCGTTTGGATTTCAACATAAGATTTAACATAATTCTCCGACCCCATTACTCCCGCTAATTATTCGACTAAGTTTGGGACAGAGACGTGAATGTATTTTGGAGACAAGACAGAGAAAGAACGAAACGAAAAAAACGTTTTAGCCACCGAATCGCCATTTTTTTAATTAACATAAGAGCACTAAATTGTCATTTCGTCGACTACGAAGATGGGGCCAGGTACAACAAATACAAGTCCAAGAGAGGTTTACCATTGGATAAGGAATGGGTTCGTAACAGCTTCGAGCTAAGGCCTAGACCAAACAAAGAACGGAGGCCCAGACTCAGCACTGACCAAGCCTAGCCTAATAACAAAAAGAAAAGAATCATATTTACAGACCCAAGCAAGCAATCACGAATTGAGTCTCACCATATATATATATATATATTATTTGAAAGGGATTTTATATTTTATATATATAAAAATTGATGCTAGGGAATAATATTGATGCCCAAAATAATATAAATAAATATTTGCACGAACTCTTTTTATGCTTCTTTTTTCTTTTTGGAAGGATAATGGTATTATCACGTCAATTATATACTTGTTTTATCAACTTTTACATCCACGTAATTACGGGTGTATCCATGCATTAAAAAAATATTTTTCTTATCTTTTTTTTTAATTCGTATTCTCTGTTGTAGATAAGAAAATATTAATATTGAATAAATCTTAGATTAATAATTTTGTTATATATATAAAAAAGCTTATCTCATATATATAGTGTATATATCGAAACAAATACATAAATTTTTATATAATCTTATGGTAATTGAACTACAAGATACATTGGTAAAACCATACTCATCATATTCTATCTAGAATTATCAGTATCTAATTAACAGTTATGCTTATTATTATTTTTTTAAAAAAACATTTGTTGAATTCAAGCAGCTTTTATGACATTATTAGAAGAATTCAATCAATTAACACTCTCATTGTTTTTTATGAGTTTCATTTTTTTTTATATTAAAAATTCAATTAGCAAATCGATGGATTTAGCTATTGTTTTCTTTGTTTTCAAAAATATATAACAATTAATCTCTACGTTTTCAAAAACAAGAAAAAGAAAATCATTGTTCTATACAAGAAAAAGAAAAACATTGTTCTAAATGCTGGAGAAAATGTATGTTAATTTAGTTTCTTCTAACATCTTATTTGAACACGCAAAAACACAAAACCTTCAAGAAAATGAAGGTTTCAAATTGAGATTTTTTTTAATAGAGATGAATTTTAATAACTAAAATTATAAAAGATACAAAATTAAGAGTTTGTTCATAGACCAGTAGGGAGGTCATGTCATATTCACAGTACTCATCAAACCCGCATGGTATGTTCACCACAACATTCTTATTCAAATTACTTTTCATATTTATATCCCAAATGAACAGATCTATATAAAGACACATAGACTTATGGAGCTATACATCTCGATCGGAAAAGAATCAATAGAAAAAGAAAGAATCGGAATTGATCACTATATTTCTCGAAACAAACGAAAAGGGGCAACGGGTTTTGATCCTGCCATTCGCAAGTTCGAATCCTTCCGTTCCAAAGCATATTTATTATTCTCTACATTAAAATAAAGATTTTTTTTTTCTGAAACAACCTTCTACCTTCTATTCATAATTAAAATTAAGAGTATAATAAATGTAATTCTTGCTTCTTGTTTTTAATGACTTTTCTCAAATCATATCTTTTTTCATAAAGATTATGCAGATGCAATTAAATCTGGTTTTGTTTAAGGAAACATGGAAACACAGATTCAAAGAGTTTGAATTAAGAAAAAGTCAGACGGGTTTTTCATTATATCTTTATCCTTGGGCCGGTTTAGGGTGTAAAAAAAGTAAACAATGAATTCATCTGGATCTCTTTGGCTATATATATATATATCAGCTGATAAAGTATATATTAGTCCAGTGAATGAAATTTATAAATAAACAGAAGCTATGCGTATATGGGAGTTAGAACTTAGAATATCGAGATAAAAATCCCTCTATTCTCTAAATATAAATACTAGAAAATAAAAAATAAACAAAAACATCCACAATCAAGCAGTTTACCATGCAAAAGACCTCATACATATTTTCATCTACTTATAAAGTTATATATAAAAAAAAGGAAAAAAAAAACATTATTTTAGGGTACAAAACTTAGTATATATATGGGATACTTACTAGCTAGTATAGGACACACAGTACAACTTATATACGCATAGGGTACAAACTTATTCAAATATACTGCTACTCTTACTCATCTCAACCTCTTTAATATGCATGACTAAACCAACCATGCCATCAGTTTGGTATGAGCTTGAAAGGAGGCCTAACAAGAGCCGGTGCTGGATTATAGTTTCCATAGTCTTTGGTGTTAACTTTTAGAAGCCTTTCATGGATAGTTGTCACTTCATTGTTGTCCGATGGCTTGCTTGATTTTTCCTACAATAAGCACCAAGAATTACGAGATGAATCGTAAAAAAAACACAGACAGTTATATATGAAAGTTATAATGTAACTAACAATGAATCATGATTCTATAATCTGGACATGTAAGCTACACTGTGGTTAAAGAGCTACGCTTGAACCATCGACAGCGTATGATAATGGAAATTGATGTCATGATTATAACCGAAGAAAATTATCAACCTTATCAATTAATGATTTGTGCATAGTTTCTTGCTTATAAAGAATTCAAAGATCTTAGAATTTTGGTTTTCAATGATAATATATGATTACAAACCTCATAAGTGGCACTGACCTCCACCTTATCAGCCAACTTGGACTGTCGACCTGCAATTTGAAGGTGTGTTAATGATGAATTTTTCCTGTTTATAAACCACGAACATAAGAAAGAAAGAAAAAAAAGGGAGTTAAACTGATGGAATGCCTTTGGAATGTTTGTTAGCATGCATGTTACCCTAGCTAGCATGCATGCATAATTGCAGGTTTGATAGTGTACAGAAATATCTGCAGATTATAGAAGACAGTTGATTTAATCTTGTCCAGATCATATTTATAGTACTGCATCCATTTTTAAGTTGTTGTACGTACGGATATGCACCAAAAGCTGCAGGAAGTGACAGAAAAAGATGACACCCACCTGCAAAAGAAGTTGATAGAAATGATGCTGAAATAAGGAGGAAGAGAAGGCTAATCTTCTTGAGAAGCATGAGACCCATGTTAGGAAACTTTGTCTTTCTAATTGAGCTCTGTTTTCTTTTTCAGAGAGAGTACGCCTAAAATGAACCTTCCTCTCTATATTAATTGAAAGCACTTGGAGTGGAAATCTTAGAGATATTATAAACTGAATAATGATTAATTTATTAGAAAAAGAAAACAAAACTTTAGCTTTTTAGTGTAAAATTCAAAACAAAAAGGCGAAGAAGACCACTTTTCTTTTGTTGGGGACTAAGTCTATGAAGTTAGTGGACTTAGAGAGTAGTTAATCCTGATAACAGTAGTGAGCGTGACCTCAGTGGAAATTATCAAAATCTCCCTCGAGTTTCAGAAGCTGGAATTAAAGTTTGGTTAGATGATGATTACAGGATAAATACTCTTCAAAAACTAAGCAAAACAAACACATAAATATAAGTAGGATAATGAAAATAAATTACAAGATTTTTGTTGAGACATCTGAAACCCAAGATTTTTGAATTTGAGAACTCAAAATTAAAGAGTATACGGATCTTCCAGAATTAATTAAAGATAACTGTATGGCTTCAAGGGTAAAATTGTATTTGCAGGGATGAGTTAACTGTAAGCTCAACATGGTAGCAGTGAAAACCAGGCCGAGAGTGCTTGCTGATTTGATTGTTGTTTGTCCTTTGGCTGTGCCCTAAAGATGAATTAGGTTGCATAAAATAGCTTTTGTGGATGACTAGTGCTTCCAATTATCCTTAACGACAAGGACAACCCACCAAATACAACTGAAAGGACACTGGTGGAGAATAAAGGAAGCCACTGTTGGATTATAAAATACCCTTATCTTCCTCTTCTTTTCTAATAAAGTGGTGTTAGGCGAAGCACTCCGGCCTTAATTTAAGTAAATCTCTATTCCTTCATTCTACTATCCATCCAATTATTAGTCAATGTCCTTGTAATTAACACTTCTAACAATTTGTCAAGTTTCAACAAAAGTACATGATTAGTAAATATGATTAGAATAGACTAAGTGTGTTCACTATTTCGTAAAAACCGAATAATCGAACCGAATCGTATAGAAATATCAATTTTGGTATGATTTTTTTTAAATTAAAATAAAAAACCAAATCAAAATAATTTCGGTTTTCAAGTTTGATTTCGGTTATTTAAAAAAAAAAATTGGTTAACCGAAAAACCAAAATTTTTAATATACATATTTTAAAAAAAAATGTTAAATCATTCAATGCATCCCAAAATTGAAGAACTCTTCTCTCATAGATGCACTTTCTCAAATAGCTTCGTATGTGCTCTTTTTGTCTCTACTGGGGTTGATAGATTTTCTAGTGTCTCAAATTTAAGCCTTCTTAAGTAAGCAATTTATTATTTGTTTATCTATCAATGCATTTGTTATTTTTTTGGACGTAACTTAAGTTCCTAACTAGTAGTCCACACAGCAAAAAGGAAACCTATTCTAAACAAAAATTTCAAGAACTTTAATAAAATCAGTCATTTGTAAATAAAATAAAATGGGTAAAGTTCAAATTATCAAATATCAAAATTGAAATATTTCGAAACCGAATCGAAAAATTGAATAACATTTCGGTTCGGATTCATTATTTTTTTTTAAAATTTGATTAATCGAAAACTCGTCCAAAATATTTTGAAACAAAACCGAATAATCGAACGAACACTCCTATAGTATATTAATATGATCGCATACCTTAGCTATTCATGTGGTGCCTACTTAACCTAAAAAATAGTAAATTTAATCTTGATTGATGCTAAATCTAATCCGATGATATCCTTGGCAACGTTTATAGCATCTTCACCGTAGAGGGGTCATAAGAAGAAGGTGATGGAGTGAGATATTTTTGGTTTCTTTTCACTAATGAAGGACTTGAGATAAAACTCAAGAGCGAGCATGGTTGTCTCAATAATTTCCACTCTCAACACTATCATGGTGGTTCACTCCTTTTTTAATATCTCCCACTCTCATAAAGCATATCACTTAGGCACCTATTTTAGCATAACTTTTGCTTTTTGATCTCCAATAATAGATCTTTGATCTTATCAGGAGCTCCAATATGAATTTAATACATTCAGATCACATTTTTCCTTTTCTTTTCATTTTATTACGTTTCCTTTAATTATATGCATAGCTTTTAGCACTTTTCATTATGAGCAAATAATTAATTCTAGCACTACAACCTAGCTACTTGCTAAACCGAATAGAAATATAAATTGCAAACAATTCGATTATATAATCATTATCCTTTTCTTTTTGAGAAAAAGATTATAAAATAAAGTTAAGTCACCAAACAAATTTCAAAAGTAAATTATAAATTATTCTCTCTAGTTTCGCAAAAAATAATAATAATAATAATAATAATAATAATTACTCCCTCTTATTTTAAAAACTAATTATTTAATCCTATATTTTTAAATTTTCTTATAACTTAATTTTTTTTCCTTTTTTTCAATTTATTTTATTTTATATTTTAATAAAAATAATAAATATAAAATATAAATAATTTATGAGAAAAGATAACATTTTATGAAATAAGATAATATTAACTCAAGCATGATTAAGAAATTAAATAATTAGTTTTTGAAACAAAAAATACTAAATGATTCTTCTTCTTTTTTCTAAATAAAAGAATTAATTTATAATTTACTCCAAATGTCATTACAAAAATAAGGAAGCCCGAACGTTAATGCTAATATGAGTCAGCAAATCATGCATTCTAACTCGAAATGGGAGCTTTCAATTATTCTCATCCTCTTAAGATTTTTAAAAGAAGCAAGAAACAAAATCATTTTTTCTTGAGTCAATTTTTGCTCATCGCCACTATTATCTATATAATGTTTATTAAAAAAAAAAAAAAAAAAACTCAGCATTAGGTTTTGGCCAAAAATAACGACGCTGATATCAAGGGTACATGACCTGCTAAGTCACTTTCAGCGACGAAATTAACATCCTTAATCGTTTACTTCACGCCTGCAGGCATTCGCTCTCTGAGTCCCTCGGTAATGATAGGAAACATTCTGCCCCTACTTCCACCAAAAGCAAAACAGCAAGCAATTCCTAAAATGGCTAATATGGACCCCTTGTGACAAGATGCGGCACTACTACACAGGGTCATGATAAACACTATCAATTACCTCAAGGATCAACTTGCTTAATAAAAATTAAAAATTAAAAAAAAAAAAAAGCCTTGTCAGCGGAACTACAGGAAAATGGCACACATTTATATTTGAAATATTTGGAATGTACATAGCAATACAAAGGCTAATTCAGAATCTACAGTGACTAGCATGAATCAAGACAATCGTATATAACAAAATGTTGCAGATAGTAAACTCAGCATCGAAGTTCAGCAGACAGGTATGACATGTAGCACATTGAAGACTCCGAATGCATCTATAGAGACGAAAACATAGGATCTGCTAAGTATCAATCAATATAATTATGACGATGAACCGACATTTACTGCCTTGTTATCTTCATGGCGCAAGCTGTTTTCCCGGCTGTAAGCAGCTTTGGCACCCTGAGAAGCAGTGGAAGATTGATTTGATGAGACTAAAGTATAACGCTTAATGATGAAGGAAATATCACACTACAATTCTTTACAAGGATACAGGAGGAGGTAAGCAATACTCACTTGGAAGACTGTTCCAAGTTTTTTCAATCCTTTAGCCCGGGACTTCAGAACATCACGAGGCACACTAGGGTCTTTAAGTACCTGAAACAGAAGGCATAGTTAACAAATCTTTCTTAATTTCACTATGCGCATCATCATCCTTCATCCAACCCCTCAATAGAGACCAATTCATATAACATGTCTGTTGGGTTTTAACACAATTTTAAATCTTTTCTCAACCCCTGACCCCGACCTAATAGTCAGAACCACATAGGCATTCATAGGATACAGATCACGATAACTAAATCAAATTTTGCATAGCACAAGAAGAAATATTTGAAGAGACAATGCTTGCACACAAACTGAATCCAGGGTGCATGCTTGTGCCAGGCTTCGACATATAGCAAGTCAAGGGCATGTGATATGGCCAGCAAGTAGGCTGAAGCAAGTGTATGAAAGCATGTCGGGCATCTTTTCAAGGAATTCAACTGTCACCTCATAATTTACAGGCATCTAAGCCTATAAATTCGGGACAACATACAAAGAAATCACCAGAAGTCACCAAGTAAAAATGGAATAAGGGCATCTATCAAAAACCACTGCCATTGTTTTAGAAGGTAAACAAACACTTCAGTTTACAAATTACAGATGAAACTGAATTCTAGTTCTTCCTAATCTCGTTGAACTGCCAACAAGATGTGAAAACTTTTAAATCAGCAATCATCTACTTAATTCTCTTCTAGTCTTAAAAAACTTAAAACTGCAATTTAATGTCTTGAGTTTGTCCACTAATAAAAGCTAAGCGATAAGCCTTTTGGCTGCTGCTTTTTTACAACATCATAACTTGCAGGCTTGCAGCATAAATTAAGATGTCATGAAAATATGAAAGGAAAAGAGAACAACTTACTGCATTGCACACACGTGATAATGTGCTCTCAATATCAATCACATTGATCTGCCAAAGTGATTGAAGCATAGTATCCTTCTTATCTTCAAGGATTTTCTGCATGCTCTCTTCTTGGTTTTCTACTGCGTTCAACTTCTTCAAATCCTCCTCTATTTGAAGTAGAGCAACAGCAGCTGCAAATTCATGAGAAAATACGCTTGTAGGTTCAGTTTAAATCACAAACTAACATGAAGGACCTCAAAGCCTGTTTCATGAGATTGAAGCTCTTGATTTCAGAAAACTGTACCTTGAGCTGTCATTACTTGTGATTTTATCAGGTGTCCTTTATCTCGTACCCATTCTGCTAAAAACGGTACCTTCATATACCGTCTGTCCTTTCCAAGCTCCTTAGCAGCTTTCCTCGTGTAAATATAACCAATGGTGTGCAGCATAGCCTCACCAAAAGCTGATGAATAGTGTTTAAGAGTTGAATTAAAAATTCAGGAATTTTTCTTTTAAAATCAAGAAGTGAAGGAAGCAATGCCAACAGCATTTGCGCAATGCACAATTGCTCAAATCATAGCCCTTTCATGTTGCTATGTAACTAAAACTTTTAATAGTAATATTTGAGAGATAACTCCTGCACAATCGAAAACCTTCATAAACTCAATATTGGGTCTGATCAACCACTGCCCTTGGACTAGGATATGTACTGCTGCATAGACAATTTTAGTATCACATAGGCATTGCCATGGAATCCTGAGTGTGAAAGGATATAGACACGCTTTAAAAACAGAAAAAAAAAAAAAAAATTGAAGTGATAGGGCATGACATAGTGGCCAGGAACACAACCTACTTCTACATCAAAAGTGTTATTCTCCAGAATCCTTTAGTTACACTTCTTTGCTCAAGAAGAAATCACTAGATTCGACCATACAGTTACACTTCAGAAACAACCACAAAAATGAGAGACCATAAGGATGCCTTCTTGCCGCAGGTTTTCCAGAGTCAACAGTTTTCACATTTCCTTACATTTTTAAGTGATACAAAATGTTAATTGAGGAAGAAAACATACCAGCTGTAGAGAGGCGGCGTGCTTCTGACTTGGCCCAATTTATAAACTCATTCTCCCGGCCTTCAACAAATGTTTCAAGGCGAATTTTGAGAATTGTTATGAGCTTTTCATCTCTCTCTTTCTGCAGCACCTGCAGATTAAAAAATAGCCATTAATTGAGTGCACCAGACGCTGACATTGAAAAACATTAGTGAATAAAATACCTTCATCTTCTCTCGCTTTCTCTGCTGTTGCATTTCCATATCTTGTACGTCTTCTTCATTTTCAAAAGACGCTAATGTAGCCAGTGCAAGTTGACCAACATAATCTTCAAATAATTCACTCCCAAATAGCATTCCAAATACAGCTGCAGGATCCAACATGGATTCCCTGGCAAAGAGAGTATTTTCATGACTTCTTCGGGATTAAACAAGAAGTAGGAAATGAAACAAAGATTAAAAGAGGAACCCATTACATCAAATTACTAGTATGAAACGAAGTGCAAGTCATTTCCTGATAAAGTTATTAATCTGCTAATTAGTTAGAACCCTGAAATTGGACGAGTCAGAGGCCAAGTATATTGAATGACAAGTCGGTGGCCAAGTATATTGAATGAATTAATGTGATCTTCTTGTCGGTGTGCAAATCCCAACCTAGCTTGTATCCAACTGTCTTTCTTTTTCACGAGAAAAATGATTATCATCTCAATTTATTTTCTCTTAATCTCTACATTTTACCCTGAGTAGCATGTATTTAAGCTCTATTTCCCTTTTTTTCAGGGTTTAACAAATTTAATTCCACCAGGATCAATAGACTAAAAGGTAAGCATATTTGAAGCTGTTTTTCTTATATGAAAGAGCATCCTACCTACTTTTTTCCCACAACTAAAGGCTTGTACAGTTGTACCTGATTTTGCTTTCCACCTTTGTAGCACCAATGTCCCCAAATGAAAGTTTTTATAAACAAAGTGTTTCTTTCTCTATGTTGTGTTCCAGAAAATCCCCAAAGGAGTTTAAGCAGAAGAATAATAGCAATAGCAATAGCAATAGCAAGCAATTTATATCAGGAAATTGTTCGATCTTGTTTTACGTTGTTAAACTTACTCTGTTATTCCTTCCTTTCCATACTTGTCATATTCTTCACGCTTCTGAGGATCACTTAAGATCTGGTATGCTTCACCAAGTTTCTAAAAACACGTATCATAACAAATAAATAAGCACAAAGGAGCTGAACAACAGATGTAGGTTGACAAATACATGTCTTATTCTATTACTTATACCCTCTCGCCTTTCATAAACCATTGAGAAATGAAATAAAAGGCAAATCCAATTTGCCAAGGAAGGAGGCACACTAGGTCCAAGTATTTGACAATTTTTCTACTAATAGACAATCAAGAGAGCGTCTTAAAACTTGGTTTGCCTCATTCCACAGTACAGTTGAATATTAATACAACTTAACTCTACCATAAAATTATTTGTTCGAAAGGACAAATTAACAGGCTAACACCAAACTGTGGAATAATAACTTTGCATAATAACCCGGATATAATCTTCAAGGGCAATCTTATTATTAGCTAACCTGAAAATTTTCAGCAGCTTTTGGATCCCCATGGTTTTTATCTGGATGAACTACTTTTGCCTGTACAGAACACATAAAACTACACTCAATTATAACCCCACGAATCTGAGTAAATGAGCAGAAAAAAATTAGTGCTTTCATATGTTCATGATAAAAACAAAAAAATTGCAGCTGCAGGTTAAGCCCATATTTCCAAATTCACAGACCTCTTAAAAGAACCACTTAAGCGCATTATTTTTTTACCCCCATAGGATTGAAGCTATAAACCTTGTGGCTAACCCACAACATAGAAAACCACTTCCATCGAAAGCTCACCTTGAGATAGTAAGCCTTCTTGATTTCTGCCGATGACGCCTGGACATTAACCCCCAAAATGTCATAAAAAGTGGTATCCTTCACCATTGGTTTTGCTTTTAATCTTGCTTTGCGAAAACTACTTTTAGGATCAGAGAAACCAAGACAACGAATCAGCCTCATTGACAAACAAATAAAATAAATCCAATTCAGTAAACTAAACCACACAGAACGGCAATAATGGCAAACAAACTGCGTTCATTTATAAACATAAAAAGAATCTTTCTTTCCAAAAAAGACAACATGGGCTACTTCCAAATTAGGATTAAAAAAAAAAACAAGATTGATTTTTTTGATGGAAACAATTAAACTTTTACTAAGTTGCCAAATCTAGATATTAGCTAATACTACCAAAAACAAACAAATACCACATAGATTATTCAAGCAATTACAACAAAGAAACAAGATCAAGAATCTATTCAAGCAATTAAAACAAAGAAACAAGATCAAGAATCTGAACTTACATAAGAGATTGAGAAAATTGAGATAAGATTGCAAAGACAGTCCTAGTTTCTTGCAGAGAAGAAGTCAAACTAAAAAATCAAAGCAAGCAAGAAAGAACCCGAGACACTTTTACAAAATGGGAATGATTATGCGCCTGTCAGTTATGGATAAGCTTTTTATACTTCGGGAAGTTTTTTGATTGGTCAATAAAAAGAAAAGAAACATTAACAATGTTAAGGAATAGAGACCGTAACGTTTTCTAGAACTTAAGAAGCTTCGTGGTAAGATAGGGAAGACGTTTCGGTTATAAATCAGCTGGACCGTAATTGCATATCGCCATCCGTACCACGGTAGCTTCTATGATTTATGAATTTTATTGCTGTTCAAAAAAAATGGCGTACTCGTTTATTTATTATTTTTAATTATAAAATCTTGGGATGAAACTGGACTTTTTTTTTTTTTTACCCCCAAATTATTTCATCTTTCGAGAATATCATAGTTCTTTCTAACTTAAACTCATTTTGAAATTAATAATTCTGGTATCATAAAAAATATCATCTAGCCATAAAATTAAAAGAAGAGAGTGCTATGGTAATGTTTATCAAGTGATGTAGAATTCCATTTTCACAGAATTACGAGAGTTGAAGAAAGAAAAAGGCTATCTCAATTCTCAAATCTCTGAATCTAAACTTCTAACAGGGCCTTTTCCCTTTCTCTAGAATCAGAATTCAAATGGGCTTCCTAATGGCCTTACCAATATCACTTAATTCGCTTGGGCATCACAGGTCCACTAATACCCTTGCCTAGACAGAAGGCCTAAGCCAGGATGCCACATGGGTCACAAAAGCCTGTTTTGTCATTTCTGTTTATCCTTTCGGCCCATGCTTGGATTCAAATGAACCTCCAATTCCCAAGCACCATGGACTCTACTAAAAGATCCATTTGAGACTTCACTGAAGTTGAAAAGGCCTTACTTCGGGTGAAAAAATTGAAAGCCCTTTTAAGCGATTTTGTCATCCACGAAACTCGGCTCAACATAACTTTGGTAGAGGAAACAAAACAAATAATACATAAGATACGCCCAAAGGGATGTACCAAATACCAACAGTAGAGCTTGGAAATTCTACTTGAATGTTTTAGGCCAAATTCTAGGAGTCAATTGTCTGAGAATGAGAAAGGATTTTTTTTATTATTATTATCAAAATGTGAAAGGATCTTAAATTCTTGAAACGTGAAAAATGTTGTGTTTGGTGGTAATGCATGAAGCTTGAAATTTCTATCGATAAGCAGCAGGCTTATGCTGTTGGAGAAAAAAAAACAACCAAGAGAAAGAAGGCAACGGGGCTTAATGTCACGGACTTAGCCTTTTTCAAACTCACATGTAGCATTTAACTTTTTTTTTTTTTTTTAAGACAAACAAAGCAGACCTTCCCCACACCTAGACATCTACAAATTTAAGAGAACATATCTTTAGAGTTGTAAGCTTTAAAAAGCAATACAAAGAGTTTTTATATCTCTTTTCGTGTCTTTTTTATTTGTTAAGAAAAAAGACACACACAAGAAATGAACAAGAAAGACACGGAAAAGAGATATAAAAACTCTTTGTGTTGCTTTCCAAAGCTTACAACTCTAAAGATACACTCTCTTGAATTTATGGATGTCTATGTGTGAAGAAAGCTGACTTGATTTGTTTTAGAGAAGAAGAGAGCCAAGTGCCGTACGTGAGTTTGGGAAAGACCAAATCCGTGACATTAAGTTCGATTAATTACCTTAACGAAAAGTTCGGAACTTCGGATAATTTTGAGATCCATGGTTAAATATAATTTTGGGATCGCATATCAAATCTTTACCTCTTTCTAATGTTGGAAACTATGCGTAAGTCAAGTGAGTGAATAAGAGAACTTTTTTTATGAAAATACTTAGGTAGAGCTGCTGCTCAATACCTCATATATTAATCTGAATTTTTTTTTATTTAACATACAAATGAAATACTTTATATATAAGACTGACATTAAATTCTTGATTGAGAAACTTAGAGTTATAACAAGTTCTTAAGTCTAGAAACCATGAAAGACATCTAGTAACCATAAAGACTACACATTTCAAAAACTCTAGAAAACACAAAGAGACTTTGACTCACATGAATACTGATATTGAAATTACAAATTACTTCTCAACATCTAACCGAGCCTTCTATCTTTTCTCTAGAAACAAACGAGCCGTCTTCCCTACCATTAAGTCATGTTGCAGTTTTTCATAGATCCCTTTAGTCCATGCTTGGATTCAAATGAACCTCAAATTCCAAGAAGCATGGACTTTACTATAACCTGAAGTTCAGTTTTGGACTTTATTCAAAGTTGTATGGCCTTACTTCGTGGAAAAGGAAAAACGTTGAAAACTTGTTCAGAGAAAAAAGCAGAAGAAAAAGAAGAAAAGAAAAGAAAAAACGTTGAAGGGACTTAAGGAACCCAGTGTAAGTGCAAAAAGTCGTAAACTACAGTGTGTTCTTTTATAAAGTTGCTGCTTCCATAGAGGAAACAACAAAGTACTACAAAGCATATGACACGCTAAGTAAAAGACAAAAAAAGGCATGGAGCAAATGCTACTAGTAGATCGATCGATTGTCCTAACTGCAATTTAATCGTGGTGAATAGAGAATTTATTGGAATACAGTCATGGTATGTGAAATGTATATGCAAGAAAAAACTTTCTGCAGCATTTTTACTAGTCTCCCTAGGAGCTAGCACTGTTAATAAAATAAAATAATTCAAATTATCCCAACAAATTCAACAAATAAAGAAAATTCGGGTCAAGAAAATCGGGTGGTTATTTTTTTTATTGATTCATAGGAAATCCATGGGTTTTTGGGTTACAAAATTAGTGTAGTCATTTTTTATTATATAATCATTAAAAAAAATTAGAATTGCTAAAAATCCAATATTTTTTTTATTAAAAAACAAATTGAATACCTAATTGTTAAGCTAAAGCCCCTTGTATAAATAAAATCAAGAGGGTAAGCTTGAGTAGAAGTGGTTCTAGCTGCTTAAGCAAGTGGAAATCCATAGGTTTTTGGGTTACAAAATTAGTGTAGTCATTTTTTATTATATAATCATTAAAAAAAATTAGAATTGCTAAAAATCCAATTTTTTTTATTAAAAAACTAATTGAATACCTAATTGTTAAGCTAAAGCCCCTTGTATAAATAAAATCAAGAGGGAAAGCTTGAGTAGAAGTGGTTCTAGCTGCTTAAGCAAGTGGAAATCCATAAGTTTTTGGGTTACAAAATTAGTGTAGTCATTTTTTATTATATAATCATTAAAAAAATATAGAATTGTTAAAAATCCAATCCTTTTTTATTAAAAAAACTAATTGAATACCTAATTGTTAAGCTAAAGCTGCTTGTATAAATAAACCCAAGAGGGTAAGCTTGAGTAGAAGGGATTTTAGTCGCTCAAGCAAGTGATATCGAATTCGAATCCTTGTGTATGTAAAAAACTCTTTGAGTAATCGTCTTCGCCTTATATGTCCAAGTAGAATAACGAGAGATTAGTCTAAGTTTTTAGATCAAGTAATCTCGAGTTCGAATACTTATATGTGTAAAAAAGTCTATAAATAACTGTCTCGATCTTGTGCATTCTATAAAACAAAGAAGGACACCTTGGTGGATAAAAAAAAAGCCGCTTGTATAAATAGGAAGGTTATTCAAAATAACAAATTTTCACCAGAATGATCCAAGTAATCTTCGTTGAATCTTACCATAGGAAAGTAATTAAATACGGACCATATGAGAATGCTGCTGACCCGTGAATCGGTGAATCACAGGACAAAGGCCAGGATGAACCGCTCTGAGCATCAAACCCAAGAACCTAAACCGCCCATCGCAAGTGAGTTCTTAACTGCTAGGCCAACGGCACGAGGTCGTTTGCTCTGGCTCTCAAACAATGGACCAGGCACAAGTGCCATGTTACCATCAAGTAGGGTATGTCTAATGAGCCTTTTGCCTCCGAAACAGGAAAGAAAAGGTCTCTTTTACGATCCTTTTTCTCGTTAGATAGTATGGTATTCTAGCCATCTAGCTTTTGATAGTAAACAAACAACGAAGGGAAAATTAGGCGAGGAGGCGTGCAAAGCTTTCACCGACTTGAAAAAGGGTCTTGCTTTATCTAGAAAATCCGATTATGGCAACAAATATTCTAAGTTCATTGTTGCACGGTTTTCACGTGTGATTGCTGGTTTACAAAACTAGAGAACTTGTGTCTTTGTTAAATTAGTGGACCATTTTGTTAGGCAATAAACTTTTACAACATTGGAAAGATACAAAGAACATTACAAGATTCTTGTCTGGCAATCTCCAGGAAAGTCCAAAAAAAAAAAAAAAAAAAACAAGAAGAAGAAGGATAGAAATGCAACGAGATTGATTCAATGAAGATATAAGTATAGTCAATAAGAATAAGAATCCCCTGATTAAAAAGTATACCTAAGCTTAAAGAATGGGGGAAGAGCATCGAAAACGTTCTGCTACAGTTTTTATTTTTATTCTTCCCTCCATGTTCTGATTTGGTGGGTTTAACATTAGCTGTACGACTTGGTGGGTGGCGGGTTTAACATCAACTGTACGGAACAATTACATTATGAATACATCAATTTTTAATATTTTTCGATTGAGTATGCAAATTTTAAATTTTTTTTATTTAAGTATACTAATTTTTAAAGAAATGTCGATCAAGTTTTTTTTTTTTTGGGCTAATTTCTGTAAATTATTCTGTTATTTGATGAGTTATTATTTTTTCTTAGACTACCAAACTATGATTTCTCTTTTTATTTTTTGAGCGAACTTTTCTTTTCAAATTATTTCGTCATTTTTCTGCTTTTGTATAAAAAATATCCAAATTGTTCTTAAGTCTAAGAAGTAGAAGATGACAAAATAATAAGAGAGAAAAAATTATCTCCAAAAATAAAGGGTTAAAAAGTAATTTAATAAGATAGAGCAAATGACATTTTATCAAATAACATAACAATTGACATAAATTAGATAAAAAAAAATGAGTAACATTTTTAAATAAATCGATATACTAAAAAAAACATGTATTTAATTGAAAAAAATTAAAAATAGGTATACTTATAATACAATTATCCCTCGCCTGAACTCTCTCAATATTCCTGTACTAATTCAAAGCCTTAGAGTGGGACTTCACGGGGAATATAAAAACCAAATCAAAGGCCTCCGATGTCAACACAAGTCGTATTCTCTTGCCCTCAAACAAGTATATGTCTGTCTCACTCTCAATCAATGATGCTTAATTTTTAATCAGATGTCACCAGCACCCAACATCTGTATTCAACTAATTAATAAGACATCACTACTAATTAAAGCCTAATTCCTCTTTTCTCTTTTCACTAATTTAATCGTTCTTTGAGAGCCAACAAAGCCTTAGATCACTCCATGGCTAACACATCATCTCTATTAAGTTAATCAAATAAATCCCATTTAAAAGCATATAATCTTCCCACTTGGCAAGGCCAAGATAGAAGATACCATTTCTACAACTCATGTGAACCACAGAATAGCATGGCTGGCCACATGCCATCCCCATCTCCTAACAAATGTTATTGTTCGTAAGATTGGTTGTTTTTGTTTCTCTCTCTCTCTCTTTCTAGCTTGCAACCAAATCCAAAAAGCAAAAATAAAAGCATGAAAGGAGATTTCATCATCTGTGTTCCCCCTTTTTACGTGATGGGTCTATTTATAATATCCAGCTGCTATAATTTCTTTTGCTTATCACCGACTTTTCACCTTTTTTTTTCTTCTTTAGTTAGTACTTTCTTTTCTATTTTTTGGTCCAGCCTCTAGCTAGTGGCTAGTGGCTAGTGGCAGAAAAATGAGAAGAGGTAGCATTCATATAATACTGCAATTTGCATGTCGTTACTCAATAATTGATTGATTTAGTATCATAGATGTCATGTTCAATCTTTAAGTAAAGGAAGATTAGTAGGTTTTAGTAGGTAAAAATCACACTATCTATTTTTTTTTTTAATTTAATCCTTGGTTTAGGTATGCTAAGAGCAAGTTGTCTAGAAGCTAGCTCCCCTACCCCATCTTTCTGTTTCTAGGAAATCAGATAAGGTAATAAAATTGATTTCAAAAGTACGTCTTGGTTAAAAAATTTCATAATACATAAGAAGTAATTAATGACATGTATAGTAGTTATTATTTAAGTCCATTTTGAAAAAAGAGATAGTACACATAAAAAGAGAGAAATTACATTAATACCCATCAAAAGTGATAAGAAAATTTTCACGTCCGTTCAAATTTTTTTATTTTCTCTCTTATATTTTTATCTCTCTTTTTTTGTGTGTCTATCTCTCTTCTCAAAGTGGGTTCAATAAATAACTACTATACATGCTTCTAGTTATTCTTTATGTATTATAAAATTTCTCTATCTTGATGTATCTGTAGCTTTCTTAAAAGCAAACCCTTAAATATACTGTTCAATTGTCTCATCAAGTTGGTTTTGTAGACTCTAGAAGGGAAAACTCGTTGCACTCTTGACTTCAAAAAAATATGAAAACAAAACAATGCAAGTAATTGAAGATTGGTGGAGTGGAGAAAGAGAGAAGAAGAGGTAAAGGCACTTTGTCTCCAAATTTTACAAACCGAAAGGAATATATGAAAGGTAGATGGACAATGCATTATCTAGAATTAAATCTCTAAGCTTGAGAATTGGTTTGAATAGTAAGTAAGTTTGGTTATTCATAAAAAAACATGTAAATGAATCTATTTTCATATTATCATTTCGGATGCTTCTGGGTTTCTGAGCTACATAACGTGGGTAATTTTCTCCCATTATATAATATTAAAAAAAATTGAAATCATTAAGATTAGAATCTTATTTAAATAGAAAATATAACCGGCTGAGTTAAAGCTACTTGTTTCGTTTCAAGTTTTTTTAAATTAAAAAATTGATATTTCAAAATAATTTTTTGTGCAAATTAATAATGGTTTATTTAAAATCTAGTTGATTGAGAAACATAGTCCCACCGTACAAAAATCAGTCTAAGGGTACCATTTTAAAACGAAAAGAAAAATTAAATTGAAGTTCTAGAATCAACATGGTACTAGCATGCCTTTTATTTTAATGTTATTAATTTTCAGTAGTGGTTTTCTAACAAATAACAAACACTAATAAGATTCTAGTACGGCGGTGACCAATTTAAATCTTTTATTCTGAATATTTAAGATTAAAAAATTTCATTATTAGAAAATACAAAAACAGTCTATCATGCTTGTAGTAGTAATCAATTTAATTCATCGTACTAATACAATCTCTTTTTCTATCCCATTCGCTGTTAACTATTGACTATTAACATTAATTCTTATGTTTAATAATTAAGTGGACTGCGGTTTCCTGTTTATAATAATAAGAAAAGTAATAAACACCCTACCTGCTTATTTATCAGTGTAGCTACCAATTGCCATTATGGGCCATCGTGCATAACCTCCCAGTTCTATCATCTTCAACCTTGTCCTTTTCCTTTAAAGTTTAAGACATGGGCCTCACTTGGAAATTTGTCCTCTACCCTTTTTTATTTTTGGTTCATTGTCGCTTAAAGTTTAAGACATAGGTGATAGGGATATGGCGACTGTTGCATGGCCTATTTTTCTTCTTTTTTTTTCTTTTTTTTTTTAAAAAAAAACAAGTTAATGTTCTTTTCAATTAAAAAAAACTATTCTTTTAATAACCATATATAAAAAAAAAAAAAAAAACCAAGTTTAAGCACCATGGCTTTAATCTTGCACCATGTATACTTGGTCAATAAGTTCTTTTGGATGAAATGCTTAAAAAGTTGGATCAGGCTATCTATATTGACTTTAAATTATATCAATTCAAGACTCCAGCCATGTTTTAGAGCTGCAATGAGATAATTGACCACCCTTGGAAATGGCCCTGTAAATGCAGGAGTGACATGGCAGGACACACTGATGGATTCTAATGGACAACACAAATTGAATTTCTCTTTCTTTTTTCCTTTTCAATCTCAAACTTGACTTAATCTTTTTGTTGAAATATTGGCAATTGTTTCTATTCGTTGAAAAATTTGTTAAATGTTCAATTACCTATGAAGATTTTATTTTATTTTACTTCTATACGTTATATTCACGCACGTCTCTGTTTATTTGTTTGAAAAACCAAAAAAAAAAAAAAAAACAGCATTGTATGGCATCAAAAGAGAGAGAAAAAAACAAAAACAAAAAAGAAACTTGTAAGTGATTTGTATATTTTATGGGTGGAATAGTACGAAGAGTGTATTTAATTTGTTATTGAAATACTCTTTCTTGTCGTTTTTATACCGGAAATTAATTGCTGTGTGCTCAAAGTGTTTAGTTTTAAAAATCAACTAATTATTATCCGACACTAATTTAACTTAAAAAATAATAAATTTAACTTTAATTGATGTGAAAAAATGATCTAAGAATATTTTATAATCTTCTATATAATCTTTCAAGCACCTCTTACCGCCAACCATTCTAATAAGTAATAGTATATACATAAACTTAAAAAAAAACAGAGAGAGCAACTAGAAATCCATTTTTTTTTTAATTTATCCTTGTCGCATGCATGTGATTTTTTTTTTTTTAAATTAAAATATACTTAATCGGCTAAGTAACAAGAGATTCTAATTTATGTTGATTGCAAGGAAATGCCATGAAGTTTGAATTTTAATAATAATAAAAAGACTACATCTCTTGACCACCAACTAACAAGTTTTTTTTAAAATTTAAATTTAAGTGTTTGATAAGTTAAATTATATGGTGCGAAAAGCCAAAAAGGTCCCCGAGCTTCTTGGTTCTTAAACTTGTTTTTTTTTTTTTTTTTTTTGCAATAAATACTCTAGAGTTTTTGTATTCTAGTACATGAAAATACGTATAAAATTCCAAAAACATTTTTTATTATGACTAATTAACACGTATAAATATAATATATGTAATTTTTAATACAAAATCACGTTCAATCACGCTTTTTATATAAAAAAAAACCCTTATTTTTTTCATTCCCTTTGAAAACTCCATTTTTCCCAAAAGTTGTGTAACTTACAAGGCTAATACCGCTGCTGCTAGTCTCTGGAGAAACAAATGCTTAGAAGAACTTATGACGATGTTGACTCGTTTTCTTTGGCGTTCAGTGTTGTACCTCGCTTTCATTTATACGTAACATTAAGCAATTAAAAGGACGATGAAACCATTAGGAGTGGCGTGCTTTTGTGATTATTGACTTACTTAATGCTCTTTAAGAAAAGAAAAAAATCAATCAAGTTGTTTAACTGCTCACGGAACCATGATTAGTACTTTTGATTGCGACTCGGGCATGGCATCCTTTGTCCCCTTGCAATGTTTTGTACTTATGTGGAAGGTAAATGTAGCATCAAATGACAAATATGGTGTGATTGAAACTTATATATATAGGTTTGTTTCAATTGAAAGTCTAAAAATGATATTATTTTTTTTATCCAATGCGTTTAGTTTAAATGAAAAAAATTTTAATAGTTTAAATAAATAATTCTGAATCGAGTGATTGTTTATATAAAATATTTTTTATCTGATTATTTTCGTCTTTTACGTTTAATAAAATAATGAAGAATTAGTTTGAATTTTTTAACTTGAAATATCTTGAAGAATAAAAAAAATGATATATTCTTTTTATTTTTTTCGCCGATTCTTGTTGCATCAACATCTGTTTATTTTCTTTGGCAATTTTTTTTCTATCCATTAATGGATATCTTAAGCAAGGCTAAAAAGCTAACATGTATTCAATGCTTTTTTCGGTTTTAACGTTTAAAATATCTGATTATCTTGTTTAGCTAGTCAAATATAAAATAAATCATTTACTTTTTAACTAGTGTATTTAAAAGAAATTTCTTCCTCGTAATCATTTTTTTTAATGAATTACTCATAATCTTTTTTTGGATTTGAACTTAATATAATGAAACGATAAACAAAATTATTTACCATCTGAACTAACACCTAAGTGGGTGTACACACACATTTAGGCGTCATGTCGTTTTTTTTTTTGGTTTTATTTTTCTCTTCTTTTGCCAGGAAGACCATTTTTCTATTTTGGTAGACAGAAAAACAGCAAAGCGTAACTCGGAAACAAATAACACATGGGATCTGACTTCTGAACACAAACTATACTAGCTACCAATCTTTTTGATAATATCATGTGGATCTAAGAAAAAAATTAATAATCAAAACTATAATTACTTCTATTTTTATACTATCATGCTTGCTAAGTAGTGCTTCTGATAGCATTGTTCCCTGCACGTGGGATTTGTTCCTTAACTGCACGAACAACTCCCACCACAACCATTTGTGAAATCATGCCGTGTCTTTTCAGCTTTAAATCCCTTAGCCTTTGTTTGCGCATCTTTAACCATGTTTCATTGTTCAATCAACTTTTATTTGCTTTTCACTGCTTCTTTCTTTATAGTGAACCATATTTATTGATTTGCATCGCTCAAGATTTTACTGGTGTGAATTGGAATCTTTCCCGGCAATGGCACTATTAATTCAGATATGTGATTGTAACCCAACTAGTTGGAAGCATAGCTCGTCTTTGAATGAATAATAATATATATATAAAAAAAAACTAAACAGGTCAAATATTTCTTGAAATCTAGTGTATTTGAAACTTCCAATTTTGAATTTGATCTTGTGATTTTTTTTTATGTAGTCTATTTTTTTATATTTTTATCGTTTGGCTAAAAAATAATGATCAAATAAATAATTTTATAATAAAAATAATTCTGTAAGATTTATTTATGTAGTCTATTTTTTTTATGGTTTGGCTAAAAAATAATGATCAAACAAATAATTTTATAATAAAAATAATTCCGTAAGATTTATATAGGGTTTTTTTTAAAAAAAAATTGAGAATATTCTAGGTTGTTTTCTTTTTATTTTTTTATTTTTTTAAGTTAATACAATAAATAAATATACTTTTTGATTTTGAAAAATTTTGAAATTCTTTCAAATAATAGATTGGATTTTTTTCATTATCTATTTAAAATTTCATCTCAAAATATCAAGAATTGAATTTTTCAAATGGGAGAGATGATGGCTAAAAGTTATAAAATGGATTAATTTTTTAAAAAATAAAAATAAAAGTTTAAGAAAGTCAAAACATAGAAGTTCATATACTTGTTTTCAAATGAACTAAATTTTAGGAGAGGTTTGAACATTTTAGTATTAAAAAATTGATTTAATATTAGCATGCGAAAGATGATTGGAGAATATTACTTAGCTGCAAAGGGAGAAAAAAGAAATCTGTTTGGAGGTAACTAAATCAGAACATAAAAGCTTTTACTTTTTAGTATTCCTGATCCATGGATTCGATATTTAACTAGAACTCTCAGTCTCGCATTGGAAAAAGATGCTAGGGACCAGGGAGCCCTTGGCCAATCCTCTGGGATCTTGTCATTAAATTAATCTGGAAATGAGAGGTGCTAAATAATGCAAGTTTGGATCAGATACCTCTTTTTCTTGTTAAAATTCTCATTCTTTCATTTCATACAGTGATTATATCGGCAAGATATCATTGCTAAATGGCTTGGGACAAATACAGATGGTGACTGATTGTTTCAAATGAAGTGATCGTAGGTGGTGATTCTCTGAAACTTCTCCAAGGGGATCAAATTATTTTACAGCTCAGAAATTCACAAGCCAATATATAATTATAACCAGCAGCCTCAACTACTCAATACAGCCAAAACTCCCCATTCAATTAGTCAAAAGATACAATTAAAAAAAAAACTGCACAATCATACACTTGGAGGAAGACTACTGCTTTGTTTTTATACCCTTTCGAATTAAGTGTTGCGTTTGTGCTCAATCATTTCCATTTGGTTTTTCAGATAATTTTCTGAAGGAATACTGTGAGAACCACAGAACGGATGTCATTGTAAAGACCATTCACACATTTTGGAACAATTTAGAAGCAAACTCATTCAAAATACCATTACATACATGATAATAGCAAATTCCCACTACATCAAACAGTAATACAGATAACCCCATTTACAAACCAAGAACCAAAAAAGCCACAACCCTTTTGCTCTTTCTTACATATCCACTCCCACCCTATGCCTTATTCCAAACTACTTAAATTCTTAACAACTCTCAAGTTACAACTTCTGAAACTTAATTCTAAACAGATCTCTCCCTCTCTCTCAATCTCTCACACTCTCTAGTTAGAAGTCCAAGAATCAAGCCCATATTGGAGACCAATTCAGTATTGAAACATATCTGCAGAGGCCATTATAGGCTGATTCAGATATGACATGCTCAGTGGGTTGAAGAAGCTGTCAGCTGCTGGCTCGTTGAAGGTGCTTGAATCTACAAAAACATCATTGCTTGAATTCAATAAACCAATGATCTCATTCAAGGATTCCAATCTGTGGCTGAGCTCACTAACTTGAGCTCTCAGTATTGAGTTATCAGCCTCGACATTCAAATAATGCTGAGTGGTGATGTTGATGCTTGTAATGATCTGGTGATTCTCCTTCCTCAACTGAGCCACTTGAGCCATTAAATCATCCAAATGCTTCTGTTTCCTCATTCTAGACCTCCTTGCTGATTCCCGATTCGATATCATCCTCTTCCTCTTCCTCTGATCCATCAATGCCTGCAAATCTCCTTCGGAACCTGAGTTTCGAAGCAAAGATGACCCTGAAGATGTTCCACTAGAGGAAGCCATGAGAGACCCACAAAACAAGTTCGCAACTTTTACAAAAGAACAGCAACCAAGAGAGTTACAGCAGGACCCAAATAGCAACAGACTCAAAACTAATGCAGATAATAGTAGCAGTAATAGTACTATGTATATGTATATAAATATAGATTATAGTCTAGAGATCAGATTTTGAGCAAAAATCATGAAACGTAATACAACCAGTAAAGGAAAACAACTGAGAATGATTGAACTAAATGGGTCCTGCGCCTGAAGGTAGAATTTATCATACACCCAGAAATGAAGATTTCACTGATAATTGGAGACATGAATCTCAAACATCAAGAACAAAATATTTATCATCAAGATAATACTTTAAAAAAACCCCGGTAAAAACCCAAGAGAAAAAGATTGTGACTTGATGCTTGAGACAGCCTAAAAAACCCCAGCTCAGCACGTAAAAGTTGCACCGAGATGGAGAAAATTAATTGGTTTTGGATTCAAGAAACTGAGATCCAATATAAAGATTGGAGAAGAGAAATAGAAGAATATGACTTCAGCTCGAAGCGAAGGCAAGGACTTGATTTGAGAGGCAGAAAAAGATTAGCAAAATTTCTATAGGAAAAGGAACCAAACGAGGGGAGAGAGGAAGGAAGAGGGAAGGGGCCTAGGATTGAAGAAAGGATAGAATTTATAGAGCAAAAGAGACTGGCAAGTTGAAGGAAAAAATAAATTTAAAAAAAAAATGATGAGAAATTAAAGAAACTTGGTGGAATCTCTTGAGAGAAAAAAGTTGTTGGGAAAAAGTTTGATGGGACATGTGAGGTAAGGGGAAAGAGATAGAAGGTTACTCTACAACTGTCCAGATCCAGCTGGGATCAACCAATAATCTCAACTTTTACTTCCATGGTGGTGGGTTGTTAAATTGATTCGATTCATCTTGGATTCACCGTAGAGGTAAGAGGTTATAGGTGAAGTACGGCAATGAACTGGGCTGGGTCGGGGTCGTGTTTTGATGTACCTACGGCTTGATCCGGAATACTCGCACCCTCCACTTGGCTTCAAACCCGACTCAGCCGGGTCGGATCAGACGAAGAACTACTTCCGTCTTGTACGTACTCTGTACGATCAGGTTTATTTGTTTGCTCCATATTACTCCCTTTCTGTTTATCCAAGTACTAAAATAATTACGTTGTCAAAATTTTAAATATTGTATTTTTAAAAAATATTTTTATTTTTAAAAAAATTTAGAATTCAAATTTAATATCTTTCTTAAACTGTATATAAAATAAAAAAAAGATTAACACTTTAGGACAAAAGGAGTGTAATTTTTTTCAAAAACATATAAAATCAAGATTTAAAATTTATTTTAGAATATTTTTTGTAGAATCTGATACAATCACATTCTAATAAATGAATGCAAAGAGTTTAATATAATCAATAATCTTATTTTTAATTAATAAACAAAATCGTAATATCATATATGATTAAAAAATATAAAATTATATCTATGTTACTTAGTACATTGTTAGGAACTAATATGGTTATATAAATCATTTGATCTTTTATATTTATAAATCATGTATATAGTGTTAAATTATGAGATTGTTATTTTTTTTAAAAAAAATCGATTGTCCATGTTATAACATTTATCATTTAAAAATTAACAGTATTAATTTTATACATTGCAGCTTAGTGGTAGTTAATTTTTTGTATTTGTAAGAGATCAAAGAGTTAACATTGTAATACAAGAGGAAATTATAGTAGCATCTTGTATTTGCAGCTTAGTGGTAGTTAATTCAATCTGTCACAGTAATAAGATTTTTTTCTCCTTTGCTAATTATTAATTGCTAATGCTAACATTTTAAAACTTCACAGCCTATGAACTGCAAGTTTTGTGCCAAAAAAAAAAAAAAAAGACATAATGATTTCACAAGAGTCTTCATCGATAACAATTAATTATCATTGCTATAGTATGTTCATAAATTAAATTTCAATTATAAAGTAAAACTTGAAGAAAACAATTTTTGTTACTTGAAAAGTAAAACCCAATTAAAAAGTAAAGGTTGAGTTAGGTTTATAATAACTATATACATCAAAAAAAAGAAAAAGTAAAAAATACCGAGTCAGTGGACTCTCCATCCATCTTTGCGTCCAATTCAAGTGAAATCGGATGAATTTCATCCAATTTGATTTGATTTTGATCAATCAAGTAAAAATCTGATCCAATCAGATCCAATCGGATTGAATGACATCAAATAATCAAGTCAAATGGTCATTCCACGACTAGATAAATTTGATGTAATGATTAGTGCGTAGGTAACATTTTTCCACCCAACACAAAAGAAAAATAACAAAATGATAAATACGTGGTTCCTTCTAAGAGAAAAATAGAACGTAAACTTGAAAAAAAAAAAAAAAGAGCTCAAAACCTTTTCAGAACGAGGGAAACTCTTTTTTAGAAAAATAAAAATGTTAATAATTAATATGTTCTTGCCATTCAAAATAATAAATATCATAATAATATTTATGAATGCAAATAGCAGGTAGATAAAATGAAAAATGCACTTAATTTTTGTATGTGAAATTCTGATAATTTTACAAATTCTTTGCTGGAAAAAAAAAGGTAAATATTTATTTCTATGTTTTAGCCACCGGTGATAGTGTCTCATTAATTTTTCGATGATAACGACATGGACGATAGGCGGCGGAAGGTAAGATCAGAAAGGCGCTTGTTTTCTGGATGTAAAAATGTTCAGATATGGTTAAAAAGAAAGGTAGCGTACCGTTTTTATTGCTGAGTGTTGACATACTTTACCCCATTACCAATATACCATCATATAGACACACATGGTTTCTGGGACACGAAAAGAAAATTCCATTGTTCTTAGACCACAAAAAATGTTAATTTTTGAACCAAATCTTCTTCCAAATAGAGTAAAGCATCTGATTCTAAATCTAACTTTATATGTGTTTTAATAAACTTACGAATCCAATCTTAAGAAACGTTTTTTCTCCTCTCTATGCACATAAAATTCTTTTCCTGAAAATTGTTATTCAAGAAGCAACCTCTTTCCAAATACACTCTAGTGTTTGGCATCCAAATCTAGCACTCTATTTCTATGAAATTATATACCCAATTTTAAGAAAAGTTCTCTTTCTATTTTCATGCCACAGAGCAGACACTTGCACGTTTATAACACTATTATTGGTTCCACGACTACAAGGTACAAACTACAAAGTGCAAGTTGAATGCCCATGCCATGCTCAACTCGCAAAGGAAACCTTTTCGCTTTTAATCATTTCACTCTATCCCAAGTTGAGACTACCTAGGCAAAATCAACAGAATCAGTTGGCAACAAACGACGTCGGGTTATGGCAGGGTGCGACATAGAAATTGGTGTGTGGAGCAGGGAGAATCACACATCCCCAAATGCTGCCTAATTTTCACCAAAAAAACCTGAACCAGATTTGAGCTTTTTTGGTAGTTTATGTTCTGGGTCCACTGATGATGTCCTGACACGAATCACTTAGAAAATAGCAAATCTAGGGATGTAGGGTCTACTCACTTTATTACACCTTGGGCTCTGAGCTAAGCATCTAAGATCTTTAATAGTTTTAATATCCGAATTCTCCAAATTAGCCTTGGATGGCTCCTTTGTCCTGGGACGAAATTTAACCCCATCAGATAATTTCGTCCCCAAACGCGGCACTTTTGGACCCAACGGAGGAGGAATGGGTCTTTTGCACTCTCAACTCGTCACATGCATCCGACAACCTGTCAAAATATTATGTCATTTAAACATTTAGTTAAAATTAAAGACATATTTATTTTATATTTAATTAATAAAAAAAATAAAGATGATAGAATTTAAAATCAAAATAATTTGATTATAAAGATTTTAATATAATATTAAAAAATTATTCTGATATAATATTAAAAAATCATCTCATTCAAGGGTAATCACTTAAGTTGTTGGATAAAATAATTCTTTATTATTGTATCAGCCTTTTGACCACCACATGGTCGTCATATCTGTAAGAAGACGTACAAGAATGGGCGGAGCAAAAACCTGACCCAGACCAACAAGCTGTTATTCCTGGTAAAAGTGACAACATCGGAAGGGTAGTTTTGTCCTCTGATGAAAGACAAATGGGCACCCTTCTTTTGGGCATAATAGCTTTTCTGTGCTTTGAATGTAACCAGCGTCAGGACCGCCTTATGGATTGTTCTGGACTTCTGAACTTCTTTTTTTTTAATAATTTTTGGACTGTGCCACTGTGGTTAAGGTTACAGGTTTTCTTTTTCCTTGTTTTTTTTCCCTTGGTGAACTCGGGTTTTTATTTGAAAGTCATTGGTTTTACAGTTGTACTTCATCTTGTACGAGATAATAGAGTAGAAGAGTTTTCTGATTATTAGGAAGCTAATTACAGCCATCAGACCAAAATAGATGAAAAATTACGGCTAACGACTTTACTACAACATTACAATAATAGCCAAATTGAAGAAATAGCCGTACCATAAAAGAAGTGGGAGGATTGTTAGCAATGCAATGATGCTGTGATTTAAGTCAAAGGTTGGCTTAGAGATTCAGATGTAACAACACTAACCCTGGTTTTGAGGATTAGTATCAATTGACCTCAACGCATTTCAAATCATTTTATATTGTCTTTGGCATCGTGTTACATCAAAAAGTTTAGCAGCCAGCAATAGTAATCCCCCACGTGAATTTCTATTTGCACTTCTTTACTGCTTTTTAAATTCTTAAAATTGAATTCGCATTGAACAATTCCAATCCTGGATTTAAATTATTGCAATTCCTTGTGGAGTCAACAATTTTTGGGGTCAAACCAATTAGGTCGAATATCTCAATTAAAAAGGATGAAAATTCAATTTCAAGAGCCACGTTTATCAATAAATAGCCAAATATAATTAAAAAAAAAAATCACTCTTGAATTGACAACAAAAATTTAGATTTTTTCATGTATAGTTTTGAATTTCATATATGGTTTTGAATCTTGCTGTGGTATATAGAATTAGGTGATAACTCCAACTTTGTATTCTGTGACTCCAATCGTAAAAATATGATAAACTTTGTTGAATAAATATAATAATAAAGTCCTTTGAAGATACACTCGAATGCTATTTGCACAATATTTTAAGATCATTCTTCCAGATCAAATTCTATACAAATCATCTATATCCAAATTCCTATATTGACAAAAAGTTGGTTTTTTTACCTTCTCCGTATTCTAACCCGAATTCTTAACAACCGTCATCATCTCAAGGGAACTTAAGGAAGGAATCCTTCGAAATATTTAACATGATTTTTTTTGGAAAATGAATTGTGAGAAAGTAGAATAGAAATAAATATTATAAAATATGATCATAATATCATCAAACTAAATAAAAAAATTCAGTAAAAAATATTTATTCTTTTTACTTTGTCTAATTTGCTTTTTTTAAGACAATACAATCAAATCTAAAATGTTAGATTTTTCTCGAATAAAACATCAAATAATGTTTAAATTTGGATTGGAATTTTGATTCCATTAAAGAGTAAGTTTATTTTTCTTATAATTCTAAGACTCGTAGTTCTAGGGACCAACTTGTTTTTTTATTGCTAAGAAAAGGTAATGAAGATAAAATAATATTGTATTGGCAATTTGGCACTAGGAATCGTTGAATAATCAATACATAATATTTTTGGAATAATCCTAATAGTGTCTTTCGTTTCTTAAAGTTCACCGGCATATTGAGAGCGAACAAAAATTAACATAGTAATCTCAAGCCCATATCGGGCTCAAAGGGCTTAACCTAGCCGTTTCATACTCGGGCTCTACTCTCGCTCTTTAGCCCTTTAATTTACCAAAAAAACCCAAAACAAATTACTAGCGCATGCCAAGTCACCGATATTGTTGCTCCCTCTCGTTAAAAAAATAAAAAAACACTAAAAATTTTGGACAGCTTTAGTATTCATTGTATTATATTGCACTTTGGTCTCTAATGTTTTTAAAATTTTTATTTTAACCTTCAAGTTTATTTATATCACAATTTAGTTTCTAAGCGTAGAGAAAGGAGAGAGGAAGTCACGATTGGTTTTAATTTTGGCATCTTTTGTGACCGATTTTACATTCATATTATTTGTTAACATCGGCACCGCGAGAGGTAGGAGGCCGAAACAAAAGAGTCGCCACCTAGCTAATAAGGAGGATTAGGAAACTCTAAACATACCGGTCTCGTGTGGATATCCGGGTAAATGATCGGTTACGTATGGAAAAAATATGACATCACCACCATCTCGTCCTACCTAAGATAAGTCGCATTTTTTGCCTATGAATATAAAAATATGATTTTTATTGTATTATACTTCCATGTCTATACAAATGAATTTATTTAGAGAAAATATAACACGAGATGGTTCGGGTGTAAAACAAGGTAGTTTGAGAGTTCGAAGCCACTTAAGACCAATACTCCCTACCCAAAAGGAAAAGGTGGGGAGTTTGAAATTTCGACTAATCATTAGTAAACATGACCTACTATTGACAAATATGTGAGTTTTTAAAAATGAATAGCTTTTTATTGGCATGAGCAACGACTCACCGATGACTTCACTCACACAAGTGGGAAGCCACCGTGACTTCGAGTCATGAGTTTGAAGCTAATGATAACCTCATCACACAAGTTGGAAGTTATCGATCACTTTGTTTAGCTCGAGCAAAGAGTAGATAACTTTTCGAAGCCACCACCGGCTTCGTCGCATAAGTGAGAAGCCACCGGCGGCTTCATTTTGATAAAATAAACAATGAAACTAGAAAAACAGGAAACAAGCACAAAAACAAGAAACGAGAGAAATAGAAAAACATAATTCGGCCAAACACATGAATCGGATAGAATAATTTTGAAACCACCGACGGCTTTGTCACATAAGTGAAAAGCTACCAACGGCTTCATTTTGATGAAATAAACAATGAGAAATGGAAAACAAGCAATGGGGATTGAAAGCGAGAAAACAAGAAAAAAAAAGGACCAAACATTAGACAAAATGATTTTAAAACCACCGACAACTTCGTCACATAAGTGGAAAGCCATCGACGGCTTTATTGTAGCATTGCAAACAATCATGGAAAGCCAATTGAATCACAAAAATTGATAAAATATTCATATTTTGACAAACGAGCATAATAACGAGAAACATGGCATATTATCTTTAATGATCTTTGTAGCAATATTTCATTTTAACTACATTTAATTTGCCAATGTTATGCCAAATGTCATAATTTTAACTACATTTTTAAGTACATAGTAATTCCTAAACATTTATCATGTTTTCAAAAAATGTTATGTTTTAGGATTTTTACCCAAAGAGTTTTGAAGTGTCGACGTTAGATTCGAAATCAATCCTACCCTCTTCGTTTTCGATGATAATCGAATATTCGATTAGCCAAAAAAGGAGGGTTACTACCGGTCGATAATGTGTAGGGAGTACCATTAGAGTGGCAAAAAATTCCTTCTTTACTTGAGTGAACGTTCTAAAGTTACCGCAAAATTTGTAGAGTTTTTGAAAACTCCAAATGAGTCCTGCAGACTTGTTCTCATGTCAAAAAAATCAATCAAATGCGATCTACAACATGTTGCTCTTGCCAACAATCCAACACAAGAAACTATTTTTAGTCTTTCTTTCATTAATTTTTTTTTGCTCTTATTTCCTTTTTTTTAGTAACTCAAAAAAGTATCGATTGGGTTGTTTTGAGGGACGTTTTGTGTCTCGTTTTGGAGAGGTTTTTTGGGTCGTTTTAAAGCTGGTTTGTGGGTATTTTGTGGCTCATTTGGTGGTACAAATGGGCTGTCCGAAAGGGTTGCTCTGTAAGGGTCTTTGGAGTCGGTGGTAGCAGTTTCAAAGTTGATTTTGGATGGTTTTTTTTATCGGTTTTTTAGGTCTTTTTGGGGTCGGTTTTGGAGCTCGTTTTGAAGCTAGTTTGTAGCTGCTTTGAGGATTGGCTTTGGGGGGTTTTTGGTGGGTTTTAAGGAGGTGTTTTTTAGGGTTGTTGGAAATTTTCGTCCCTTTTTCACGAGAGATTTCACGCACTGTTCAATCAAACTTTTGACTATTAAAACGATCTAATCTTGGATTGGTGTCTTCATAAGAATTATAGGACTTGATGTCATCTTTCCAACACAATTAGCCTTTCATCAATTGGACTAGTATAGCACAAGATATGAGCTTCGAACCGAACGAGTCCTATTGCTAAAAAACCTACTTGGATAGATTCTAACTTTCGACTTTTATCCCCATTTTGACTTTTAAATATTCCAAATCGAGCTTTTGACTCTTCATAATATTTTAATCTCAGTTTATTAACTTTCAAAAGAGTTTAAGATCACCTAATTGGGATGTTTGTAGCACAAGTTATAGTCAAAATATAAAACGGGTGTGAGGGTTAGGGTGGCCCGTGGCATGTTGGCTTGGTGTGGGATGAAGGCCTATGCGAGCGATAGCATATGGCTGGTGAGAGGGGGCAAGGGTGCTGGTGTGAGGAGGTGTGTTGATGATAGAGAAGTTACGGTAGTGAGGGAGAGAAGCGGCTAAAGATGGGTGAAGAGTTTGTAGAGTGGGAGAGGGTCGCTTGTGGCGTTAGAGGGTTGTTATGGGGGTGCTTGTGGCATGAGAGAGGGTCGTTATAAGTGCTGTGTGCGGGCGTGGGGAAGGGCGGTGAGTGAGGGCTATATGTGAGGCAAGAGGGAGAGGTCGGAATGCCCGTGTGTGTGTGGGTGTGGAGGAGAGTTGGTGCGGTGATGAAAGAGAGAGAGGCGACTGGATCTTTTTTCTTTAGGGCGACAAATGAACAGGTGCTTGGTACTAAAAAATGCATGGGAGTGCACATGCATGCATTGAAATGCTTTTAATTTATTTTTTTATTTTATTTAATTGGATGCAAAAATGATAGAAAACCAATCATTACTTGTTTTTGGTTTTCCACATAAGTTGACTTGATAAAATATATATAACATGTTCTCGCAGTTTAGAATAAACATATATATCAAATTATATTACTCGTTATTGGTTAAAATTAAATTTTTATTAGTTTTTTTTGTTTCTTACGAAAATTCTCATAAAATTATTTTTTTTTTATGTAATTTTGTTTGTTAGTAAATATAATTTATTTTTCTCTATGCATGATTTTTTAATTAAAAATTAAAAATATAATTATTTTATATTTTTAATGAACACATACATTGGATTATATTAGTCTTATTGTTTAAAATTGATTATTTTCATCCGTTGTTTCATATAGAAATTCTCATGAAACTAATTAAATATTTTTTATATAATTTTATTTGTTGATAAATATAATTTAATTTTCTTTATGTATGAATGTTTTGGATAAAATTTTAGAATATCATTGATTAATATTTTTTACACATTGATATAACTCATATGATTGATTCTTATAAGTATTGAATGAGAGTGTTAAAAAAGCTAAAAGTATATTTTAGACAATTTGTTTCAAACTTTCTAAAAACATCAATTAAAAAATTGAATTCACGTGTTTTATTTGCTTATTCTTTATATAATTAAAATTTATCAAAATTAATTTTATAATTTTTTTCATTTAAGCCTATTAACTTTGATATATTTCTTGTAATTTATTTTTTTTATTTTTTTTCATTTATGCTTCGCACTCTTAATATATATATATATGTACCAAAAAAAATAGTTTTATTAGAAATTAACTATGCATCTATATATATAATATCAACTATTTGTTATTATTTTTTAATATTTTAAAATCAACTTATGTGAAATAAAATAGTCGAGCTAATGTTTTAGGAGAACAATGCAATGATTCAAATACAATTTTTTATATCAATGTTATTGATTACTTTATGAATAGATATATATAAATCAAATATACATATATATATATTTTTTAAAATAACATTCTCATGAGAATTAACCTAGAATGAAAAAAATATTTATTTATTAATTTTTATATTACTTTTTATTTTAATTGTTGCTTATTTTTTGATGCAATTTATGAAAAAAAAAACATCAAGGCATTTTTTTAAAATTTTAGATTAAATATTTTATTTAGATTATTATAAATTCTTATTTAAAAATCAATACATAAAATAAGAAATCGTGTTTTTTAACTACAAAATTTATAAAAAACACAAAGAAGAATAAATTATAAAATTAGATGATTTTTTTTCTTTTTAATTCAACATATCATAATAAATCTATAATATAATACATACTATCAAATTAAAAATATTGCTCTACTCGATATATACTGTAGCATAAGTAATCAATTAGTAATTTTACTAAAATGAAATTATAGCTTAAATAATGAAAAATTTTCACCGGTACTTAACTCTTAACATGCGAGGATTGAAGATGAGAAAAATTTAGTAAAAATCCAAAAATCGAGCGTAATTTGGGTTCGATTTTTAAAGAAAAAAACTTAACCGAAATTATTTTGGTCATCAGTCGGTTTCGGTTTTTAAAGTGTGAATTTTCACCGAAAACCGAAGTTAGTTTTAATTATTATTTTTTTAATATATAACAGTAGTCAGTATGTAAGTGAGAATATAACAAAACTGAAAAAAAGAGGCAAAGACAGAACAGTCTGAACAGAAAGACTTGGCCTCCAAATCCAAATAAAAAACCTAACATAATTTCCAAGAGCAGCCAAGCCCCATTAGACACAGGCCCACTCACCCAGACACGCAGCCACCCTCGTCCCTCGCCTCGCCTCGCCTCGCCCAACCACCATATCAAGTCCCACCGGCCACCAGCTTTCGCGCAGCCACCCTCTCCCAACTTTCCCAAGTCTCTCTAGTCTCTGACTCCCCTGCTACGTAGTACTCATTACATCGCTAGGTTTCAATTTTAAATTTTCGTCAATCTTGCTTCCCTTCTATTTTTTTGCCATCTCTTTAAGCAGCCACTGATACTCAGTACCCTGCAAGGTTCTCTTTGTTGATTGTTGAATCCGTTCTACTTCCCCAGTTCTCCTACAAGCGATAGTCCCACACGGCACCATCTACCACCGTTTCATCCCTTCCTCTCAGGTATGGCAGTTCAATCATGTTTAGAGATCAGTTTGTAATTGACATTTTGATTATGATAAAACAGAATGGTAGCATGAGAGTGATAGGAAGGAACAGATCGATTTCATTTGTTTTGACAGTTTGATGTAGGGGTATTGACGTATTGTTACTGAATGATTGCTTGATGAATGATGATAGAAAGACATGTGAATTATTAATTTTGGGTATTATTACTGAATGCTTGCTTGATGATAGAAAGCCCTATAATTGTTCTTGCAAGAATAATGTACAACGGGAACCAATAAAGTAGACAGGTAGATAGATTTACCATTGAATTTGCTATTTTCCCTTCTTGTTTGTTGGAACTTGGGAGCAGAAGCTGGACAAGACCAATACTTGCAGTACTGCTTTTAATATTTGATGGATAGATGTGTGGATTTGGAAGAAGAACGTATTTTTGTTGACTAAGGCAGTGCTATTGGCTATTGCAGACTTGCATTACTGCTTCTTCATTATAGAAGACGCTGTGGGGCTGTAGAGTGTAGACTACATTACTCCTCTGAGAAAAATCCCCTTGGATGAAACTGATCAAATGTATCATTCTTCAATATACATAGACTAGGTTTTTATCAAAGTCTCCTTCGGGCCACCTCCCACCTGGTTCCTTTTGGCAGTTCCCCATCTATTATAACTCACACATGACACAACTGGGGCTGGGCTGAAGGGGGAAGGGCCAAGAATGATAGAACGAGGAAGTCTGTAAAAAAAAAAAGTCTGTGGATAGAGGCCCAGGCCAAAGTCCAATCAGAAAAAAAAGAAAAGGTTTTTAACCAAATTAACTGAAAACCGAAACTTTGACACAGCTAAGATTCTACCAAAGGCCAAAGTCTGTGTGATGTGTTCTAACTGAATAGATTATGTAATTATGAAACTTTGACACAGCTAAGATTCTACCAACATATAGTGACTCTTTTAGGATGTGTACGTAATCATGTGCGTGTCCTATTGTCTTGATTCTTTGTCTGTCTGTGCACATGTTTGACGTTCTTAATCTAGGATATTGCTAGAAAAGCACATCACAATGAATTCGTGTGGTGGCTGATGGATTATAGAGGAGTATGTTGATTAAACTAAGATCAAGCTGGATATAGATGTGAAATTGTCCTCAATGTGTTAAATAACTGTTGCTATAAAATTGGAATATGAATGTTTAAAGGTTTGCAAATTTTCTCAATGGTGAGGATGATGAATATGAATATGCTTAACTTCTTCTAAACTTAAATGTAAACTGTAACGAGTGAAGCTGAACTGCTTTGAAAGGAGAACTTTTAGATTTATTATGTATTCTATGTTTGGGGGAGGGGGATTCAAGTGAATTATAGTGTAAATACTGACTTTTTGGAGGTCATTTCTATGTAATCGCATTCATTTATTCCCATTGGTTCTCTGAAGATGTGGATTATTTGGGTAAAGATTGATTCTTTTGATGAATCCACTTTTAGATACATGATAATAAAATTTTGAATATAGTTCGTAGCGTAGATATAATCATCATTGAAGTGATTTTTTAATTATTTTGATAATGTTAGAGTATTAAGCTTTTGGTTTGAATCAATGGGGCTTAACTTAATTTGAAGAATTATAGTGTTATTTAGCTGGGACTGTTTGAATAAGCAAGTTTGTATCTTGAAGTAGTCTGCCAAAAAATTTTGGAAGTTGAAACTTAGACTTATGGAATTTTATATGGAATAACAAAAAAGTGATTCAATTTCTACTATTATTTATGATATTTCATATTCCAATGCAATTAGATACCAGTGAAATGAAAACTGGCAATCTTCGGACTGATTTATATTTCTTGATTTCCATAGCATGCTCAAAGAGTGCTAGTGCCATCTTTGGGGAGGTTTTCTGCTGGGCTTAAACTTGATCGTGGAGACAGATAATATAGCTGGTCATCAATATTCGTCTGGGATCATTAAATGGACCCTGATTTGGACCCTTTTGATGATATACTTCCTAAGCCTGCTTTGACTAATGGTAAGCGATGCTTGGTAAATCAAAGTAGAATTGGTCTATTTTCGGCTTTAAATAAAGAGTGGCTTGTTTGATGTAAATTTTGTTACTAGCTAGGGCAGGTGGGAAGTTTCAACCCAAGGCCAAACTGCGGCCGAAAAAGACATCATCTCTACCGATTCCTTCAATCCCTCCAAGCAATGCCAAGGAAAAGGCTGTTACAGCATCGCAAACTAGCTTGGACACAGCAAATTCTGTTCAGCCTGTTGATATTATGGATGAGAAATTGAGAGGTCAAAATGGTTTGTTGTCTCCATCAGCACCAATTGGGACTAAGGAACCCTTGGAAAACAATGATGAAAAAACAAAATTGGTTGCAGAGTCCGGAAATCCTTTGGCCCAACTTGTAGCTGGGAGTGGTGATAGTGAATTGAGAGATCCATTATGTTCGTCCTTAGCTGCCTCTGGCGTGGTTGGGGTCAAAGAACCTCAGAAAGATAATGAAGGTTTGTTCTTTTGCGAAATAGGAAGTTTGGAGGCAGCAAACCTCTCCCCTGTTAGGAGAAATGATGTGGGCTCTGTTGGTGCTATGGAATCAGATGCTACAATGTCTGATTGCAATGGTGACCAGAAATCTAGCTTTGTGAAATTGGCAGGAGAGGTAAGAACTTATCCTCTCCTTTCTTTTTTTTGATATGTTGCATCCATTGGATTGATAAGTCCTGAAAATTCAGTCTTTAGGCAGGCTCATTGGGGTTGGATTCAGATCTACTGGATGATATTCTTCCCAAACCTCTCAAAATTAATTGTAAGATACACTTTCACATATTGTCGATCTGTCACTAATGGAAACCCTATTCTTCTATTAAAGGACTCTCTCCATGATTTTCACTTCTGTTGCAGCTAGGGCTGGTGGGAAGTTCAAGCCTAAGGCTAAACCTCAGCAAAGAAATGAAAATCTAGTACCTGTCTCTTCATCTCCATCTAAATGCACTGAGGGAGAACCTGAGACACATTCTCTAAAAACACAATCTGCAGAGGCTGTTGATGTTCCAAATACAAGAATGAGTCCAGTTGGTCCACCTTTACTTAAGGAGGGCAATATTGAGAGTAATGAGCCATCAAAAGACAGCGAAGTTTCATATGCCAGTGACAACAGTTGCTTGGGATTAGTCAACCCCACATCTGAAAAAATTGCAACTGAAGAGGGTGTGAGCCCCCAAAATACTCAGCTTGCTGAGGTGAAGGCTGGAAATTATGTTGGCCTACATTCTAGGTTTGGAGAATCTGCCATGGAGGTAGAGATTTGATCTGTCTCGTGCCCTTGATATATTGCACCGAGATGTTTGGTTGAGTTCGATAATTCTGGAAATTCTGTTGGTTGTAGGTTGGTTCAATGAGGTTAGATTTGGACGCCTTTGATTATATGGACCCTATACCAGCCATATCAACTGGTATCTATCACTCTTGCACAATCTTTGACCCCCTCCCCTTTCTGTTTTTTGCTTTTGTTTTGTGATGATTGGTGAAATTATTTTTTTTGTCAGGGAGGGCTGGCGGCAAGTTTCAACCGAAGGCAAAGGCCCAGCCTAGGAAGGAAACATCTGAGTTAGTTGCTTCTGCTGTTCTCAATACTGCAGTCGAAAAAGTGGCGGGTCTAACTTCCACTGTCTGGGATAAAATGCTGCCCATTGAATCTTCTGGCGTTGAAGATGGTAGTCTGATCTGTCCTGTTGATGAACCTATTATGGAGACTACCAAAGAGCCAGGGAGAAACAATAGGGAGGTTCTTTCTCCTCCAGAGATTTTAGCTACTGTCTCCGGTGAAAAGGATACAAAAGGAAAATCCATCTTTCCTATGCGAAATTCTGTTGATTCTTCAGCATTTATGAAACATGATGTGGTGGCGACGGATTCTGTTAGTCCTAATGAAGCTGCTGTTCAGTTTGATAATGGAAGATCAGAATTAGAGGTGAATCTATGAACTTTCTACAAATTCGATAATTTCTTCCTTGAGAATCTGTTTTGGAATAATTTGGTTAGTTTCAGGAATCAGGGGTATTTCCTGACTTGGAAACTCGAGGTTTTTTGCCCCCAGATGCCATGGAGTTTGTTATGCCTTCACCACCAAATGTTCAGCTTATTCCTTCTGAAACCATAAACATTGATGGGTGTTCAGTTGCTGCCTTCCCATCTGATAATATTGAAGATTCCTCATCTGTTCGCTTAGGTGATTTTATTCCTCCAAATCCTTGTACTTCTGAGATTCGAATAGATCAAGAACCAAAAAACCTCACAGAAACTTACTCAGATAATGTGTTTGCTATCCATCAAGAGGATGTCTCTGCTGTGCCAGAAAAGGAGGTAATAAGTTCTTCATGGATAAAGCATTTTACTTAGATGTTTTGTGTGGATTGAGTGCTAACTTGTTTTCGGTTTCTTATCAGGCTTCTAGTAGTAGAAAGGTAAAAGCTGCCTCAGCATCATATAGTTCTCAGAAGTCCCAAAAAGCTTCCTCAGCTGGTGACATGAATGAAAGCGACAAATCATCAACGCGGCCAAGAATGCAGGCAGCTGCCCCTCAAATTGGTGATGAGCCAGAAGATGAAGCTCATCACAATGGTGGCTTCCCATCAGACATTATTGATGATGACTCATCCATTCGCTTAGGCAATTTTATTCCTGTAGATCCCTGTACCTCTGAGTTTCAAGTGGATCAAAATCAGAAAGACTTTACAGAAAGCAATTGCTCAGCAAATGCAAATGTTGCGCACTCAGAGGATGTTCCTATAGTGCCTGAAAAGGAGGTATTGCTGTTTGGCGTTAATAAATATCTTATTTAGTTCTGAAAATCGGGTTTTAACTTCTTTTGGTTTCTTTGTAGAGTTCTAAGATTGGAAAAAGGAAGGTTAGTTCAGCATCAAATTGTTCCCTGAAGTCCAAAAAATCGGCCTTGCCTGGTGATGTGAATAAAGGTAAAAAATCATCGAGGCAGCTGAGAAAGCAGGCAGCTGGCCCTCAAGTTGTTGATGAACCAGAGGATGAAGTTCATGATAACAGTGGGTTACCTGCTGAACCTCCTAGTAGTTCTGTTGATGAAGAAGATAATGATTATGAACCTAGAGGGGATGAAGAGAGTGATGGTGAATACAGGGTGGAAACTACATCTCGAAAGAAACGAACTTCAAAAAAAACAAAGGAACCAGCATCTGAAAAAGAAAAACCAGTTCGAAAGCGCAAGAGATCCAATGACACTCCGGAACAGTCTACACAAGAACCCCGCAAGAAATTTTCTCATTCGACTCGTCGAAACAAAAGATGTGGTAATTCAATATTCGTGTGTTACTTGTTATGAGAGATTATGAATTCTTATCTAACTGTTACTGAATTACTTTTGTTTATACAGTAAATAAGGATTTGCTTAACATGCCAGAGGATGAAATTGATTTCAAGAGATTGCCTATCAGGGACATCATTTTATTTGCAGAGTATAAAGAGCGCTTGGCAGTATGTGGGCAGCTTTCTCTTTCTATCCTTTTTTTTTTTTTTTTGTGGTTCAATAAGTTACTGTGATTGGGTTCATCAATGTCATGTCCATAGTTGTATTCTTGTGTTATGTTTGCATATTTCCCAGCTCAAGTTTTTTCTGCTTGACGTTGTTCTGTCCTTCTTGCACAGATGAAAGAGGCAGCAGCATCAAAAACTAGCCCAAACAATCAAAGGTATGGTATGAATTGATGAGGAGTCATACTTAGCTGAGCAGGTTTTGCTATGTTGTATCTTGCAGCTATAGCTCTGTGATTGATTCAGTATATGTATACATCTAACGGACTTTATTGGAAGCACATTTCACACGGCACACATCACTTGCTTCACCTTTTTTTTTTTCTTTTTTCTTTTTGACCAAATCTATAAAACTAAGTAAAAGTTTCTCTGTCTAATAAACAGCAAAGCACTGTAGTCTTATTAAAGTAAGAAAGCAAAATCTGAACAATAATGGTACTTGCTCCAGTCTCCAGGAATGATTGCAAAATGGTCCACACAGGAAGAAGATGGTTATATATAGCTTTAAAATGTGTATTGATTTGAACCTCTGGTCACTATGTTGCAGCACTGACAATCCATTTCACGGGGAATATTCTCATAATGAAGAGGATGGATTTGCTTCGGAGCAAGACAGAACCAATGATGATGACCAGACATATGTTAGGGCTCAACCAAGTTCATCTTTATTCAACCACCAGTCTTTCATGGACCGAGCACCCAATTCAAGATGGTCAAAGCAAGACACAGAGTTGTTTTATGAGGTAAACACAGCTGTAGTTCTGCATTTAAAAAGCAGCCATCATTAACCACATGTTTTACTTACACACAAAGTAAATAGATGTATCTGTTTCAGTTCTTGTACTTGTGAAATTAACTCATCTAAATTCTATCTTTTGTTTATATATTAGTTAGGCAAACTCCTTCCACTATTGCTTGTGGTGCTTATGAGCCCATAAAAATTGTTTAAGCTGTTCTATGTGATGATATATTAAAGTAGCATATTAGGTTGTTTATTTGAAATGTGTCATAGATAGACAGAGGATGTGATGATTGGCTAAGTGTTAGTTTTTGTTGAGTTCGTTAGTCTAAATACTTTTTGGCTGGTTCTGCTAGAAAGTTGACAATTTTGAAAACTTGCCAAGTGGATACAACTTCATCAGAGTGCCAAGGCAAAGTTTTCCCTGTGCTGTGCGTTATCGTGTCTGGTTGGTAAGAGATTCCAAGTTCTACTACCAAGGAATTGTTGGAGTGATGTGAAGCTAAAAATTATGAAAATTTGATGACTCTTTTCCCTTGAGAATATATAATTTGAGATAGAAGAGAGAGAAGATATAGAAATCCTAGGTAACTTAATGAACAAGCCAATACTATGTGATTTGAAGAGGTCTTAACATGTAATGCCCTGCCTGGTGTTTTGTGCTTGTCTAACATTTCAAGTTTCAACTGATATATTTATTGTTGTGTCTGTTAGGGAATTCGACAATTTGGGACTGATTTATCCATGATACAACAACTTTTTCCTGGACGAACACGTCATCAAGTCAAGTTAAAATATAAAAAGGAAGAGCGTCAGTACCCATTGAGGCTCCATGAAGCTCTGAGCAGTCGTCCCAAAGGTGAATAGATGACATAACTTTTTTCTTTTTGAAATTTCAGCACCAAGTCAGCTTAATTTGGTTTTAAGTATAGTTAGTATGTTTTACTCAATGATGTCTGCACTATTTGGGCACCAAGTGAAATGAGGTCCTTTTTTTTTTTTTTTTCATCTCAAAGGTGGTTGCTGACTGGTCATGGGCCTGGTATTATATTTTTTACTGTATCTCAAATCAAAGCTTCCAAGTTTGCTGATTTGTAGCTCAATTTTAAATCCTTTAGAGCATCTGCAATGCTCTCTTTATATTAAGATTTTTCTTTATAATAAAGAGATTTGATCTAAATTTCATTTCTAATGCTCTCTTTATCACAATCTTTATCTTTAAAATTGACATAAAGAGTGTCTTTGGCTCTCGAATACTAGAGAGTCCAAATGACTCTTTATCTTATATTTCATTAATAAAAATTACTATTTCTTATGCCACTCAGCCTCTTCACCAATAGTCTCCCCGGGTTTTATGGATTTTGTCAAAATAAAGAGTTAAAGTAGAGAGTAGCATTGGAGAGAACATTGATCTTCAATCTGTATAATTAATGGTGCTCTCTATTTATATTAAAAATACTAGCTAAAAGTAGAGAGCACCATTAGGGATGCTCTTAAGTGGAAATATACATTTCGCTTAGCTAAAGCCTAAAAGGATATCACAATGTGAAAATCTGTAATGTGTTCCCATATGTGGCCCAAGATTGTAATGCACATAGTGCTTTTGCTGGATTTCTACTAGGATCAAGTGAATACGAAATCAAAACTTAACTAATTTTAATGGTTGCGAGATGAAGCATGCTGGATATCATGTGTTTTAATATAATTTTGTTTTGCAGATCATTCATATTTTGAAAAGTTAATTGAGCAGCTTCAAGAAGTTGCTGCTACTCAGGAAGGACAAGAGTCTTACAAAGATGACCTAGTTGACGTGTCGGGCGAGGAGGCTACAGAGTTGAATGCTGAAACTAATGTATGCATTTTTTTTTCTGTCTCCTTTCTGTTTTGCTAAGAATCTAATGCTCTATTTACTCTTATAGTTGCCAAGGAAAGGAAAACAAATATCCCTTTGTTTAGAAGCTTGTTTGTTACTGTTGTATCTGTGTGTCATGTTATGTTTTATTGCTGTGTCTCTGCATGATGTTGTGCTGTTTACATGGAAATGGTCCTGTGGTTTTGTTTGGGTTACAGTTTGCTGTTACAGAATATGTTACAATAAATGTTGAAAAGCTTGACTAACTTGCTAAAAATGGAAGAGTGGATCCATTGGTGCTGGAAGATGACTATATTTCATTTTATGGTTTCTATTGTTCTCATAGACATTTTCCCCACTGGTGATTATTTGATGTGGTTGTCCAATTGGGATTCATATGGTTCTCAGAGACTTCTATCTAATGCTTTTGCACAAAACAGAGATACAAGCATAATAGGATAGTACCAGAGCGAGACATTTAACAACACTTGACTTAGCAGTTGAGAGATGTCCAACTATTGGACCTAGACATGGCCTTCTCTGACCTTTTCTTAGATGGTCATGATCACTGTTCTTACAATAGTCTTTCATTGGCTCTTGCTGTGTTTCTCTTACTGCTTAGTTACACTAGTCTGATCTGCTGTAGTGGCACAAACAGGGAGGGAGGGTTGCAGGCTCAAATTCTACCTTTGATAGAAACACACATTTATATGATTTCTCATATATAAAGATCATACTGTTGCTAATGCATGTATAGATGTGCTTGCAGGATGAAGTGACAAAACCCGAGCAGGATGAGGATGTAGGAGTTGAAGAAGAACAGGAAGAGAAAGTTGCTGAAGAGCACCATGGTCCACTGAAATCTGGTGATAGTGATGAGGATGTAGATATATGGAGTTCATATAGAAGTGAATTCTAGTTAGGCTGAAAGGGGAGAGGGGAGTCTTGTTCATATTGCTTTTTGGCCATTTTTTCCCTTCATTCCAAAGCATCCATCACATCATTGATAGAAGAAGATACTTTCCTACTATTTTTATTGCTAATTAATTTATCAAAATTTTATTAGATTTCCACAAATACATTCCGAATTCATCATTACCTTTCTCTCTCTTCATTCCACCATTTCCCCATCATTCACTCACACCTCCTGCCATTCATTTCATTTTAACTTTCTTGTGTCCATCAGTACAGGAAAGGAAGCCGTCGTGTAGAGTGGAGCAACCAAAATGGTGGCATCAATCCTCAACTGTATTGGAGTTGACTTTTTATCAACTTGAATTAGGAACACTAATCCTTCACGAATATTTTAGCATTAGACTTTAGTGACAGTTTGCCGTGTACAGCTTAGCATTTGATAGTCAATTGCAAAATATAAATCTTTACCCCTTCCTATTGTTAGATGGGTAACATATATTCTGATTTCTGACATTTAGTGAAGCAGTTAGGGTTTATTTAATTGCCAGCAATGAAGAAGTTTTTGTATTCACCGCAATGTGCCCAAAATTGTTTCTATTCAAATAGCTATTCAGCTTCAATGCCAAAAGAATAAGCCTACTGTCGTTGTTTGACTGACTTTTTCAAAATGGCTTGGCCTACGCTGGTGCCTCCTCTTTCGCTTTCTTTGAGGGTAATGCACTTGTTTCTCTCCAGTCTCCATGGCTTTTGACCAGCCGTAAGCACCATCTGCGGCGAAACTTTTTCGATGTCTCTACACAATCATGCAGCATCTTGTTCTCTGTCACGTTTTTACTTATTTTATTATTTGTGCTTAGCAATCACAATGTTTGGAGCGGTCGCATGTAGAAAACATCAATTATTTCTAGTGTTTCTGTCTTTTTCTTTTTTTGAGACAAGCTGTAAAGTAAACAAGGTAGAAAAAGGCACAGGACATGCTTAATTATAAAGAGATCGGCTGTAAATTTATTCATGTTGATGCCGGCAAAGCATGAACTCTCATCTCATATACGGAATTTATCGCTCAAATTTAGAAAAATTTGGAACCGGAGTAGCATGCTTAAAAAATAAAAATAATTCTCGCTGATGAGTATTTGATCATCTTAAAAATGATAAAAACCAAAGGGAAAAGGAGGGCACGAGGCACGAGAGGGGACCTTCACTGGAAGTGGGGTAGACTTGGATGTGATCGATCAATTTCATTTCACAGGCAAACTAGGTATTTATTTTGCGGGCCACTTTTTCTAAAAATCAATAATGCACCAGGAAGCTAATACTCAAATCGAAAAATATTTTGATGGTCGCATAAAGAAATTTTAAATACTAGTTTAATTTGACCGTAAAATGGAAGAAGAGGATGAATAGAGAAGAAACTAAAAGGGAACCAATGTGGAAGAAATAGTATTTTAAAATTTTGAGTTATTTCCTTGCTGCCGCCCAAAGACTCGTAATTGGATTGAAGAATTCCATATTATGAATTTTCCAAAAATAGTTTGCGTATATTATAATTTCTAAATCGGTTTTCAATTTATCCATGAATTGCTTCTTTCTTTTTTTTTTTTCCATTACCTTATTCACTTTTATCTTGTTTATCGTCGAACTTTGTCTTACAAAAATAGTTCAAAAAGAAATGGAGTCACAAAAAGAATTATAAAAAAATAAAAGCAGAAGAAACAAAAAGATAAAGAAAAAAGAAAAATTGATACGTATCATATCAACTCATGATTGCTCGTCATAAAAGAAAACAAAGCTGGGTCGGAATTCCTATGCATATAACAAAATTATACTTTTAAGGTTTTTAACAAATAAAAAGTTAACGAATTTTAGACGAATAGTCACAGCGGCATGAATTATACATATTTATATATAAAATTCATTCAAATTCATTCTTTATATTTATCTTTATGCAAAAAGTTATAAAAATATATCGATAAGAGCATAAGCCATGCGATTAAAAATCAAATAGTAATAAATTTCATTTTCACACATGGTTTTTAAAAACACCATCTGACAGCAGAATTGTGGTTTTCCGTGATATAATATTTTGCATGGTTCATAGCCGTAACGACTATTACATTATAGTTGTTGTGAACGTATTAGTCCTTGCACTTCAAAATTTAATCTTTTTATATTTTTTCTTAATATATATATATCCAAGATTAATAGTTTTATCAAAACTGATCTGACTATATTACGGATTAATATATATTATTTTGTTTTAAATATTAATGTATTTTGTATACGATATATTTAACCATTACAATGACATAATACTCGTAATCCTCGTGATAAATCAGTAATTGAAGACCAGATTTAAATACATGAAAACTGGTTTGAGATATTTCACCATGTTAGAAAAAAAGAGAGAAGAAAACAGCACTATCACCGCCGGCACGTGGTTAATTCAATGCCCACCCGTCTCTCCATCTGCCACATGGCATTCCAAAACCAAAAAAGTTAAAAAAATAATAAAAACAAGTAGGTCCCACGGTCCACCCCCTAGAATTCCCTCTCCGACTATAAACCTAACGAACAACCATTTCTTCTTCTCTTTCTCTCTCCCTCCGAAAAACGCTCTCGTTTCGCCGTCGAAATATTCGACGAATTTAATTTAGTTTCCTTATTTATTATTTAAGCATATACATATGCATATATTTACTAATCATCATCGTCTAATTTTGTAACAACCTATCCGTTACAGATTATACTAATTCCTCTCTCGCTGGATTGATGCATTTATAACCATCCGATCTACCTCCTGATCCGTGTCAAAGAAAGGAAAATTTTCATTTAGTGTCGTAAATCCTTGACTGACAGGTACTACATAGTCCATACATTATACTGCATTCACTTTTTATTTCTCCTAATTTCACTCAATTCCTCTCTCTTGATTTTTTTCTCTCTTAGGGTTTCTGATTTTTTTTATTGGAATGTGAAGGTTTTTATCGGCTGTGATTATCTGTTGGTAAAGTTATTGTTATTGGTGATTGATGCGGTGATCGGTTTGATTGGATCGAGCGAAATTCAAGTGTTCTGCATCAGTTTGCTTGTACAGAGATGTCGGGTCCTCTGGATCGATTCGCCAGACCTTGTAAGTTTTTCTTTGCAAATTATTTTCGTTTTGATTTTTTTTTCTTGATTTTGTTTACTGATTTTAGGGGTTCAGTGAAAGTTTGTTATTTTTTAGTTTTTCTTTTTTTTCATTACAATTTTTTTTTGTCTTAGTGACTTTGATTTATACCAATTTAGCTTATTTTTACTGTTTGGGTTCTTAATTCTAATGGTTTTAACTATAATTCTTTTCTTAATTTTTTTTTCATTTTAGATTATTACATTTTAACTTAATTTTTTTATTTTTTTCTTAATGTCTTAAATTGTGATAAACATTACTTTTTTCATCATTTCTAATTCTTTTTTAGTTAGCTTTTATTACTTTCACTGTACTGGAATAGAATAATTGACCACATTAATCTTGATGTGGCATATAAAGTTTTATTTTTTTATTTTTAATGTGGGTATTTTTGTTAATGTTTGGGTGCTGTTTATGTGGTAGGTTTTGAGGGATTCTCAGGTAGTGATGAGCGGAGAGAGAGGAAATCTGATTTTGAGAACTCTGAGGATGAGAGGAGAACGAGAATAGGATCATTGAAAAAGAAAGCACTTAATGCATCTACGAAGTTCAAGCATTCTCTGAAGAAGAAGAGTAGTAGGAGAAAGAGTGATGGAAGGGTTAGCTCTGTTTCGATTGAGGATGTTAGAGATGTTGAGGAATTACAGGCTGTTGATCAATTTCGACAGGCTTTGCTGATGGATGAATTATTGCCAGAAAAACATGATGATTATCATATGATGTTGAGGTAATCTATCATGACCCATAATGACTTCTGTGTGCTCTTTTCAAGTCTTACATGTTTTATGCTGGTTTATAACTAATAATGGCCGATCATCTTATGCAATTTATTTCCTTCAGGTTCTTGAAAGCAAGGAAATTTGACATTGAAAAAGCGAAGCACATGTGGGCCGATATGCTTCAATGGAGAAAGGAATTTGGTACCGATACCATTATGGAGGTAATTGGGCTATCTAACAATTTGCTTGAAATGGCTTTGCTATCCTTTTTCACCAACATTTAACATTAATGTTTCAGGATTTTGAATTTAAAGAGTTGGATGAAGTTTTGAACTATTACCCTCAAGGTAATCATGGTGTGGATAAAGAGGGGAGACCTGTTTATATAGAAAGGTTGGGAAAAGTTGAGCCTAACAAACTTATGCATGCTACAACTATGGACCGGTATGTGAGGTACCATGTGCGGGAGTTTGAGAAAAGCTTTGCTATAAAGTTTCCAGCTTGTACTATTGCTTCGAAGAGGCATATAGATTCAAGCACGACTATTTTAGACGTTCAAGGAGTGGTATGTTAGTTGTAACATTGAGAGAATGTACATCAAGATTTTAGTTGACCACTGATTTCTTTTTTCACTTTTAATCATTCAGGGTCTCAAGAACTTCAACAAGTCAGCACGGGATCTCATTATGCGGCTTCAGAAGATCGATGGTGACAATTACCCTGAGGTCTGTAATCTAATTTTTGCTGTCTTGATTAACTCCTTGTTTGAATTGTTACCATTATTGGGTACTTGAAATTGAATTTTTTGCACCTCTTTAATTACTGCAGACTCTACATCAAATGTTCATCATCAATGCTGGTCCTGGATTTAGGCTGTTGTGGAACACCGTAAAGACTTTTCTAGATCCTAAAACCACGTCCAAGATTCATGTATGTTAAGATTTCTACTCTCCTATATATTGGACTTTGCTGGTATCTTCTTGTTATAATTTATTAACTCCACATATATTTGTTTTTTGGAACTAATTTAGGTTCTCGGGAACAAGTACCAGCCTAAATTGCTTGAAATAATTGATGCCAGGTAAAATGATTGGAATTAGCCATATAATACATATCTATTTTGCAGTTTTTTATGGATGATTCTCATTCAACATTTTATTTTGAAATTTTCGATGTTTCATAATTTTAATGTCATAATTTGTGTCCTCACTTGCTACAACTTTGCAATTTTTGCAGTGAATTGCCAGAATTTCTGGGTGGTACTTGCACATGTGCTGATCAGGGGGTTGCCTTCGGTCTGATAAGGGACCATGGAAAAACCCTCAAATATTGAAGGTTGTTTACTGGACTGAATATGTGTGTTGTGCATGCTGTTGCAATGTTTAGATCATCCAGCTACCTGCACCCATGGGTGTAATGTACTAGTTTGTGGTAAACAAGGTAACAAAAAAAAATTGATCATTTTGATATCATTGCAGATGGTCCTTAATGGTGAACCACGTCGAGCCAGGCAGGTTGTGAAAGTGTTAAACAGCGAAGGCAAGGTTATTGCTTATGCTAAGCCACAGTATGCAATGGTAATATTTTCTCTATCTTCATCTTGATATTGACAACTGCAAATTTTGTTTTTCCTAATGCTAGCACATTGCCTTTGGTATCATGAAGCAGTTCAAAGGTAGCGATACATCCACTGCAGAGTCAGGATCCGAAGCTGAAGATATAACTTCCCCTAAAGCAATGAAAAACTATTCCCATCTTCGACTGACTCCTGTTCGTGAAGAAGTAGGTTCATTATTCTGGAATTTTTACCTGTTATTTTGACACACTGTTATTGCAATTCATATTGTTTTATGATTGCTATTTTGGACTATCAAAATGAATGATGAAGTGACATCAGTGTGGGGGTTGAATTCTCATATTTATTTATGTTAATTTTCTATGTTGAATTTGCAGGCTAAGGTAGTCGGAAAGGCAGGATATGCTGGAAGCTTCCCAGGATATGATGAATATGTACCTATGGTTGACAAAGCTGTTGATGCTGGATGGAAAAAGCAAGCAGCTATCCAGAAGCCTTCTGTTTCCAAAGGTCAGCAAGCATACTCTAGCAGTCACTGTATCTTGTTTAATTGCCATTGCTATGTATTTGTCTACAGCCTCAGCTAAGTATGTTGCTTACAATGCTGTAGCCTCGTATGATTGAATGCATTTTTTTTTCATCAGTGAAGTGTTTAAAATTCTCTATATAACGCATTTGTTTGATTTAATGCATTCCCTTATTCTTTTTTTTATTTTCGTAGAAAATGAAATTGAAATTTCTGATGCAGCGACAATCACCCTTCCCAACACTGAAAAGACTCCAGAAGGGGTTCATGTTCGGATTTTTGTAGCAGTTATGGCTTTCTTTATGACACTTCTTACTCTCTTCCGCTCACTGGCATCCCGAGTAACCAAAAGTCTTCCCCACACCTTGTCTGATTGTGAACATCAGAGTTCTCCTGAACTAGCCCTCGATGCAACTCAAAAAGAGGGTTGTCCCCCTTCAACAACTGTTGCTTTTACTGAGGCAGATCTCCTCTCTTCTGTGCTGAAAAGGCTAGGTGAGCTTGAGGAGAAAGTTGATACACTTCAAGCAAAGCCATCAGTGATGCCTTATGAAAAAGAGGAATTGCTAAATGCTGCTGTTTGTCGTGTGGATGCGTTGGAAGCAGAGCTAATTGCTACTAAAAAGGTATGGTTGCTTTAGGCTAGAATTTATGTTTTACATGCAGAAATATTGATCTCCTTATAGCTCTATTTCCATGAGGAAATCGTGTTGTTTAACACCAAACCAAATCTATGAGCTTGCATTCAAGACACTTTTGCATGGAGCATAAGTTTGTGTTTTGGTTATTTTTTGGTGCCGGCTTCTGCAATGTGATGAATCTCTTAGCATAATATTAGAAGCATCACCACTTGGGCTCCTGATTGGCAGTTTTGAAGAATAATGTTTATCTATAAAATCCCAACTCAAATTGCTTATTAGCTCTTTGAATAGTTACTTTCTGCGAATTTCAGCAGGCTTTTATGGACAAAATTTTGCATCTCTTCACAAATGTACATATTTTAGTCTCCATTTAGTTTGTTTCAACTTGTGCTTCAGTTTTGCATGTAATGCACTTTATCATGTGGTGTCTTGTCTGTTTTTTGTTAAGTTTTGTAATGGCTTAAATCACTTCTGCTTCCTGGGCAGGCTCTATATGAAGCTTTGATGAGGCAGGAAGAACTGCTTGCTTACATAGACAGTCAAGAAGAAGCCAAGTTCCACCAGGTAGGGAGTCAGATCTCTGTTTTAATTCTATATAGTAAGTACATTTTTGTTGCTAATAATGTTCTTCCTGCATCTCAGAAAAAGAAGTTCTGCTGGTAAGCTTTTTTGCCAACGGAGAGAGACTATGATGGCGCTCTTATGTGGTACTCAATTATGTTGTTTCTATACGAGTGAGTGTCTGACATAGAATCACTAATGTTGTCTTGCTGGGATATACACTTTCTTAATGAATGTAAGTTTCTGTTACTTGTGAAGAATACAGTACCTTGTCGCAAGGAAGTTTGCATGAGCAATTTGTTTTCTGAAATCACGTTTGGGACCTTGTGTACGATATAGTCATTGGCTTCAATGGATTTAGTAACATGTTCAAATCTTCAAAGACGAACACTACTACATGTTAGTTTGTGAGAAATCTAATCTGCACGCATGTTTTATCTTTAAAATCTTATATTTTATATCTTATGTCTATATTAAAGGCCTGATTATTTGTGTCAACCTTTTGTGAAGATAATAAAAAGAGGCTTGACTTTGCTTGTAATTGAACCCATTGTTAATCTGCACTGATTGGTTGCTGGAAAATTAAAGTTATTTCCTGTTTTGGTAGTGAATATCAATTTTCAAAATTGTTTGAATATTTTTTTTTTTTTGGTCTACAACGACTTTCATGTCATCAAAAAAAAAAAAAAAAACTATATTTTGAAAAAATATCAATAATGACCGAGCCTTGCTTATCTGCTGTCCAAATTGAAGGATTTATTAACAGTAAACAAATGAAAAATTTGTAGGCAATTTTTTGTTTACTTCAAGGACCTCTTATATTTATATACATCAATATTGTGTGTGTGTTTTTCAGATGGAAATGAACCCGACTGAATTGAGGATGCAACTAAACAAATTTTCCCACTATGGATTAAAAAATAAAATTTAAAAATAAATTCTAAACAAATTCTTTTTAGGATGGAAATATAGAACTAGGGTAACTTTAGTATAATGACAAATAACCAGTTGAACGGAACTCATCGAGTCTCCTAAACAAGTCTGAAAAGCTCAAAATTCATTTCCCAATAATAGATGTTTGTTGCCTTTCTTCATCTCCCGATAAATTATTGCACCTTCTATTCAAAAGCAGGAGCTGAGTCTAAATATTCTGATGATTTAGAAAGATTTAATATCCCAAAATAATGTCTAAATAGTTCAGCCACAATTATTATTCTATAATTTAGCTAAACCTTGACTCAGTATTGCAGTTTTGTAGCCAAAACAATCAAATTATCTTTAAATACGAGTATTAATTTATTTTTCTGTTTCAGTGAGAGGCAAAGAGACCTTTTGGGCTAATTTAATTTCTGATGATCCCCTTTATTCAAAATTTCCTTTATATTTGTCGAAACACAAACATGGCACAAAACTTTACATTATATATCTATTTTCTTTATTGGGCTCCTGCTAACCCATCCCAACGTTGGCACCACGCTAAGTATAGAAGAGGAGTGTATAATAATAATAATAATAATCGTAATAATAATAATAATAATAATATATAATATACAGAGGCTTTGAGCTCAGCATTTCACAAGTCAAACAAGTTCTGAAAACACCTGGGTATTATAGGCCTAAAAATCTCTACCGCCACCACTGCCAGTCCAGTATTTATTACCTCATCAGCTTGAACTCTTAATTCAAAATCCGAAAATCTGAGGGTATGAACAAACAGTTAATTAGAACAATGTTTGTATGCATGACTCAGTTTTGCTGAGCACTATCAGAGATATGTAAACTTACATTCTTTTTCTTCTTTTTCTTCTCTATGTAGGCTAGGAGTTCCTGCTGTTTAGCAACAGCATCTTCAAGTGCCTGGACAAACAAAAAGCTCAAACATTAATATCAGTGCATTTTTTTTTCATACTGGCAACAGCTGCTAATTAAATCAATAAAAGAAAATCGTGTATGTACCTTCTTGGCTGTTGCTAGTTCTTGCTCTAGAGTATCGGCTCGCCTTATAGCAGCGTTCAGCATTTCCTCTTTATCAGGGGGCATGACTTGAGGTTTGGAACTGAGAACATTCAGCTTCTCTTCTATTTCAGCCATGCGCAACATCATGTTCTTGTATTCAGAAGTTGAGATGGATGGTGCTGGCAATACGTGGCTTTTAGCCATTTCATCAGCATAAACTTGACTACCATAAACAGCAACCTCAGCAAGTTTTCTAGGCATGTTGCGTGATATGCGAACCATGGAGACAATTCCCATCACGACAGCCATTATCCCATTTACTAGCTGACGGTTCCCTCCCTGAGCCTTGCAAACATCATGCTCTGGGCGACACACTATGGCATTGACAGACAGCAAAGTTTTGTTCATATGAATTGTAAAGGATTTCAAAAGTTTGGCACAGCTTACACATTTCCTTCTCGATTTCAAAATATGTATGTGTTAGAAGTTGTTTTAAAATTATAAAATTTTCGAACGATAGCTTCATATGGTTTTGATAAGGCTGAACTTTGATGAGAACTGTTGATTTTACAAGAGATATGCATCATATGGACGAGTTATACACCTTTAGAGAGGGCATATCTATTATTCTGCGGCGTAGGCCAAGCAGCATCAATGTTCTTTTCTACCATTGGAATGGAGTTCTCATAGTCTTGGTCCTTGTTCCTTTTGCTCAAGGGAGACTGCAAGATACAGAGAACATCAGAAATGAAGATATGTAAGATCGAAAGGTGACAAATAATCTTAGTAAGATTTTGACATGGTTCATAGTAGCAGTTACGATGTACTGTATTTTGCTTCAAATGAAAGAATGCCCAAAAATCTACCCCGTCCAAGTTGCAAAGACAGGTATATATATGAGCAACATGATTCTGAGATTGGCAAAAGAGGTAACTTGATGACATTCCAACTTAACTTATCTTGTAATAATCTTACGAAGCTCAAACATAATACTAAGGAATCCCAATGTCAGACTTGAATCCCTATAACTTACTTCAGGAACTGGAGAAAGTATCTGATGCTCTACTTGATTCCTTGGATGGCCATAATCAACAGCATCAAATGGTTCTTTGCTGAAAGAAACGTTTCTCTTCATGTTGCCAGACAACCGAAAAAAAGTTAAGCATTCAATCAATGGCATAAAATTGGGTGTCTAAAACGTGAGTAGAGAAGGTCACAAGATTAAGAATACCTTTGCGCTCGCTTGGTCATCTTCAGATAGTGCCTTCTCATGAATTCCTGAAACGGTTCTCCTGTGGCATTTGGCTTCACCATTTTGAACCATCTGAGTGGTCAAAATGAAAGAAGAAATCCTTATTTTCTTATTTGTCTTGTAAGATGCTCGGCAAATGAAGAAATGGTAATCAACAGAAAAATCACAAGTAGCAGCAATGGTACCTTCAATATGTCTGCATCATTCCATGGACCCTTATCGGAACGCATACAGCCACCCTTATCGGCACAAGTGCAAGTACCACCAAAAATCTGGGGCAACTCACTGGTACAATTCAGAAAAAATATGGCACCGTGAGTTTGAGAAGAGATGTTCTAAAGGCATTGGAAAAGGGAAGTTTCATGTCATCAAGAATAAACTTACCTTGCATCAATTGCTTCAAGCAACTTGCTCTGGTATTTGTTACCCAGAAACTGGTAAAAAGTAGTTGCAACAAATTAGTGACACTACAATAAGGACTTAGTTTGGATATTTATTGAATATTTCCTGTTCTTTTATTTTGAGATCAAGAGATGAATGCTTACATGGATTTTTTGGGCTGTCTTGGGGTCAATGAACTGTTTAACAGTGCTCCACAAAAGCCTGAATCCAGGACCACCATTAATGATGAACATTCGATTTAAGGTCTACAATAATGAGGCATTCAAATAGGATTAGGCAAAATGAGAATCATTTATTCATCCGAAAAGGCAAACAAGCGGAAAATAAAGTTAGAATGGTTAAACTGATTACCTCAGGGTAATTGTCACCATCAATCTTTGAAATGCGACCAATAAGTTCCCTTGCAGTTTTGGTGAATTGTTTAAGCCCCTGACCATGAACATTTTTGTTAGTGTTCTTCTAGTATGACAAGAAAACTTGACGCAAATCAATATCTGATATTTGCCTATTTTCTAGCGGTAATAATCCTCACATACCACTCCTTGCACGTCCAAGATAGTGGTGCTTTGATCAATGTGCTTCTTTGCTGCAATCGAACAGGCTGGAAACTTGACATTGAAAGTTTTCTCAAACTCCTGTACATGGTATTTCATATACCGATCCAGAGTTGTGACTTGTATCAGCTTGTTAGCATCAACTTCACCCAGTCTTTCAATGTAAACTGGTCTTCCTTCCTTATCAACTCCATGATATCCTTGTGGATAGTATTTCAAGACTTCATCGATTTCCTTGAATTCAAAGTCCTGAATGAAGACCAAAATGCAACAAAATTCAGAAACTACCATATGGTTACTTTCTTAATCTTTTATGTAGGTAAGTAGGTTACCTCCATGATTATGTCTGCGCCGAATTCCTTCCTCCAATTGAGCATATCAGACCACATTTGCTTTGCTTTCTCGATATCAAATTTCCTGGCCCTTAAAAATCTGTATCATGATACAATGTGGGAACAACCCAGGCAGCTTAGATCAAGTCAAAGAAGTCATTTTCATGAAAGTTGAGCATGCCATTCTAAACATTAATGACTGAAAAATGAATAGTAACCTTAGCATCATATGTTGATCATCATGCTTAGAGGGTAGTAGTTCATCCAAAATAAGTGCTTGGCGAAATGCATCCACTGCCTGTAATTCCTCGGCATTAAGGTTATCGTCAATTGAAATTGACATTACTCTACTGTGTCTGCGGCCTTTCTTTGTCAAAGAATTCCTGAACTTGTTCGAGGCGCTAATTGCCTTCTTCTTCAATGATCCAAGCTTTGTCTTCCTCTCATCCTCGGAGTATTCAGCATCGGCTTGGCCTGTTTAAATCATCGACAATGAAATGCAAAAACTTCAAATTTTTTAATGGAACTACTTTCTCAAGCATGTAATTTTAAGAAGTTTCAGCTGAGAAACTTGTCATTTTCCTTCTTGCATATTTCATTTTCAAAGTTTCTATAAACCATAGCATGCATATTTCCCAATCCATATTTCTTATCTATTAGAACTCCATTTTAAGATGTGATTATAACATTGAAAGAGATGAATTGAAGGTGGAAAAAATCTCGTTCATTTTGTTTCGCAACACATGGAAAAGCATCGACTTGTCGAACACCTATATATATGTCTAACATGAAGGCAAGAATCACAAAAAGATTGAACAAGAATTGCCCATCAAATAAAGTCGATGTTTCAGAGCATTTACCGGCTTTGATATGTCGATCAAGTGGTCCAGACAAAGTATCGGACATGGCTTTTGCAATTTTGTCGATAATCTATTTGAGTAGCGGGAGAATCAAGCACTCAGTAAACTATTGCCCCTCACAAAGAATATTGTCAGGCCTATAACCATGTCAAAAGGAAGTAAAAAAACATCAGGAAGGAGACAAATCCAATCTAACAGAAATTACATAACATTTTTTTCAACCTGTAAATCTTAGCAGTCAAAATGCAATGCAAACATATATATGCATCATTTTAGGCTTACAATGGCAGGTGTAGCGAGGAAGATCAAAACGGTCAAAGAATAAATATCTAAGTATAATAAGAGGTAATTAAATGAGCACCCTATTCACTACTTTGATACCATAAAACCCGAAAATATTACACAATCAATATTATCAAGGGAAATAATAGCAGGAAACCGAGAAAAATCAGGTAAAAGGCCCCAATATTATGCACATCTTGTAATCTTATGCAATTATACTACTCAATGGTCCTAGTTTCTATGCCTGAAAGCTGAGTGGAAGATATCACATAACAATGAAACCTTCCTAATGGTGCTATCAACGATGGCAACAAGGACATTAAAAGTTTTAAAATCAGAGGCAAACCATACATGTCAATGCATCCAAACACTTTAAAATGTAGGTATTCAAAATCAATGAAATTAACAAAATAATTTTCTGTAAGAAAAAGCATACATTGCTCAATCCATGCAAATGAAGGAGTTAATTACCAAAAAGGTTTGCTAAACAATATAGAAAAAAGCAAGAATTTGACGCAGAAACAAGGTTTTTCTCAGGAAGGTGGAAGGGAGAAGAAAAACGAAATTACCTTTTGGCAAGAATGTAGGGTAGGAACCCGAAGGGTAGAAATAAGAGAGAAAGATATCTAATACCCGCATTAACCTCTCAAATAGATGGTGCTAATTATAAAATGTACAGCAAAGATGATTTTGACAGATTTAGAAATCAAGAAATATATATATAGCTTGTTTTCATGTCTTCTATTGACATGTTCTACCTAATTTTATATATATCTATAGGCAGTAAGTATTATCTTTCTGCTAAGATTAGAGAGATATAGATAATAGCTAAATGCAAGCATCTCCCTTCATTTTTGGCTTCACCCAACGCCCAAACAAACTTTAACTAACTTTGCATAACTTCTTCTCCTTCTTCCCGGCAAAATTTCCTCCTACTGTTTTAGATGATACTATAATGTTGATAGTTTTACCACAAGTTGAGTTGAAATTCAACTAAAGTCTTTTCTTTTTTAGCATTATTCGTAGCTTTGGTCACCATCTTTTATGTGATCCGACTAATTAACAGCTACTCTTAAGCTATCTGTTAAGGACTATGGTTTGCCCCATCCACTCTGATTAGCCACCATACACGTTCATTTTATGTCTTTGTTTACTATATTATGAGGTTAAGTTCGTGGTTGTTGGAGTTAGGACGCAGAAGTCAATTGCTTGTTTGTGGAGTGGAGCTCCACTAAGTTTCTGTTGCAGCAAAACTAGAAAATATTGCAGATTACAACAAGTTCATTATTGCTCTGATGAGCCCATTCAGAAGAGGATCTTATATAAAATAATTGATTGCAGGAAAGATTTTGGGGAAAAAAAAATGTTCTCTTTGAGGATCTTGTGTAAATTGGGCAACCGCTCGAATTTTGCGATTCTTGATTTTCTTTAAAAAAAAAAAACCATTTAAAAAAAAGGTCAACTACTCCTCCTGGTAGCTTTTGTAAGAGAAGAAAATTGAAGCTGTACCTAATGAATCCTGCTTTAAAGTAGTTCTGATTTCTGAAAATTTGTTGGTGCCATTAAAAGGTGCTTCACATTTTTGCCAAAATGAGTAGTTGATCTATAGATCGCAACATGGCATGTCGCCTCTTGCAGCAGAAGTGTTCTGCTGCCGCTACGTGTTTAGTGCTTCGATAGCTGGGGGCCTTTTTCTTTTTTTTCCTCCCCTTTCGGGTCTTTTTGGCTGCTTGTTAATCAAAACGAGAGGGAATCAATTCGCATCAATCTTTCTTCATACAGTAAAAATAAAGAAAGAAAGAAAGAAAAAGGAAAGAGACTTTGAGTTTATAAGAGTAAATATTAATCTTCCTAATGAATTCTACTCATACAACATATGAGAGAATATTTATATTATCAGCATTATTTGTTTTTTTTTAATATATTCCTCTTTTACTTTAAAAAAATTGTTATCTTTTGACTTTTCATATATTTTAAGAACATTATTAATTGTTATACTATATCAGTACTTTTTATTTAAACTTTTTTAAAATGCATTTTTTGTTAAAATTACTAATTATCAAATTTAATTATGTATTATATGAAACTAATATTAATTTAAAGAGAAAATTCATTCAAAATTAAAGTGATAAATAAAAAAAATCATTAAGTTAAATATCAATCAAATTTAAAATAATAATGAAAAATTAACATACTAATGGAAATATTTTATTTTTAAAATTTCGGTATGCATTAGAGTCAATACAAGAATGAATAATTTTCATGCAATAAAAATTTTCTTTTAAAAATTTTTATGTTAAAGATATTTGTATGTATAAGATAAAATATAAATAATTTTGATTTTTTATAAGTGAAAAACAAAAAAAAAAAATCAGAAGAAAGAATTGAGTATTTTAGGAAAGTACATTATTTAAATTTTTATCGAGATGAGTATTTGAGGACAGATATAAATAAAAAAAATTGATAATCTCTGCAGAAGAGTATAAATTTATGAATTTGATTCTGATGCAGCTTCATATTCCAATGAGTTAGGAATTCAAGAATGAATTGAAAGTCAAGAACAAACACTAGTTCTATCCAACTATGGAACAAAACTAGGTATATGCATTGAGAATTCATGAACAGTATTGGGAAAAAGAAATACAAGAATTTCAAAAAGAAAACATAAAGAAATCAGACAGAAAAAGAAAATCAATTTGTCAAGAATGGCTATAATGTCTATTCCTGCTTGGTTTTAACAGCACCATTTATACTGCAAACAACCAACCAATTACCAACTACCAACTCTTCAGCTCAACGTAACAAGCTCCCTAACGCTCTAACCATGCTTGTTGCTTACTCTTTCCCACCTAATTTCCTTTCACACCAGCAATTTTTTAGTTGATTATTGCTGACTTCTTTAGCTGCTTCATGCTCCATTCTGGCCCCACAACTTTGCATATTCAATCTCAACAATTCCTACGATTCCCTCAAATCTAACAACTATTCCATTTTTAGAGTGCTGAAGGTGCATTTAAACTTTTTTTTTAAGGTTTTGCTAAAAATTAATATGCTATTAAAAAATATTGATATAAATTTTCGAAGATAAAGTCTGAAAATATCATTCATTAAAGATTAAAATGTACTAGGGGCATTTGTCAAGACAAATGACATTATTAAATTAAAGTTGTTTTTGAAATATAAAAAATTTTCATCCTTATTTTATAATTAATAGCACGCAAATCTAAATTTAAAAATATAGTAAAATCTTATAATTCATCCAAGAGTTCTTCAATAGTAAGAAACCAGGCATTGATGGTCATTTAATTAAGTCTCTCGTAATCCATACACATCCTCCAAGTATTATATCATTCTTCCTAGTCGGCTAACACTATTCGAGAAGAAAAAAGATTGATACTTGATTTTGTAATTCCACTTCCAAGCTTTTTTGGAATCTGTCTACCAATCTTATCGTTTTGAATAGGAGAGTATCTATAGCATTTCATGTTCATAGGTTCAAACCCTTGTTTCAAGGTTATCATGTGATCCTGCATCTTTCGAGGAGTTAATCTTTTAGATTCGTTAAAAACATCTCCGAATTATCCCTAGTTCCATTGGAATCTATTGCACGATTTGTACCTCATAAATTTCCCTTTCGATTTCTTCAATATCAATTAGTCGATTCAATTGTAACCAATTTAGTTGTTATTGTTTACAAACAACCATATCAATCTCTTTCTCCTCATCATTTTTAATCAAATTAACACAATTTCCTTTCAACATCTATAACCTTCTCTCTTTTATAAATTTCATCCACATCTGTTTTAAATTTCAAGTTATGTATCCTAATGCATATAGTCATGCCACTTTCAATATCATCTCATACATGGCAAGATGCATTGCAAATATAATAGTTTCAAAATACTTTACGTTGCATTTTCTATTTAAAATTACTATATAGTATTCATAATAGATTTCTCCTTCATCTCCAACTTTCACGAGATATAGACTTAATCTTAACCAATTCACATTAACTCCTTGGAAATTCCAAAATCAACAAATTATGGGTATCTACCAATATATTCATCCTCTTATCATGTAAATCCCTTGCAATTCTCATTGTTTGGTAATGTTCCCCCCTTCCCTTAAAAAAGAATTCCATACGTTAAAATGCGGTATAATTCTTTAGAAAAGTTTCCTATATCAATGAATTCTTCATTATGATCCTCTTCCGGAGTAAATTTCTCTCCATTCTCACTTACTCCACTCTCTGCTACTTCCGATATAAACATGTATTCACTTACGGTTATGACTAGGAGTATGCTTCTCATAACAAAAGTAACACTACCCTTATTTCATTCAGCTTTTTGTTACTAGGGAAGCTTTTAGTTTTAAACACAAAATTATCATCTTGAAGCCGAGTTGGTAAGGGTAATGAGCCTTTAATTGTTATTGAAATTATTGCTATAATTCATCAAAGGGTCTTTGGTTAACAAGGTTTGAAGATTTGTAGAAGTTTGTAGGGTTTAATTTATGGTTAGACAAAGGAATTGCAATTTGGTTTTTGATTGAACATAGAAGGGAATTTGATGTTGAATCTGTTAAGAGTTATGTTGAATGTTAGGATTTGTTTCTTGAAGTTTGGCTAGAGTTACTATTTCTTTTAGGATTTTTGGTCTCATAATCCTAACCGGAATCCGTAATTCTACTTTGAAGCTCCTAATAAAACAACCGATGATATAACCTTTCGAAAAAACTAGTTTGTTTACAATAAAAATGAATTTTTGAAAAAAGATTAGAAATCATTAATTTGTTTCAACCCTATCAACTTAGCTACGGGATCATTGAATACCATTGCCCCAAGATGTATACTCATAACATCAATTTAATCTTTTTATTTAATCAAAGCATTAGCAACATGTATCCTCACACACACTTGATGTCATTCCAAAGCCTCTTTCATTTAATGAATTGCGAGGCAAATTCACTTTTGCACCCTCATGAGTCTTATCAATCATAAAAAAAACATTTCACACCTAAAAATCCATCCTTCAAAATTCTTTCCAAAAAACCTAGAAAACTCCATCCTAGTCATCCTAGTACTAGAATTATATCCCAAATTATCCCTAGCAAATCCATTATTCATAAACCTAGCATGCAAGTTGCAACCATCCAATAGAATACCCATAACAAGACCTTGGTTACTACCTTCGTTCTCATTTTCTAATCCACTATTATCATTAACATTTTTTTTTCAGGAATTGCTTCATCTATAATTGGACTCTTAAGTCCATTCATTATTTTTTTCAAATCATTAGTTTCTTTATTATGTTGTGAAAAAACGAGTATTACATTTCTAAGTAAGTTCATAAATTACTTTAGTGAATGAAGTGATTGATCTCTCAACCTTTTTTAGATTCACATTCTCCTTCATAAAGATTTTTTAATTTGTCTCCTTCAAATACCAATTAATTAAGAGTACGAAAAATGAATTATAAGTTCAAAAACAAAGACCGATTTTATTTGACCATAACAAAAGAATTACATAATCATGTATATGCATTGAGAATTCAAAAACATTTTTAGAAAAAGAAATACAAGAATTTCATAGACAAAATATAAAGAAGTAAGAGAAATGAAAAATCCAATTGCCAAGAATGATACAATGTTTATTCCTACTTGATTTCAAAAGTACCAATTATACTACAAACAATTAACTAACAAACTCTTCAGTTCAGCAAAACAAACTCCCGCACGTGCTAAGTATGCCTGTCACTTACTTTTTTCAACGTGATTTCTTCTGGCACGAGCAACCTTTCAGTTGACGATGGTTGACTTCCTTAACAAACCACATACTTGATTCTAGTCCCTCAAGTTTGCATATTCAATCTCAGCAATCCCTACAACTCTCTCAGATCTAACAACTACGTCAGATTCTTTTTATAGATTTTGAATCTGTTTTCTTTTAGTTTAAGATTAAAAGTGAAATTGGATAAAAAAGAAAAGTATATATAAAACGTAAATTATAAGACAAAGAGTGCAGAATTTAGGGATTTGTTATCCCCTTCCAAGCAGCCACTGATCTGTTAGCAAAGATGCTTATCCAGAAACGAAGAAGTATTCTGATTGCTGTTCAAACTTATGGGTAACACGTGATGAATCACATTATTTTCCACAAAAAATATTTCCAAGGACAGGCAGCTTGTATTTTGTAACCTCTTTACTGCCTGCTCCTTTATATCTTGCTTTCCCTTTGACTCTTTACTGTAAAACCCTCAAAACGTCAACTTTTCTCTTGCACTAAGTTCTCCCCCATCAATGGCGGCTACCACTAATCTCTCCAACTCACGCTTCATTTCCAAAACCCTAACTCACTCTCTAAACCATAACCCATTTCCCCAAAACCCAATTTTACCCTTCAAGCTCTCAAAAAACTTCTCTCTCAAACACCTCTCTCTCAAGGCAACTATATCCCAACAAAACCCTGCTACAACCACAGCTCAAGAAACTAATCAGTTTAAGCATTGTTTCTCAAAATCCCAAGATGGGTTTCTCTACTGTGAGAATCTTAAGGTTCAGGAGATTATGGAGAGTGTTGAGAAGAGACCATTTTATTTGTATAGTAAACCACAGATTACTAGAAATGTTGAGGCTTATAAGGATGCTTTGGAAGGACTGAGGTCTATTATTGGGTATGCTATTAAGGCTAATAATAATCTGAAGATTTTGGAGCATTTGAGAGGGTTGGGTTGTGGTGCTGTTTTGGTTAGTGGTAATGAGCTTAGGTTGGCTCTACATGCGGGTTTCGATCCCACAAGGTATGTGTATGTGGATTTTATTGTGCATTTGTGAAAAAAAGGTTGGTGTCTTTATATGTGTTTGGGGTTTTTGGAACACTAGGCCCTGTTTTCTCATTTGTATTTTTACTTAAAGTATAGTGTGCATCGTTTTATATGTATTTTGTGTTGTTGGAAGATTGAGTTGAGTCTTGTTTTTACTTATTTTAGTGTTTTGATGTATGTGACTTGGTTAGTTTTGAAATTTTGCGCCGTGCTAAATTTGATTTTAGATTGGGATTTGGTTTATTGTATTATAAATGGGTGATTGGTGTCTTATTTGGGTGGTAATGTTTGGAGGGACAGGTGATGCAGGACAGCTTCGGGGCTGTTCTGGATCTGAGTTTGGAGGCTGTTTATGGTTGTATTGAAATCGGTTTCTATTTGGAATTGTAGAACTATTAGAGTCACACTAATAGGGTTTCTAGGAGTCACAGCTAGAGGATAGGAAAACCTAAGCTTCACACCTAGGTTCTTATGAGTCACACCTAAGGGTCATTGAGTCACACAATCAAAAGAAAATTGCTGGAAATTGTTTGATATTATTGCATTCTATAATTTAAATAAAACACATAAATCTTAGTCTTTTGTCGTCTGCATCAACAGGTGTATTTTTAATGGAAACGGGAAGCTGTTAGATGATTTGGTTTTAGCTGCTCAAGAAGGTGTTTTTGTTAACGTCGATAGTGAATTCGATTTGGAAAATATTGTAGCAGCTGCTAGAATCGCTGGAAAGAAGGTTAATGTTCTACTTCGGATCAACCCAGATGTTGACCCGCAGGTATGTAATAGCCACCATATGAGCAAGTGATATGACGGTAAAGAATCGGATAATGTTTATTGATTCGATCATATATTTTAAAATTGGCACCACAAAAGTCATCTTTAGTTCCTTGAATGAATTAATTCATGGCCTACGTGAAGTTAGATAAATGAGATGTTTGTGCATAGAATTCGTTAGAAATTTGAAATTGGAACTGATGGAGCCTCCGGCTATTTTTGTGGCATTAATATATGTGATATTATGTTTAGAAGGTACTTGGGGCTCCTTGGCTAGTAGAACCATCTTCAGTTGCCTGAATCTATTTTCAGCCTTGGAATTTCGCAAACAAGACCTACGGCCTCTTGAATTTGCATATTGAATTATCTATAGATTGATTAAGGCCACTGAAAAGGTTGGTTTAAAATTATATTTTGATGGTCAGAATTCAGAATTGATGTTCAATCTTTCTATTTGCGAATTGATAATGACTAACATTGATTTGTTTAAGTAAAGCAAACATTAATGCTATGTACTGAAGATTTTCTAATATAATTCACACGAAACAAAGTTAATATCTCTCTCATTCTTCTGCTTTGCCACTCTGCATCAGCAGTACCCCTTCCAACAACTTTTCCATCAGCTGCAGCTCCATCATGTAGTCCCTGTCAACGCTGCTTCTTTTTAACGCCTAATTTACTTCCTTAACAACACAGCAACGGTTATTTTTGTCCATGCATCAATGCTATTGGACAATTATATCTCATCCCACCACCTCATCCAGCTTGATCATCATATTTTTAATCCTTAATTCCTGATAAGCAGGCCCTTTCATGCTGCAAAATGAAGTTTATAAATTTTTGGACAGTTTAGTTTGTGCTGGTTAAGTTTCTAAAATTATGTGGAGGTTGCTTTGTTTCAGTACAGTTTTTGTAAACAAATACTTTGTGCTTGTACCTTTTAGGTCCATCCTTATGTTGCTACAGGGAATAAGAACTCTAAATTTGGTATTAGAAATGAGAAGCTGCAATGGTTTCTGGATGCTGTAAAGGCACACCCTAATGAGCTGAAGCTTGTGGGGGCCCATTGCCATCTTGGATCAACCATAACCAAGGTACTCAACTGCAAATATGTGCATTTTATTTTTATTTTTTCCTTTCTACTAATTATTGGCTATGAATGCTTGACATATTCTTATCATTTATTATTCTTTCTTATTCTATTTCCTTTATATTAAAGCCACTCTTGTGCATTTTTTTGGGGCATTGTTAAGGTTCAGCTATGGAGACCATAACAAGAACCCTAGAATTTGGGGAAGAAGAGAGAAAGAATTGTATGTCTATTGTATTCAATAGAATGTTTCAATCATCAAAAGTGCCTCTTTGGTCAATTCTTCCACTAGTTATACAGTACTAACTCAACTAACAAACAAACTAATTAATGTTAACTGACTAATGTACTTACTAAACTAATAACAATAGAATTGTCAAATCAATGAACTAATATTCATACCATGCATATATACCTTAATGTATTTTCTCTCTATACGTACAGTTCTTTTAGTCTTTGAATGTCTAAGTTGAGCCTCTCTTTATTATGTATTTTAGGTGGACATATTCAAGGATGCTGCAGTTCTCATGGTTAACTACATTGATGAAATTCGAGCCCAGGGTTTTGAAGTTGATTACTTAAACATTGGAGGTGGTTTGGGTATAGATTATTATCATTCGGGTGCCGTCCTTCCTACTCCAAGAGATCTTATTGACACTGTAAGGATCATTTTTCTAAATCATGTTCAGTACACTCCAACATATACGTAAATTCTTAATATTAACTTTGTTGGTTGTTTGTTTAGGTTCGTGAACTGGTGCTCTCACGAGATCTCAATCTCATCATTGAACCTGGGAGATCCCTCATTGCAAATACTTGCTGTTTGGTGAACAGGGTCACTGGGGTTAAAACTAATGGAACAAAAAATTTTGTCGTGATAGATGGCAGCATGGCTGAACTTATCCGTCCTAGTCTTTATGATGCTTATCAAGTAAGTGTCACTTTTTTATATTTTTTCATCTGAAGGTGGCCTTTCATTTAATGTGCTTTTACTTAATAGCAACATTTAGATATCATGATTGTTTAGGCACCCCCTTTTGATCTAGCCTTGTTGTCTCGTATATTTTAGAAGACTGTAACATCTTTGTTGGTATTATGACTGATTGTTGGAGGTACTGAATGATTGCGTTGAAAGTGATATGAGTGTCTGAACTATGTTTGACATTCTTTAGGTTTGGTGATGTTTGACCATTTTTAGGATAGTCCGCTGCTAATGTCCACTTGTAGCTATATATCTATTGCTATAGATTATATAATATCTTATTAAAGTGAAGAAATTTGGCTTCTCTCGGGCATGCATGGTGTTATATGTACCTATATTATTTCCCTTTTGACAATTATTTCTAGTTACTATGGTGCCTTCCTTTTCCCCCCACTTGAATATCATCTCACTCAGTTGTTTTCTTTTCTGCTTGGAGTTGACTCATTTTGCATTTGGTTTCAGCACATAGAGCTTGTTTCTCCTGCTTCACCCAGTGCTGAATTTTCGAGGTTTGATGTGGTTGGTCCTGTCTGTGAGTCAGCAGATTTCCTGGGGAAGGATAGAGAACTTCCAGCTCCAGCTAAGGTTTTTTTCTCTTTTTGTCCTCTTTCTTATTGTTGTGGTTTGCAATAAGAATCTACATTTTCTTATCAATAGTTTTTTTCTGCAGGGAGCTGGTTTGGTTGTTCATGATGCAGGTGCTTACTGTATGAGCATGGCATCGACATACAATCTCAAGATGCGCCCTCCTGAGTACTGGGTATGGAAGAACTTTGAATCTTACAACGAATTATGTTATAAATCATGTTAGAATGTTTGCTCATGAACGCATATTGTTTGGTTGCTGACGTCTTCATATACAACAAAAGAGTCTGAATCTTAATTTTTTGGAATAAATTAACAATTCAAAATTTATGATTTATGCCGTTTAGATGTATTTCTTTACTAGAAAAATATTTCTTGAGAGTTTGAATTTGTGTTTGCAGGTTGAAGAAGATGGATCGGTGTCCAAAATTCGACACGGGGAGACATTTGAAGACCATATTCGGTTCTTTGATGGTCTTTGATTGAAGAGAGTGACCATTTCTACTTAGTCAATTAGACCTAATTTTTGCTTCCATTATGTGGTCTGCATATCCCGCATTGCGGGTTGTTATGTACAATTCAGATATTCATTTACTGATTGAGTCATTTCCATGCCTACTATAACTTAAATACCCATCGGAGGTGACAGTTGACCAATGCAAGAAACAATATATATAAAAGAGAAAGAGATGGGTTTGAGAAGTTGTTTATGTTTTCCACATTCTGGAGCTGCCATTAAAATCTGCTGCTATTTTGGATTCTCCTTTATGAAAGCTTAGTGGGAGGTGGATTCATCATACGTTCACACAGTCGCACTGTTTTTCTTCATCAGGCCTAGACCCAATGGGTTTGGGTCCTTGGCACTATCAAGTCATAAACTACCCATCGGTAAAATTAACCGATAGGCTACTAACATCTTTTTTCTGCTTCTCACCAAACTGTGTTTTCTCTTCGCGTTTTGGTAGGTCCCATGGTTTAAATTAACCAAACAGCTTTGATAGCGGAAAAGGCAGCTCCTCCACCAAACGGAACTAAAGCTGATGTGATGTTGATTTTGAGCTTTGGGGTTGTTGCGTGCTTACGTGGGTTTGTGCCGACCTTTTCTAAGGCTAGTATTTGCATCAAATGCCCAATTGAAAATCAGAATCTACTTGGCTGACTCGACCTCTTCTTCTCAAAGCACCTGAATTCACCATCCCATTGATTAACTAGCACAAGATATTCTTTAGTACTCTTGTGCAAAACTCACCATGGTATCCATACATCTATAACTACCGTACAACCTAAGAGCATCAACTACTGTCTTTTAGCTGCTGCTTCTTCTTCTTCTTTTTTATGCACATATTGACTTACTAATTTTTGTCACTTACAGGATATAGGTGTCCATCCTTTCCTTAATCCTTCTCTGGTGATTTATCTTCTTTGTTATTAGATAATGTTATAGAGGTTGCTTTTACCAGTTTAATTTCTAAGTTTTAAGCTTTGTCCTCTTTTTTTACCCAAAAAAAAAAAAACATCGAACATAACTTGCAGCAGGTCGAACAAAGAGAGATTTGGTGATTTAAGAACCCACATATGTAAACTTTGGTGGTGTCACTTAAATCCACAATTAAGTGGAGATGCACTATCTTTCATTAAAAAAGAAGAAGGAAAAAGATCGTGGAGCCTGTAGGTGTAGTCCAGATTCTACATGGATTAGAAACGCATGATCAACATTGAATGTAGGCATGGTTACTTTAAGGGTAGTTTGTTAAGAATAAAGGATGAAACGACATTAGGTAAAAGAACTAAAGACACATGATGGAGCTTTAATTGGCCCTAACCATATAGCTAGGAAGATGCCCTATGATTTAGTCTTTGCCATGCTCATTCCCTCCCTTCTGTTTTTTTTTTTCGATTTTATGTAATGAAATGGTTTTGAACTAACTCTCACATATAAAATAAGCACAAGTATATTTTTTCGATTCGGTTGATAAAAATAAAATATTTATGTTAAGATTGAGAGATTTATTACAATTTTATTCTCTTGATTCTCTATTTATTTTATTTTTCTCTAAAATGATTCTCTCGCACTAAGTAAATGTCTCTATACTCTTACTTAATGTGGCATAAGATGACGCAGCAATATGCTAATCTCCAGTCCACAACCCAAACAATGAACTTGAAATTCTACTTTTGAAGTGTTAAATGCTACTCATACAGGGAAAATAAGCAGAACATGTAGCTGGATACTTGCCATCTCACTTTGCCTATAGAGTACAGACAAGAGATGTGGATGCCCTAGTTTGAATGTTTCCAACCACAAAGGCTCCATTAGTTAGAACGTTTTTTTGAGTAAGTCAATGAACACAAACCCCATCAGTTCCCTTCCAAATATTAACAATTTCCTAGAAATGATACTATCATAGCTCGTAACAAATCCCTCTCTAGTTCCTCTATCTTTATCCCAATTTAGAGACAGAACAAGAATGTTGTCGTTGGCGATTCCTAAGGGAAAAGGCCCACAGTCCACCAAAGGGGGCTCGTATAAAAGCACAAGGATAAACTTGAAAATATGTTAAAGTAAAGAAGAACCATGAGGAAATATAAACTATTTTCGAAGGAGCGAAATAAGTATGAGATAATCTTTAAATGTAAGGGTCAAACTTAAAAAAGAAAACAACTTTAGGGGTGCCATTACCATGGACCCGGCCCAAGGTCATGGGAAAGAAATTCTTACCAATAAATTTGCAGGGAGCTAATATTCTCTCTCCTTTTCTTCCTTCAATGCCAGGAAAGTTAGATGCTTAATCCACTTAATTGATTAGATGCTTAATCCATCAATCAATTCACTCAAAATATCAACTTCTCAGCGTGAATTCTTTTCACCACACCCGTTTTTCTTCCCTTGCTTTTTGAAAGTGAATAATTTAGCCACATGAGAAAGAAAGAAAAGATGTACAAGAGAGAGCAATTTCCTTAGTGGTCCTAGATTATCTGTGCATGATTTTGACAGAGCACTACGCAAGCGTCTAATCGAAACCGAAACTAACACTATACTTCGAGCAAGCTAGTGCTAGTTGCAACAAGCATCTATCTTCCTGGGTTATGATTTTGACAATGCCATGGCCCTCCATTTTGTGCTTAGGTCTATGAATCTTGGACCTTTATGGCTTAGGATCGTGTCAACTTTTTATGGATAGCATATATAGCATTAGCTGAGTGTGCTTTAAGTTCGAATGAAGAATAATAACAGCCATTTCTTCATGCACTCTACCCTATGTTAATACGCTATAGAGGCATAAAATTTCCACAACTTTTGACAAAATGAAGATCAAGATTCTTTTGGTGAATTTCACTTGTCGTTGAGATGGCGATGGTAAAAGAAAAAAAAAGTAGCAAATTAGTGATTGCAGATTAACGATGGCAATAAATCATATATATATGTACACACACTTGTGATGAATGCACATGTAATTATGAATTGAGATATTTATGTATTTTAAATGAGATAAATTTCACAGGTGTAAATTTTAAAAATGATCTAAATTTATCATTTATGAAATTATGACTGCATTTACCTTTTCAAAAATTATTCTTTAGACCAAATTTTTGTTACCTTTATTTTATTATTAGGGATGCTTTTAAAAAATAAAATTTTAGGACAAACAAAATCGTCGGAGGAGGAGGATGACGACTTAATGTTTCTCCTCATTAGACCAATTGCTGTGGTACACGTTCAAATCAACCATTGCATCCCATTAGCCAGACATTCTCAACGTTGCCGGATATAGCAAAGATAGATTTGTGACCAAAAAGATTTTCGAAAATAACAATATACTAACGCGAGGAAAAAAAAATCACAAATCTCGTGGATATGATTTCAACGGCTGAGATTTCATCTTTCATATCTTTCTGTTGGAGTAATTAAAACGTTCAAGCAACACCTTATGTTTAGAGAAATTTTATAATATTTAAAAAGTAATTAATATAAATTACTCTATAGATAGATAGATAAAAAAATAAAAATATTAAACCAATATAATTTTTTTTTATCGACCAAAATATAATTTTTTCTTTTTTTATGTAACTAATTTTTTATTAACAGTGAATTTAGTATTATATATATATTTTTTCTATGTGTGATCATTATTATTAAAATTAAATTCGATAATCATGAAGAAAAAAGGATATTGACAAGTGACAGCCCTCGTGGATGTTTGGCAAGTGTATGGTCAAAGGTTATTATGGGACATTGACAAGTGTCATTATGTAATTGATTCTTTGCGGATTTCCTGTCGTTTCAGACATGGCCAACAAGGCAACAACAACCTATTTCGCGGCCCATAAAATCGCTCTTTTGCTTGCACTCTTTTCTTTTCATTTATTCTCACGTTATCAATAGTTAAATTTATTCAAATTTAAGAAAAAAGTTTAATTTTTTTCTTCCTCTTTTTTTTTTCGTAAAATGCATCAATTCAATTGAAGAGAAATTTAATATCAAAATAAAAAGTCGTCCAAATATAACCCAGAAAAAACAAAACGAGCAGAACGCCTTGGTGTTGGCTCCAAAGTGGGCCTCTCACCTGTTAAAAAAACCATTGACCAACAGGATAATGTACGTTGTTGCAGCAAGAAGATGAGCCATTAAATTATTTTTTAAAAAAATATTGAGTTATCGTCGTTGATATAATAAAGGGACATTGACCGATATTTTATCCAGTATTTGTCAATCTTACCTAATATTAGTTGCCATTGTCTGCTAGCAAGCGTTATCCAATCATCTGCGACAAAGGAAAAATCAATCTGATCCTAGATAAGAGTGTCTATCTTATATCAAAATTATCCAATTCGTCTGTTTTACATGGTAGGCTAGGGCTTTAATTGGACAAAATTAGATCAAAAATCAAGTATATCTAACTCTGGTGAACTCTTATCCTGTTTGGTCATGGTAGGCTAGAGCTTTAATTGGACAAAATTAGATAAAAAATCAAGTATATCTAACTCTGGTGAACTCTAATAAAAGAAAGCATGGTACATTTTGTTGGGTGTAAATTCCCAACGCATTTTTTTGTAAGGAAGAGAAGCTACGCGCCAAAGAATTCCTCCTGAAAACAGAGGAAAAGTATTTTTAATGTTTTTTAAAAAATTAACAGTGAAAAAAAATTAATAAAAAAAATAACGATCAATTGAGTTGTTGATTAGAAATGACAAAGAAAATACGATTTAAATGATATTTGTCAAAAAATCGATAAATTTTTATTTAAATTACGTAAATCGATAATAAAAACTTGAAATTGTTTAATTACAATAGAATAAGAGTGATTTTTTTCATTAAACTCTTACTATGCACTCAAAATATCTTCCAAGATAATTCAAGGAAATAATATTGAAAATATAGGTCCCCACCACAAAATAAAAATTGTGTTTTCTTTAACATTACCACAACAACATTTTTTTGACAGATTTTGTATTATAATTTCATAATGTACATCATTATTGTTTTATATGGTAAATGATTTTATATTTAAACCATCACATTGTTATTTTTGGAATCAAAATTAAGAAAGAAAGCTGAATCAGAGAAAAATAAAGAGAAAGCGCCAATCATGATTAATTTAAAACTCGGACTGGAAAATAAATTAATATAGATGTATTAAAATTGAGCACGAAATATCTACTAGTTAAAAAAATACATTATAAAACAAACAAACAAACCAAGACAATAATGATAAAACAAGGGATAAGCAAAGTAGTGCACCTTACCTATTAACGCATTAACACATACAGCAGTCCCAATTGATTGATTTGTTTTACCCTCAATGTCTTAAGTTACTTTCAATGTTACCCCTCCATCTAAAACAATTATCAAATATGTTAAAACTATCTTGATCTATACATGCATTGTTAGTAAACGAAGAAAAATCATAAAAATTACATAAATTCAGACACACTTGTATGGATGATTTCAACGGATTTTCTACCATGATAAACAACGAACATAGAGATCATGTGATAATTTTAACGGATTTGTTAACTATTTTGGACAGAGGAATAACATTGGAAATTATTCCGGAGTTAAGGGTATACATGTTTACACCCCAATAGATCAGGGACACTTTTGTACTTGTGACAAAAAAATGTTAGGTATACGCGAGGAGAACGAAGGCCAATTTTGAATAAATTATAAAATAATCCCTTTAGTTTGGAAAAACGATTTATTAATTCTTTTTTTAAACTAGTTAATTATTCCTTTTTTATACATTTTTTTTCTAGTTTTCATATTTATTTTTTGTTTTTTTTTTGAAAGACATAAAGTATAAATATTTTTGAAAATAAAATAACATTAAACTGTGCGTGATCAACATGATAAAAATACTAAGTAAGAATTAGTTAATTCATTTCTTGAAACCACGTTATAATTTAGTCTCACTTTTAATAGAAAAAAAAATCCGGAAATTACATTGACACGCTCACGCGTATTTTCACTTTGGCGGTACTCCGCGTCAATCGTGCTTTTGGATTTTCTTTCTTATTTCTCCCTTTTCTCTCTCCTATTGAAAAAGAAGCGAAAGAGAGAGGAAGCAAAGAAATCAAAAGCGAGAACCAAGCGGTTTTTTTAGCTCCTTGTTTTACCCTGACTCTCTTTCGCCATTTCTCTTACTCTTTCTCTTCTTCACTCTAACACCAACAAAAACCACTCTCATTTTCACCAAATCCCTAATTTTCTCACTGTTTTTTGTCCTTCTGTTATTGAGAAGTGAAAGAAAGTTAGGGTTTGAAGTTATCAAGATTTTGTGATTCACTCTAGGATTGGTTAGTCACTTACTCACAATGCTGCATTTTATTTTATTTCCTTATCTTGTACGTTTCTTTGTTTTCTTTTATCTTTTTTCAATTTTCTTCAAGATTTTAGTTCTTTTTTTGTAATATAGTGTTTTAATCCGTTGATAACGTTATGGATTTTATTATATTTTAGTTAGTTTCGTTTATTTTCTAGATATCTAGTAAATCTTATTAACTGTTAATATGTTTAAAAACTCTGAAATCTACGGCTCTTTATTTTTCTTTGCAGTCTATAGTTCTGGATTATTAATTGAATTCATTAGTTTTGATGGATTGAAGTGAATGTGTTATTTGTTATTTTTTAGTTTAGTTTTTTAATCCGTTATTTGCATTTTAGACTTAATATTGTTTATTGTTTATAGATTTCCAAATTGTAACTGCTAAGGTAAAAATTGTGAAGTTTATGTTCTTGATTTTGCGTTGCAATGTTAAATTTTCGGATTATTATTTAAATTCGTGTATTAGTTGTGGATTATTTATTAAATTCATTAATTTTGATAGATTAAAGTGAATGTGTTATTTGCCAATTTCAGGTTTTACTGCACTACAAAAAAATTGTGTGTTCAGTGTAGATTACGAGGAGTCCTTTTTTTTTTTTTTGAGATTTTCTTGTGATTTCTTTCGATTATGGCTGGAGATCCTGTGGCAAACCTTTCCAATGGCAATGCGAATAAGCAGCAGCCTGATCCTCGAAGAACTTACCAAGTGGTTGTGGCTGCCACTAAGGACATGGGTATTGGTAAAGATGGGAAGCTACCATGGAAATTGCCTTCGGATCTTAAGTTTTTTAAGGATGTGACCTTGACTACAACGGATTCTGGGAAGAAGAATGCACTTATAATGGGAAGGAAGACTTGGGAAAGTATTCCACTCGAGCACAGGCCTCTTCCTGGTCGGCTTAATGTTGTTTTGACTCGTTCTGGGAGTTTTGATATTGCTACTGCTGAGAATGTTGTGATTTGTGGAAGCATGGGTTCTGCGTTGGAGTTGTTGGCTGCTTCTCCTTATGGTTTGTCAATCGAGAAAGTGTTTGTTATTGGAGGTGGTCAGATATTAAGGTTTGTGCTTGGGAAAGTTGGATTAGTTAATGGATGATAGACCTTTAATTGTTTGTTTCTTTTTGTTTTTGTCTTGATTATGTTGTAATGCAGGGAATCTTTGAATGTGCCTGGATGTGATGCTGTCCACATTACGGAAATTGAAACAGATTTTGATTGTGATACTTTTATCCCTGCAATCGATACCTCTGTATTTCAGCCTTGGTGCTCTTCTTTTCCCAAGGTGGAAAATGACATAAGATTTTGCTTTACGACTTATGTTCGAGTGAGGAGTTCTGCAATTGAGTCCCATAGTCAAAATAATGGTGTGAGCTCTGATGATAATTCAGAAAACAGTAAGTTTGAGGTAAAACAGTTCTTGTTCCTTCCCAAGATGGTTTTTGAGAGACACGAGGAGTATTTGTATCTCAGACTGGTTCAAGACATCATCTCAGATGGCATTTTGAAGGATGACAGGACAGGAACTGGTACTCTATCAAAATTTGGTTGCCAGGTAACATCAGCCCCTGATTGCTTACAGCTCTGTCTTTGCTTTCGATTGTATATGTCCATGCAATTACATTTTCTTTAGTTAACTATGATTAATAATTGATCAATTTATTCCTTTTGATCCACAGATGCGGTTCAATCTGCGCAAAACTTTTCCACTTCTTACAACAAAGGCATGTTATTTTTGTAACCAAATTAGTTCTTCTGCATACATTTTCTTTTTTCTTTCTTAGGAGTAATTTGGTTTCACTTATGCTTTGCCATGAGGTCAATTTAAAAAGAATAGGAACCATTTATTTATCTCACTTATAAGCATACACAAACTGTTACAATTTGTTTGCAGAAAGTATTTTGGCGAGGTGTCGTTGAAGAACTCTTGTGGTTCATCAGTGGTTCAACGAATGCCAAGGTAATGATATCTTAGCTGTATGCTTTATTTACCATGTCTTCCTTCTGTCTTCCATGTTTTGATGGGATTGGATCGAAGGTATTGGCTTTTTTTGGTTCCTAGTTCTTTTAGAAAAATTACCATGCGATTGGCGCTACAAAGTGACTGAAGTATTATTCTTCCCTTATTGCAGTAGAGTATGATAATTAAGATTATTTTGCTGCATATGTAGGAATTTCAGGGTTGCAAGATTTGTTGTTTTGATGTTAGGCATGTTTTATTTGTTTCTGCTACAGAGTCCGGGTGAACATCAAACATTTTTGTATATCAAATGAAAGTCATTCTATTTGCATGAGGTGTCTGTAATAGTCGTTGAAGATGTCTTCAATTGTTAGTTGTAGATGCTAGAATATAACAGTATACCCATCTCTAAATGTTGCCATTATTAGCAGGTCCTTCGGGAAAAGGGTATTCACATATGGGATGGCAATGCATCCAGAGATTACCTTGACAGGCATATATTAGCTTTTATTTCCTCTATTTTCTTTTATTTTTATACTTTAACCACTGCACATTTATGCAGTTTTTAAATGATATTTTTATTGGTAACTGCAGTGTTGGGTTAAAGGACAGAGAGGAGGGCGACTTGGGACCTGTATATGGGTTCCAGTGGAGACACTTTGGTGCTAGGTTTGTGGATTTTCCTTTATCGAAGTTCAGCTGCAGGATCATACGTGAAAGAGTTTTAGGCTAATTGTTTTGCATACATTCATTTTTCAGGTATACTGATATGCATGCCGACTACACTGGCCAAGGATTTGACCAGTTGTTAGATGTTATTGACAAGATTAAGAACAATCCAAATGATCGTCGGATTATACTCTCAGCCTGGAATCCTTCTGATCTCAAATTGATGGCGCTTCCACCCTGCCACATGTTTGCTCAGGTTTGCTTTAACCTTGTGTTTCAACTTTCTAAATCGTTTCCTTTATTGTTAATTAATCCAGATATTTTATTTTTCAGTTCTATGTAGCCAATGGAGAATTGTCATGCCAAATGTACCAGCGTTCTGCTGACATGGGCCTTGGTGTGCCCTTCAACATTGCATCTTATGCTCTCCTGACATGCATCATTGCTCATGTCTGTGGTATGTAATCTGCAATCACACTAATCATACTCATTGAATTGCTAGGGTGTTTGATGTTTTAGATGTGCATGTTCAGGCATCTGACAGGTTACCTGTTGACTTTAGTGAACTGATACCCTACAAACTTTGATGGATCCATGACATTTGATTTTCTGTCCTTTAAATTGTTAGATTGGTTTATAACAGATGGAAACGTTCAGTGAACTGATGATTTAATGGACAAAAGGAGTCCTCCGCTCCTGGCGTTTTCATGAGGAAAGCATTACAAATAAGATGGTTATTTGCTACATTTGTTGTAACAATGATATTAGCAAACTTGCGTAGCTTAATGGAAAGATTTTAAGGACTCAGTTATAGTCACATTAAAGTGGGATATTTTGCAGCAGTGCTTTTTTTTTTTTTTGGAGGATATGAGGATGATACCATCCTTGATCATTTTTGCACGTAGTTGCTACTATCGTGATGGAAACCTTCTTTGTGGTTTCAAGCACTAGACTTTTACCATTATAGTGGACTGTCTCTAGAAAGATAGATTATTCTTATAATAGTTTTAATCTCTTTAGCATCACAATTGCATATCTTCAGAATCCGTCTTTACTTTTATCTTGTGCAGATCTTGTTCCTGGCGACTTCATTCATGTGATTGGTGATACTCATGTTTATCGCACTCATATCAGACCTCTGCAGGAGCAGCTTCAGAAAATGCCAAAGCCTTTCCCAGTAAGTATTTTACCAGAAATTGTGCTAATTCATCTGAAACCATTTGGCTACGTGTTTTTTTCCATTCTCTATGCTATTCTATTACATTCTGTTACCTACGTCATGTAGATTTTGAAGATCAATTCTGAGAAGAAAGACATTGATTCTTTTGTGGAGGCTGATTTCAAACTCATAGGCTATGATCCTCACCAGAAAATTGAAATGAAAATGGCAGTATAGAGACCCATTAAAGATTTAGTGAATTGGATCTGATCCCTCCTTGGCAATATATGCTCGTAGTTTTGAGGCAAGTATATACATGTTGCAATTTTTCTTTCATTCCTTTTTTCTCCTTTTAAAGATATCGATGCATTTTACATGTTGAACTTTTCCATGCCTTCGCTAAGTTCTGAGTGTCAATCAATAGAGTTGATAATCTAGTTATTTATCTTTGTATCATTTAGTAGAACCTCTTAGTAAGGTTGGTATGCCTGATGGGAGGTTTGAAAACAACGAATGGTGCGACTGAAAGAGGTGGCGACCTAGTTATTACCTTTGAGGATCTCTAGATGACTGTTGCAGGAAAGAACAGTGTCACCCTCTACAAGGCATTGTGCTAGACGCTAGACTATTAGGTGAAAATTATCATAATATTTGTACTAGATTGAAGTTTGAACCATGTACAATCAGTTTGATTAAGGATTTATGGTTCTAATTAGTGCTTGGGGAAACTTGTCGTAATATATTTATACTGCAAAGTTATCAACAAATTCTTGAATCTGAAGCTTTGGTTTCTTTGTAATGTTTCAGGCACAGCTGTTGGAGGCTTATCATGATCTAGAGTGTGATACGAAGTGTCAAATAAAAATTTGGTAGTTTGGGATATACTTCAAGCTTATGCTTTTACGTAGTGAGAATCCTTTAGTTCCACTCCTAGTTGTGGTTCTAAGGTGATTTAGGATACCTGTATTTTTTTCTTAACAATTTTTTTCCCCCTCATGGATCCATCTCTTAATTGCAACCATACTCGACCGTACTTCTTGAAAAAAAAAAATGGATTTGAAATTGGACTAGCAATTGTCATTTTGCAGTGCTTTGCATTTTTGGTGAATTTTGTGTTCATTTGCGTCATGAAACGGGAAATTCCTATTTGAGATCATGTTATTGTCAAATTCTTAAACTCGGGAACAAGTTTAGGGAGCAAATTTACTGGTACCGTGTCACCCGGTTACGCCAAGCATCTGGGGGGCTGTTTAAATGCGTTCATTAAAACATGTTATCTTTGCTTCTGAGGAATCAATAATTCTGGACTACAAATTTAGACTGGGTTTCAAAGCTTGCTTTGAATGGAGGATGCACATGGCAGCAATTGGGGTTTTTGATTTATTAGGGATACGTTACGGGATGGACTATGTTACTGTCCATGTTTTCTCCGTCCCGTCCATTCTTTGGTTAGTAGTAAATTAAGCATGAAACTAGGTTTACCATTTGGGCTATTGATTGATTAATCTGCTGGGGGACCTGATGCATCTAAAAATAACAGAGATTAATGCTTTATAAAATTTTTCATTTGTGAAAGCAAGCAAATAATGGAAATCGAAACCTAAAACAACTCTACATTCTAGGACGATGACATGTTCTTACGATCTACTGGATCTGGATCATCGCTCTTTTATTCTTACCCTCCCTTTTCACAATTTCACCATTATTCACCTTCCTCTTTTTTCGCAATTTCAACATTGGTCCCGTCAAGCTGTTGTGTAGCTTTTCCCTCCGCCGTTCCTGATTCTTCATTGCTATCCTTGTTCCCATCGTTCTCTCTCTTCAATCTTTCTTTTTTCTTATACTCAAGGAACTCAATAAGACCTGTTAAAGAACTCTCGGGTTCCTCGTATTTCAGTAGTTGCTCGCCTACTTCTGCAGGAGTAACCTTTGCTATCTCTATTCTCTCTTCAACATCTGTGAAAAGTGGGTGCTCTGTAAACCCAAGGTAGTTGAAGGCCAGCATTTTGAATCCACATGGAGTGCAATAGGACATATGAATGTGTACATCCATACGACCGGGTCGCAACAAAGCAGGATCGAGCTTTTCTTTGTGATTGGTAGTGAAAATTATGATTCGTTCATCCCCACAGCTTGACCACAATCCATCTACAAAGTTCAGCAATCCTGATAGGGTCACCTGATACTACACAAAATATTGTGGAGAGAGTGAGACTACAAGCTTCATTAAAAAAGCCCCAAAAGCCATTTGTGTTTAGATTATTGTCATCTATTTATCACACCCCTGTATGGGGATATTCAGTCACGCATAATATTATTTACCTCAGAGAATATCAGGTTTATAACTCACTGCTTGAGACATTACTCCCTCCATATCACACAAAATTTTGTATCCAACTAATAAAATAGAAAGAAAGTGTGAACCGGTAATGCCATGTCATTCTTGACTTGGAAGAGGTAAAATGTCTGGTAGCAGACTAAGTAATCTCATTATAATATGGTTTTCATCAAATCATACTCGAGACTAGAATAAAATTTATGTACGCAAATTTAAATTGAGAGGAATAATATTACCTGGTTTACTTGGTTAAATGCTGAATTAGGTCGCAAAGGCTTAACAGCTCTGGCTTGTGCAAGCCTATCCTGTAATTCAATGGTACAATCGATGTCCTCCACCACAAGTATGGACTTATTCTCAGTTGAGATCAACAAATTTCTAAGCTCAGAATTGGTCCTAAGATCAGTCAATTCCAAATCATAGATATCAAACTTGAGATAGTTAGCTATTGCAGCAATCAAGCTCGACTTTCCCGTCCCTGGTGGCCCAAACAGTAAGTACCCACGTTTCCATGCCTTGCCCACTCTCCTATAGAACTCCTTTCTCTTCACAAACCTCACGAGATCCTCCATGATCACCCTCTTCTCTTTCATGTCCATTGCTAACGTATCAAATGTAGCAGGATGATCAAGATTCACTCCTTGCCATACATCAAATCTCCTCCCTGACATCCTATCATGCCTTAAGGTGAAAAGCCTCAATCTCTTCTTCTCCTCTTTCATTTCTTTTGATTTTTCAATCACATGCTTTAAGTAAACATCAATAACCATATCCTTATGCTTCTTGTGAAAACTCAACTCAAATGACTTATCCTCAGATATTGGTACAGAGTTAAAATCATCATTGCTTGGCATATACTTCGTTGGCACCCGTTTTGACATGAACTTCCATCTCAACGTAACCCCATTAAAGATATCAACAATTTCTTGGTTTTTCTCTAACGATAATGAGAACTTACTTTCTTTGTTGGCCTGTGAAATCTTGAGTTTCTTTGCATCCGGAGGAATTATGGGTTCAAGATAGAGCTCTGCGGCTTTGAAGAGCTTGTTTTGGTTAAGGTTGTCATATTCTTCAATAACTAAAGTGAATTCTGAAGAAAAATACTTGATCAAGGTTTTGAGTTTGAAGGAGATGTAGCTTTGGAACTCATAAGGAAGATACTCCCTAACAATGGAGCGGAGGAGCACAACTGTGGCGGCAGCTGAGGCTGCTGCAGAGATGACAGTTTTGGCGGAGGGCCTTTGGGTGGGATCCCTACCGGTGGGAAACATGGTTTTAGGTCTCCAAAAGATTTGAGGGTTTTAAGGGTTCTGGGTGTTTTAATGGTCGGAGGATTTTTGGTGTTTAGTTTGTTGCTTTCAGATTGTTTGGCGAATGCTGTTGAGGAGACTCAATGTTTTGTTGTTAACAATGAGAGTTTGGCTGGGAATGGGAAACAGTGACAAATGAGTGACATTGCTTTTGGTGGTAGACTCCTTATGCATGACCGATCCTTTATACCTATCAGAATTGGTTTGGTACCATGAATATTTTAAGAATATATATATTTTTTTGTTAATTTTATTTTTTTCTCTTTTATAAAAAGATGGAATTATGAGAGATGGGATAGGATGGATTCTTAAAACTGTAATTGAAGCGATAAGAGAAAACTGAAACTGAAGCCAGTCCTTAAAGCGTTTGTGTCGTCATCGCCGTTTCCATAATTTAGCAGGCAATACCACAATAGTGCAACTTAAAAGTCATAAAGATCATTACTATAAAAATCATAGATGATGGATTTCCGAGAATCAAGGAGATAAAATATAGGTATCATAAGATCGCTAAATACACTCTTTTTTTTAAAAAAAAAGAAAATAACTAGGAATTTCAAACTTCCAACATGATATTTTTGTGATCTGTAAACCACAATTAACAATTATAATTATTAGAAATAATAAGACATAAATTTATCATACTTAATTTATATTTAGCCCTTTAAATATATTGAAAAACACCCGATTTATATTTAAACTTTTAAATATTCCGAAAAGTATTGGAAAAACAGATTTAGATCTTTAAATATACTAAAAAACACAATTATATTTAAGCTTTTAAATATACTGATTAAATATTGTGAAAAACATATAATAAATAAAGAATGGTTCTCTCTCTTATCTTTTTATTAATGATGAAAATTAATATTCTTTAGTTTTTTCTAATTTTGTTATGTTTTTTTTTTCAATTTTTCATTAAAAAGACAGAGAAAGAGAATCTAACTCTCAAGACTTGCACATGTTTCACTATTAATCATTCTTGAGGATATTCCGTAATCTCCAAATGTCATTAATGGATATTGGTAGTGGATATGAATCATTATCCACCATGTTTCATAGTTCAAGCCATTCAACAAAAAACATCAAATGTACTAAATCAAAAGGCATTAAGATGAAAATAAACAAGACCTCATGTCTCAAAAAGATATCGACATCACAAAGGAAAGTATATATATTGGGAAGGAAAGTATCAAATGTTTTGAGTTGCGGACAAAACAAATTTACATTCTTGCTAAATTTCAAAATACCCTCCTCACTGTAAATAAAAAAAAAAAAGGATTGAAATATACAAAAACATTTGCAGTTTTGGTAGAATAATTGGGCCCCATCAAGAAGACTTTTTCTACCTCTGTCCTACTTCAGCCGGTGACTTCACGGATCGACCTAGGTAATCAAGGACTTGAGGACATTTCATGCTCAATCTTGCATTTGTGAGGTAACAACACGCTCTAATTCTCATCTGTTGATGAGCCATGGACAAGTTGCATAACTGGATAGTGTTTCCCACGCTCCGTTGTAAAGTGTGGAGTTAAGTTCTGGTCCTACATTCTTTTGTTGCTACGAAGTTTCTTGCAAACTTCTTATGGTCCCTTCCGATGGGTCCTTCTCAAGTCTGCGGTGAACAAGTTGGGAAGTATCCAATGAACTTTTAATTGAGAAAATGCAAAAGAAGCATTGACTCATTCTAAGTCCTTCAAAGAAATAAAAAGATAGAGACCGACAAAGTTAGAAAATGTAGCATTTTGATGCAAAGTCATCCACATATGACTATTACTAGTCTGGTTAATAATTTCAGATTCACAACCAATATCCAGGAAACTACCTAAGGGATTAGCACTTTATTGACAAAACGAGGCTTAAATATCATGTCAAATAATAAAAAATAAATTTTTTGATTTAGATTTGGAACTTACCATTGACCTGAAATAGACTTACTAAACCCAGGTAACAAAATGTGACTTGACCCTAAAAGTCCAAAAAAAAAAAAAACAACAAACAAACTATCTTGTAATGATCATTCATGATCTGTTACAAAAATATGAGATCGAATTCCCGTATGTTTGTGAGAATAAAATACGATTTCCAACATAATTAATAATTTTTATTTGAGAAGATCATCTTTGTAGGTACCATTAATCTAAAAAAAATATATGTGAAATCTATACTGTATTTCAATATTATTCAGTATTCTCTATTTTAATTTTTTATTCAAATATAATATAAAATAAACTTTATATCATGATTTGTCCTAACTTTAAATATTATATAATTTTATGTCATATCTAAATAGAAGAGTTCAAATAAACAATTATAAATATTATAATAACCGAAAAGTGTGTTTAAAAAATATAAGAACCAGAATTCGCAACGGCAAAATATCAAGTTCAAGAGCCAGGACCATCTGTTCGAGCCACTGATTAACAACCAATAGAGCAAGGTTTAGCCTTCAGAGTTTATCAGCCGACCTCCTCTCGCTCGTGTGCCTCGCAATCAGCAACAAAAGACTCTCCTAGTGCAAAAAAGGATTCTGGCAATTACAATCAATTTTTCACCAGCAATTTTTTTTTTTTTTATGTCCACCTCTTGGCTCTTCAGCTTCACTATCCTCACCCTCCCTTCCTTCTTCTTCTCTTTCTTTTTTTCCCTCTCTCCTCCTTCCTCCTCATCTTCATCCTTCTTCTTCCGATGGACTCTTTTATTTATTTTATTTTAACACTACTTTTAAAAAAATGGATTTAAAGAGTTTAAATTAAAATGTATTTTTAGGATTTAAGAAAATTGAGAATTATGTGCCAGGTGAAAAAAACATTACTTATTTGGCATCTAACGTATTTTGTTTCGTGATTTGATACTTAGGTACCAAAAACATGCCTCATTTTGGTAATTAAATTTAGAAGAAATAAGTTTTGAAACTACCTTTCTTCTGAAAAATCTAAACGATCAGACCATGCATATAATTAGGGGTCCAAATATCATGATCCCTTGGCCATGGAAGCGACCATATCTGTACACTCACTATGAAGCCATAGTATGCTCATTGCTATGTGCTTGCCTCTAGCCTTTTGCTTGTTTATCAAAGCTTAAGCTTTTCTTACCATTGCCCATGCTAGCAAGCCAATCCACACGCCTAACTTCTTCTGCAGAAGCTGTATGATAGGGCAGATTGAACCTGCCCAATTTTGCCTCTTCTATTAAACCCTGAAACAAAACTATCACACAGACATTACCATCGGAGTATAGGTATACTGCATCTTTACTTCAATTTTACACCAAAAATGCACTTACAAATCATAGCAACATTTGTCGAGGTACATAATTAGCCTATAAAGATCATTCGGTAAGATCATGAGATCAAGCCTTTCACGGTTGTTTCAAAAGTAGTACTTAGTAGTTCATATGATAGAGAGATAAATAATATACCTCTAGAACCATATCATTAAGGTGATTCCTAGTAACTTTAATTCAGATAGGATTGTTAATGGATCGGACTTGAATTGTATCATAATATATTCGAATTCAATTTGTTTAAGAAAACAGATATTATAAAATCTTATTAATTTGAATTGAATTTTAAAAATGTGAATTTGTATTAAAATCTTAACGGATTCGAAGATCCATTGAATTTATCACTTGATTTTTATAAAAAAAATTGTACTTGCTACATTTAATATATTGCTTGAATATAAAATATATTAAGATAATATTTCATCTATTAATTTTGTGAAAAATTCAAAATGCTACACAATTCAAAAGCACAAAATGAAATAATCTCAATAAAAATTTATCTTGAACTAGGTAAAAAATATGATAAAACTAAAAGAAACAAATAATAAATAATCTTTATTTTTTGTTCATGTGATAGAAAAAATAGGGTGATGACAAATATAGTAACACCAACTCTTGCAAAGATAAATAGCTCAATTTATAATTTTTTTCACGAATTGAATTAAGAAAATGACAAAAAATTTATATGTGATTTTTTGAGAATACAATCATCTCTGTAGAAGAATATATATTATTTGAATTTTATAATAAATAAACTATAAATTTTCAACTTATTATCATACTTAGATTTTTAATATTTTAAAAATATTATATTTATTATAAGAATGTTATTTTTAATTTCGAATCATATTATTATCAAATCGGAACAAGTTTAATGTGGATTTGATTTATTTAATAAACGTGTTAACGAATTCAGATCATAATCGAATTCGAATAAAAAAAATTATTTATCAAATCCATTTAATTATATTAAATTCAAATCAAATTCAATTCAAATTAAGATCTGATCCATTACCGTCCTACTTCCAGATAGCATATCTTTGCTTGCCAGAAGAATTGGCTTTCCTATCAATGTCATTGACGGTGATGACCAGATGACCTCCAGGAATCATTTCTCCAGGAATGTATGCTGGAAAAGATCTAAATATGCCTTAAACATAATGGGGGATCTGTTAGGGCAAGGTAAATGATGCAGGGGGACCTGTTCTCCAGCACATATAGCGCGTAAGGATACCGGATTTATTGGTACTCAAAAACCTTATAAAAAAAACTCAATTTTTATTACTCTTTAAATAGAAAACGGAAAAATCCTAGTAATCCTGAAATAGAAAAATAAAATAAAATACTAGAGTTATCACTAATTCCTAATAAACTAATTGTTTACATAAATTAAGGTAATAGATTCTAAATAAAAATAAAAATAATTAAATAAAAATCACATGAACAAATATTTGAAGTACAACCATGAAGCAAATTTCTACTAATGGTATGTGGTTTTTGAAAATTTCGTTCCGAATACCTCCTTATTGATAAAGCAAATCCAAGAAATTTCCATTTTTGAAATGTTGTCTTCAACTACAATAAATCAATGATAGTATTCTCATTGACCTTAGGAAAATAAACGAAAGAATCTTTCTCATTAACCGTCCTTGTTTTCACGAGATTCTTTAACTTGAAAGTCATTGCAAACCGTAACTTTTGAGTTCTTTGGCCGTGTCATGGAGATGCTCCTCTTCTTTATTTTCCATATCAGTGTATGGTCTAATTTCCTGAATTACATCTTCTTCCTTCTCATGGACATATATGCCCAAAATTTCGGCAGTCATTTCAAAATACTTGTCAAGAATAAAAATCTTCTCTGGTTTGGAAAATTTTCAGGGAACCAACTTGGAACATGCATCTTGATATACCCGACAAGATAATGGGCCTTTCTGTAAATTACAAGTAAGAAAAGAAGTACAATCTCTACAATTACACCCGACCCAATATCTAGAGCTCCATTGATAAATTTAAGAAAATCCACACATTATTCGGAGCGAGATCTAATTTTTTCCATAAATTGCCATAATCAAGGGAAAAAAAGTTATAAGCATTAAAACGAAGGGATGTTTTCTAAATAGTATCAGTCCATCAACTATGACTTTGAAGGTTCTCTAGTAGTATAATGATAAATGATCAAAATCAAAGACATATTTTTTAAGTGAATGTAAGTTTAGTACCCAAAAAAAAAAAAAATACTACTCTAATCCCACTCTGGTCATATTTTTTTTTTTATATAGAGGCTAACAAGTCAAATATTACAAGTTCTATTTTTTAGATTTACACTAATTATAGTATCAGCTATCTCCTACATAAAAAACCTAATCTCTTCTAATATAATCAAGCTAAAAACGGTTTTTTTGTAAATTAACTTAACTATTAAAGGATCATTCAACTACAGATAAAGATTTGTTCATAGGTATGTATCATTGAATCAATATCCGTCAAGTTGTAACCATTGCATGATCACCCACGGTAGGTTGGAATTCGTCTCATCAAAAGTCATAATCTAAGGATCATAGTCTCGTCACATCTTATCTTTAGCTGACAAAGTGTCTTGAACTTGTTCTCATCGTGAGAAAGCTGTCACCCTCAAATTTGAATCCAACCAACTTCCTCGTCTCTACCTTTGAGAATCCCGTACATTCTATCATAATCAGTAAGGCAGTCCATGAATTTTTAAACACTCGAATCTCCATTGAAAGTTGCGACATCAATTCTCAAGTGAAATTTAGTAAACTCATAATTAAATCTATTATAACCACCTCTATTCTAACCTTCAATTGAATTTTTTATAAAAACAGAAACGTGACTACGAATAGACTAACTGTGAGCTCATTTGCTTGTGCTACACCTATTGTAATCATGATATTTGTTTGCGTCTAACATAAAGACATCAAGACCTTCTCTAATCCTTGCAAATCTCGTAGCAAAGTGCTCAAAATGACAACCATGTCTCTGTTCTAGATGAATCTAAGTTGCCTTTTAGACTCGCATAATGCTCCGAACGGTCTGCACTCCTTGATCTGTGTTACTGACATGGCTGCTACATTTTGTCCACGAATTAGATCAATTAATCTTTGATACCAATCAATACAACATAAAACATAAGAGTACGAGATTTGTTAGTATTAAAAAAATCTTGAAAAGAAAACATAGCAAAGTGGTAGAAAAATTAACTCACCAAATTCAATTTTTATTCAAAAATCGTCTTTTTGTCAAAATACTACTATAAATTTTTAAATGGAAAACTATAAATGTTTAATAATACTGAATAGAAAAATAAAATAAAAATATAGAGTGATGACTAATTTTCTAATAAATCAATTGCTTACATAAATTACGATAATAAATGCTAGAAAAACTTAACAATTAAAAAAAAAATTACAATAAAAAACAATTAAGTAAAAAATAACTTGTTACGCGCCCTGCCCTGCTTAAGTAAATACTCCATTCGTTAAATGGTGATCCTTTCTCATTCACAAGCCCTTCTGGAACCTGAAAATTTTCAGAAGTAAAGCATGGTATTTTAAAGTAAACAGTCCAAAGACTTCAAAATAAATCAAGCAAAGTGGAATTCTCAACCTTACTAGAAGGGTTTGATATTTCCTTTCATTTCCCCTAAAATAAAAAACTTAATGATGGAGTTGATAAAGGGCAAACCAATGCTTACTTTTGATGATTTTTTTAAGCAATCTGGAAGTGGTATAAACCATTATTTTCATGGTGTGAAAGGAAAACTTTAGGGATTGCTAACCTGTGAACGTTATTGAAGATGTGAGAAGAATGAGCAAAAGTGTTAGGAAACAGCCTTCCATAGAAATTTCCAAGCATTCCTGTTTTGAAACATGGCCCAAAATCACTTCCCTTATCTTTGTTGATCTTCTCATAGAGGCTAGGCAGCGACATTATGTTGAAATCGTTTCCTGGAAGATCATTCAGGAACACCTGAAATGTGTGGTCCTGATAGATGATCATCCAAACCCTGCCATTTTAAATGATCTTCCAGGAAAAGATTTCAACTTAATATTGGTGTAGTATTAGCTTAGGTTAGAATAGTCGGCCATAAGCCCGGAAAAAGGAGGAGGGTTGTGGTAGGTCGACAGCCAGCTAAAACTTTGTCATTTCTGTGGTATTGCTGCAATATAACTTTGTTATGCTCTCTTCTATACTAGGTTTTGCCTTGAACATCACTTCTTTCTCTAAAGTTGAGAAAAAATAATAGTTATTGAAGTAAACAATAACATTCCAAGAAAACATCATGTAATGTCTCTGTGGGCCTGTCGCATAGCTACTTTCCCCCACTCTCCTCGATTCACAGAACCAACTAGCTTGTACTTGCATAGCTTTAGCCTTTAGCAGTTTTTTGAAGCTTTCTTATGATGCTATACCTCCCTGTGCACATGAGAAAGCCAGTGTAATCATATAAGAGTCCATGGGAGGCCCATTTTGGCATGGAGGAAGCCTGCACCATACTTTGTCTTTAACTGCAGATCACCTTTTCCTTGAAGGCGACGTGTCACTCTACCCACAGAGAACGTTGCTTTTTTTCCTTTTTTTTTCCCTCTAAAGTTGAAGTGACATTTGCCACAATGTAGTATCTAGATGAAGTTAACCCGAAACTCATACTTAAATGTTCTCATGTATAATTTTAAATAGATTTCGGAAACACTGTTAAAATCATGATGAGCCTACCAGCTGAGTTAAAATGATCCAAGAACCTTTGGCTTCATCAGAATAGTTTCCCACTTTGGGTGGGAATTGCTTGGCTTGCAGAACATTTTTTTTTTTTTTTACAATTTTTGAATCCCTTTTATAGGTTTATGTGGGAATAGCTGGATTAAGCTGACTTGCAACTTTCAGAATTCAAATGTTCAAAGAGCTTGACTATGCTACCAATGTTTGATGCTGAAAAACAAATCTGCACTCCATTAATGGATACAGTACAAAACCTAGCCAAAACTTCACTTGTTTAATTACTAGCAATGTTCAGAGTTTCTAGGGTGCCAAAAGCAGGCTGAAAGAAATGGTCACCTCTTCACTCTCCTTTAACATGGTTCTGAGCCACTTTGAAAATATGGAATAGAATTTAAAAGAATGGAATAGAAAGTAAAAGAAAAATGTCGTGAGGAAAGGTAAAGAGATGCGTGCAAGGAATAATTTTCTTGCAGGGCTTTTATCACATGACTGGACAAGCCTAAAATTGATGATCCCAGTCATAAGATGCCAATCCATTTAAATAACACTCCATGGATGAAAAGCAAACTTCTGTCGATCACCCACAAAAAGTTTCTCTTAAGCAAAATCTACTTGTTTCGTTAAAAGCCAGAAATTGATTTTCATCTTGGAATTTGGAAACAAGAGAAATATTGTCTGATGACAAATAAAAGTAGAAGAAAATATATTGTACTAATGCGCACGAGCAAATTCCATGGTGATGAAAAGAAACGAGTATTCTGCAAGTGGGAAAGATTCATAAATCATAACGGTGTTATTTTCAGTGAATTCCAGCTCTCACAATACGTACTACTTGTACAAGAATTTATACTGTCTCTCCTAGTTTGGCTATGCTTTAGACTTGTGAGAGAAAAGATAAAGATGCTATTATTCTACATGGGTTATGCATGGAAGGCCTCACCAGTGACCAGTCAAAAAATATAACAGCTTTATTATCCTAGCTTTATCCTAGAAATCAAAGCATATTATCAGAATTTTGGAATGTACATCTTCCTATTATGCCATATCTATATCTTACATTAAGTACATAAAAAGTCTTGACACCTCAGGAAATTTCTTATCTGCTTAGACTTCATCCAGTCTTGAAATCAGAATTGGCATCTAATTGATATTGCTGGAAAGTTGCAAGAACTAATCCTTTCTTTGCTAGGATCATATACTTGTTCTATTCCTGAAAAAGGGAAAATAGAAGCTGTATATCGTAATTCACACAAAAAAAAGCTAAAAGGTAAATTTACACCGCGTTTATGATTTAGCAATGTACACACACCTATAGCCTTATAGAAGTGAAAACAAAGAAGGGGAGGAAAGGAACTTGAATTTTTCTTACATCCCAGTTTTTACTCTAAAATATAAGAATTCTCTTCGTCTATTCGAAACCTCTTTTGCCTAGCAATGAAAGCCTCGATCGCGCAACGAAACTCATCGTTGCTCAATTTATCCTCGGGAAATGAACTTTTCTCCGATTCCTTGTCAGAATCAATGCTTTTCCTGCATTTCTCGGTCGCTGACCGCCTCAGTTCCCGGCAGGACTTGTTACCATTTGGCCTCTTCAATTTCTCTGATTGACTTCTATTATATTTCTTGCTTTCTAAAGAAGTTGAAGCATCCTCAGTGACTTTGTACTCAACATAAATGACCTGTCTCTCTCTGCTTTCAGCTTCATATTGATGAGTTCCCTGACTCTTTTCACTCTTTTGAACAAACTCTTCATAAAGATCAGTGCTTGAACTCTTTCCGTTAGACTCTTGACCTGAAAACTGGCCTGACTTTGCAAAGAGAGTAATGACTATCACGTTACCGAGAACGAAGATGAACCGAGGACTTACAAGGGTAACTGTTAGGCCCTTGAAATACTCACTGGAGTTCCTGACAGCAACTGGAAGTTGAATTGAGAACCTGGAAATCAAAGCAAGAACAAGACCTATCTCAATTAACCTGAACAAACTTGCTATCTTTTGAATCTTCCTATGCTTCTTGATTGCGCTCGCCTTCTCAATCTTGACGTTGGTTGTGTTGAATGAATCCATTTGCAGATGGGAATTGAGAATTCAAAGCAATAGCAAGGTGGCAGAGAAGATGGAGCAATATGGACTTTCACTCAAAAGAGAAGTGGTAAACAAGCAAAGCCTTGGTAGCTGCCATTTCTCTGTGTAGAGACAAGATGGAAACCACTATTTCTGTAGTAGACAGTGAAGGTATTATGCTGCCAAGGAGCATGGAAACAGATAGGGGAAAAAAACAATATAAAGGAGAGGAGAGAAACAGAGGAAGCAGGGGAAACAGATTAGCTCTGTTTTTTTTTCCCTCTCTGCTTTTCAACTAGAAAGTATTGCTACTCTGGTTGAAACCGTTAGGTAGATTATTTATAGATAGTGGAATATGTGAGACAATTTTTTTCCCCTTTATATCCAATCTTGCTTTATTTATTTTAAATTTTTAAATTTTTTTCTGGGACAAGTATTATATTCCATCTTTTGCTTTATTCGAAATGTGCAAGTTGTGGTATTTTTCCACACCATTATTGTTTCTTTTTTTCTTGCCTTATTATTCGCACCTCCCTTGAAGCCCATTCACCAAGCTTTAGATTTTACACTGGTAGAAGACTCTCTTCAACTTTGGTGGGAAACTATTCTGCCATATAGTTCAACTTTGGTGGGAAATTATTCTACCAAATATTCCCACATTCTTTTAGAATATCCCATGATCAGACCAGAAGAGCTGCCATACATCGAACTAACCAGTTCCATTATTCGACAATTACCTAATCATCGTGATGTTTATGGAATTTAAGAATACATCAGCAATATTACAGGATAGAAATAGGATTTTTTGTTCCATAGCTAGATTTATGTCCTACCTTTCTCATGGAGCTTTTCATTAGGTATAATTCTGTTCCATCCAATCCCATCTATTCACGTTATCATTTTCGTAAAACAAACAAGTCGTTTCAATATGCTCAAGTCCTATTTTGCTAAGATTTTAAAAAATAAAAATAAATCCCTCTTGGAACTTGTTGGACATGTTTCATCGAAGAAATTCTATGGAAGTAATGGAAAAAAAAAAAAAAGTAGAACAAAAACTCCCTTGTAATTGAAACAAATAAACATAAAAGTTGTTTCTTTTTACATTCAATGCACTAAATTATTTGAAAAGAAATACTATTTACACTACTATTTACCCACACTCAATGAAATATTCATTCGAACTCATATTTACTGTTCATTTTCACTATGCATCAATCGGATTTTTGTGATTTTTAAGTTATTTTCAAACGTTTATATACAAGTTTTATTTAATATTACACTTTGATCTCTCATGTTTTCAAAAGATTTGTTTTCATCTCTAACTTTATTTATATTACATTTTGATCCCTTGAATTTTTTTCTAGTAATTTTTTTTTATTGTTTTATTATAGATTTTGTGCTAAATTTATGAAAATATAATCGTTTTCATTTTTTTTTTCATATAGCCTGGAGATGAAAAAATTATAATTTTTTCAATTTTACATTTTTTTTTTGCTTGTAGATTTTAGGATGATTTCTTTGATTTGTCGATTTTATAAAAAAAAAAAACATCAATATTATATAATTTCATTTGTTAAAAAATATGATTTATTTTTGTCTTTGTATGGATTTTTGAATAAAATTTTAAAATGTTATTATTTTTTCTTTTTTAAAAATACCTCAATATAATTGACATGATGAATTTTTGTAATTTTTAAATAAAAGCAACATATATATTATTATTATTATTATTTAGAAATTAATTGTACATGTACACACATAGCACCAATTATTTATTATTATTTTTAATATTTTAAAATTAGTTTCAAATACAGTTAATAGTTTAAAAGAACTACTCAATGATTCAAATACAATTTGTAATGATATATTATTTATTATTTTGTGATTGAATATATATATAAATCAAATATATAGATTTTTTTTTTTAAATAATCTTCTCATCAACATTAAATAAGAATAAAATTAAATTTTTTATTTCTTAATTTTTAAATAATTTTTTACATTAATTGTAACTTTTTTTTAGAGCCTTATGGGAAAAAAATTAAGTTTTTTTTTTAAATTTTAGATGCAATTTTCTATTTAGATTGTTGCATGTTTTAATTTAAGAATCAATACTTATAAAGGGATAAATCATGTTTTTTTAGTTGAAAATTGATGAGAAACAAAAGAAAGAATCAATTAAATATAAGATTTTAATTAAAAATTTTAATTATTTTTTCTTTTCATTTGATTTATTTTAATAGACCAATAATATAATATAAGATATTAAATTAAAATAATTTAATTTTATCTAACATGCAGGGCGTAATGCATACAACAAACCAGTGATAGATAAAAGATCTGGTAATTGGTAGTTTGAATCTTCTGGAAGGATGACTTGACTGTCACTGTAAATACTACTATGTTGTAAAAAGTTCGTTAGAAAAGTTTGGGACACGGCAAATTCAGACGCAAATAGCAGGCCCATTTCTTCCTTAGTAAGAAAGAAAACGCTGCTTTTCTTTCTTTGCTTCCCTTATTTTATGAATTTTCTTAACCTTTAACCGGCGTTCCGTTACTGAATCCTTTTTCCAAGACAAGACCCACCATCAATGGCCAATAATAGAGAGCAAGCATAGCCAGCCTTCTTTTTTCTTGCCACGTTACATTCATCATGTTATTAAGTGGCACTCTTATATCTTCTTGTGGGTTAGCTTCAATCACTCTCTCATGTCCAAATCAGAACTGTTTGTGTTCTTTTATGCTGTATTTTGATTTGAGACCATGAATGATTCAGGAGGCATCAACGGTTCTTACCTTTTTCTTTTTTTTTTTCCTTTTTTCTTTTACAAACAAGTTAAAGCTGCACCTGTCTACTTTGAATCCACTGCCAGTATTAGACAGGGCTAACTCTCAGAACTTTGAAATCAAATCATGACTTTACCAAGTAAGTTAAATGGCATCCCTGTTTGATTTCATATAAGCAAAACTAGCAATGTCCAGAAGCTGAAGTAACAAGTCACAATCGGATTATGAATTGGGTTTCTGTTTATTTTGATGGAAACAGAAGTTTATATCATGTGAACAAAATAAAGGATTTTTTTATTTCTAGAAGTGTTGTTTTTTTTAGGCTGCTTGTATTGGAAATGGAGTTCTATAGAACGTTCTGAATTTGTCGAAGATGGCAACAATTTCATCAAACAAAAATGGGATGAAATTATTACAAAAACGATTGTTTTTTCGTTTAAGTTTTTTCACGAATTTGGATTTCAATTACCCTAATCCTAGTGAAAGTTTTCGATGAAACCATGTTTGTGTAAATCTAGCTTGGGGAATTGATCTTTATCCTAATCTTATTTCTTTTTTGGATAAATGAATGATTAATCCTAATCACCTTTTGACATCAAACTTGCTTTTCCTGGCCTGTGGTAACCAGAAACGACGCGACTCAAAAAGGACTCATCAGTTTTTTTTTCCTTTTGTTTTTCTTTTTTACCAGACTAATCCAAGATAGTCCTATTATTAGCAAAGAAATAAATAAATCATAGGAAAAAAAACAATTGGCAGACAAGTAAAAGAATTGACTATTGGGTTTTGTAGTTTACAAGGTTAACTTTAACTGCAAATGGGCCTAAATCTCTGGGCTCCATTTGCTCTATTATTTAGATTTTTACAAAAAAAAAATCATTAAAAAAGGACAAAAAGTTCATGCCCTTAAAATAATAATAATAATAATAATAAATAAATAAATAAATTTCCACGATTCCCACTAAAGGTTGTTTGAACGAAATTTTAATTACTTAAATAAGTAGTTTGAGCTTTGAGATTTTATGTATCTAATTAATTTATAAAATGGTTATATTATTTTGTAATTTCGACAAAACAACAAATAATTAATTTAAGTTTTTGAATTTAGAATAATTTAAAGATAAATGATAATAATAATAATAATAATATTTAATTTTTCTGCACTTTAAGATGAAGATGTGGCTATCAACTAATGAGTTGATTTAGAATTGGGTTCGAAACACAGAATTTCGAATCCCATGTAAATTCCAAATATAATCCTTCTTTATTAAGATGTTAATAAAGCAAACTTTTCTGGCATGTAAAGGTTTTGGAGCATAGATAAGGCATGAAAAAAGAAAAATTCAAAGCATGCTTTGGTTGATTAATTAATTGATTCTCAAGTTTAAGGATCTATATTAAAGTTGATGCAACATCAAACTTCATTTTTTCTTGGTTTATTTTATCTTTGATCCTCCTCCGTAGGAGTGGAGGCTGATTCAACGACACGGAGCTAAAGATTCACCCTGTATTTTTGTGACACAAAGATATAAATTCCATGGTACGGGTAGTTATATGATATAAAAAATTATATATTAATTGCAAAAAAAAAAAAAAAAAAATTAAGGAAAAAAGTAAATATGCCTTTGGTTTGCTTGCCCACAAGATCAACCACTTTGGATTCGGTGGTTATTGAGTTGGATTCGGTGATTATTGAGTTGGATTCCACTAATTGTGTTTGTTGCTCAGTTTTATTCCATAGCTAGAACTTCTCTTTTTCTTTTTCATTGATGAAATGACCCTCCTGTGATTTTATTTTTATTTACCAATTGTCAACAAGATAAAATAGTACATGCTTATTTTACTAGAAGAGCCAGTTAGAACTATGGATTTACTAATTGAAGCAAGGAGCTTAGGATAATTTTAGGTCCATAATTGATTCGTTAGCTCAATGCTGTGTCTGGTCCAAAATAGAAATCTATGGTTGGGCCAATAAAATGGGCTCCTTAGGGAACAACCTTCAAGGCCCAAAACCCGAAGTGCAGAAAATGGAAAATCCGACCTGCCGGATTCGAACCAGCGACCTAAGGATCACAGCTACTACTACAGTCCTCCGCTCTGCCAACTGAGCTAAGGTCGGTTTTGATTATTTCATTAAATAAATTATATAAGAACTTTATTATTGCGTAGGACAAAATGTCTCCATAAACTCTTTTGGCGACTGGAGAGCTTGTAGCTCCTCTAGACCATTCATTGTTACTAGTATCTATTGTTTTCGGCAAAAATATTTATGTACAAGAAGACATAGTATCAATTAAGTTTATGGAGTCACTATGGACAAGTAGGATAATAGACCTCAATAACTATTGCAAGTCTAGAACTCGAAGCGAAGAAGTTATTAGGAATTCGTGGTAGTCCAAATGCTTGGAGAGCTCCTCAGAAGATACTTTCTAACTATTATCTTTTTATCTGAAACTAAGCAAAAGAAGGGGGAGATTGCTTGACTAGTGAATCCTAGCTGTTTCAATTTTATAGATGCTTGTGCTAAAAACTCAATGGGAGCAAAGAATTGGCATATCCTTCGTGTATGGTGAACCGAACAGGACTAGAAGGGCCGCACTGTGGGAGGAAGGACATTGAAAAGGGAGGATGATGAACCCTGGCTGTGCACTGGGGACTTGAATGCAAATTGTTCCAATATCGAGAAATCAGGGGGGAAGGTTTGTAGGCTTGTAGCTGATTCTCACATCCGTTATTTTCAAGAATTTCTTAATGAATGCTGTTTGTTGGACCTAGGATTCCATGGGTTGGAATTTCCATGGACTAATTAATCGTCAGTTAGGAGAAGAAAATGTGAAAGGCATGCTTGATAGAGCAGTCAGGTACTCAGCCTGAAGGCTTCTTTTTCCTAAGGCTCAGGTCATTCATGAGTCCCTAGTGGGTTCAGACCATAGGCCTGTCATTTTGACGCTGGAGGATTGGTCTAAAAGGCATACAAGAAACTTCAAATTTGAAGCAAAGTGGACTGAAGAGTGACTGTGAAGAGGTTATTAGGAATTCGTGGCGGTCAGGAGGAGATGGGTGGGAGGGATTCACAGAAAGCACTGAGGAGTGTAGGCGCCCGCTCAGTTAATGGAAGAGCGAGAACGTGCATGGCTAATAATAAATTGTTAATTGATAACTTAAAGACGAAAATTGAGGCATTGTTATCAATAATCCCAGGGCGCCCTATATATTTTATTTGACTCGGTGAACATTCTGATAGCCGGCAATTCAGTGTCACCAAAGTCCTGCTGTATCTTGTTAATGAAGATACCGTTAGCCGATGAAACTTGCAAAAAAGGTTCAAATTTGATCCTCATTCTACGTAGTGTATAAGGGATCGAATTTAATAATGTGGCAGTAGGCTTGGGATCAATAAAGATGATCGTGATCGTAACCTCTAAGCTCCGAAATTCCATCTCTAGACAATTCCAGCAAAATGGCAAAATGGAAGTGGGCTGATAATTTGAATTGACAGGAAATTGGAAACATGCACGTGGACTGGCATGATAGAAATCAAATTTATAAGAATGCTTTATGTAAAGAATGAAGTCTGATCATGACAAGAACCTTTTGGCAGTATTCGAGCTTTTGATTCAATTAAATATTCTAAAGGATGTTTTTAATTAATTAATCACCAATGATACAAATCTCAGGGGAAAATGAAAATAATTTTGTTCCAATTCTTATCTATTACAAGATTAAACTTCCTTTAGAGACAAAATTTTTGCCTCTATAAATAGGAGTTATTGTCCATATTTCTCGTCAAGAACCCAAATTAAGGTTAAGAAATATAGTTAAGTCTGTCCTTATATATATATATATATATATATATATATATATGTATGTATGTATAGCTTCCCTGCTACCTTTGCTCTTCTTCTTGCCCTGTTGATCCTCCTTGTTTCCTCTAGTGAGTTAGTTTCCAATACCTAATTTGTTTGGCATCATTAAACAAATCACATTCTGATGTCAAAAGATTGCAGAAAATATGACGTAGATATGAGTTCTTGTCCATTGTTTTTTCTTTTATTTTCACGGTCAAGATATTTTCAGACTAGTTGTGATCCAATATTCTATATTGCATTTAACACCTTAATATGATGCCAACAATAAAAGAAGAAAAATAGAAAATAGAAACTCATGTTTTGTGCTCAATAATATTCTAAATTGACATATATTGTCAACTGCATGTGTAGTACAGAAATGTCAGCTGGAGAAGCAAACCTGTGCCAGAAGCGGAGCAAGAAATTTGGTCAGGCTTTTGTGGCAACTCACAAAAACTGTAACAAACAATGCAAGGAATGGGTGGACGCGACTTCGATTGCCAGTCATGAATCATGATATCACCTGATAAAGAAATAAATGTAACAGCATTGATTTCCTGCCTGATTATGTGTGTGCTTTTATCTAATCTTAGGTTTGAAATATAAAAAAAGGTACTGCATTGGTCACAACTATACATTTAGCTGCAAAATAATGAAGTAATTTTGTGTGTGTGTGTATATATATTTTTATCATAGACAGGACTCTACAGTACACGCCAATTGTAATTGTTGTTAAGCGTTGAAGGGTTAAAAAAAAAACGAATTGTATTAACCTAACGGTATTCATGGATATGGGCCAAATAAATGTGGGCTTGGGTTTGACATTAATAAACAGATAGTTTCTTTTCAACAGTAAGCCCATAATAGGCCTCCTAACTTAGCTCGAAATAATAAACAAAAGATATTCCACGCCGTCGTTTTAATCTAGTTAACAATCCGAGAAACCCTAGATATACTTACATAGCAGCAGCGCAAAACTCCAACCTGGTTTCCCTCATCACTTCCCTTCGGCAGCAGCAGCAGCCTCTTCTCCCTTTTCTCCCACACAACATCTACAGATCCAATGGTAACCCTCTCTTTCTCCAGAAATTATTAAAATCTCAAAGCCCTTTCGATTAACGGTTTCTCTTTGGTTTTTGTAGGCACCGAAGAAGGATAAGGCACCACCACCGTCATCAAAGCCGGCGAAGTCAGGAGGAGGGAAGCAAAAGAAGAAGAAGTGGAGTAAAGGAAAGCAAAAGGAGAAAGTGAACAACATGGTTCTCTTTGATCAAGCTACTTATGATAAGCTTCTCTCTGAAGCTCCTAAGTACAAGCTTATCACTCCTTCTGTCCTCTCCGATCGTATGAGGGTAAAACAAATTTACTGCTTTTTTTATTAAAAGCTTATTACTTTTTCATGTTTTTTGTTACATCAAATCGTGTGTTTTTTGTGTGATTATGTTAGGATGTTTTAATTATAGGGTTTATGAGTAAGTGTAATACTAATGAACGAGTAATTCTAGTTTTACTGAAAAGTGTCCGGAGGGATCTCATCCGTTGAATTTGCGAGATCAACTCGTTCAATGAATGGGTATTTTTCGGGAAAAATCTTTGTAAATTAGCATCATTTCAAATACATACTGTCAGATAACGCACAGCTTTTTGCTGGTATGTGTCAGTTGATACAGCATAAGTCCCAGGAAATGTTGTAGTTCTTGAAATAAAGTTTCTAATTTAGTACGAGCTGTTGCCATTGTTGGGAATATAAAGTTTTAGTTGTCGGGAGCAATCTTTTGAAGAGTTCTCGTAAGCTGTAGTAGTAATGTGGTGGAAGAGTTTGAGAGAATGTTTTCAATATGCTTAGTTAATAAAAGATTGAAGGGGCTTAAACGTTAATTGGATTATTGTTGATTATGTATTTGGGCCCATTTTTTTCTTGTTATTGTAATATTGCATCTGGTGTGTTATATTTAGTTGTGACAATTGGAGGAGTGTATTGGTTAGCATACCTGTTTTTTTATTCTTGTATACCTTGTTTTTTTTGTTTGTTGGTGTTTTTGAGATTTAGATGAGTTTGGAATTCTGTACTTTTTTTTCTTTTTTTTAAAACTCGCTCCTAGCAAAACTAGTCTGTTAAGATTTGAATCCTGACCTCTTGTTGTAAGAGACTATTACCACTGGGCTACAAGCTCTTTGGTCAATTCTGTACATTAAATGTTTCTGTTCTATGATTATAATTCTTTTTTATTTTTTCTAATGTGGCTGAGAATATGTAAACTATTAAATATTCTTTTAAATATTGATGAAGTTTTATCAAGTACAAGATTTGGTTGCTGATCTGGTATTGTGTCTGCCTATCTTGTTTTATTGGGAGGGCCATAGGCTTTTGGCTATGTAGGTGTACCATTATCCTTCTTATCTACAATGGGAGCAGTATTCAATCCCTAGTCACTTGGTACCATGCCTACTTCTTTTATCAGCAAATCTACTTAACATTGATTAGTCAAACATTAAAGTGCATTGTATGCCATGCTTTCCAGTTCAGGCTACAACACAGGTTATCAGCACTTGTATGCTCTTTCACTTTGGCTTGTGAGGTTTTTATTGGTATTTGTGTAAGAATAACATCCACCATAGAGCGACAGCAACTGCTGTAGGCTCGATGCAATATAACTATGCTCTTGTATATTCTATTTTGGCATTGGTATGTTAATGCCTTTTTTTATCATGGCAAGTATTAGTATTAATGCAAGACTCTGCTTTTATGTTTTATTTAGTTTTGTGTTCATGTTTCATTTGATTTTGTATTTTAATGTACTTTGCAGATTAGTGGATCACTTGCGAGGAAGGCAATTAGGGAGCTGATGGCTAGAGGTTCGATTAGGATGGTCTCTGCCCATGCAAGCCAGCAGATTTACACCAGGGCAACCAACACCTAGGTGTCTGATTGTATTTGGTTATTTAGTTTTCAGTAGTATGTTGCCGAATTTCATTGCTACTTTTACCTTTTTATTCAAGTGACTGAGTGCGATCTTAAGATGGTTCCTTGTCTTTTGTGTTGAATGAATATTTTTCAGAGTTCTTGAGTTTTTGGTTTGTATCTTTAGATTATGTTCTCCGATGTCCTCTGGTTCTGGTCTTTTGGGCGTGGCATTGGATTCTATTACCTTTTATTTTCAGTTTTTTTGGTTGTTTGTGGAAGAAAGTTGCATCGTTAGTTTCAGAAGTTGGTTGGGTTTCCATCAAGACACGAACTTCTCTGGTGTTTGTCAAGTTGCCATTTGGGAAAGCATGTGCATTTGCCAACCTATAGCTTAGAGTATTATGGAGGATGAAATGACGGGTTTCGTGAGATGTGACTTATAGAATGGTGATGGTAGCCCCTCCTTCCTGAATTCATTGGATTGACCAGTGATGTACAGGGGTTTATTGCATTAACCAGTTATGTAGTTTGAAAATGTTAAAAGTAAAACTACGCTTCCAAAAGCTGTTACAACCAAGGTATTGGCTTAAGTCATCCCATAGCCATCCCTTTTCCAAATTCCTGTAGATCGTTGTGCGAAAAGAATTTATTTGAAAGACCTCCAAGATAGTACTCCCATGCTTCCATTTCCTCAAAAAAATGTAGCTCATCCCAACTCTTGAGCTTCATGACCCATGACGGTTAAAAGGATGGTTTCAAAGGGGTATGCATGAAAATGACAATTTAACATGCGAACTTTTAGGATTTGCAATGCTTTGTTTTCTGTTTCTTATGATTAGACTTGTTGCCGAAATTTTACTTAGCATGGCACGTGAAATTTTGTCACGTAGCAGTTTGCATTTTAGCTTTTAGCTCTAGCTTGTGTGTCTTTGAGTGCTGCCTCTTAACAGTGATTAATGCGACTCCAATAAAATTTGCCCACACAACATCCATCGTCTATGGCGGATGCGTTCCTGTCATTTAGTTCCACCTATGCAAATTAGGAACAATCAAGCTGATAAAATTTAACCTAGTCTGGCTGTTTTTTTCTTTTCCTTTTGCTTGGTCTTGGTACAAATATAAAATGTAAAAGGAATCATTTCGCATATATCTCGGGTAACATGCTCCTTCAGTCCAAAATGTTAGTTTTCTTTCACTTTTGATGCAATTAAAAAAAAAACATTAATTATTATGATATATTAGTTTTTATTTTTTTTCTAAAATACTTTTTTATCCTACCAAATTTGAGTTTCAAATTTTTTAAAAAGCTAAATCAATCTATTCATTTCTCTCAAATTTAAGTTGAAAAACTTTTAGCAACTTGTAAAGATTATTAATGAATCTTAAATTTTTCATAAAATTTTTAGCCAAAAAATTAGTTCAAAAAACAGGACACCAAATTAAGATTTTTGTCCCTCCCAAATTTAAGTTGGAAAATTTTAGAAAGATTTAGAGATAGTTAAGCATTCATAAATTTCTTATGAAATTTTATGCCAATAATTAGTCCCAAAATCAATTAGCCAAATCAAAATTTTCATCTCTCTCAAATTTAAATTGGAAAATATTTAGAAAGATATGAAGATAATTAAAGAATTCTAATTTTTTCATAACATTTTCCAGAATGTAATTCTAATACTTTGCAAGCTATTATGGATTTTCTGAAAAATGAATAGTTTTCATGTAATAAAAAGTTTTCTTTTGAAATTTTTTATTTTAAAAATATTTATATGTGTGAAAGAAAAGTGTTAAGAATATTCATTTTCTAGTTAGTAAAAATAAAAAATAAAAATTGATTAGGAGTATTTTAGAAAAGTATGATATTTAAAATTCTGAACTAGACAATCATTTTAATACAGATACAAATAAAAAGATAGACAATCTCTTCTAGATCCAGAGAATATTATTATCTATACAGAGTATATAAGATGAAAATTGATTCATTCTTTTTATTCTCTGTGTATAAAATTGTCATGTCATTATAATTAATGAAAATATAATGGCTATTGTACTATTAACAGCTTACAGTCCTACACACACACGTATATATAAAGCAGAGCTGACAGAGGAAGCTGGAGTTCGAGAATCCTGGATAATCAAATACATTTAATAAATCTTTTTAGTGTCGTTACGCTAAATAAATCCTTTTTTCTTGTTTTGCTAACTACTGATAATAGTTCATGCCAATCTTTCCGACTATGAACTAAATTATAAATTAGTTTATCTAGTTTCAAGCAACAAATTAATTAATTTTTTTTATTTCAAAAATTATTATTTAATTATTTCATTAATGTTGACTTAATTTCATATTATTTTTATTTCACAAAATATCTCATTTTTTCATAAAATTTTTTATTTTTTTATATTTTTTTAAAAAATCAAAGTAAATTAAAAAAAGTAAAAAGAATTAAATTACAAATAGATTTAAAAATATAAAAAATCAATAATTTTTTTGAAAACGAAAAAACTTATTAATTCATTTCTCAAAACTAGGTAGAATAATTTATAATTTATTCCAACGGCCGGAATGCTGACGATTGGATTACAGGTCTGTCTGCAGGGAATATCATTGATGCAAAATACAGTACAAAGATAGATTATATAATAATATTAATAAAAAATTTGAAAATTGAACGGCCCAGAAAACACGAGGCTCGATTAAATAATGAACTGCTCATGTCACTTGTCCAGCGTTGAAGTCAATAGACCCATCAGCATTTTGTGTTTGGATTCATCCTAGATTGTTCTAATATAAGCTATGATTAATCAAATCACTAAACTACAATTTGCCAATCAATCCTGATTGCCATCATCTTCCATTGTCTTTCCATTAGCTGCCTCCATACCATCCGCCAACTTGATATTTTGCGTCCTTTGTCCTCGAATATTTGCTCCAACTTGCTAACTATCAAAATCCCATTTCACTTCGATTTGAGTTCTGGGTTAATAATGATAATAACCAAAGGAAAAAAAAAGAAGGAAATTCTCCTATCTTAAATGTAAAATTTGATTTCAAAGCAACAATGTTTTTTAAATAAATAAAAAATGCTTTGGATTTGTTTTTAGGAGTTAAGTTTAAAACCAGAAAAGAAGAGATTCTTCAAATTCGAATTTAAATGGTAAATGAATATTATTTCAAACAATATGTTTGAATTTAAGAGATTCAGGGGAGGTAATTTGTGAATGTACGGTATCACCGAAAACAAAATAAAGGAAAGGAGACAAAAACAAAACTCTTAAGGGATGAATTGGAAAGATGGCCCACCAGAAGCGACAATGATACGTCGAGAGGTCACGTGGGCCTAGTGAAGGCATATCATGGGCCTCTGCTCAATGTAATAAGAACCGTCCACGATGTTAGGCATGAAATGTGTCCAAAGCTGGAGGCAAGCACTAAGCAAATCATTGAAGAATCTACCAATCTGTAAATGGGCCCCAGATGTGATAGAAGTGTGTTTGCTCTTGCATCCAAACCAAACAAAATTGATTAAAACTCAAATTAAGAGAGGGCTTAGGCACCGTTTAGTCCCTTTTTAAAATTAGGTTTAAGAAAGTATCCATTTGATTTGCATAATTGTGAATTAGTGGCTGTCTATTTTGAAGCAAATATAACATACAGTTTGATAGTTGGTTGGGTTCGATAGGCTAAAACTCCATCATTGTCATAGTCCTAACTTTAATATTTTAAAAGTAATTATTATAAGTGTATAATGGTTATTCTATATATATATATATATATATTTTGTAAAAGGCATAGATACAAAGAAAAAAAATTACATACAGATTCATAAAAAATAATAAAAAGATTTCTTGTACATTCAATTTATTTTTATTTTTAAATATCTAAGTTTTTTTCCTCGTCTTTCTCTATATATATAAGTTTTTTTCTTGTCTTTCTAGCAATAATCAATCCAATACAATAATTATGACTTTTTTCTTCCTCATCTTTCTATATATATAAGTATTTTTTCTTGTCTTTCTAGCAATAATCAATCCAATACAATAATTATGACTTTTTTTCTCTTTATTGAAGGATATATATATGAGATTCATTCAAATAACTCGTATAATTTTTTTTCAATTAGTTGAGAGTTATTTTTTATAACAATAAATGAATTTAGGTTAAATAAAAAAAATCAACACGTAATTTACTAACTATAAGTATATAAATTAAGAGGAAACAAATATTTAAAAATTACAGAGAATTAAATAATAATGGTGTATGCATAAAATAGTGACAATCCAAAAAAATTATATGGCATGGAGAAAAATCAAGCACGTAACAAAGTTTGGTGTGATGTAGTACTGAGAACTCAGCGGTAATATTAGAGTTTATAAGAAAACCCAGTAATTAATTATAAAATAATTAAACGGTCTGTAATTGATTTCCTTAAAAAATATATATATATATATTTCCTATCCCTTTCCTTCTTCTTTCCGGGTTCTAAACAGCAAACTTTTTAATTCCTAAGCAATGCCGTGCCATTCCTAGGAGTGGCATTATCATTGTCAGAGGTGGTGATTAATCGGTGACATTGTCATACCTGTGAATAATTATTCAGGTCATTATCAGTTGCTAATTGGCAACATGTTCAAGTTGCAAGAAATGTCAAATCTTAATTGGCTAATGATGTAATGATTAATCTTTTTTTCAACTATTTATGCTCGGAATCAATATTTGTTTTTTTCCTATCATGAAAGATCTGAAATACGAGAAAGATAAAAAATTACACGACTAATATTATTTTCAATGACAATGTAGTTTAGTAAGAATTCATCAATGCGGTAATAAGTATCATAAAATAGAGACAATCCAAAAAATTTATATGACATGGAAAAAAATTCAAACACGCAACAAGGCTTGCTGTGATGTAATGTTGAGAACTCGGCGGCGCTATTAGAGTTTTAACCGGTTCAATCTTGTTTATTGTTCCCTCCATTTTGTTTTTCGATTGAAAACAAACTCGAGTGGAAGTTCATCTTTCTATTTCTTGGCCAGGGTTTTTTGCGCCGCCAATCGTGGTACCTCTTTCCCTTTTTGAACCGGAGCAGACCATTTTTTATTTTCGAATTTCTTTGCCCCATGTCATATCATTCTTTATACAGAACAAGAGATTATAAGAAAATCCAGTAATTAATTATAAAATAATTAAAGATTCTGTAATTGATTTCCTTTAAAAAAAAATTGATTTTTTTTTCTATCCTTTTCCTTCATCTTTGCGGGGTCTAAACGGTGAACTTTTTAATACCTAAGCAATGCGGTGCCATTTCTAGGAGTGACATTATCGTTGTTAGAGGTGGTGATTAATCGGTGACATTGTCGTACCTGTGAATAATTAGTCAGGTCATTATCAGTTGCTAATTGGCAACATGTTCAAGTTGCAAGAAATGTCTAATCTTAATTGGCAAATGATGTAATGATTAATCTTTTTTTCAAATACTTATGCTCGAAATCATTAATTTTTCTATCATGAAAGATCTGAAATACGAGAAAGATAAAAACTTACGCGACTAATATTATTTCTTATTCGTAATTCATGTTTTGTGTTACGAAATATTACTTTTTATCAACTCTAGTATCGGCTCATTTTACTCATTAATAATAGTAAAAAGTAATTAGTAATACTTATTATATATGAGAAATATAGATATTAAAAAGAAAAAAAATTAAAAAAATTAAGTTTGTTTCTAAACTAGATACCTGACATAAGTATTTTTTTTATTTTTTTATATATATTTTAAAATTTTACTGAGTGGGTTTGTTTTTTATGTAATTAAAACACAACTGTCACACGAAATTCAAGGAATGTGATGCACTAACAGCTTGCCATAAAAACAAAGACAATGTAGCTTAGTAAGAAGTCATCGATGCGGTAATAAATATCGTTTTTGATATGGACAGGTGTTCGGTATGTAAGGCTTCTATATAAATAGCTCGAAAGCAAAAGCCTAGAAACTTGGACTTAAAAAGAATTATGCTTGAGAAATCTTGAATACAAGGAGGCAGAGAGGGTGGTGGCGATAACTGGGAGAAAGAGAGAAATCACGTTCAATATTTTAAGCTCTAAGACAGCAAAAAATGCAGGATTTCTCGTGAGGACTCACAAGTTAATAAAGTCTATTAACCACCACTGTCAGCATCATTTCACGTATTTCACTCCCATTTCCGACCTTATGAAAACCAACTTGATCATTTCCCTGAAGTTTAAATCTTGAAGCACATTTTGGTGTGTTTTCTACTGCGATCTTTTACGTATTTTCAGTCAGAAGTTCGATTTTTTTTTGCTTTTTGGTACTTTGGATTCTTGATTCTTAGTAGCTTCTGTTATTGGGTTGTACTTAAAGTTAGTTTTATATTGTTAAACTGGACTTTTTGATTGCTTAGATTTGATACTTTGTTGATTCCTTAAGTTTGTAAGAGCATGTGACACAACTGTCATTCCATTTTTACTGATATATTGTTAGTACTATATCTTTATGTGATCTGTACTTTACTTGGTTACTTGGTTTAAAACTCAGCTTTTATTGGGATTTGTATCCAGTATTTTTGTGAGTGCAACACTTGTTGATTGTGATCCATTAAGATGATCATCTAGTGGGCTACCTGTTAGAGTGCTGCGATGGATTCTTGCTGTTTGGCCTTGAAAGCCAATACTCATGTGGCAAAAGCTAGCAAAGGCGGTCTCAACAATGGAGATAAAGAGTTTTTGGGTGAAAGGATCAGAGGGAGTTTCAATAACAATGTTTGGGTCAATCAGTTGGCCAAAAGCTTGAAAGTTGACAGGAGTGTCAATAAGTTCAAGCCCGGGGTTGCTTTTTCTGTTTTGACATCAAGTAATGGCAGAGAGACTTTGGTAAGTTGATTCAATTATATAATGACTTTTTGTATTCCTTAATCATTCTTTGATATCCTCCACAAAAGTTCATATAATACGAATATGGCCATCTTAATTTCTGAATACGAATGGTTTTGGTTTTTAAACATGTGTATAATTTGATGTGTACTCATCCTTGAATGGTTCCTAAATGATGTTAGACCTTACAACCACCGCGACTCGAAAGAAGAAAAGCAGACCCAAAAAATGTAGCATCAGTCATATTAGGAGGAGGTGCAGGGACTCATCTGTTTCCCCTTACCAGAAGGGCAGCAACACCAGCTGTAAGAAAATCTGTCCGATTTATAGGAGATAATGAGTTGCTATTATAAAGTTTGGGATTAATTATGCAGTTCATGGTATTCTGCAGGTACCAGTTGGAGGGTGCTATAAGCTTATAGACATTCCAATGAGCAACAGCATCAATAGTGGAATAAACAAGATTTTTGTGTTGACCCAGTTCAATTCAGCTTCCCTGAACCGGCACCTTGCGCGCACATATTTCGGAAATGGTATCAACTTTGGGGACGGATTTGTGGAGGTATGATTCCATTCTTGGTGTATCTATTCTTTTGACTTGCGTTTCTGAAATCGGAAATTGAAATTCCTGCAATACTTTTCCCGTTATGCTGGATTTTTGTGTTGGAAAAACTTTATGAAATTGGTGACAGAAGAAAGAACAATCAATCAAACCTTACTTGAAACAGTTTTTTCCTAGTAATATAAGAATCACATTCCTCATTTCCTAATTTACTATGATACAGGAGTAGAAGTTACTTTTGGTAAATTTTCATGTCAATGATCTGATCAAGAAAGTGCAAAATCACCCAATTTTGGCTGATGTGTGATAACCACAATGATAAATTTGGCTGCACATTACCCAATTTGGACTTCTTGTATATTAAGGAAATTGCATCAAGTTTTAACGTGATTCCTCCGAGGTGATGACTAGTAAACACATTTGATGAACAGGTTTTAGCAGCAACTCAAACACCTGGAGAAGCAGGAATGAAGTGGTTCCAAGGAACAGCTGATGCTGTGAGGCAATTTACATGGGTTTTTGAGGTGAATATGAAAACTTAATAGGCCATTTCATCTGTATATAACTAATCATACTGCACATTGCTCTTCAGCCCATGCGCAACTTGAATTGGAGTCTTATGTTTATGTTGGCTCTTGTAGGATGCTAAGAACAGGAACATTGAGAATGTACTTATCTTGTCCGGAGATCATCTTTACCGCATGGATTATATAGACTTCTTGCAAGTATGCCATTACACCTTTATTGAAATGCACTTCTAACATAACATTTTTTAAACTCTGGCTTACCTTTTTGCGATGAATCGACAGCATCATATTGATAGTAATGCGGATATTACACTTTCATGCGCTGCTGTGGGCGAAAGGTCCGTTGAGTCTTTATATGTGCTTCAACTGATTTTTTTTTCTTGGTTTGTTTGTTCTATGGAAACTTTTGTTCTGTAACATTTCATTTTGATTACTTTGCAGCCGTGCATCAGATTATGGACTGGTGAAAATAGACAGCAGGGGCCAAATTTTCCAATTTGCTGAAAAACCGAAGGGTTCTAAATTGAGGGAAATGGTGAAAATCTCAAAATTCTTATGTTTATACCTACTATTCTCATAGCATCCTTTGAATCTACATCCACATGCATGCCCCTCTTATATTTTGTCAAGCATTTCTGAACCGAGTTGATGAATTACTTTCTTATAAAGAACAAAGTGGAATGACTGCCAGATTTGTCTTTCTTTCAAACTGTAGGATCGAAAAAGTCTAAATCTCATTTTACTAGACTGTTAAACACCATCATAATTGTTAGGAATCGAACAAGCAAAAGAATAGAGTAGAAAGATAAAAAAAAAGGCCATTGGGATTTTTTATTAGTTTTTATTAAAATGTGGACAATTAGAATTATAAGAAAAAAAACCTAATGGGCCTATACACCTAGCTCGATATTATGTAGACCTTGAACCCCGCAAGGGGCACTGCTCCCTTGACTAGCGAAACAATTGTGTGCGTAGCGTCTTATAATGTGGGTCCCTATCCACGCAGTCTCCACAACTTAACTATAATTTTTATATAAAATCTGAATTTTGATCATTTGCCTTACATAATTACCTTATGCTCTAGTGATAAGAGTACCGTGAAAATCCAGATCATACTGGATCACTTGAATTTTAGTTACATATATATTTTTGTTGATTTTCTGCAGCAAGTAGATACAACTCGTCTAGGGTTTTCTCTGCAAGATGCCACGAAATCTTCGTATATTGCATCAATGGGGGTCTACGTGTTTAAAACTGATATTTTATTGAAGCTCCTGAGGTGGAGGTATCCCACAGCAAATGATTTTGGATCTGAGATCATTCCTGCAGCTATAATGGAGCACAATGTCCAAGTAAGAGAACTTCATAATTTTTAATAGTAGTTCTTTTAATACGTTTCTGTATCTGTTCTTGCGGAGGGGTGATTTTTAAGCCTTGAGCAAAATGTACCATCCACCGTGCTCCTTTATTTTTACCATTGCGTATAGGAAGAAAAACCATGCTTATAATAAAGAACTAATAATTTGAGCTATTTGCCTGTCCATATTCAATTTGTTTTACTATCTACACCATGCTTGTGTCCTTTAGAATATGTAGTGCTAATAGCTAATATAATCTTGCTTTGCAGGCATATATTTTCAGAGACTACTGGGAGGATATAGGAACAATAAAGTCATTCTATGAAGCTAACTTGGCCCTCGCTGAGGAGGTTAGTTTTCTCATTATGGCAGCGACATATCGGAATTAAATTCCATACTTCTTCTGTTACTTATCCTGTAATCAAGAGAGTATATGCATGTAATGGCTAATGTCACATGAAGAAATAAGAAAGTTTTTCTGCCATTTCTTTTGTCTTTAAATGAAATTGGGCATCTTTTCTCTTACTCTTTTGTGGAACTTGCTATTGTAATCATATAAGATGAGATGATATGTGAAGCATTACTGCCTTACAGAGAGTTCTGAATTCTGATGCAATATAGCCATCAGAGTTTCCATGCTTCAGCAATTTGTAGTTAGCAGTTCATATCATTTCAAGTATGTATGTATGAATTCATTTTCACTGAGGCAAGATTGATGTTTTTTATGGCTATATATTTTCGTTCAGCCTGCGAAGTTTGAGTTTTATGACCCAAAGACACCCTTCTACACGTCTCCACGATTCTTGCCACCGACCAAAATTGACAAATGCAGGGTATGCTGGTATACTTTGGGATCCAATTTGTGGATTTAATGAATTACATCCCCTTCTAATAGCGAAGTTGGATTTTTCAGATTGTAGATGCAATAATCTCCCATGGATGTTTCTTGAGAGAATGCTCAGTCCAACACTCTGTGGTTGGCGAACGCTCACGTTTAGATTATGGCGTTGAGTTAAAGGTAATTCATCATTGTTCCCTCCATTCTTTACATTTTGTTTTCTGGTTACGCGATTGGGTAATAGACAACTTACTCATGTCCGTCTTCAGGATACCGTGATGCTGGGGGCAGACTCCTACCAAACCGAAGTTGAAATTGCCTCTCTTCTGGCAGAGGGTAACGTCCCAATTGGTGTAGGAAGGAACACAAAAATCAGGTACTGGACTCGATGTTTGAAAGTAACAAAATATATGGTTGCCTCCCTCCTCCCCCTTTCCTTCTATGTTCTTAAATAAAACTACAAGAGTATAGAAACAGTGATTTCTGACAAAAAAGTTTACGGTCTTTCTCTGAAGGAACTGCATAATTGACAAGAACGCGAAGATAGGGAAAGATGTGATCATCATGAACAAAGATGTAAGTAACGCCGCTCATGCCAACCAGGCTCACATATATAATCCTTCTCATCAAACTCCTACGAAATTTTTTGCATGCTTATATATCTATGCTTTGGTTTTGCAGGGTGTGCAAGAAGCTGATAGGGAGGGAGAAGGATTCTACATCCGGTCTGGAATCACCATTGTATTAGAGAAGGCAACAATAGAGGATGGCACAGTTATATAAATAGATGGTGGCTCTCAACTATTTATCAAAGACTTGGTTTCAAGAGAGTGTTGAGACAGGAACATTTTCAAGCACTTTTATGAGTGCCTGTTAGGGAAGCTGAGAGCAGTTAGTTATGGCATGGTAATGGCAGGCATTTTGGTCTCAAAAGAAGAATAAAGCAAGCTGCTCCTACTTCATCCTACGTAAATTGCAAGATCCCTCCTTGCTTGTAAAAATATAGCCCGAGTTATAATCTGATGTAAGCTCCTGAAGAAATCAAAGAGCTAACTAGTTAGCTGCTTTGGGTTTTTTGAGAGTTGGTATTTGTAAGAGACTGAAAATGGAAATATTTGTATGTTGTCATAAATAATGAAATAAGCCTGCCTAAAAGTTGCAATAAAACTTACCTTCGCCATCCATATGAATAACATATCATCCCACTGAACAGCGCAGTACATCACAACAATATCATTATACTCAGCAGATCCACATCAATTTAGAAAAAGCTGCTGCCACCTTCATTTCTTTGTTTTTTTTAGGAAAAAATGGATATTTTCGGATTAACTTTTTATCATTTGACATCTAGACTATATTGCTATATTTAAAGATAAAAGAAAAATAAAAAAGATGCAACTTCTTCATGATTTGAAGCATATTCACCATAGAAAGACATTTACAAACCTCATGGTAAATCAATCGAACATTACGTCACGCTAAACAATGTTGTTGTCGTCTGTCCAAGAACAAGTATGGTTTAAGAACCCCTTAAAAACCGAGTCCTTCAGGTGCTATGTGGCAATTCATGGGTTGCAAGGAATTCCTTGAGTGACACCTGGGAGCTTCTTTAAAAGGCAACGTGTCAAATATGCATGGAATATATAGAGAGATGGAAACACAAACAGCAGCATAGACAGCCGGGAAAGAAAACAGTGAAATTGATATAGCAATGCAAGAATCAAAGATGATGGACTTCAGGAAATTCGAGGACGTAAGGAAGCAGCCAGAAGGTTTTAGCTCGGTGGATAAAAAGGAGAATCTTGTTTCCAACTTCATGACTGATCACAAACACCAACAACTTGATTCTGGGAGTGCACTACAAATGTTTCTTGATCGCATCCCCATTAATTCTATCCCTGGCATAAAAAATTCTCCTGGTACTTGAAATCTTTTTCCCCTCTCCATATGATTGGTTTTGATAATAGTTTTAAATTGAATATATGATGATCTTTGTTATGTTTACTCCTTTTTAGTTGTGGAATTGAAAACTGGGGATAGTGTAAAAGATGCAATACATTTGTTATATGAGAAGAATGTGTCTGGTGCTCCTATAGCTGATGATGTAGATCCTGATACCATTATTTGGAGGTTTTCGGATCGGTATGTGGGGTTCATTGATTTTGCTGGCATGGTTCTTTGGTCTCTTGAGGTATAATCCTTCACCATCTGAATCAACTGCAAATTTTACAGTTTTTTTCCACTTAATGTCCCTATTAATTGGTCTTTGAACTTTGAAGGAATGTGAAAAGGCTCATATCCGAACCAGAGGGACTGATTGTGATGAGAGTGGCAAAACTAGCATGTTTACCTTTCTTAAAGATAATCCTCAAATTGGGCAAGCCAAGGTATCTCTTTCTTATCATGCAATGAAAGCTCTAACTATGTGTTTACAACAGTTTTTGATGCATTCAAATGGTTTATGTTCTTGGCTTGTGTTAAGTTTAATTGAATAGAAAATGGTTATGTTTTGTGTCGTCATATCAGGTTGGGGAGTTAGAGAAGTCATACCTTTGGGATCCATTTCTCCCTGTACACTTGGATGATACACTATTTCATGTTCTGCTTCTTTTCTCCAACCACCATCGGCTGCAAGTTGTGCCTGTAATAGAGAGATCCACCTTTCAGGGTATTGGTTTTGTAACCCAGGTACTAGCCTCTGTGCAACTTGTTGTTTCTTATGTAGTATTACCAAACCCAGTGTATTTAATGTTGCATCGTGCTCAAATCTTTGGAGATTTTACTATTGCTATTCTATGGTTTTTCAATGGTTTTGATCCAATGAAACATAAAGGGTTTTTTGTTATACTGGTAAAATAATTTGTGGTACTTCTGTTAGAATGAAGTGATACAGTTGTTGCTTCAATCAAGTGGGCTGGAATGGTTTGATAGCATTGCAGACAAGGCTTTATCTGAGTTTCGGTACACCTGACCAAAAACAATAGTGGATAATGAATGTTTCAGCTCCAATTTGTTTGGAGCTCTAAACTATGAGGATGCTTGCTCACCCATCTTTTTCCTTGCACAGTTTTGAAAGCGAAGAGCGCGTTTATCTTGTAAATGGAGATCAAAGCTTGGCAGAAGCTCTTCATATTTTGTGGGAAAGCCAAATTGGTGTAGTTGCCGTTGTGAATCGTGAGAATAAGAAGGTTATTGGTTGCATAAGGAACAGTGACGTTTATCTTTTATTAGAGAATGATGAACTACTTAGCCGCAGAAAGTGAGTTCGGAACACCATTTCTTCAACCTTTGTTAGGTCTTTTTCCTGAAAAGTTGTCTATTTTAAGAGTAATGCTTTGTAAAACGAAAAAATATTCACGAAGTGACAACTAACAGAAACATGAAATAAGTGAACAAAAAATTGAATTGAATTACCATTACTGTCATTGTGTCTATTCGTTAGAAAATATTTCGTTGCACATAGCATTGCTTGTGTTTTAAATATTTGCAGGAGGCTAACCGTGGAGGAGTTCATTCACACAGACACTTCCACAAAAAATTCTGATGGCACCATTGAAGGGGACCTGGGGGCACTTTTTGTGGCCGGAGCTCTTCAATTGAGAAACAGCTTCCTTCCCAAAATGGACACCCCGGTAACCACCAAAAGGAGCAATACTCTCAAGCAAGCCATGGAAAACTTGGCAGAGACAAAAGGCGGTTTTTACTTTCTAGTAAATGATTCACAGCAGATTACTGGTTTTCTGACATTGAGAGATATCATCATTCAATTTGCTCCACCATGTATAGATTCAAGCATTCATGGAGGTGGTTTCTTTGAATCTGTTCTAGAACAGACAGGGTGCCAGGTCAAAAATGGAACTGTCTATTGTGATCATTGAGTTGTCCACCATGTATGGCGCTTACTGTAAAAGCTACATTGAAACCAGCAATGAAAAAAACCACTTCATAATTTAACTTCTGTCTGCACGTAAAAATCTGAACCAAAACCTCTCCCATCTTTATGCAGGTATTTTAGGATAGCCTTTTATTGCTAGGTTGATATACCATATAAAAATGAATTTTAGTTTTCTTCTTTTTAATTCAGAGTTCAGCTCTTTCTTTTTTCTTTTTCTTTTTTTGGAAAAATAAACAAAAAAAGTTGAGAAAGGAAAGGCAACCCATTCGACGAAGTATTAATTTTGTGCACAAGATTTTTGGATCAGAACTGCTCAAACAAAACTTGGGATAAGGAGACAGAGGAAGGGAGCTACTACATCTTTAAGAGAGTGGTTCCCTGCACTAAGTAGGCTTGCATTTTATAACTCCCAGCTCGTCGGATAATCAAAAGATAACTATGATGAAGAATACAACAAATCCACTATGGCATAGGTTTTCTGATGCACCCTCAATTCAGTATAATACACCTTCCGGAACAACGTGCTCTGCTGCCACCAAAAATCAAACATGTTCAAATTTAAAACACCTGGAACGAAACGGTAAAAGTTAGGGATTGTGCAGTAATCTCAAGGGATCTAAATTGTTTCACTAGCTTTATTACACCAAATACATTTTCACTCTCTCTTGATGTATAGGGATTGGGAAATCATGGGAGATGTTAGCTACAATTTGTTTACAGTATTATTTCACGTAACAAGACATGCAAAGAACGCAATACAACAAACCTAAACGATGAGTGCACGAAGACTTGCCATTCTCTTAGAAGATTAATTCTAAAAAATGCAGTCGTATACCAGAACTCAGAGAGGAATAGAAGATGCTGTTCGAGAGAATATGGAAGGAAGATTGCTCCACCTAGTTTGTTGTTCTCTCTTCTCTGGTCATACATTATTCTCCCGTTTTCAGTCTAATGCATGACGTGACAACTCCAGGCCATTCCCCCCATAACCAGCCATCGGGAAATCCAAACGCATGATTCTACTCTCTTTTTCAAGCATAATCTGAAGACAGTTTGATTGCAATCATAAATGTCAAACCACTCAAACAGATCACATTAAAATATCAAAGTCAAAGACCAAACTTATCTGAACATGACAAGCAAAGCTCATGTGAGGTCCGATCGTACATTTCTGCATATAATTAACAGTGTCTATGAATATGATTACTGATCATTTAAGTTTGACGAAGCACAATCCCTTCCATTCTTTTCTTTAATTTTTTTATTTTTAGCTTCTGATTTCAGTTATTACAGTATTAATCCAGTTTGCTTGCATTACATATGGTGTATCAATATGGGGGCATGCTCGAGAGTGGCCAAGTTCTTTCAGGTTTGCAATATGGAGCAGCAGCTCTACCTAAATAGACACATTAATGAAACAAGGCCTCTGTCAAATCTTTCAAAAAGTTCCATTCACGATACCTATTCTGATAACAGGAGGAAAGCAGGAAATGTAAATGAATTTAGGCAGGTTACATATCAAAGCTACATCAGGCTATACAAACTCCATCTCCAGTCCGTTGATCTGATGGAGGATTGATGACCAAAGATTCCAACCTGTTGCACAATTTTAAACGCTATGATCACCAGCACATCCTGTTGACTACCTGTTTCGCTCTTCATTCCTAGCATTTTCTCAGGAGAACTTATCTCTAAATCCCTTGGTATTCCAGACTACAGAAGACCCCCTTTTTCTGAATTCACACGAACGAAAACCATTCATGGCCTTCCCCATCAGAGCCATAGCAGCAACACTAGGAAAATGCTTCTTCTGGAAGTCTAGCACTGCCTCTGAACTCCCTGGCTCAGAAACTATCACAGCTTCAGGCTTCTTTTTGGAGTTGCAGATGGATTATGACACCACCTCTGAACCCAAGCATGAGTGTGTGTTATTTCTTGACTTTTCCTAGCTGACTCAGTGGAATAGGATTCAGCTTTCCTCGGTAACTCTGAAGTCTGATCTGTCACCATCTGCTCTCTATGACAAGACTTGCTTTTCTTTGGTTCTGAACTAGTTTTACTATATCTTGGCATTTTGTTGAACAACTTATTAAATTTCCGATGGCATGATGCTTCTTCAACTTTTGAACTTTTAGTACCATAACCAAAAGGATCTGAAGCACTTGGTTTGAGACGTTTAACCCACCTGCTGCATGGGTCCAAACTCGATGGAACGTCAGGGCAATAACTAGATTTTGAATTTGTTAAATGGTCAGCATGGGGAAGGAAACATTCCGCATCCAAACTCTGGGTTCTCGAGGTGCTTGTCTCCATGTCATCTGGTGACCTTGCCGCACCTGGAAGTACAGGAAGTTCTTGGTTCATATCAGGTAATTCGGTGTTCATCTGTCTGCCCTTGGTTTCTTGTCTGACTGAAGGCATTCCAGCATGAGAAGCTGGCGATTTCTGGCCCTCGTTGATGTCCTACAAAGTTTATAACTAATCACGTGAACAGGTGAAATGACGGCCTTGTAAGCCTTTTGACTCTGGAACTTTTTGTAAAGTTATCACCTCTCACATAAATTCCTTGGCCTAAACCCAAAGAGAAAATCTAACTAAACAATGGCGACACTTGTAGAATCTAACTATATTTGTGGTAGCATGATTTCAAAGCCAAAGGTAAAAATCCACCAAATTCATTGGGTGGCAAGTGGCAAGTAATACAGCTGTCTAAAATCGCTGACCTAAACCGAAACAAATGAGTAGATCACGTTTGCTGTCTTTAGACAATGTGCATAAGACAATTTTTTTACCTTCCCTCGTTTGGAGAATGTAAGCATTATTAGAAAGCACTCGAAGGGACACTAACTTAAGAATCAAAACGAAGTAAAAGTTACCTTATATGCTTGCAATGAAGCCACACCTGCAACATAAAAGAAATAAACTCACTAATTTGCATAATAGGACTACACTAGAAAGATACAAAAGTCATTAAAACTATTCAAATTTAGGTAATTCTATTTAGCAACTTCATCTGAGGGCTGTGGTCCAAAGTATGGAAAGCTATTATCAACACTACAACTAAATCCTCCATATGAGATACAGAAACATACATACCAGATAGATGGTTCTCACAGAAAGCATCCATATCCATGGTATCAGTTTCAGCTGATGAATCATTCTCTTCATTGATTGCAGAAGTCTTGACATTCCCAGTGTTTTCTTTTCCTTCAGCTGATGAATCTTTCTCTTCAACCACTGCAGTAGTCTTGACATTCTTACTGTTTTCTTTTCCTTCACTCTCTGTGGAGCTATCCAGATGTTGCAGCTTCGCTCCTTGCTTGCCATGGAATCCAAAATCTGGAGCCAAAGTAAGGAGTTCAGTCACCATTTTCCCCTTAAATTCAGTGGATATTGCTGACTCTTTAAACATCTGAGCACCATCAGGTAAGTTTAAGTCAGTCTTTTTTGCGATGAAAAAGCGGTGAGTGGTCTGAGTATACTCCGGAGGTCCTCTAGAAAATTCTTCTATGGAGTCTATGGTAGTACATATTCTCGTAGTCTCCACATCATGAGCAGAGGGCTGTCTTGGTAGTGCATAAGATCCATGATATAATTTTTCTAATTTGCTATAATCTCTGGGACTGATCTGCCTAGGAAACAATTCAAAATCAGAGCGATTTGGCAATATCTGAAATGACTTACCAAAAAGGTCTCTTGGCTGATTATTGCTTGTTGAGGGATCACAAATGAGAATACCTGCATTTTTCTTCGTTTTCTTCTCATGAACCAAAGATGTAGAGCCTGGTTCATTAATGTGATCTAGCCTAGAGAAAAAGGACTGAATTGGAGTCCTTCCACCTTCAAATTCATATGGCACAATATCTGGAGTCAACCTTACAAAATCATCCCCAATAGGTGTCAAAACAACCATGTTACTCCTTTCTAGCAAACTGTTAGACTTGAACTGCTGCTCTGGAGCCAAGTTGATATCTTCTGCCTGAAATTGGGATTTTCTTTTCTGAAATTCCATCTCAGGAAGAGCCTGTCCGGGCATTGAAGATAAATGATCCTCAGTTCTCCCAAGGGAAACATCATACCCGGAGTTGGTACAAATTTGCGATTTCAAGACTCCTTCACAATTGCTGGATGACCCAACATTCTTCAGAGATAAAACACTCTCCCTATCTTGAGAAGGTTTGAACATCTGAAAAGAAGACTGGCCCTCCAATATTTCATTCCTAAACTTTTTCGAACTCATTATATGGTTATCTTTCATGAAGTTGATCCCTTTCCCCTTTTTTACTTCTCCAAGTCCCGTGACAAATTTAGAACCACCTGTTTCCCTCTCCATCCCACTTAGCAACTGGTGATGTTTGTTACCATTACTGACCTCCCCAGATTCATCACCTAATCGATTTGGAACTTCATTTACTTTCCTGCAACTCGCGTGTGTCCAATGAGACATCCAAATAGACTGGTACTGCTTCATAGACTTATCAGGAATTTCATCCCTGTCTTGATATGATTGTACCATGTGACCAGACATAATCAAGTGGGGTTTACTGAATTATGCTTCAAAATGTAACAGAATTCCTGCGCGGCTATTCAGCTGAAGCAGCAGTCCACCAAGCACGTTAAAGCTCTAGACATTTTCCATGTGATTCCTCTAGTCCTAGAATGGATGATCTACTTCAACCAAACTGTGGATTTAGCCTCGGTACAAGCAAGCCAGGCCGAGGATACCACCTGACTGCAAAGTTCAAGACTTTGCGATTATAATTACTCTGTCTAACAATAATTAAAATTATTACAAGAAAATAAACACAAACTGTCAAAATTATATCAAATTTGCAAACTTGAAAGGTAGCAGCAGTAGCCAAAGTACCAAAACCAAGTCTCAATATGTGAATTATCTATCTCTTCTCTTCTTCGTCTTTTTTTTTTTTTCAAAAAAGCAAAATAATAATAATAAGACGAAGAAGGCGACTAAGAATTCACGGCAAACATCTTACTTCATAAAATAAATCAGTCCCACGTAAAGAAATAATAAAAAGAAAAAGATTTCCACTTAAAACAAGCTTAAACAGCAAACCGACACTAAAAACTTAACTGCAAAAATCCAACAAAAAATAATAATAATTTATCTATGTTACTTCCAGACTCATTTATGAAAAAATAAAAACATAAAAATGGTTAGTACGTATAAGCAAGCTTACAGTTTTATTCAACTTCTTCTCTGCCTCTCTCTGTTATCATAGATCCATAGATGAAAACATCACTGAAATGAAGATCAAATTCTCGTCAATTCGAAGCCGTTTTAGGAGGATTTGTAGAAAAAGAGGGAAAAATAAGTCGTAAAGAAGAAGAAAGAATATAAAGAGGGTTGGGTTGATGACTGAGCTGTTTTTGAGTTTGTGCCTTCTTTTAGCCACAAACTCACAAGCCGACGATATAGAATTAATCCCACTTACCGGCACTTTTCGATTCTAATCCGCTTTCCTCTCAAAAAAAATTTCTTGATTAAACAACAACGATAACTCACTTACGAATAGGTGATTTACTTATTTTATTTATACGTTCAAGCAGCCAAACAAACACGGGGAGCAACACGTGCCTCGTGAATTGTCATGTTTTTATAGCTCCTTAGTGAGGAATTGGGTAGAGAAAATAATGGAAATACATTTATCTCCGTATTCAATAATTCAGATTATATATCCAGAATAAGTGGAGATTTATTAGGGGAAAAAATACGTGTAAAGGAAGAAAAAAATATCTTCATTGTGGAGATTCAAGTTGCACAACTGCTGACTGCTGAGTCGGTTTTGTAGTAATCGGGTACAAAATATCTGCTATGACCGGTTACTTATCACTTGGAATGGGTCTTCGTTTGGTTCTGCTAGCTGTGGAGCCCTCTGTAAAGAAATATTCTAAGCTAAACACGGAACTTTGGTTATGAAACGCTTTGTTATTTCAAAATACAACCATAGATTTTAATTACTTGAAAGTAGTGGGGTAGTAGGTAATTTACATAGACAACCTTCATTTTTTTTTTCAACTCACACGCCCAATATTAGCATTGTTATGCTGCATTGCTGCGGTCTGGTTGAATAAATAAAATTATTTAATTTTATATATTTTTAATCAAAATTTTGTATTTATTTTGTTGTTTTTTATATTTTTATAGTCAAAAAAAATTAGTTTGTTCTTTCTTATGCATTAATTCTTAAATAAAAAAATTACAATAATCTAAATAGAAAATTTAATCAAAAGTTCAAAAATGCTTTAATAATCTTTTTATAAAATTATATCGAAAAAATAAAACAACAATTGGTATTAAAAAACTTATATAAAATTAACAAATGATTTTTTATTCTTATTTGATATTTATGAGAAGATTATTTTTTAAAAGTATGTATATTTAATTTATATATATTTATTAATATAATAATCAATAATATTAGTATAAAAAGTTAAATTTTACTCAGTTATTCAAATAAAGTTTTTATGCTAATATTATTAATTATTTTATGAATAAATATATATAAATTAAATATACATATTTTTTAAAAAATAATAATAATCTTATTTCAGTCATTTTAAAGTATTTGAAAATAAATAATACTAAAAATAAGTTTTTTGAGATTTGAAATTAGACTAGCGATTTTTTACGAAGCTTCCAACGAACTCCAACAAGCCGAAAGTTAGCAATTTTTTTTTTTTTTTGGTCAGCCAAAGCCCTAGAGAAGCATAATTAGGGGCTAGCCTAACTTGCAGGCTTGCCCAAACAAGCCCAAGCAGGCAAGGCTGGCCTAGTTTTTTTTTATTCTTCCAACAATCTATTTTTAATTTTTTTTTCACGGAATTGGGTGTGAAAATGATAGAAAACCCATTATTATATTTTTTGAGTTTTTTTTACAATTCGAGAATAATAAAATATATATGATATATTTTAATATTTTAGATTAAACATATATATCATATTATATATTTTTATTATTTAAAATTTATTTATTCAATTTATAATTTCATGTTGAAAATCTCATCAAATTAATTTTTTAATATAATTTTATTTATTAATAGATATGTTTATTTTTTTATATAAAAGATTTTAGAATAAAATTTTAGAGCATGATTATTTTATCCCTTTTTAATATATTGTTATAATTTATATGATGAATTCTTATGACCTTTAAATGACAGTAGCATAGTTGCACGTGCTCAAATATTTTTGAAAAAAATTGAATTTATGGGTTTTATTTAATATATATATATATATATATATATATATATATATATATATATATATATATATATATATATATATATATCAAAATTTATTAAAATTAATTTATGGGTTTTGTAGTAATATTCAATATATTTCTTACGGATTATGTTTTGTTTAAAAAAATATTTTTTTTATTTAAGCTATATATTCTGAATTTGTGAGGTATGATCATAATGTATACATATTAAAATCAATTATTTGTTATTTATTTTTTTTTATGTTCTTACATCAATTTTGTTTAAATAAAATAATTAAAATAATAATTTCTAAGAACCATTTAATTATTAAATACAGTTAAAATAATTAAATAATATTTTGAAAGAACAGTTTAATTATTATTGATTATTTATTAATAAATATATATAAATCAAACTTGGCTTAAAGGGCTTTGGCTGTGGAGAGTCGAGCCAAGGAAGATAGAAAAACTTGGCCGAATATTATTAATTTGCTTAAATGACTAAAAGTATCATTTGATTAATTAACATTTATTGGTGGGTTCCACTGCTACGTGCATGGTTCATCCACCAGAAAAATAAAGTTCTAATTTGGCTATGTTTTGTCTACGCATGATCTGATAATGACCCGATCTCTTTCCTTAGGACTTCTGTGTTGTACAATGTTATTGGTTTCAAATCAAACGACAAGCATTATTTGCTTATCTACAACACTATTATTGAAAATAAAATCTTGGCATTTCAAATATGTGTCTACCAGGAATTTGATGTCTTGTCACTACAAAAAAGGTTGGGCAACAGACCATTTGTTTGATCCGTGTCAATTTCCTTGTTTAAAACCACATGTTGCGTACCCACCCTTGAACACATGGCTTGTGCCTAATGTAACCAGGAAAATTATGGCATCTTCTTTGATGGGTTACGGTGCAAGATGTAGCTAACACGATTGTAGGTCTCAACATCTTTATTTTTTCTTTGTTTTTCTTATTTGAATTTGATATATAACTAATTGGAATCAATTTCAATCAAACAATTCTTCAAAATCCACCTACATCTTTAATAATAATTAATATAGATTAATAGCATGAAATGTATTTTTCGACCAATTTTTTGATCAAATGTAACATGTGATAAAAAATACTACATATCATGAAATGTCAAAGTTATTTACCACGTGAAAAATAATAAATAAATTATCACGTGTGATGACGTATTAGATCGATGGTTTTATATTTTTAATTACAAAACATAAATTGAACATAACTGAAACTATAAGGACTAAACTATAAACTTGCAATCATCAACATTCGTTGCAAGAAAAAGTTCAATTTGCTTTCTTGTTTTCGGCAATAATTTTCCATATCTGTCTCCATTGTCATTCTACAGATCATGCTACTAGTGGGTACTGATACATCAGCAGTGACATTAGAGCAGGCAATGCCAAAACTACTCAACAATCCAAACACATTGGAGAAGGCTAGATATGAATTGGAAGATCAAGTTGGATAAGAATCCTTACTGGATGAAACCCACCTCTCCAAATTACAATATCTCCAGAATGTAATCTCTGAAACCCTTCGGTTACATCCAGCAGGCTCACTTCCCCCGTGTCATTTGATAGTTGCAGCCTTCGAGGATTCAGTGTTCCTCGTGACATAATCTTATTGGTTAATGCATGGGCTATACATAGATATCCTATACTTTGGGATGATCCAACAAGTTTTACTCCAGAGAGATTTGACAACAAAGGCGAGGACCATAAAATCGTACATGCGGGAGAAAAATGAGGAGGTTGAAGATGATGTTTTTGTAGTTTAGGCCTTTAACGTTTCAATCATGTTTAATTTAGTTTTTGTAATTGAAGATAAAAACAATTACTCTGACATGTCATTACAAGTGGCAATTTTTTTTTTTTTTACATGAGAAATAGATTTAAGATATAATGATACACTGTATTTTTTTGTCACGTATCACTTTTGATCACAAAATTAGTTATAAAAAAAATCTAAGAGGTCCAATTAAGAAAATCTCAAAAGGAAAAAAGGACGTGATAAATAAATAAAAAATCATAAAAAAACCATAATTGATTTGACATGTCACAACATATGGTTTTTTGTTTTTTTATGAAGCAAATAAATCTAACATATTATAACACATGATCACGTGTCACTTTTGATCGAAAAAATTAACAGAACAATCATGAAAAATACCAGATTAAAAAAAAATCTAAAAAAAATACAATAAATAATAAAGATGTCATATTAATAAAATCTTAAGAATAGAGAGATATTACTTGTGATGATTCAT